AGAAGCGGCATCTTGAACTTATTTGTCTTGTAGGTGCAGTCGAGAAGAATAACATCAGGATTCCTCTGGAACATCTGAACACTCTCAGGATGCATAAAGTATAGATACTTGACACGGTTTGCTTTATCTAGCTCGTATTTATAGTGGTAATGAGCGTCCGGGTTGTCGCCGCCGTGTTCCTTAAGCACCTTAAGGATGGCCTGAGTTGGAGTAAGCCCCTTAAGCTTCATTTTCTTCCAGTCCCATCTCTTGTTGTATAGGTCCTGCATTGTCACATCCTTACCCTCAGCAAGTAGGTTATTGAAGATAGCACCAACAGGCGTGCCTCCATTGAGCTAATTGTAGATGGTTCGAATTGTATCCTCATCAAGATCTCGGTGCACGGCTGGAGTCCCCTCATCCGGATCAAACGGGTGGTGATTGTGGCCAGAAACCTCAACTTCGAAGAACCAATCACCTAGCTGTAGGTCTCTCGTGAAGCAGGCTTTCATAGGGCAATCGCACTTCTTTGAACGGGTCTTTTTCTTCCGATTGGCAGGCGTGTATACACCCGCGCAATCACAATGAACAAGCACCTTGCGCACCTGAGGGGGCGTGCGCTTGTCCATTTTGTTCCTATGCCGGACGATTGCATATCCTTCCTGCTTAGCCCAGGCGTTGATGGATTTCATGCCATCCTCTATGGAAGCGTGGCGGCCCCAAGGGGGCGGCCGGAGGGGCATGGTGTTGAGGTGATGATGTAGAGGAATTGGTGTTGATGCATCGAGAGTGAGTGCGCGGGTGATGTAAATTCGAACTGAGCACGAGCGGGCAAGCGAGTGAGTTTGATTGGTGGAACAATATTTATACGGGCCGGAGCTAGGCTAAATATAGGGGGGGGGCTAGGAAGAGAAAAGGGGGGGGCTACGGAGAGAATAGGGGGGTGGTAATTAAGCTCGTCCTTCTTACCTACTCTACTTGTACCAAGGGAGGGTTTGCACGCTAGCCACAAAGATCCAACGCTGCTCAAAGCAGCCTTGTTCGCACCATATCGCCTTCGCCAGCAGATCCAGTGATAACGCAGCATACACGCCGTTCTCGTAATACACATAATAGTCCCCTTCACCCCGCCTCCTTTCCATAACCAAAAGTCACTTCAACAATCAACCAACTATACACCATAATCAGAGTCACTGTTCAGATCTACCAAGCCGCAACGCCAGACTATCTCGGTTTTCCAAACTCTCAGTATTCAATCCAGTTGCAAAATGACAAATCTCCACCCCTACGATGAGTTTTTCTGCTGCAAGTGCGGCGAGGAAAGCGGACCGGATCCGCGGCGATGCGGCGAGTGTGGGCATGTGGTGTGTCAGAGTTGCTTTCCAATCTGGGATGAGTACTAGATCACTGTCGGTGAGGATGGGGTCTATGGGGAAAGTGGTGATGGGAGAAAGGGATGGAAAGCGAAGGGGTTAGTGGTAATAGCTTGAATGTCAACACTACTACTGGCTAGCTGATTTGATCTGGTAATGTGTGCATGAGTAGCCCAGGTGATCGGGGTGGTAGATGTTGTTAGGGGAAAGGGGAGTGACAGTGCGCTGATTTTGAATGCTAGGGAGAGCGATGAGAGTAGATTGGTGGACTTGTCAGCGGAATTGATGGAGTGAAGGGTATCGAGGGTATTGTCACTTCTCCCCGCATCGCACCCGCACCACGGCGACATTACTCATGCAGATGATGAAGAAGAGTGCTGGTGCTGGAAGCTAACACTGCCCTTACTGCCTTACTCGTACCAAGGCCCACGACACAATGGCCAGCGGACTCGATGAAGTGGACAACAGCGTGGAAGCAGCGTCGGCTGCAGCACTTTCTCCAGGTATACAGGAACCTCTACCATTCCCTTCTCACTCTCTTCATCTACAATTCTACAATAAACTACAGCTCCACATCAAAACTCAAGTCAAAAACTATAAATATCGAGCCAAACAAAATCAATCACACTCAGAGGTTGTCAATACCAAGCTATCAACGCTCCCATCTCACAAACTTTATCGAAACTCCCCCAAAATGGCTATCCGCTCTTCCACCCAAGGAGCTGGCTCCCTACGATATGGATATGAGGACGACGATTTTGGATTTGAGGAAAACGAGGAGTGGGTTCGTTGCTGCGGATGCCACAATCTCAACTTAACCACTGACGACTATTGCGATTTTTGCGGCCATCCAATCTGCGATCGCTGTCGCCCGCTCTAGAGGCTGCAAGCTTGCTGGAAGGGCGTGGGGAAACGAGGCTGGGAGATGAGCAGGGGAGGCATTGGGGAGTGACTGGCGGCTATAGGTAGAAGGTGAAAGTTTAATCTAATTGCTTCTGTGATAGTATGTGCTCTGGTTTAGGCTTATGTGAAGGCGTGATGTCGCCAATACGATTAACTATGAAGGCCTTTACTTCCTTGCTGTCACGCTTAAAACAGGACCTTGATCGTGTGTATTTGCTAGCGGATTCGTTGAAGTAGACGACGGCGCGGGAACAGCGCAATATGTAGCAACTTCTCTTGGTACGCAGGAAACTCTAACATCTTCTTACTCTCTATATTTGCACATTCATTTGACTAACTTGAAAATCTCAAGGCATCAGTCGCACTCCCACCACACAGATTTCCTCGATATTCTCATAATAGCCAGACGCTCTTCATTTCAGCAAATCGACTCACTAGGATACGAAAACGAGGAAGAATGGCTGCTTTGCTGTGAAAGCGACAAATACATCGGATCCTACGAAGACTGCTGTTTTATTTGTGGTCATCTGCTTTGTGAATACTGTGAGCCTTTTTTGGTCATCTGAGCTCGCCGGAAAAGTAAGGGGGGGGTTGGAGTTTCGGGCCGGGAGTAAAGGAGGTCGGGAGGATGATGAGTAGTGGCAAAAGCCTGATAATAATACCGCAATATAATCAACTCTACAATAGAATGTGTATATGATGTGGCGTTGGCGAAGGCGATGCGGTCGAGTAGAGGAGCTTGTGCTTGTCAGTCAGCACCTATGCGTTAGCATGTTGCACTCACCATCGTAGATTTACCAACGGTTTGAAGAACACGTTTAGAGTAACGCAACGCCAACAGCGCACAGAACTGTCACTCATGTTGCGATCTTAGTACATAAACCCTCCCCCGGACTCTCCTTCCTCTCTTACCGCTTGCGTCTGCAATCAATTTAAAAACGACATCTAAACCCTTAAAAGCGAATCCTATCAACTATAAATTTTGACAACCCAGAACTGCGAGACTCTATACTAAAATTTCACGAGGCCGACTCCTCGGAGGTCCGCAAGGATTACTAATTTCTCCAATGCTGTCATTGCGACCACAAGCTTTGCACATACTGTACCGTCTCGTAGGCATGAAGGAGAAGTGGGAACTGAAAAATGACAGGAGAGCCCATGGAAGGGGTGTATGAGGGCGAAAATGGGAGGTAAATGGTGATAGGTAGAATATCGGATCTATCACAGAAAAGTGAAGGAGTTTAATGAAGTGCGTTGTCCGCTACGTGCATGTTTTTGAAGCGGTTCTCATTTGCAGCCAGCTGTTTCCACGGCCTTATGGTCACGTGAGCCACCGTAAAGCTGCACGTGGAGTCGAGAACAGCGCATGACCAGCGCAGTGACGACAGAGGTATATTGCAAACACAGCATAGGACGTGGTTTTGAATCGAGAAAGATGACTCTGCTTCTTACTTTCTAAATCTCCAACCTTCTCGATACTAAGTATACCTCTATATCAAGAACTAGCATTGCTTAGGCGCAAATCTACCAATACCAGGCCACCGGAGCCTAGTACCATCATTTTAAAATCCCAAATATCCAGAATGGTTGTACCTTCTCCACCTTAAGAGCACAACCCATCGCCGCCGCCACCACCACCACCACCGTTGGGTTCCCAAGTCTGCTGTCAGTGTTTTGAGATCAACCTGCCGACCGAGAATCGATGCTACAAATGCAGGCATCAGCTTTGCATCTTCTGCACTCCTTATTAAATGGATGTGGCTTAGTCTTGGAAATGGAGGATTGAAAGCACGATGGATTAGCAGGATAGCGGTTGAGAGCAGGATTGTCAACCATGATATATCAATGTAGCTGCGTGAGTTGTGAACTGAGTCTCGTGATCGCTATCCTTCTGTGTCGAGGCGAATGTTATGCAATGTTGGAGAACAAGAGGTGAGGTCGGCGCGCCCTCGGGAGTGAATGCCGCCGCCCGCGCCCGTTGGTTGGCCATGCCACGCTCAGCAAAACCGGCCAAGACGGCACGAAGGGGCCAAGGCGGGAGCAGAGCAAGCATGTAAGCGGCGCTAGGACCACGGCCAGTACGTCACTCGCGCTCGATAACGGATGCTGCGGCATTCGTGCTGGCCAGCCTTGTTGTTGATTAAACCCGCCGCGGCCGCTCTCTATTGTGCGCTTCCAACTCTGCTGCTTGAACTCGCTCTGTGCTGCTACTGACCCGTCAATTGAGCCCTCTGCGTTGCTATTGTCCCTGCCCAGTCGTCGCAGAACTGCCAGCGGAGTGTCGTGTGTCTTCTCCGGAGCTTGGAAGATCGCGATAATGTCGTCGAAATTGGACAATCTGAAGCCGCAGAGGAAGATTGAGCTCTTCTCGGGGACGTACTTTGGTGCTTGCACGCTGGGAGGTATCATTGGTGAGTGCGACCTTCGAAAGAGCTGCCAATTGCGAGTGGCTATGGTGTTGACGTCGCGAAGCTTGCGGACCTACGCACACGGCTGTGACGCCATTAGATTTGGTAAGTTAAGCAAAACTCAGCTCACTCGTAGTGATCAGAAGCATGCAGCAGCTAACGGGAACCGAATAGGTCAAATGCCGCCGCCAAGTCGATCCAAACATCTACAAGTCCAACCTCCAGGCCTGGCGCTCCATCTATAAGGCAGAAGGCATCCGCGGTATCTTCTTCGGCTGGTCCCCCACCTTCGTTGGTTACTCGTTCCAGGGCGCCGGCAAATACGGATTGTACGAGGTTTTCAAGTACAGCTATGGCGAGAAGTTGGCGCCGGGCTTACCCAAGACCGTGGTGTATCTTGCTGCCAGCGCTAGTGCCGAGTTCCTCGCGGATATCGCCCTGTGTCCCTTGGAGGCAATCAAGGTGCGCATGCAGACAACGCTGCCGCCTTTTGCCTCGACTTTGAGGGAAGGTTGGAGCAAGGTGGTCGCTCAGGAGGGCTTTGGAGGGTGAGGAATACCAACTGCTTAGTTCTGTTGGCGTTCTGATTTGCTAACGAATCTGCATAGTCTCTACAAGGGACTCTTCCCACTCTGGGGCCGACAGATCCCCTACACCATGGTCAAATTCGCGACTTTCGAGAGTGCCGTTGCTCAGATCTACAAGACGCTCGGGAAGCCCAAGGAGGCCTACAATACCCTTCAGCAGACTGGTGTTTCGTTCCTAGGTGGTTACATTGCTGGTATTGGCTGCGCTGCGATTTCTCACCCGGCTGGTAAGACTGCGTCACGTACGATTCGGCGGAGGACTTGCTAACCTGAGGATAGACGTAATGGTGTCAAAACTCAATAGTGATCGCAAAGGTAAGTCTACGAGAATCTTATTCGGGTAATAGATCGTGGTGTACTGACTTCCGTTTCTCCGCAGCTGGTGAGGGCGCTGGTCAGGCCATGGCGAGGATATACGGAAACATTGGCTTCAAGGGTCTCTGGAACGGTCTGCCAGTCAGGATAGCTATGATCGGAACGTTGACTGTAAGGATGAAGGTGGTGCCTGGTTCTAGAAACCTACTAACTCGGATACCTAGGCATTCCAATGGCTCATCTACGATTCGTTCAAGGTCTACCTAGGGGTAAGCTATTCGGAAAGCTCTTCTACACAACAAATTGCTAACATTTATCAGCTGCCGACCACCGGAGGGCATTAAAGATCGACTTGCGTGTTGAGAGCCCAATGAAATAGTTGGATGTTCTAGCTGAGGTATTTCAAGGGGACGAAGGCGGTCTCCTCACCCGCAAGAACATACGGATAGATGACAGCAACAGGCTTGCGGGACACGACGGTTGGTATTCAGGGGAGCTGGCTTTGAGTAGATTTCACGAGTCTTAATTTTTGCATGCTTGGCGTGCGGTTCAAGGCGCAGTTCTGGGTAGGTCTCACTTGCGCTATACTGAATTCATCATCTTCACACAGTACCTAGAAAGAAGTCTGTGCACACTTGCTCGCCGCTGCCTGACGAGCTTCCGTGCCTTATTAAACATCTGGACAAGGTGTAAATGTCTCAAGAATGCAAATTTGAGCGCCTTCAAACGCTTCTGATTAGCCTACGTTGCCGCTGTCCAGGGTTCTTCACCATATCATTAAGACTTAGCAAGAGGATCCAGAAACTGAACTGAAAGTGAGTGCACAGATTCATGTTTTTGTACTGTATTTCCAATCATGATCGGTACAAACGTTGATCAAAAGGCTTCGGTGGTGCTGATGGGCCACATCGGTGACTGGCGGTTTACCACGTTGTTCCCTGCTCTGCCGATGTCACATGCTCCAACCCATTATCTAAAGTCCAGATCACATTCATTTACACAAGAAGTACTCCACCCAGGAAATAGCCTCTTGACGTTCCTACCTCCAGTGCCTCCTAATCTGTGTACACCCTGCTAACGCTGTATGGAGCAGCTTCACGAGTTTACTGGTTGTCCAAAATGCAGACTTTCTCTCTCATTCGGAAAGCTCGAAATGTTATGAGGCGCCTTATGCAGCGGTGACCGGGTGTACAGATGTCTATGACGAGGCATTGCAGCTGCCACATCTTGTCAAGGTGTTACCACTGGATCTGATGTCCCTTCTGCGCACACCCTATTGACGCTGCTTGGAGTAGCTTCTCTACTTTACCGGAGGTCCAAAATGCTGAACTTCTCTCTCATTCACAATGCTGAAAGTACTATGAGGCACCTCATTCAGCGGTGACCGAGTGTACTGTAGCTGCCACATTTCACCCAGGTGACGCTCCTTTTCACTCTTCTACCTACCTATTTAAACTTCTCCCGTCTCGTTTCCTCTTGTCCTCTTACAACACACTACTACAGGACACTTCCTCACTGCATCAATTGAACATTCATCAGCGCTTCCATCAGTCCTGCATCCATCAGCACAGTATCCATTCAATCAGCCAATTTCTTTACCATGCTCAAGTTGAACGTCGCCGCCCTGGCCTTGGCCTGCACCATCCTCGCCGCCCCCACCCCACTGACTGCCAATGTAACTAATGGCACCTATGCAGGCATCTACTCGAGCGAGTGGGATCAGGATTTCTTCCTCGGCGTCCCGTATGCTTTGCCACCGACTGGTAATCTCCGCTTCCGTGCCCCCATCCCCTCAATACCACCTGGGAGGAGTCCCGATCAGCAACCAAGTACGCCGCTGCCTGCGTCGGCTATGGCAGTGACCATGACTCCTACTCGAACGTCTCCGAGGATTGTCTTTACCTCAATATCGTCCGACCCTCAAGTTCTGTCAGGCCCGGCTCGGAAAGACTCCCTGTCGTGGTTTGGATTCATGGCGGAGCATTAAACGAGGGCTCGGCGAACGACCTGCGATACAACCTCACTTTCATCGTCGACCGCAGCGTCAAGATCGACAAGCCGATCATCGCTGTCAGCATCAACTACAGGTTGAGCATATGGGGCTTCATTACTGGCAACGAGGCTATCCACAGCGGGAATGCGAACTTGGGGCTCAAAGATCAGAGGTTGGCGTTGAAATGGGTTAAAGAGAACATAGGTTACTTTGGGGGTAAGTTGCTTTTGCTTGAGCTGAGATCTCGGTCTTGAATCTCCTACCCAACCCCAACCTTCCAATGAGCCCAGCCTAACGAGACCATCAGGAAACACGAGCCAGATAACTATCTGGGGGGAATCTGCCGGCGCCTTCTCCGTCGGTGCACATCTCACAGCCTACGGCAGCCGTGACGACAACCTCTTCCACGGCGCCATCATGCAACCCGGGAGCCCCCTCTACTACGGCTCGATTCGGGACTGGAACAAGACAGCATACAATATCGTGTCCGAAGGTATGTCCTGCAACACCATGGACGGCGGTCTACAATGTCTGCGAGAGGTTTCGTTCGAGAAGCGAAACAGTTTCATCACCGAGACTGGCTTGACGCAAGCTGGATTATGGCAACCCGTTGTCGACGGAGATTTCATCCAGGGCCACGCTAGTGAGCAGCTCGCAGATGGCGCATTCGTTCGGGTCCCTATCATCACAGGGGCGAATTCGGACGAAGGGACAGCCGTCGTCAATGGTACCCTCTTCGATGCGACACTCGACAACGAAGAAAAGACAGATGAGTACAGTTACATTGCGCCATGGTTGTCCGCTCGCGAGACCAACACTCTCAAATTTCTCGAAAGTACGTTCCCCCGCGTCATTTCCAACCCTATTGATGTTCAAAAACTGACAATTTACAGCATTTCCTATTCCCCTCCGTTCCCGCCGGCTATCTCCCGACAATCTGGAACGTCTACCGAAATGAAGAAATTCCTGCATACAGACCGTATGCTGAATGGAATTCTTCCACCTTCTCGAACTGAAATCGCCGTGTGGCGAACGCCTACTACGGCGATGCAACCATCCATGCCCCGCGTCGTCTAACTTGCCAAACTTGGGCCAAACACAATGTCTCCGCGTACTGCTACAACTTCGACCTTGTCACAAATGGCAGATCTTACGTCGATGGCGCCACCCACTTTGACGAGGTTGCGTTCGTGTTTAACAACAAAAACGGCTCCGGGTATCAGACTAATCCAATGGGCGGCCACAAAGCGGAAGGTTTCAGGCTCATAAGCGACAATATGACCGACGCGTGGGTCCGTTTCATTACAAATGGGAAACCTTACACACGAAGCGTGCCCAAAGACGGGTTCCCTTGGCCGAGGTATGCGCCACAGAATAGGTCCGAAGTGTCCCCATTTCGAGATTCTGAGGGCTACTGTGTTCAGTTTTATTACTTCGAGTGGAACGGTGATCCCTAGGAGGATGAGCCCATAGTTGGCCACTGGGAGCATGACAAGTACAGGAAGGAGGGGATGAAGTTGATAAACTCATTGAATCAGGAGCTGTATGGCCGTTAGAGTAGAGACTGGAAGCACAGAGGAGTGTTTATTCTTTTCCTTTCAATAGGTCCTAGAACCTCTAATACACTTTTATTCCTTTCAAAATTGCTTCTTTTTCCTCGCAATTCAAAGTGATGAACTTCTGTGCTCTCTTCCACACTACCGAATCAGATCATATGTTTGGGCACACCGATATACAGTTCGTGGACTCCCATATGGGCACAAACGCCAAGCCGCCACCAAAATTATGTGGGTTCGAAGCGTTCCCCACCGCGCAATAATTAAGAATACTAAATGAAACTCTTAGTACGTTAAGAACTACCTACAAGGAAGCCTTTTCACTCTTTAGACCCTTGGAATTCTATTGTGTTGTGGTTTTGAACTTTTAACAAAGTAGGGGCCCTCCCCGTCTACGTAGCGCCACCAAAACTAGTTTTATCTTTGTTTGAATAAGCATAATCCAAAGAACTTAAAAGAGGGGGAAAGTGCCTAAAAACCTATCCTAGTATCTCTTGTCTTGTATTACGCTTTGTTGGGCGTTATATTAGTAATGAAAGGGAGGTTTGCCGCAGATTTATGGGGGGGTGTGCCCATATGGGAGTCCTAGTACTGTAGGTCCACTCTGGCTTCTCTCTTGTTCACGTGACACCACTGTCAGGGGGCACCCCATGTGAGGTGTCTTCAGTCACTCAAAAGGTAGTCCAATCTCCAATGCGTTGACATTTACATCGTACTCGAAACCGTAAATCAGACCAAAGGAAATACCATGACACTCAACCTATTCATTTGACAAGCACTCGAATTCGTATATTCTCGTTCGTTCGTTTTGGGGGCTATCATACGGCTCCAGGCGCCTCACGCGGGTGCGAGATTCCAAAAACACGATGTCAAGTTCCTGACTGTGTATATTGGAAAGGGTGTGATTCGAGGCTTTTGACGTGCGGTTGGCGGTGTTTGAGGGGCCCTGTGAGGTTGGACTTGATTTGAGCATGATGTCAAGGTTGTAAGACCGTGAATTGGAAGGTGTCTCGATCTGCGTACATGGAGCCTTGAATACGTTCTTCTGTCGATTTCGAACGGTGTAAGCGTGCAATTTGCACGTCGGTTGACGCTGCCTGAGGCGCCTTGTGAGGCCCAGCGCAAGCTGAACAGGATGTTAAGGATCTGAGAGTTCAAATTGGAGGGGGTGAGATTGGAGGGGATTTCTAGGGCGAGGGATGCTGTGATTGGTGTTTGGTGATAGAAAAGGTGGCGCTCCATTCCTACAACAAGCTGTCTCGTGTGTACACCTACCTGTCTACCACCACTTGGGGAGCTTCAATGGGTTTTTAGGAACCGGAACCAGAATAGAAGGCCTTCGCCTTGGACTACGTGGAAACTCGTTGAAGCACCCAAGCAGTGGTAGGCAGGTGTACATACGAGACGAAGTGATTAGTGTCTTTCTTTCACGCCCAGCATGAGTGTCCACGAACGGCGATCGTTCGCCTCTTTGAACATCACATCAAATTCTTAATCGAATAGTATGTATTGTGTTTCGGCATAGATATCCGCACACCTCTCTGCCACCACTTGTGGTGCCTCGTAAGTTTTTCAGAGTTCCGAATTATACGGAAGTCGTGCGTTTTGAACATCTGGTAAACTCGTGAGGTTACCTCAGACAGCGTCAGCAGGGTGTACTCAGATTAGAAGAAGTGTGTCCGCTGTGCGCCCCGGATTTCTCCTGGCATGTTGAAGCCCCACGAATAGAAAAGTGTACGAATATCTGTAACAAGGCACGGTATCCGCACACCTCTTTGCCACTGCTTGAGGTGCCTTATGGTTGTTTCCGAGTTCCGAATCATACAGAAGTCCAACCTTTTGAATATTAGGTAAAATTGTTAGGCCGCGCCAGGCAGCGGCAGAGGAGTGTACAGAGTTTGGGAGTGTTGTCTATTTTAATATCCGCACACCTCTTTGCCACCGCTTGAGGTGCCTTATGGTTGTTTCAAAGTTCCGAATTATACAGAAGACCTGCCTTCTGAACATCTGGTAAGCTTGTTAGGTCACCCCAGGCAGCGGCAGAAGAGTGTACACAGATTAGGTGTGCGCTCCGCCGCGCGTAAGTTTCTGGGAATACTGCGAGGCTCCCTAAGCGGTGGTAGAATGGTGTGCGGATATCTATGATCACACGCAGTAGCAGGAGAGATCTGATCATGTCTGAGGCCCTCTAAATGTGTCGGAAAATTCGAGAGCGATGGCACAGTTTGGAAATTGTATATCCGAAAGTTCCATCACTTTTCTAGGCAATCTAGCCCGTCCCCCCGTAGTTCACAAACCCTTTTGCGAGCGGCAGCCGTTGAGATGGGAGACGGCAATGGAAGATGGCGATGGAGCGTGACATCGTGGACATAATCGGAATAACAATGGACCTGCTCGGCGCGCCCGATGCCTCTTCACTCTCCAGCCTTGCTCTCATTATTTCAGCGTTGGAGCAGTAAACAATCCTGGAGGAATCTTGTATTCGAGAAAGGATTGGACTCGACCAAATAATTCGCGGCTTCGGGCACGCAACCCATCCCTCCCCTGGTTGCCCCCCTCCTTCCCCTCCCACACTCCAGCCCCTTCCTCTTCCCTTATTTCTCTTTCTACAGTAGATACCCATAGACGGCTAGTCCCTTTTGCCATTCTTTAATGCGCTCACAGACTCCCTCCTGTTCGACATCAGATGCGCCACCGCTATCTAACTCTTCGTCGGACTCTCCAAGATCAAACCACTCATGGGTGCGAATGTTTACCTCAGATGCGGGCCAGCCGTCTGCCCTTAACCAGGAGAAGATACCCCGTGTCGCTACCTTTGACGCAACGTCGGATTTAAGGGTTATGCGTGACGGTATTTCCAATAATATAGGCTGAGGGATTGCCCAATCAGACCTCCTCGTGGTTTGAATATTGTATCCTTCGTCAATAACACCTTTACGTCCAGTCAGGTCCCATTTCCATCCGACATATTCCAATCTATGTCCGCAGTGAATGTGTCCTTGGACCTCAATGTCAGTGTCACAAATCCGTGTGTTACCAAAAGGCTGCCAAGGACATATCGGAGCCTTATCGTGGTCGGATCCAGTTAGGAAGAGCATACGACATTCATCTGCACGGCTTATCTCGTTTCTAAAAATAGGCTGGGATGGACTAAGACTGATAAATGAATGAGTCGTTGCTGTCCAAGCTCCAGCATGGAGATCTACGGGAGGTGTGCCTGACCGGGCCATTTGTAGAACACGTTTTTCAAGGCCGAGGATAGCAGCACCTAGCCATAGAGGAGCGAGGGAAGGCTGTCGTTTCGCCATAATTGCGACTAATTTCTGGTGGTCACATTTGTTGATGATAGAAAAAATTGGTTCCAGCCACGGGCTTACAACGTTACACTCTATTGTCTGATCAAAAAATGGCCCGCCAAGGAGCGCAAGCACTCCTCGCGGATTGCAACTTAGCGTCATATAGTAAGGAAGACGATCGTATTCTTCCAAAATAGACTGATGTACAAAACCTTGAGGCTTCGTGGTAGAGCTATATGCAACCGGTTTCACCGGGGGACCCCGGAGGAGAAATGTTGGAACAACGAGGTCGGGGAAGTGACGTATCCGCCTTGTTGCCAAGGGTTGGGAATAGTAAGGCCATGGCGAGAGCTGCTAAACCCTGGTCGTGGATGTCGTAAGTGACACACAAGTCTTGTAGAAATTGTAAGGCTTTGTCGGATGATGGTGGAGCTAATTGCGATGAGGGATGGAGGTTGCTTGAAGTTCTTTGAAGCTTGAACCTCTGGTTATTAGAGATTCGAACGGACCAGGGAGACAGATAAACCCCACCATGAATTACACTCGTAGCAGTCCACGCTTGAGCTATTACTGCGGCCCACCACTGTGCCGCATCGTCGCAGAGACAGCCAAGATCTACTGCAATCTCTTCAGGAGAATTGTCGTTGTGTTCCTTCTCCCACCAATTCTGATATTGTATCTGACTACGAGGACCTGACTTTGCATTTACAGGCGTCTGCATCTCTACCCATTTGGCTGATAGAATGTAAGCCCAGGCAAATGCTAGAATCGCCAGGTAATTGCATCCAGTATGATCCCGGTTATTGGGCCAGTCGGTGAATCGAGAGTTGTCCGTTAGGAGAAAGGAGGTCGCCCGTCTCGTTCCAAAGATAAGTTTATGGTTAAGCTCCTTATCTTTGAGATCGCACGCGCCGTCGTCGCATAGCCGCCAATGTGAACTGCCACTGCTATATAGTTGCCCCCCATCGTTGTCAAAAGTAAGGCGATCAGTAATCGCCCCTCTGCTGTGCCAGAAGCGTAATTCTGGTGTCTTGCCGAGAACATTCTGAAGCTGGAAGCAAGACATAGGAAATCCGCTTTCTAATTGCGCGTCTCGAACGTGAGAAGACCAGAGACACTGGCTGCGCTCGAGCGTGCTTCGAATCTTTTGAGGATGAGCTTGAACGTGTTCAGCCATGATGAATTAAACTAATTAAATTAGCTGCATCTTATAATACATTTGAGTTGTCTTACTCTTGGTGTCAGAGTTACCCAGTGTGCTCTGATGGAAGTTCTTCTTTCTCGCAGCTGACACGGATTATACTAATTCCGTTCTACCGTCGTCGTCACCAAGAATTCATTGGATAAGCAGTACGGCGCTTGGCAGCTTGCAAAATGTATCTTGTACCATAGTAGTGTTATAAAGGTACATACGTGTAAGCTAAGTTATGCCAATTACACCAAATGATGGAATTCTGACATATCAACTTCCGATTGTATGGATGATCAAGGCACTTCTTGCAAACGACATAAGTCCAACCATTTACTCCAGCATGCCCTCTTGCCTGACAGATTATCTAATTATTCTTACAACCGAGGACCGTGCATTTGTAGAAATTATGTTCGTTGTTGGCATGTTGGCGCGTGTCACATGTCCCTTTTCGTCCGGAGCTTGCGGACATGCTTGTGTCTCTAATTACTATCAATTTTGCTTGAGCGCATAAGTATGAAAACCTACTTAATAAATTGGGCAGAGCGGTGCAAAGCTAGGGATCATCGGCGCGAGCACCGCCTGATATTTGTGCTGCTCGCTCAGCTCATCCCCACAGTTGGTAAGCCATGCGCCGCTCCGGTGAGTCCAACGTCAAGCAGCAGCCGGCGAAGCCAGACGCGTCGATCACGCTCTCACGCTCCCATTCCACAACACCGGCTCTAAGTTCGGCCACCAATAAGAGCATTTCATTACGCCCCGATCCTGATGTAGAGGGACAGCTTTCTAGTGTCAAAACGCGGCCAGATGCGGAGCTGCCTCGACGAAGCTCTTGGTGGCCTTCTATAACTAGGTCGCAGCCATTTGACGGAGCAGGCGGAAAGACAGTGTAAAAAGACCTGATGGCAACATGAACCAAGTGACGGGAATGAATTAGCTGGAGAAGCATTTTCAAGAAGAGGGAGCGTAGCCAAAATTAGAGGAGCGAGTTTAAGACTGGGTGCCGGAAACGGGATCCATAGGAACCAGAACGGGACCCTTTGAACCTTAGCCACAGCCCACATTGGGCCTTTGCTAGGCAATCCGTTCAGCGTTGGTACCGACGGAAAAGACCTTGAAAAATAATGAGCAACATGACGGCCCTTTTGTCAATACGCATATTCAAAAAGTAATAAAGTCCATCGGGAGCGATGACGACCGGTAAACTCGTGATTCTTGAATTCGTATCATATAAACCAGCTCCAGAACTCTTTCATTACCTCATCGGTAAATGCCTTTGCCGATTTCCTTCATAACCTTCTCCAACTAGTCGCCCCATAATCCTCCCTCCGGTTCTTGCCCACTCTCGATTTCTACCCGATATCTTCAAGATAGTAGCATAAAAGCTAATAAGTTTAAAGATGCCTTGGACAGAGCGCGTTAACAAACTCGTAAACTTTTTATCCGGTCCGAGAATCGTAATATCACCAGTAGCAGAAGACGGGTAAGCGTAGTAGATTTTGTGCGCGTAGCCGATAATAGCGAGGGTGGGTTCAAGGAGGGCTATAAAAGAGGGGTTGTCTGCATTAATATCGGGATTGTAGGTCTTATTTAAATTATAGTCGACTCTAGAATTAGACGCAGGTTTACTTTCTAATACAGGAGTTCTATAAAAAGCTCTCCTTGCTAACTCTATCTTCTTCCGCAAACTCGCCATCCAGATGCCTATCTGTAGCTCTGCCTCCTTTTAGTCGCCATTCCCTGGCCTAACCTTAATTCCAAAAAAGAGAACAACATATAAGATGAAATTATCTGTAGTATAGGAGATATATATTATATTAACTTCCTCCAGCCGGTTATATAGCGCGGAGAAATACAGATTAAAGTATAATTATAAGAAGTAGAAATTAGTTTTATAGAAGAGATAGCGTTTCTTACTTAGCGTAGAGGGGTCGGGTATATAGAAGAGGCATAGAAGGTTTATGCTTTAGGATTACCTGTAAGTTTAGCAGTAAAGGTATATAGGGAGAGTAGGATTTACACACTTTTAGGCCGCCACTTATCCTTGCTATAAAGCTTAATAGCAAGCTTAATAAGTGGCCAGACAATACTAGTTATGCTCAGGTTCAAAAGTGGAAATGGACTTTGGTGGGGTCGCTTCTGGGGATAGTTTATAAGGCTAAATGAGCATCAACGACCTCGAAAGTGCCAAAGTAAATAGTAAAATTACAGGTTTCTCAAGTGTGCTACGAACCTTACCCGAGCCGAACCAAGTCATCCCCACAACAGTATCTAATCACACACGTTCGGCACGCTCAACCGCAGCACATCACACTCACGTCCTTGCTGCCGCCTTCTTCGGCGCCTCCTTCGAAATATCCGACTCGGTGTAGTAGAAGTTTTCCTCGGGTATGCAGCCCCTCAGGAACTCCGGCTCGCTGCCGCGGACGTAGATGTCCTCGTACAGGATCTTGGGGGTTGGGTCGGGCGGGGCCATTTTCTCGGCCTCTGCGACTTCAGCGTCAACGTTATTGCGAGCTTCCTTGTCGATGGCCTTGAGCTCCTCCTCAGATGTGACACCCCAGTCGAGGAGTTTCTGCTTCAGGCCGGCGATGGGGTCGTTGGTGCTGCGCATGCGTTGGATTTCTTCGCGGGTCTGGGTGAAGTTAGTGATGGTGGACTGAGGTTAACTGTACAGGGGAGCTTACGCGGTAGGTTGTGCCAGGGTCACTCATGGAATGTCCACCATAACGGTAGGTGACATATTCGTAGACAAGGGGACCCTTTCCTTGGCGGCACCACTCCTTTCCGTATGCCACGGCGGCCTTCACGGCTAGGACGTCCATGCCGTTGATTTTCAAGCCGGGAATGTATTGGCCGCGCTTGTAGTAGTCCGTGAGAGCGGCAGCTCGGTTCGCTGCTGTGCCCATTCCGTATTTGTTGTCTTGGAAAGTGTTAGCAATCTATCAAGTTCGAAAATGTAATGGGGAATCCTACTTTCACATCCAAAAATGATGGGAAGATTCCATAGCTTGGCCATGTTGAATGCCTCAAAGACTTGTCCCTGATTTGATGCTCCGTCGCCATACAGAGCCAATGTCACGTTCTCCTTGCCTTCGTATTGGTTGGCGAACGCAATACCAGCGCCAACAGGTACCTGGGCACCAACGATACCGTTGCCACCGTAGAAGCCAGTAGAGAACATGTGCATGGATCCGCCCTTGCCGAAAGCAATGCCCTCTCTCCGGCCCAACAGCTCTCCGATAATGGACTTGACGGTTCCTCCGCGCATCAGAGCGAAGCCGTGGCAGCGGTAGGCGGTGATGAGGTGGTCGGTCTTTTGGAGGGCGTGCTCAATGCCGACAGCGACCGCTTCTTGGCCAGTGGACAGATGGCAGAAACCCCGAATTTTCTTCTCCTTGTAAAGCCTGTCGGCGGCCATTTCCATGCGCCTAGATAGTATAAGTATCTGGTCCAATGGGTTCGGACTTTCGCGGAAAGAGGCTATTCATACCGTACGGCCACCATGTCGTAGTACATCTGCTTCAATTCCTTCTTGGTGGTGTCGAGCGTGTAGGAAGGCGGGTCGAGCTCGTAGGTCTCGAAGCTCTCGTCGGAGAGGCGGACCTCGAACGGCTTGTCATCTTCCTACTCGTGGTTAGCAAGCTGAGGCTCATTTGCACCTGTCGCGGTCCGTACTGAAGGCACGCTGTCCTTGTCAGCATGCGACGAAGCCGCGTCGGTGGTGACAGTCCGGAAGGCAGGGCGCGCGACGGGTGCGAAGATATTGCGGCGTAGTGGCGCAGCTACGCTCGCCCTCAGTGTCCTGGAGAACATGCCGGAGAGACGAAGGAGAGATGAGGGAGAGAGAGGTGGTGGGAAAGGAGACGGGAGGCGGTCGGCGTGGTTGAGGTGTAAATGTTGAGCCAGCTTTCGGGACTCCAAAGATTCCCCGGAGCCCTCACCCCCGTCGCCAAAACGGCTGGCCATTGGTACAATACACTTCATCGTTATTATCCAAACATCCCCATCTGGTTAAGCAATATCCATGTTATATGTTAACATCGACAACTCTTGTCTTCAAAACTACAAAGTACATGTTGAAGCCCAGGTAACGAGATGGATGCTTCTTGGGCATCCTGGGTGACTGCTCCAGCTGGCCTGCCACTATTCAAAGTACTTGCGGCGACCGAAAAGAACTTGGGAAATGACACTCTATCCACTTCTAACAGTCCGTAAATTCACTAGGCCTCCTCACTTCGTCTGCAAAGCTATCAGTGCATGTGGTACCTTTCGTTGTGAGGCTCTAAACATGTGCCGAGACATGGCTTAACTATCTCCGAACCATCTCCAAAGCTGCGCGACTGCAACACCACGACCCTGCTGCCTTAGGTCAAGCTCTCATCCAACAGCATCCCTTTCAATTGTTTTTCTATGCTCTCAGATTTGGCTGACAGCCACCTTCTCGTTCCAGTCCAATATTCGGCGTGACTGGGATGGCACCCTTTGCGAAGCCTTGATATCATGTTCGCAGTCGCAGGCCCGTGACAGCTCCCTATCAAAGCCACATCGAGCGAGGAAGTATTCCGCGATGGACTTTCCCACCTTTTCACGTGAGGAGAGCGCCTCACCTGCGAGAGGACAGACTCCCAGTTCGACTGTCTCCTATGCGATAAAAACTACTCCCTCCACCCCACTCTCTTCGTCGACTTCTTTGGGCGTGGCATCCAGGAATGAGGACGACTCGCTGCACCTCGACTTCACCGACTACATCGCTCTAGGTTGTTTACATTATGATGATTTCGTTGTTTCTCCCCCTGTCCCTACGAAGCCCTGGTCGGAGATCTATCCAGCCCTAGGTCAGCAATGGAAGCTGAAGCTCAAAGAGGATGCATCCGTTCTACTTACAGCGGGTTGGATACGAATGTTTGCCTACGCGCTAGAGAGCCTGGCAGCAGGGTGCGCCGTCTTCAGAATCTTTTTGCGACCTCTAGAGTCGTACGAAGATCGGCAGAACAAGATTCTCAAATCTCGATTACGGTCGCTCGTCCAGCGCATCAACATTTCGCAAGAAGCCTGGTCAGGGCGACATGATGTAGCGCAACAAATGTTCGATCCGTGGGCGACGGGAGAAGATGAATCACTTTTCTATCTATTCAACACAATACCCTCCCCTCACCCTGATCCGGGTGTTATCTCATGTCCCTACTCAAGGCAGGCAGCAGAAGACCTACTTAACCCAGGAACGCTCCAAGGACTGAGGACAAAGTTGTACGAATTCCAGACACGATCTGCATCGCTAATGGTTCAGAAAGAATCTGCACCGCATAAGATTCTAGACCCGCGTTTCGAACCAAGATACTCTCTTGATAATCGTCTATTTTACTACAACCCGAATGATATGGAGTTTGTCCTGAAGCCGCAGTATTACGACTCCAACAGAGGTGGCATACTTGCGGAGACCATGGGGATTGGAAAAACTTTGATTTGTCTCGCTGTAATACTATCAACTAAAGATCATATGCCGTCCGTTCCGCCACGATATCAAGGAGGAGAACGACGTTGGGGCCGACTTAGCCGCCCTGGAGAGAAAGTTCGCCCAGAACAAGGAAGTTCTGACACTGAGAACTCTTCGCCAGCCAAAGAGATCTCAGGCATCAATGGCTCGACAACTATCACGTCTTATGGGGCCGACGACTTCTGGAAAGTGGGCACTCTTGCCAAGATGGCTGCTGCAACGGCGACTCGCAATTCTATACCCTGGAAACGCCTCATTCCTAAAGATACCGAAAGCTCCAAAATTCTGGATGCTGCCGTGCCCTCATATGACGTGCCAATCGAACAGGCCCGGAGAAGTCGCAGCAGCTTGACCAATATTACGCAGAAGGTCACGCTGTGTAGCGGCACTTTAATTGTAGTTCCTCCAAATCTTCTGACTCAATGGCAATCCGAGATTAAGAAACACGTTGCTGACGGGTATCTCAAAGTTCTGGTACTAGACAACAAATTCACTGCGAAATTGCCAGGGAGTGAGAAACATGCAGAGCGGGATGGCATTTTCTGTACGAAGCTTCTTCCATCGTCTGCTATGTTACGAACGTATGATATTGTTTTGTTTAGCCGGCCACGCTTTGAACAAGAAATCAAGGATGGCGAAGATAGGTACGGACGACGACTTCACACTGGTGCGCCAACAATCTGCCAATGCCCATATATTGGCGCAACCCGCATTCCCGACTGTCGCTGTTTCAAAATAGATGAGACGTATCGATCTCCTCTCAAAGAATTGCATTGGTTGCGAATGATCATCGACGAAGGCCACAATTTTGCCTCGGCCAAATCCAATGCGGTGCTCATTGCCGGCCAGATCCAGGCTGAACGCCGCTGGGTGGTATCTGGAACCCCAGCGAAGGATTTGGTGGGTGTCGATGTGGAGCTGCCAGTCACAGACGAGTATGAATCAAGAGATGCCGTCATGGAGAAGAGGCGTCAGTTCAGCGAATCGGATGATACCAAATCAGCCGTGAAGAGCTTGAGAGATCTTGCAAAGCATTTCCTAAAGGTCCAACCCTGGGCGGATTGCGATTGGGACGATTACGTTTACCGTCATGAGAAGACAAGCAAAAAGAAGACTTACACATGCTTCTCCGCGTGTATGAAGCAGACGCTAGGCGGATTGGTTATCAAGACTGCGCCCGAGATTTACGAAAAGGAGGTCAGCATACCCGAGTTGACACATACCATCATCCGCCTAAAGCCTTCTTGGTTTGACAAAATGTCAGCCAATCTCTTCATTCAGGTTATGCGAGCCAATGCCATTACCAGTGAGCGAGCGGGCGTCGATTACTTGTTCGACAATCACAAAAACAGCGTTAAGGCACGGCATAGCTTACTGAAGAATCTTCGGCAGGGCAACTTCACATGGACCGGCTTCACAGAGGAAAACGTCCGCGAGACCTTGGAAACTAGCCATAAATATTTGAACAAGGAGGACAAAAAGTGCTCACAGCAGGACGTCGAAATTTTGACAGAAAGCATGCAGATGATTGAGCAGGTCTTGGGATCTCCTCGCTGGTTGTCTCTCAGTAAAACACACGAGATGGGTTTCTTCGTGGAGAGTTGGCCACAAGAGTCCATTGAATATTTTGCGCTTGGTGGAATAGCAGCGCCGCAGATGATTGGAGTCTCTCAACTATTAGAGGGCCAATTTCATGTGAATAGTCAGGTATCTTCAGATGATCCGGCGTCCGGACTTGTCGAAGTAGGCGAACATGGGAGATTAAGGCTGGAACAAGCAGCGAAAGCCGAAGAAGAGACTGCAGCAAAACGTAAGACTTCGAAGTCCTCCGAAGTCGCCCCCAAAGGAGTGCCTTTATCATGCGTGGACGGGGAACCAACGTCAGCATCAGCTAAACGCTCTTTGCCCACGCGAGTGAACTCGTCTCCAAAGAAAGGTAGCCAGTCAACACAGAATGCAAACGCGCCAGCTGCGTCCAACGGAAACGGGGAATTCAAACCGGCAATAAGAAAGCGGAAATTGACATTCTCTGACATTACCAAAGAGCTGGCCGCTGGGTCACCCCTCTTGAAAACTCATGTCATCGGGACGACCTCCTCCAAATTGAGCTATCTCCTCGACAGAGTAATGCTGTTTCAAGCTGAACACAAAATCATCATCTTCTACGATGGCGACAACACCGCATATTATCTATCTCAATGCCTGGACTCTTTGCACATCGGCCATCGTATCTACGCTCGCACCCTCGACTCCAACAAGCGGGATAATTACATACACCTATTCAAAGAAGATCCCAACATCCGTGTCTTTCTTATGGACGTCGCTTGTGGTTCCCACGGACTGGATCTCCATGTCGCGAGCGTTGTCCTCATCATCAACCCCATCAACCGGAAGGACGTCGAGGCACAGGCCATCAAGCGTGCTCATCGAATCGGCCAGACCAAGAAAGTCCTTGTCGAAACGCTCATCCTGGAAGGCACAATCGAGGAGGCCATCTTTGACGCCGTCGTCGAGCGCACGCAGGGCATGCGCGTGGATGATGATCTGCTCAAAGCGAAGACAATCGAAGACGACAAAGGGATCCAAGAGATCATCCAGAACGCCAAGATTGTGCCCGTGAAACCGAGCGAGGCGCAGGGAGAGAATCAGATGGCGAGGCTAAGGGAAAGGCAACGGGTCTTTGCTAGGCCGAATCGAGCGGAATACGATGGTGCGTGGGAGAGCAATAACTTCGTGGCCAATGCAGCGGAGACTGGTAAGAAGAAGGCAAAGGGACCAGCGAAGAAGGCACAGGCTGGTGCCGCTCCAGTTGCTGTCCCCGCCACTACTCCTACCATCGTCCCTATTACCACTCAAGCCAATACTCTTCCCAAAGCCCCCGCATCGGGCAGTACGCAGGCTCCTGCAGCTCTTCAGAGCCTTTTCGGCGGCCCTTTCAGCGGGGTTTCGGGTTAGACTGCAAGGAAATGTACGATTATGACTGTCGATTACTGTCCCAGCTCATCCAGGCTCCGGTTAATTCTTTCACGAGCTTATCGGGCACGATAGCTTTGTACTACTAGGAGTCCTGTCGGGGTTGATTGTACGGCGTACACCGTTGATTCTGACTACTAGTATGGATAGTGCCAAAAAGATTTATACCATCCCACGCCTTGTCTCTACGCATCCGCCTTTCCGCGTCTGTTTCTTATCTACATCTGATATACCGAACGGCTCCACAGCGTGCACCAACGGTACTCCAGACGCCCACTGCTCATTGATCGCGGTGATTTAGGATGTCTCGCACAACCCCCCCACTCTGTGGTCCGATATACAGGCCATGCCACAGCTAAAGCACACTCTAGAAACAAGAACGATGCCATTCTATATGAACACACACCCGTGCTATCTACACGCCCCCACCCTCTCCATTCCCCAAGAGCCCACCTGTGAGCCCCTTCATCCGCCTGCCCAGCAAATCGTCTTCAGACGCCAGGCTAACTAGACTCTTTCGCCTGCCTTTACCTCTGCCCCTCTCGTTGCCAGCGCGGGAAGCCTTCCTATCTCTTCCAGTCTTCCCGCTCGCCGTACCATTCGCATCGCCGTTCACCGGCTTACCAGCCGGCGGCGACACCTTGGGCTTGCTAATCGTCATCTCCAGCGGCCTATCCTCATCCGCTGAGCTCTGCGTCCCAGATCTAAAATGATGCCGCTCGACCCTATCCCGCTTCGAGCTCGACAGCCCATTGACAGCGGCCTCTAAACCTGCGGTGCCGAAATACCCACTCCCCTCCCTCCTGCTCCTCTTCCCTGCCCCCATCCCGCCCTGCTGCGCTTCCGTCCGGCGAATCTCCTCTTCCGCCTCCGCGCTCTCAAACGCCTCGACCATCCACCTCCCACAGCGTCGAATATACCCCCATCCCTCTGGGAACACGCCCACAAACTGCAGAAACCCATGACTGACACCGGGGACCAGTTCCACATTCACAAAGTCCTCTTCGCGGAACCCCGTATCGTATTTCCCGCCCCCCTTACCATTCCCATTTTCGCGGGATCGGGACAGGCCAAACGGCAGACCCAACTCGCGTGCCTCGACCCACGCCGCACGCTTGGCCTGGCGCACGCGGCCCGCGAAGATGACGGTGTCGTCGACGAGCGGGTCGCGCTCGCCGGTGAGGAACCAGACGCGGGGGAAGCGGGCGAGGAGGTGCTCAGGCGCGAGCAGCGGTGAGAGAAGGTAGTCGGTGCTGAAGTCGGGCCGGTGGTGCGGGCCGATGTAGAGGATGATCATGGCGCGCATCATCTCGGGCGTCAGGATGCGGTCGGAGAAGTAGGAGATCATCGAGGACATGGCCAGGCGGGTTTTGAGCAGGTGGGGCTGGGTGGTGGTGAGGGGGAGCGGGTCCGGGGGCAGGGCGGAGCGGGTCGCGGTGAAGGGGGTTAGGGGCGGGGAGGTGAGGCTGCTGCTGTTGATGTTGTTGAGGGCGGTGTCGATGCCTGTGTGCGCGGCGGAGAGGTGGATGGCGGTGGGTGGTGAGGTGAGCGGGGAGGAGCTGCCGTTGGGGGCGTCGTCATCTTCTTCTTCGTCCTCGTCGTCGGAGACGAGGGGAGTGTTGGGGGCGAGGTGGCGGTAGTCTTCGCTCTTGCGGCGGAGGATGCCTTGGTTTGTCTTTCGCGAGCGTCGGTCGCGGATCAATGCCATCTGCTCATCCGTCATCCAGTTGCCGATGTTCATGTCTAGTGCTGGGTAGTTGAGCACGACGCCTACTGGAGGCGGCAACTCCAGTTCGCCCTGCCACCTTCGCGTATCTGTGGATCCAGATTGAAGCACCATGAGCACCATGCCAACTGCGAGGTTCCCGCCAGCTGAGTCGCCCGAGACAACGATCCTGGGAACAGTTTCACCCGAAAGCCCCACGCATCGTCCGCGCGATGCCACGATGGAGTGGTAGACATCGTAGCACTCATTCAGCGCATAGGGGTATGGGTGCTCAGGTGCCTTTCTGTAGTCCAAACTCAGAACAGGTAGTCCAGTCCGCCCAGCCCAGCCCATGAGCTTGTCGTCGTGGTTCCGGGGGTTCATAGCCACAAAACCACCGCCGGGTACATCCAGCACGACTCTTGTTTGCTCCTTGAGCTTGCTCAGTGGCCCATCGTAGTACAACCACCCATGCACGGGTTCCTTATACGCCGACTGCGAAGGGCGAGGAATTCGAATCTCACGCGGCGGGTAGCGCATCAGCCGCGGCCGCAGTAAAGACGTGAAGAAGTTTAGATACGGTGTGGTGCCTTTGTTCCAGCTAACGCGCAGATGTTCGACCGTGAGCGTGGCCCTGATCTTGCGCACCTTCTCGTCGGCCTGCTCGGCGCAGATCATGTAGTATATGCTGAAGACGACACTCAGCAGATCGCGGGTCCATTTACGGCGGATACGCATCGCGGTCCAAAAGCCGGCGTCCAGGGCCGTGGTAACCCATGTTGCACGGAAGTAGGAGCGGGAGTAGAGGTTCGCAAGCGGTTCGGGGCATTCCAGTCCCACGAGTTTGCCGAAGTTGCGCGAGATGTACAGCCAGAGGAGGGTTATGACCAGGGTCTGCCAGGTAGTAAGGCGGGCGGAGAGGAGGGAGGAGAGGCGGCGGAGGAAGGGGGGGCCATTGCGGTCGCCTCTGTTCACAGTCCGTGTTAGCCCTGCAACGCGGTCTTCTTGGAGGGAAAGATTGTAGAGCTTTATGAAGCATGAGGAACATTTGATAGGGATTATACACACTTGTACAAGTAGACAGACCAAAACGACACGACGGCCAACACCTGGATCTTGCGGAACTGCACCGAGGGCCGCCCCAGGACGTGATCTGTCTCCATCGTTAGTACCACCACCACACTGGCCTACGCTCGTTTCCCTCAAAGAAAAGCACATCTGAGTGTAACGTACCAATCATTCCGGCCGCAACAGCAGTGCCGGAGCACTCTCTTCAGGCGTACAGCACGCAGTATTGCGGTATGAAGGGTGATGACGACGGCGGGCAGTGCGAGGGTATTGGCGGCATGGAGAAGGTGAGGTTGCACAGACAGCGTGGCCCGAGGGATGCAGAGGGAAGAGGGAAGAGGGCAGAGGCAGTGCTCAGCCGTAGTCGTCGGAGCCCATGACCTTTGCGGCGTCGTCGTGGTTCCTGGTTCGCTCTGTCGATGAATGTCGCGGTGGCCGACGCCGTTTGCATGTGAAAGGCGGCAGGGCCGTGGCATCACCGGACCGCGTAGGGCTGAGACCTCCCCGCAAGTCTCCACGCAGCCATTACAACACCGACGTCGCCCGGTAATATTAGTTATATTACAACTCTGACTATATACGCTTGTACCATCCGCCCGAGGAAAGTAAAAGCCTGACCAAAACGCACACGCAGTCACTGAGTCCCACGTATTGCTCATTCATCACTCAAACCACCAAGTAAACTCAGTCGCGTCCACGCGGACATACAGAAGAATCATAATAAGAACTTCATGTCATGAAACCACCCAAGCCCATCCGCAAATTGTGCCTAATGTCCGCTCTTCTCCTGTCCTACCGTTCTGATCCACTCTCCCACCTCGAACCCAATTCGCCGCAGTGCCGAGTCCTCCACCTTGCTCGATCCCTTTTCCTTTCTTACAGTCAAACATCTTATCTCGTCGACCAGATCTACCATCTTCTCCTTCTGCAGCTCCTCGAATTTCGCATCGCGGATGTAGATGGTGAGATCCGGCCCGACCGTTCCTCGCCAGAGCGTCGCCATCCATTGCCAATGGTCCGTTGGCGAGTACGCATCAGCAATCGGAATGCGCGATGTGTAGACGTTCGAAGCATGTAGCTGGTACGTCGGGAGGATGATGACAGGTTTGACTTCTGCCTTTGCCGCTGTTTCCGCTTTCTCCTCCTTCCCCTTCGGCTTATCCGCATCCTCCATTTCTTTGTCGTTCGTGTCGCCTTTTGAGCTCGACTCAGGCGTGTCATCCGAAGCTACCGGAGTAGTGATATACTCAACCATCTCCTTGCTCTTCCCGTGCCACTCTTTTATGATATCGAGATAGTCCGCGAACGTGACCTCCTTCTTTTCGTCGTCTGGCAACTTGGGCGGATCGAACATCTTGGGCTGCACTTGGAACTCGTCTTTCTTTAGAAACTCTTCGAGCCAAAGGCAGAGCTCTTTCACAGCCTCGAGGTCGTCACCTTCGACGCTGATAATGGCGCCACGGACTGCGTTGGCCGGGCTGGTAAGCCCAGGCGTTTTAAGCGGCGGTGTGATTTTCCCGAGTACTTTGATTTTCACCGGATACGGCACACTCATCACCATGGCCTCTACGCTTCGACTCTGGTCATGACCTACGGCAGGGAGATTGTTGAGAGTCATGTCCACAGAAGCTCGGCGAGGAGTGCGTGGCGGTGGCATGATGGCTGTGTTTGGAGGAGATTGTCGTATTGGAGGGAGCGAGTCACGTCTCGTGTGAGAGGTATAGTACGGAGCACTCTCCACACGTCGAGCACTTGGAGGAGCGTATCCACTGATATTATAGCGACGGCGTTTGGAGTCCGGCGAAAGCGGACTGTACATGGTAGTGTCCCCTGGACTAGCAGACACTTGAATGCTACTCAAATTCGATGGTCCTGGTCTGGCGCGGCGTGCTTGAGGAGATTCCAGACTCAAATTGTTCATCATCGGGAGGAAGCGGGTTGTTGAAGTGGAGTTGGGGGACTGCTTTGGAGGAGGCAGCAGCGGCGTCGGCTGTGGAGTCGGAAATGGGCTGGTAGGAGTTCGGATACTCCGCCCACCACACCGCGGACACCTGTATTTGTCGACAGTCGTGTGCTGCCCAGATGGGTTCTCTGGAAGAGCACCCGGCTTCCCGTTTCGACGAGGCGAGTATCGATAGTCAGGGTAGAGTGCCTGGTGCCGGCTTTTCTCTTCCTGCATTTTATCAGCAGCCGTCACTTGCAATCACCACTCGGCATCGAGAAAACTCACATCTGCAAGGGCTTTCCACTCGCCCTTCACCGAGTCGGGCTCAGATTGCCACTGCTCGCCGATGACCTTCGAAATTTCTGGGTTTGCAAGTCCAGGGTGACGAGCCACGACAGTTTGTTGGTGATGCTGACGATAAAGAATAAATGCTACAAAGAATCAGTCGCCATCTAGTAGGGTCTACGAGGATTACATATAAAGACATGTCTTTGTCGGTAATAGCATTCGGACCAGCATCCGTTCCAAGCAGACAAAGAAAGTCAAACAAGGACTTACCGTTCCTGGGGCGGGGAATCTTTGGTTCAGGCTGGCAAAGGCAAACATGTCCTGCAAACTCTCCACGTACCTGCCCGTTGCTCTCCCTCGAACTCGGAGGGCTGTGCTGCTGCTCTTCCGGTCTCGCCTTGCTGTTCGCAGTATCGAGGAGTGATGCTGCCCTCTTCCGTGTAATGCGAGCCGGCGAGGTCTGGGGAGACGGCGACGGAGTGCCCTTTGAATGTCGAGAAGGGCTCGGAGATGATGCTGATCGGGTCAACATTGTCTTTGATAGCCTACGAGAACTCGTAGCGCCCTTCTCGCCATTCCCGGGATTCTTACGATGAGCATCGGTGCCCATTCTCGGGTCTTGGGCGATGTCGTTCCGTCGCGTGGTGTTGGTGATAAGTTGCGGGGTGGCCTGCAATTGAGGAGACCGAAAAATCGGTGGCAGAACTCGAGAGGTCAGCATTGTCGACGGAGGCTCTAGTTGATAATTAGTAGGCTTCTTGGAGGTAGTAGGCTTCTTTGAGGAAGAATTTCATTGTATTCCGAACAGGACGCGGGATATGTACCAAGGATTGGGGCAGCATGGCGGCTGCTTTGTGGCTATTATTCCCCGTCCCTCAATAGTGGGCTTTCTTTGTTCGCGCCCCAGCCGAGACAGCTTGTAAGTGATTGTTCTAGACATTTGCAGGTGCGGAGCTGTTCGCGACGGAAGTTCTTTGTTCTCGTTCGCCCCAGGGCGGCCAAGACATCCGTGACCACACTGAGACATTCCAGCACAGAGGCCGATGCAAGGAAGCGGCAACGCCAGCCCACAATGCGTACAAACGCTTGTACGCACTCATAGGGTTTGGAATGCAACCTGACCAACTCTAGCAGTAATGCCAATTTCGGAGTTAATCTGTTGGAGGAAACTTCAACCTGAAGTCTGATCTTCCCAGCTTTCTCAAACCCGACCATACCGAAGCCGTACTATCGGAGTTCTTTTCCTTCTCAAGGGCGTCTATATTAACGGTATCATTACTGTTGACTAGTTCGGCGGCATTTTTCCCGATGAGTGTATGAGCTGTCCCGCCGAGGTGCATGTCATCCCTACCTGAAGGTTAGCATGAAACAGGTAAAGTTCAAAGGTCAGTATTACCAGAAGAGGTGGCCTGTCGGCTCAGTGCATCTATTTGACATGGCTCCCTGCAGGTCCTCATCCTGCGGTACCGACGCAGACAGACAAGGCATCACCACCTCTTTGAACAACGGCTTTTGTGTCCCCGCTCCCGAAGCGTCTGTGATGCCCATTGTGTAGAGTTGTCTCGCACGAACCTCGTTGACCAATATCCGGTTAACATCTGGCATCACAATCTCACCGCCAGTCCAATGAGTCGCTGCCCGAGACAAGACAGCGTTCCAGTAGCCTAGAAGAAAGACGGCGAAGTGCTGATCGAACGCGAATTCGGCTGAGTGGTCGTTTCTCAGGTTCGCGAAGCGAGGGAGAAACGTAACGTCGAACAAGACTGGTAGGACGACCTTGATAGGTTCAGACTTGTGCTCTGCGATGGTGTTGAGGTTGTGAAAGAGCTCTTCGATGCTGCGGTCTATCGCGAATGTGGCCTGTTTCCGTCCGAGGCTGGCATACTTCAGCAGATCCCACACGCCAAACTGCACAGTGAAAACAGTCCACTCCCCCTTTCCATGGCGTAAAGGCATCAGTCGCTTCTGCTTTTCGAAATTGATCCATTGCTGCACCTGTGTCTTGAAATCGGGGACGAGGTTGTGCGATGTCTCGTTCGATGATGTTGCGTTGGCATAAATGTCATTGTCAACCAAGGATCCCATGCTGCTGTTGTCGCCGGGTATCGACGATCGGGCGAAATTGTCAATGTAGTCGCAAACCAGCTGCGGAGCGTCAGCACACCTCCCACGATGGGAATGTGTAACTAGTACCTCTTTGCACAACACTTCCGTCCATAGCTGACCCCGGTCTTCATCTCGCACCGGGACAGAGGCAGCTTTCGGTGGAGAAATTCGGTATTCACCAATGTCTGACCAGTCGTCCCCAAACACCACTAGTTGACGCGAGTGGCCGTTCCACGCCTTTTGGATGCGAGTCTTGATGTGTAGAGACGGTAGTATCCATCCGAAGTAGAAGAGGGTTACAATCACCATAGCGCTAATAGCATGGAGTCTGGTAAGGAAGCGCATCTTGAAGGAACGGGAAGGCTGTAATTATGTGGTATTATACACGTTCCTGGGGCGCAGGCTGGCTACGTAGGAGGCGGCAAATGAGCGCTGGGAGGCACAGAGAGCGTGAAAAGGGAATGCAGAGAGTGTGGAAGAGACAGATGCAGTGCAACAGGAAGCAGAGAGTGAAAAGTAGGTGCAGAGAAAGAAATGAGGTGCGTGGAAGTCATGACGACGCATTATCTGAGCGCGGCTAAGCCTTAAAATCTGGTTGCGTACGCACCGGGCGCCGTCGTTGGACAAGCTCCCTGCAGCGACGCCCTCCACCCTCTCGGGGGCGGGCTTCGGTTTCAAGTCGCCTGTCAGACCCGTCGGTATGACTATCAGCGTCAAGCCGGCCATGCATGGCGCGCCTGGAGGCCATCTCTGGCTGCCGTCGTCGGATGCCCCAATGCTGATGCCAGATTTGCGGCGTGCCGTCGTTGTGGTGCCGTGCCTTGTCCTCGGAGCACGCCAGGAAAGCTTGTTTGACCTGCCGCCGGAGTGGAGATGCCGAGTGTCCTATTAGCGCAAACGCCTCACTACCCTTGTTGTACTAGCTGATGAAGCCCTTGTGGGGGTCAATAGGAGAACTAGTTAGTATCGACGTGATTACGAAAGCGTCTTGAACCGGAAGGCGGTGATGGCAGTAAAGCCAATGTACTTCAACTTGGTAGGAATAGCCGTTCGGCCTGGGTGTGCTAGAAGAAACTAGGCCAGAATTCATGTATGTTTTGATATACGTACCTTTGTAGAAAGAAGGCAATGCGTCCAAATATATACAAGGTCCCTAAGCCCAACAATATTGTGCATTCTATCGCAAAACATCGCCTCGTATATACACTGACCCTATATACATCCATATCCTCTTGAATCCTTCACTCGTCCTCATATTCAGTCCATGTATCCTCTTCACCCCTTCAGACCCGAATACACCTGCCCCAACCCCATCCCCACCGGTCCCATCCCCACTCCCGCCCCTCCCACCACCAACTTCGCAGTCCTCCCAAGATACCTCCCGCTAACAACCCCAGGCAGCACGCCCCTCCTCGCACCCACAATCCCCACAACCGCACCGCTAACCCCACCCCCAATCGCCCACCAATCCGCCCCCTCCTGCCCCTTATTCTCCAACAGCCGCCACGCGCGGTCCTGCCACTCGATCTCCTCGCGCCCGTACATCCGTCCCGTAGTCGCCAGACCAGCGAAGACGATGCCTAGAGGCACAGCGTGGGCAGAGTGGGTTATGAGCCTTGGGACGAACGCAGCGAGGGACCGCGGGCGGTAGTAGAGGGAGGAGGCGGTTGCGGTGAAAGTCGCGACGAGCGGCGCGGCTTGTGTGGCCGCGCGGATGACATGGAGGTAGAGGACTGTGCGGGCGTAGGGTTGTTCTTCGGCATAGGCAGGGTGGGGGAAGAGGGAGGTCATTTTGGGGAGAGGTTGAGGATGAAGGCGCGGTTGTGTGGGGAATTGGGTCGATGGAGTTGAAGAGGTATTGAGGTCGGCTCGTTGCGTCCCTAGTATCGGGGATAGTTGATAAGGTTGTAGGTATAGATATGACGGAGGAGTGGATGTAGATGTATGGTAAGTGTTTTAAATTGATCAGTTGAAGTTTGAGAGCTCTTTGTCATGAAGGATTTAGGGAGTTTGGAGATTGGCCAGTAGAGTGATGCCAGGAGCTGGCCGAGGACCTGTGTTGTTACCTATATATATATATATATATTCTCATCCTCGCTATCGAGCAAGAGAGCGTATTTACGAAGCTAAATGAAGCTCTGGGTGGAACGATCCCGGATGAAAAGTACGCAACATTCGCCGACTGTCGGTGTCTCGGCCGTAACATACACCAGAACAACTACCATTGGTCAGAGTCGAGGGATGCCCTACAAGAGTCTAGTGGAATTCCACTCTCAAACCCTTTACCGCAGAACGAGGTCCGAGAATTGCGGAAGCTACGAGGCGCATGTAAGAACTACCGACGTCATTCTAAAACGATGCCTTCTTGCATGAATGCATCTGAGGTCTTGGCGGATTAGGAAGAAGTATCACGGGCAGTGTCCGGGCAGTACACTCTCAGCGCATATACACGTTAATTCTAGGCTTATTTACACTCGCTCAGCACCGCTTGACGTTCTCTATCACGTCATCGATAATAGAAAGTGACAGTTTTGACGAGCCAGTCACGGTATCCGCTAAAGCTGTCACAACACCAGCATTTCAAGGCCGTGTAAAAGAATATACTCTAATTGAACCGATCTAGCTCGACCCTCCCCTCGCTTTTAGCATGGCCGAAAACCACATTAACTCTTGTGGCCCATAATGTACAAGTAGCAGATAGCAGCCCTAACGCCACCTTCAGCACCCAAGATTTTCCAACCCGGCGTCATGCTATCACGACCCACGAACTCATTAGACAGCAAGGCCCTCCGCATCCACAGCCTCCCCAGGACCAGCCACCGCGCCATAAACCCTCACAGGCACAGCGACTTCGAAGCTATCGCACGGCAGCCTCTCCACTGCGCCGAGTATGACACCGCGGTCATCGCTAGATATCTCCTCGAGCAATTCGTTCCAGATCGCCTCATCGCCATCTTCGTGCGTGAGGCGCGGCGTGATGAATTCGATTCTTAGCTTCCACTCAAGACTAACGCCGCTAGTGATGAACTCCGGCGTACTATTCGGCGGGATCGTAGGGCAGAAAGACAAGCGCTGAGCGAAAAGGGTGTTCTCGGCGAAGGACGCATGCACTTTCCTCGTTACGCGGTAGATGCTAGCGTTTGAGCGCAGCGCGATGGCTGGGTCGACCTTCTCGGAGGTCTCTAACGACACGTGTACCGAGTAGCACGGGATATTTGCGTTCTTGAAATCAATAACAGCGGATATGGTCTCGCCGAGTCGGTATGCGGGACGGGCGAGCATAATGACAGCTACGCGTCGTCCGCTGCGGGCGATTTCGAATCTGTTGGCGCTCTGGTTGGATGCGCTGGTGACGTTGCTCCGGAGGATCGCTAGATCGATGGCTTCTTTCATCGTTTCGGGCTCCTCGGCCACTGAAAGCCTTCCAGGGATAGGTTCGGTAGGCGATAGCAGGCCCATGCTCGAATTTTGGCGAGGTTTCTCTAGAAGGTTATCTACGTAGCCCAGGAAGTCTGAAAGCGGATCCTCGGTTTCAGGCTGTTTCGCAGGCGATTTCGAGATTCCGTTCGATACGAGCGCATTAGGGTCTACGGTTGAAGTCTTGGCGAGATCTTTTAGGAGAATATATGGAGACATCAAATCATGCCCCAGTATCTCACCACGACCTGGAAAACAAGTTAGCGTCAATTGCGGATGAAGAGAATTTGAGACTCACTGTTGACACTTCCGAAAACTCGAAAAGGAACATCGACATGCTTTATCTGCTGGTCTTTGGCAGATCCCGGTCTCTGAGTTCCAATGGTAATATGATATTCTACCTTCATAGACTTCCCCTTGTGAGTGGGCGGTAATCCACTTGGTAACGTGAACGTGTACTGGTAGCTTTTGCTTTCTCCAGGAGCAAGTCGGAGATCAACGAAAAGAATTGACTGAGGCGTTGTGATCAATGGAACGGTCTTCAAACTGGCGATACCCCTCATCTCTCTAATGCTGGAAGGCTCGGAGTTTCCAATAAGACCACCTAGAGACTCTCCAATATTTCCCCATCCGAGTGCACCGAACAGCCCACTATCTCTCTTCGTTCGTTCTACGCCAACCACGCCACCGCCGCCCTGGCCGCCAACAACACCCTTCCTCTTGACTTCTTCGAATGGTGCCTGGTTTATCAGAGAGCCGTCCAGAGTGAACGAACCCATGATCTGTGCATATCCCATCATCAGGCTTTCTGGAGCTTTCGTCTGGCTTTGACCATTATAGCGTGACCCCTGTCTGTTATGAATCGGTCTCGGGAGCAATCGAGCGGTCGTTGGAGGTATGTATTCCGATGCCAGCGTCTCCGACGAGTTATTGCTCATAGAGTAGAACTCCCCGCTACTCCTTGGGGTGCCATTTATGCTGGATCCAGACAATATACGCGGAATTGGTGACAAGACTTCTATTCCAGGCGGAGGCTCTTCTGGCGGCCGGGGAGAATTCCCGCGAAGCTGCGGCGTTCGTGCACGGGGGCTGATGGCAGACTCTGGGGGTGTTGAGGGAGACATTGCGGGTACGTTGTTTGGAGGAGGGGGAGCAGGAGGGAATTTGAAGGCTTGTGAGAATGAGCCCGAAGGCTTTCGCGTCGTGGTAGGCAGCGCTGGCGTGCTGGGCGCTGTAGAAATGCCAGGCCTTCGTCGGCCTGACGGCCGAGCAGGTAGCGGAAATTCATTGCCAGTCTCGTATATCGCGGGTGGTGTGGAGGATCCTATAAGAGGAGAATGGTGTTGTGCGGAAGAGCGAAACGGTGGTGACCCTGGTGATCTTGTCAGTCGTGCCGAACCTCAAGATGATATATATAAGGGCTTCAAACCTGAGAAAAGGCTCCCGCTGCCCGGCATAACCTGCAAGCTGGCCGATCTCCCATGAGCACGACCTGGTCGCCTGGTAGGAGGTCCAGATGCGCCTCGTTCATGACTGGCATCCGCGACAGCATCCGTTCCCATAGACATTATTGACAACGACCTCCCATGTTTGTGTGGCGCCGCAATGCCTCCATTGCGTCCTCCGCTAACGGGTATAGGTGATCGTCGACCAGTTAGAGAGCCGGGTGTGTTCAACGACAGAGTCGGTTTGTGCCCTCGTAGGTGCGGTGGAGGCAGCTGGGAGCTGTATGACGAGTTTCTCGAAGCAGAGGGCCTCGTCGTAGGAGCCGGTAATGGGAGTACCTTGCGCTGGCGCTCTCCGCCGGATGCAAAGCCATTCTTTGAGGGTCGCACTGGGGACCTGTCACCACCGGGCGGAGCGGCGACGTTCTTGAAGGTGATGGTGCATTCGATATCCTCGCCGGCAAACACAGTCGACTCCTTCCATTGTACGAAGACGCGGATGTTCGTGGACATGGTAGGGATATGTGGTTGACGCCCCAGACTCCTTTGCGGAGTGCTGGCAGCTCATGGGTGGGGCCCGGTCCGCGTGGCTCTACTGCTCGACATGGCACCTATCAACGTTCATTGAGGCAGAGGCGGTAGGAATTCGGTAGTCGCATACGGGGATACAGAGGGCAGGTTAAGTAGGTGAGAGAGTCGATGTTGAAGTTCGCGATTGGGCTTGCGCGATGGCTCGGTAAAAGCCGCTGAGGTCCACATGTGAGGTCTGCAGAAGAACACGCAGTCACGCAGTGTTTAGATATGTGTTGCAAACGGTGGTACAAGTTTTACATTTGGAGTTTATCCAGTTTCTGGCCCCCTTTTCTCAATGCCATAGTACTACATGATTCGCTCAGCAATTGGCCGCGGCTCTTCCCACGCAGCATGACCAGGTCCCTCATCCACTAGCGGAATATCATCGATGCTGTCGCTCACAGCGACCTGGTTTCTCCATCTTGACTTCCACTTAGGCACATCGCCCCGTTCTGCCTTGCCAACACCCATATCTCGCCATTTCTTCGGAGGCCTGACTCCCAGATCCACCAGATTGCTCCAAATAGTCTCGCCCCGTTTCTCCCATCTCCGCATTCTGTCTTCGTACTCCTCATCCGAAGGCCTCCAGTTGCTCTTCAGTATCCGTCGAATAGCCTCTGGGGAAATTTTGAAATGTTCAGCCAACACCGGCGTCGTGAACTTGTCTGGTGCTTGTTTATGCAGATGTCGAATACTGTCCATAGTATCAGGCGATAGCTTCTTGCGCGGACTCCACTTCTCGCCTCCGAACTTCTTCTGCAGAGCGGCCTTGTTTATCATCCATGGCTCCTTTTCCACTGGCTCCTCCGCCTTTGCCGGTCTGCCTGATGAACCCGCCTCCTTAGCTGCCCTCGCCTTGGCCTTTTTCCGCTCTTTCTGCTCTGGGCTAAATTTACTACGCTGTGGTGTATTTGAAGGAGGGCTTTGGGAGGTAGCTTTTGACCCGGCGGAATCAGCGTTTTGAAGTGTAAAAGCATCTGAGTACTCTGCATTTTTAGTCGTTGGAGGAGTCGTGACAGGCGCAGGTATCGGATCAGATCGTATGGAGAGATTGGGAATTGAGTCGTCGCGGCGGATCCATTGAGTGCCGGCGCTGAAATGTCGTGTGGTCGGAAAGTTTAGATGTAGGGACGAGCGAAGGGTTGCGCTGGTGTCGATACCAGCTGCTCCCCGAAGGAACAGCTCCAGAGTACGCCTGGAGCAGTTCGAGCACGCCATACGTAGATGCTGATGTGGTGGAATAATGAACAGTGAGTATACACATCTTACAGGAGAAGTTCACAAAAAGTTGTAGCAACGGAAGGTGAAATGGCCCGAGCGCAGTGCCAAGAAGCCTTTTTGCCACCGCCCGTCGTGGACGGGACTTCAACACCACTGACCAGCAAAGCCAAAGTATATCGACTTCCTTTACTCTACAGTAATGTATCTGACCGGAGACCTCCACATGAAGCCGGTGGCCCACATCGATGCATGTCCTGCAGGCCGGGCATGTGCCATATCTGCCAGGGGTCTCCTCTTCTCCACCAAAGGGCCCTCGGCACCACATGACGCTATAGACTGCTATCTATGAACAAATCGTTCCTCTTTTCCTTCTCTCTTCATTTCATTAATTTCTTTTCCTCTTTGCGCTTTTATTCCTGTAGTTTTCAAGCATAATATGGCTATTCCAAATCCGTTTCGGCGCACAACGGAGAATACACGATAGTACGTTATCTCTGCATCTGATTTGTCAACAAATGTAGGCTGATCAACTTCAGTTGTTGGGGATATAGGTTTGAGTGGACTGATGACCATTTGACGTCTAGGCAGACTGAGCCTCTCAAATACTCATACGACGTCCTGGCAGAGGAGTGCCTCAATCGTCTGAATGTACTGTACCCGCCGGAGAGCGCCGCTTTGCCACGCAGCAACAGTCTTGAGACTACAAAGCAGACGAAAGGGGAGAAGTCAGAAGAGCCTGCTATTCCTCGTAGAGACCTTTATGCTTTACTGAGAGACCACCATGAGGAGGACCCAAAACTAAGCGAACTGTGGACCGAAGTCAACAATGTCCCAGACTGGGTGGACTGGGCTCAGATCGAACGAGGCCAAGATGTCTTTTACCGTTACGGTGGTCCTGCACTCACTGGCCTTACATACCAGAGTTTGCTTGGGGGCATGGGAGCAGCTAGAGTCGTAGAGACTCTTGCTAGAACTGGTGGTTTCTCACCAAAGGTCGCTCGGGGGCGACTGTTCGAGACGACCCAGCATATTCTGCAGTGCACTAGGTCACTCCAGTCAATGCAGCCTGGGGGCGAAGGCTGGGCGTCTTCTATTCGCGTTAGATTGCTGCACTGCGCCGTCCGGCAACGCATCATGAAGCTTGCCGACCAACGACCCGAATACTACAACGTCAAAGAATGGGGCATTCCTGTCAATGATCTTGATCAAATGGCCACTATCGGTACTTTCAGCGCAACACTGATCTGGCTGAGCTTTCCCCGTCAGGGAATCTTCTTATCACAACAGGAGATCGTTGACTACATCGCGTTGTGGCGTTACATTGGCTACATTCTCGGATGCCCTACAGAATACTTCGAGACACCCGCCAAGGCCAAAGCCATCATGGAGACTCTACTTTATAACGAAGTCAATCCATCAGACATGTCCAAAATCCTAGCGAATAACATCATCACAAGTCTCGAGAACTCGCCCCCAACATACGTCTCAGCAGAAATGCTGATTGCCAGCGCTCGTTGGCTCAACGGCAATGCCCTTGCCGACCGACTGGGGCTTCCGCGTGTATCAATATATTACTGGGGCCTCATGGCTGGCCAGTGCATGTTCTTCATTTTCATGTGCTATATGTACAGATCGATTCCGTATCTCGATCGAAGGAACGTCAAGAGACTCAAGAAGCTCTTTTACGCGATCATTGTGGAGAGTAAGTATGGTCTTGCGGGCATTGAGACCGTGTTCGACTTCAAGTATGTTCCACAGTTCACAACGATTACGGAAATGGGAAACTTTGGAGCAAATGGCCGACATGTCGGTGCTGAGGCAAGAAATTTGAGGACTCTTCTCATCTTCACTGGCCTTTTTGGTGTTGGGACTTACTATTCCCTCAAGATTGGATCTTCTCTTTTAGCAAAGATTTTCTAGCGTTACTTGTCACACGAACGTTTCGATACGGTTCGATGCTAGAGGTTATCACCGAGGTGCGAGATATCCAAGAAGCGCATGCCACTTTCTCAATGTCACGACTTTCGAGTTCACTCGTAGCGTTCTGTCGCATTTCTCCTTGTAGCATGATCTGTCTATTATTACGCGTCGTTATCAAGTTGCATGTGGGTATTTGATATCATGTTACTTTTAAGGTCATCGCGAATCAACATGCCTGAACATCCCAAACGCCGTCGCTATGCATACAACGCGTAAGAAGTAATCACGTCGCCGAACTACTCGTGTCAAAATCCTTAACCGTCTCCGTCTCAAACGTCACCTCCGTCGTCCTCGTAATCTGCCCATCCTTCTGCAAGATTGTCTCCTGGCTCTGCGTTTCCACATCGCCCCTCTTCTTCTGCTTGACTACGTCCAGCTCATGCGCAGCCTGACTCGTAACCCCGAACGTGCCGCTCTTCTGTGTCCCGTACGGATTGCTCTTCTGGTTGTTGCCAAAATTGATATACCCACTCCGGCTCTTCTGCTCGCTGGACCGACCGCCGCTGCTCGACACCAGCTTCAGCTTGCGCAAGATCTTCTCGAACAGGGCCTTCAGGCACGGCACACACAGCGCAATGATGCTCATCTCCTGCTCCAGATAGCCCCACATGTACAGATCGACCATCTTATACAGCGTATCGCCGCCATTCGTGTACGTCTTCACCAGCGTCAGCTTGACGATGCCGGCGGCCGTCGCAAAGAGGCCCATGCCCATCAGCGTGCACAGCACGACCTTCTGCCGCAGCGGCAGGTTCATCTTGCTGATGAAGGTCAAGGGCAGGAACGTGAAGATGAAGTCGGTGACGATGGACACGGCGCCGTTGACGTACAGCGCGATCTGCGTCGACAGCGGGCCCCAGCAGTTGTCCGAGGCCTTGGGCGCCCACATGCCGGAGAGCGGGCGGCATTGCAGCAGGACGACGAACATGAAGGCCGTCGTGGACACGAGCTGGATGCCGATGATGATGTAGAGGAAGATGCGCCAGGCTTTGGAGCGCATGATGCGCAGCAGCATGCAGGCCATGCTGATCTTGCCCAGGCCGACGCTCCACGCCCAGAGGGGTTGCACGGCGAAGAGGAGGTGCGCGGCGCGTTGTTGGTCTTCTAGGGAGACGTAGAAGTTGTGGCGGCCCATGCCGAAGTCGACGGCGCGAGCCGTGAGGGCCCAGATGATTATCATGAGGAACTGGGGAGGGGGTGGTGAGTTGTGTGTTCTTTGTGTTGAGGATTTTTGGAGGGTGAAGCTTACCATTGATAGTGAGGCTGTTAGGTCGTCCATTCCTAGTCGTCTGGTGGGGAAGAGACGAGTGTACATGCGAGCGATATAGAGAAGGATATCCAACGCAAGGAACGCAGCGGTAGGGCCCAAGAACCTGTGGGCGATGGAGACATCGGGGCCCGGCGCCCCAGCTGGTATGGCCATTATAGAAAGAAGAGATAGGTCTATGAAAGAGGGAGAGGGGGTTTCAAGATGTATGAATTTGGGACAAGCTCGTGATTCTCAAGGTCTCCGACAAGGGACCGGGGCAACAAGGCTGAAAAAATGTCGAAATGATATTTCGAATAACAGCAGGGCATTAGTACACATTATGTAGGGCCCCGTGAGGGTCGCCTCCCAATAGCCGGGTACCTGCCATGTGGTAGGGCGGCCAGTGCAGCTCGTACCGCCTCCACACGATCGCAAGTCGAGGGAGCCCTGCCTGATCCATTTGGAAAGTGGATCTGAAGCCGTAAGGTGTTCCTGTCAGAAAGTTCAGCATCTGGACCACTTAGCGCCGCGATCATGTGTGCTTCTGGTGTCAGCATTGCGGAGTCACTGCCTATCATAGGTCTGTCCGTCATAGACGTCGCTAGACCCTTTAGCGTACAGGATCGGGAGAACTCCTGCATCGCTTGGGAGCGTTGAGAACGCCGTCGGAAGCGGAGGGGTTCCCCGCCTGGCTGAATGGTGAAGACACCACAGCAGCCCTTGTCTGAAGCCCTTGGCAACTCCGCAGCCTGCGCAGCTAGGGGCGGAAGGATTATCTGCATGGTTTCACCCTGCGGTGCGTTTTCTGTGACGTTAAAAGGCGCGTTGTGCTTTGCAGACGCGCACACCATCGAACTCTAATCGCGTCTGTGAGCTGTTTTCTTGGTGGAGACCGTGTCTAGTCTTTGCAACGCTATGTGTCACAGGGCTCAGCAGCATCCATTGCGTCCATGTGGGCTGATGGCAGTTAAGTGTGGGATTCCCCAACACTGACTAAAGGTTTAGAGGTAGTTTACGGAATCGTCGGCGGCACACGTCTCCGCACGCATCGCCCGGTGGCATCTCGGTCCAAAGGGGCGCGGAGAATCGCGATGCGACCCTGCGCGGATCTGGTCGGGCTCCGAGTTGTGGCGTCGATTTTTCTGGGGATCCATCGTCATGGCTGGCCGTCAATTGAAATAGTGTCCGCGAGCTCCGGCAGGACGCATGCTCCCTTCTCCTGGCCCTCTTAGTTTCTGCGATGATTTGCCGCTAAAGTGTCGTAGCCCAGCGCCATGTGGCTGCTCTCGGGACCTGCACTGGGGTCGACGGTAGGGCGAGAACGCCCGACACCAAGACCAGCGGGACTCGTGTTCCTGTTCCAGCTTCTCCTCCTCTCTAGCTCTTCAATGTGAAAGGGCCCAGAACCGACGGCTGCGCTCGAAAAGCGCGAGTCATGGGAGGTCAAAAGCATCTTCTTGACCTCGACCTTGCACCAATAAAGTGGCTTCAGAAGCGGGAATGAGGGGTAGCGTTCCACGTGCTGACGATCCTGAAAAATTATGCAACGTAACAACGTTCCGCCCGCAAAGGCAGAGAGCATGGGAAATAACGAAAGGGTGACTGTCTTCCGAATGAAGCTTTCTCCACGTCGTCATATGCAGTCGTAATCCCAACTCTAACTTTCTACAGGCAAAACTCTATTTTTGCAAGCGTCGTTGGCTCCCTATCGAAGAGGCAGGTCTGAAGGTCGGCTTGTGGGGTTTGGAAGACGAATGTTCAGCCTCACGAAGCATAACGTCGTGTCTGTAGGTTCAGTTTACCAGCAGTGCTCGCTGAAACTGCTGTCAGATTCAGCTCACAGCTGCCCTGTGACCAGGCGTCTGCTTTGCCGCTGAGCCGATCACAGGAGCAAGAGCGAGAAGTCACGGCGAACCCTGCGAGTCTGCACGGCTTCCTGGTCGGGATCGCAGTGCAGCCTGCAGGATTACGCACCAAGCTTTGTGCATCAATGCTGTCGCTTCGGAATGTACAGTATGTACTCCAGGATGTGATCCAAGGACTTTGGGTGATGGCGTAGCCATGTGCTTCGGCAACCTTGTTTGAACTTCCTATTGCCGCGTATAGACGAAAAGGAGGTAGTGGCCTTGTTCTGTCCATTCCATACCTACCCGTTTGGGCGGGGAAAAAGTGGCACTCTCAAGCAGTTCAACACCGTCTGAGGCGACCCGGAGAGCTATCAGGCTTGCCAAAGCTGGTATTTCACGAATAGCAATCACATACTAGAGGCCCTCAAACAGTGCTAAATAAGCGTACATAAGCACAGAAATAGTGAGCCCATGCCTTAGGATAGGAAGTTTGAAATTAGAACCACGGACTTGTAAACTACCACTTTCGATTAACATTCATCAAGCACGCTGTCTAATACATGCACCTGTCTACCACTGCTTGAAGCGCTTCAACGAGTTTCTACCTAGTCTAGAGTGAAAAGCTTCTATCCCAATTATATTTCTGAAAATGCATCAAGGCACTCCAAGCAGAGGCACACGCGCACACCCATGTAGTATAAAATACCACCTTTTTCATGCCCCGTGCCGTATAGTTCCCCGTCGCGCGCCTCTCTCTCGCACCTCCAAAGCACGTACGCAAGAGCACTCGGTCTCACAGGCAACCCGATGCCCCGACAACTAGTTGTGAGAATGATGGAGCAACCGTGTGAGTGCTCCTAGAACAAGACTTGGGAATCAGCGTGTCGGTGAGAGTCTTCGGAGCTACTATATACCGAAGAACTTCATATGCGGTACTGAAGCGAATTAGAGATGGGAATCCTACCTATCAGCGCTATAAGAAAATAGGTAAAGAATGACGCTAGGTTCTTCTGCACCTATCGCCTTTTAGCGGAACGACTTTGCGCCGCTCCTGCAAATCTGGACAACGACTTTCGTATTGGAGAATGGCCTGACTGGTGCAAGAGGGAGGAAAGAGCCCGGCTAACTTCCTCGGTACTAACGTCGTCCGAGGCCTGTTGTATTGCCGTTATCGCCGGATGCGAGGTGGGGACCGCATGCGAAGCCACACATCAACATATTGACGCACTCCATCTTTATAAACTCCACCCTCGCCGCGAAAGGTTTCGCCACCCACCCAATTGGCCTGTCATCTACCCACCATGTCCTGTCCCGACTGTTTCAGAGGCGGCGCAGCCAAAGGCGAGCCCAAAGGTACACTCACCCCCCTCTACGGCATCAACACCTACGTCGCAGCTCCTCCCTCCGAGTCAACCTCTAAATCTACCATCCTCTTCCTCACCGACGCCTTCGGTCTCAAGTTGCTCAACAACAAGCTCCTCGCCGACGACTACGCCCTCCGCACTGGCCATCGCGTCCTAGTCCCAGACATCATCCCCGGCCATGGTGTGGAGCCCGCCGTCATTGTCCACATGGACAATGTGATGGCGCCAGTGAAATGGTGGGATCTTCTTGGACAACTATCGCGAATCTGGGCAGGTATCAACGCGGCGAGCCACTTCATCCCGTTCATGCTCAAAGCGGCTCCCGACAAACCCGCCATCTTCAAGAGCGAACTCGAATATGCGCGCAAGCTGAAGGCAGACATCCCACCGGGCGGCAAGCTCGGCGTCTGTGGATTCTGCTGGGGTGGATACGGCAGCACAAACCTCTGCGTGGAGCCGGCGGTAGAAGGAGGCTCGGAACGGTTGATCGATGCGCAGTTCTGCGCGCATCCGTCTGCCCTCAAGGGCCCGGAACAGGTCGTGGCCGCCGTTACCACTTACAAGGTGCCATACTCGCTGGCGCACGCAGAACTCGACTTCAACTGGTCGACGGCGAAGATGGATGCTGCTGAGGCTGAGCTGAAGGAGAAGTATGGTGCGACAGGAAATGGAGACAACGGCTACAACTACGAGTTCGTCACGTACAAGGGCTGTGTCCATGGATTTGCAGCGAGGGCGAGACCCGGAACGGTCGATGAGAAAGGCGCCGATGATGCGAAGGAGCAAGCGATCAGGTGGTTCTCTAAGTGGCTTTAGATGGACCTTTAAGGCGTATGAAAGGTTCAAAGTCTTGGGCTGTTCGATTTCAAATATTTGAGGTTTGCCAGTAAGATATCCGGATTATGATGTATGTAGTCAAGGGCGTAGCGTTATGTTGGTGGCATACTATTTACCGCCCATTCAAGTTCCCTTTTTTAAAAGAAATATTGAAAAACCGCCGTGCAACAGAGACATTCGCACATTTAGGTCCATTCTAGCTTATCATACAATATCTTTACAGTTATAGCTTCAAGTTGAATGAAGAGCTTCTATGGCTTCAAAGACTTCCGAGGGGGAATTGATGTACGCTACTGATCCCATATTTTCAAGGCGGTTCGATGCATTGGAAAGGTAAAAATTCTCTGAAAGCAAGGCCCAAAACACAGCATCATGACTTATGCCTAGCCTCTTAAAACTTTCCCAAAATCCTTTCTCGTGACATCAGGCGAGCTACTGGGGTGATGCTGATAGGAACCTTATCGGCTCGTGGAGCTCCCCGCTGCATCATGCCACCATCTCAGCACTGACCAAACAAAGCAAGCAGCTCGCGTGTTATATCAATTGCACTCCCCATGGAATTCTGAATCCAGTGAACTCTATCAGAATGGCGATACTTGGGGTGAAGCTTTCTACAGCAGCTTTTCGCGTGGCGGGGAGGAGCTGTTCTCGTCTCGGAGCTGTGCGCTCCAACTTAAGACCAATTTCATGCAGGGCATTCTCGAGCTCTCCGCGATGGCAGCTACATACGAAGGAAATGAACGAGGAAACTCTTTCGAGCCTGAAAGTGAATCAGAGCAGGCTCATGGAGGATATCCATTTCACGTCCCAGTGGGGTGAAGGGCAGAAGTGGGGAAGGTGAGGGATGGCTTTCGTTATAATTTCTCAAACTTCAAATGTTGCATGATTTCTTATTTCAAATCTCGATTTTCAATGCGCTTTTTCATACGCATTCTCAATGCAGATACGACCATGAAGTTGACCATCCCAGTGCATCTACCGAAACAGGCATGTCTCGTCTATCCCTTTCGGACGCGGACAAGAAAGCTCGAGACTGGTTCGTCCAAGCGACGCAAGCTCTTGGATGCAACACGACAATCGATGAAATGGGCAACATCTTTGCTGTTCGACCTGGCATACGGAACGATGGTCCTCCAACTTTTGTGGGCTCCCATCTAGACACACAGCCAACAGGCGGCCGATACGACGGCATCCTCGGCGTCACCGCAGGCGTGGAAATGCTCAGAGTTCTTGCAGACAACTGGGTGGAAACCGAGTATCCTGTTGGGGTTGTCAATTGGACAAAGTATGTATTTTCTCATTACACTCGAGCACATTTCCCTCATCACATCAAGAGCCCCTGAACTCTTAATATATACCCCGTGCTCTATCCATTGCCCCCAAAACTACACCACTAAATCCCTCCCCAGCGAAGAAGGCGCCCGCTTCCCCATCTCCATGGTCTCCTCTGGCGTTTGGTCCGGCCACATCCCCCTCTCCACCGCCCACTCCCTCCGCGAAGTGCACCCCGGCACCGCCACCCTCTCCTCGGAGCTCTCCCGCATCGGCTACCTAGGCACCGTCCCCGCCTCCCACAACGCCGTCCCCATGGCCGCCCACTTCGAGCTCCACATCGAGCAAGGCCCCCTCCTCGAGTCCACGTCGCGCAAAATCGGCATCGTCAAAGGCGTCCAAGCCTACCGCTGGTACACCGTCACCGTCACGGGCCAAGATTGCCACACCGGCACGACGGATTTCGAGAACCGGGCGGATGCGCTGCTCGCGGCGGCGAAGATGATACTGCATTCGCATCGATTGGCGACGGCGAGGGGGGCGCTGGCGTCGACGGGGATTCTGAATCTCAAGCCCGGGAGCACGAATACGGTGCCCGGGAGCGTGCGATTTAGTCTTGATATCCGCGCGCCGGCGGATAGTACGGTTGATATGCTGGAGGCGGATGTGCTGGCTGATTTCGCGAGGATCGCGGCGGGGGAGGAGGTGGATGGGATCAGTGATGGGTGCACGCCTGGCCGACCGTGTGAGGTGAGTTTTACGACGGATAGCGTGTCGCCCGCTGTGAAGTTCCATCCGGACTGCATCCACGCGGTAACGGAGGCCGCGGGGTCGGCGTTGGGGCCGGAGGCGGAGAAGTTAACGATGGAGATGGTGAGTGGAGCTGGGCATGATAGCGTGTATACGTCGAAGCGGGTGCCGACGAGTATGATCTTCGTGCCGTGTAGGGATGGGATTAGCCACAATCCGAGGGAGTATACGAGTCCGGAGGATTGTGCGTTGGGGGCTCAGGTGTTGCTGCAGGCTGTGCTAAGATATGATCGAATGAGGGCGGAGAGAAGGCTTACGTGGAACACTGGTTGGCAGGTTGGTGCTTAAGTAGATCTTTCCGGGGCTTTGGGGGTGTCTATCAAGGTGCATGTCTGTATATAGAGTAGAGAATCGTCACCATTGATTCTGTGTTCACCATCAGTAGCACATCTCACGAAAAAGACATGATCATCAACGAGCATCAGCATCTGTATTGTTATGCCACGAATACATGTGATATCTCTTTGCAGTGTCAACTGCCCACTCGACCTATACGTCCCCGGCAATTTCTCTCACTCAGCCGAACACGCTACCGTCCGACCCAATCCCGAATTTTGAAAAGCAGAATGTTATGAGGTGTGAGTGATTAGGAGGCGAGAAGTAGTCCACTACGAAGGTGGGGGGCCACCGCGGCCACGGCCTTGAAGAAATTAGCACGTAGTCAGATATCTGATTGATAGTTGGACGTACCGAAGCCACCACGGAAATCGGGCCTGTACTCTCCCGGCGCACCTCCCTCCTTTCCGCCCTCGCCAGCATCACGACGTCTGTAGCCACCCTCACGGTCGCCACGGGGGCCACCACGTCCACCGGGACGGGGACGTTCGTCACCACCCATCATGCCGCGCGGCGGAGCGTGCGAGCGTTGCTGCTTGATGTGCGTCTGGGGCACGATCTCAGCGGGGAGGTGGAGCCATTCGCGGAGGTAATCGAGACCCTCGGGAGTGAGGGTGTAGTAGTCTAGTCCTATCAGTATCTCCGGTTTCCGATTCGCCTTGCTCGAGGGTTCATACAGTATTGCCACGAGAACTGGGTCTTGACGTAGCCGCGCGAGTTCAGCGACTGCATGGCCTTGATCACGAACTGCCACCGCGCATCAATATTATGGTCCGGGTCGAATGGGTAGCGTCGTTTCTTACGAGGTTCTTTGTGTCGATTTCGCCATGCTTGGGCAGGTAGAAATTCTTCTGCGCGACGAGTACGCCCTCTGTTGGTGACCGTGTGTCAGCCTATCCTTCTTGAAATCACAGCATTGCGCTGGATGATATTATGATTGTCCAGAATTACATACCACGGAAGAGGTACCTATGAACGTGTTAGCGGAGCTGTTTGCTATCATATGGAATTGAGGTTCGAATTTCAGAGGGGGACATACTCGTGGATCTTCTTGCGATCGGCCTTGGGGATGAGCCTAACAATCCATCAGCTTTGTTTCCGTCTTCAGATGAAGGTATATCCTACATCTTGGCGGTCCTTGAGGAATTGTTGGAGAGATCCGGTCGTGATGTCGTCGCTGCGGAGTTGAAGCTGAATTTGAGAATCCATAGAAGTGCGATGGTCCGTGCGGCCTTGGCAAAATTTAACCGAATGACCAGCCTCACCTTCGCCATCTCGTTCTCCGCCTCCTCCATTCATAACCCTTACACATCAAAAAGCAACACTCACTCGCTCAGATACACTATTAACGAGGCTCAACCATCTCACGTTCGGGAGAAGTGTCTCGCACAAAGCGCCTTTGTCATTAGTTTCGTAGATCTCTACCGACACTCATCCAACATGGCGCAAATCAACATCCTCCTCACCTCATTCCCTGGTCTCGACCTCCCTTCAACGCTCTCCTTTCCCATAGACGCTTCTAGCACCATTAGCGACCTCGCTGCTACATTGTTGGAACGGATACCCCAGGTCGCGAACAACCGTCTGATCCTCACCACCACCTCCAACAAGCAACTATTGCCACACTCTTCAGAACCGCTCACATCACTTCTATCATCCCCCGACGATGCCTTCATTCCGCTGCGTCTGTCCGCTCCTCTTTGTGGAGGAAAAGGTGGATTCGGCTCCCAGCTCCGTGCCGCTGGTGGTCGCATGTCATCGCGAAAGAAGCGCAGCCAGGGCGAGAATAATGGATCCTCTCGAAACCTCGACGGCCGCAGGCTACGTACTGTGACCGAGGCAAAGGCGCTGGCTGAGTACCTAGCCGTCAAGCCGGATATGGACAAGAAGGAGCGAGAGGAGAAGATGAAGCGTTGGGAAGCTATCGTTGACGCAGCGGACCGAAAGGAGGACGAGATACGGAGCGGCAAGACTGCTCGGTTGGATGGCAAGTGGGTTGAGGACAAGGAGGAGGCAGAGCAGAAGACGAGAGATGCAGTTATTGCTGCATACAAGGCTGGGGAGATCAAGAACGCCTTGGCCGAGAAGGAGAGCGACACTTCTGGCGCAGGATCTGAGGGAAGTGAGGGGAGTGAGAGCGAGGGAATGGGGGATGTTCAAGCGACAGGCTCCAAGGCAGCAGAAAAGCGGCAAGCGAGGTCATTCTTTGGCTGGGACGAAGACGACGAATTCATGAGCGAAAGCGACGAAGAAGAGGTTGACGACACAATCACGGAAGAAGTTCAATCCAAAGGAAAAGGGAAAGCCAAGGCGTAGCTGTTTCCTGGCTATATCAAGCTTAACATCATTAGGAGTCTGGCGTTTTGGCATGGAGTTTTACTTGAATACCCTTGGGAAAGGTTGGGTTTGAAGTTGGTTAGCTGACTATATCAGAGTCGACCTTTGACGCTTCGATGGAATACAAAGTTGAGATTACAATACAGCTATCCCACTCCTCGATATTGTATCCACAGTGTGATGATCCAGACATCACCAATGACTCAACCCAGACATTGGTTTCTAGCCTTCGCAAGGTTTCCATCTCATCACTGTCGATAACCGTCTCGGGCTCCAACTGCTTTGGTGAGCACTTCACACACTCTAATGTTCCCAGTGTTGACATCATTCCGCGAAGTGTGTTGTTGAGAAGATCGACAGCACTGCATAGCAAAGTGGGTGCTTATCAGCGCTTCAGTATTCGCACTAGCACTGTGGCACCTTTCCTATCGCTCCCAAAAGTCGGGTAGTGACGTCAAATCTGTTTCTATCTCATGCTTCTCCGGAAATCCGCACCACTGTGATGGGAATTGCTTGAGATTCTACACAAGATCGATGGCAGATTGCCGTGATCCTTTGCAGGGGTGCTTCCACATAGTATCTACTTCGGGAACAATACAGGAGGTTTATCACCAGCCAGTAATACCATCTGGAAATTATCTCCACGCTTGACCTTATGAAATTCTGAATTCCCATCGGATCTAATATGGAGATCTGCTCGATGCGATCGTCCCCGGTGCAGTACAAAGCATGTTTTGATTCGTTCGGTAGACTACTGGAGCACGTACCCGTGGAGGCCTTCTCCAGAATATATGCAGTACTCAAATCAGGCTCACAGACATGCGTCTTAATAAACCTTCGTTCTTTTCTTCCAATGTTTCCCAGTTTGCGTCCTCCAAAAGTATTGCCTCAATTCGCGAAACAGACACTGAGCGTAATCTCATAGAATGGATGCATTCACAACTCAGCAAACGGTCGAGCTATGCTCTCGCATAGGCACAAAGAAGGCTCATATGAGGCTTGACAAGTTGTTCGTCAACTCGTGTATGGCCGGGCCGTTACTTGGATTCGGGTAAGTGAGTTCTATCTATGTCTTGCGACCAACCTGCTTACTTTGGTTCCAGATGTGCAGTCTTGACCAGTACGAATGCTTCTCCATGGTACCAGGCAAACGCGTAAGCCATTCTAGACCTTTGGCGAAGATCAAAATTCGATGACTGATTTATGTAGTCCCGGGTTGATTCGCACCTTGGGAGCACTACTCTTTCCCGTCGGCCTAGTGATGATCGTACTAACCGGCGCGGACCTTTTCACGAGCAACGTCATGGTATGATAGCCCTTCGATCATCCTTAAACGCTCGTATCTCACAAGCATAGTTCATGACAGTCGCCTACCTCCACCGCCGTGTCTCCATCATTGACGTCCTCAAAATTTGGGTCATCTCTTTCTTCGGCAACCTCGGCGGCATGCTCTTCTTCATGGCCATCATCACCGGCTACGGCGGCCTCTTTTCCGAAACTCCAGGCTATACCGAAGCCGCGATCAATCTCGCAGTCCAAAAGGCGCAAAATCCGCAATGGCACCAGATCTTCTTGCGAGCCATCGCGGCGAACTGGCTCGTCTGTCTTGCTGTCTTCCTGAGTATTAGCAGTCGTGAGATCATGAGTAAGATTACGGCGATCTGGTGGCCTACGGCGACGTTCGTGGCTTGTGCTTTTGATCATGTTGTTGCGAACATGTACGCGTCATCTCTTTCCTCAGATTTGTACCGCGAAAGAAATTAGTTCTGATGCCACAACTAGGTACTTCGTCCCCATGGGCATCTGGGAAGGCGCCCCAATGAGCGTCGGCTACTACATCTGGAAATCCCTCATCCCCACCACTCTGGGAAACATAGTCGGCGGCGCCGTCTTCGTTGGCCTACCATACTGGTACCTCTATCTCACCGGCGAAGGCGACGTCGAGGTCGACTTCAACATTGGAAATATCGAGACGGCGCTTGAAGCGGGTGGGCCTATGCGGCGGAGCAGCAACAGGCAGCAGGTTGTCACTGCTGGAAATCAGGTCAACGGTGCTGGTGTTGGTAGCGATCATGATACCGTAATCGAGGGCGAGGACCCGGAGGTGAAGAAGGGTGTACAGGCGAAGGATCCTAATTGGCTCCCGCATAGCTCGGGGCATATGCAGAGTGGGCTTGCGAAGGAGCTGAGTTCGGAGAAGTATCGGCAGACGCATTCGGAGAGGGAGGGGGCGGGTAATGTTTGAGTTGAGGTGGGTGTTTCTTGGAGTCTATTTTTCTTGACAGGTTGGTCAACCGAAAATATGATAAAATCATCGTTTACTCAGCGAGGGAAAACCATCAGAACACACGATGAGATTTAAGTATACAAATTCAATTACTTGAGAACTGAGGTAACAGTGGAAGCGTCTCGATTATTTGTCCTGCGTCTAATTTGTTGAAAAGCTGACGGGAAATAGTCAAGAAGAGATGCGATGAGTGAATGAAAGTGCGGCTACTATTGCCAAGCTATCACCGCTGTGTCAACCCTGGTCCTCAATTGTGGGGAGCGGCATCGCTCGCTATGCAAGCTTTCACTTCTGGACATACTCGGGGCCTGGTGCATAGCGCCGGGTGGAATCGCGTTTTTCTCAAAGGGAACGCAATGAAGGTCCAGGTAGGTCAAGGTAAGGCTGGAACTTGCGCCTCAATATGCATGGTCAAAGACATATGGCACTACTGACGCTGTCGTGTGATCAACGTTCAGGACGGCGTGGTGGAAGATCTGTGTTCACGATGCTGCCGGCGCGTACGACCTGTGTGCTGAGACTCGACGACGTGTCTGTTTCCGCAACGGGAGTTTGGGCCAAGAGCGGAACATAAGTTCGATTCGCATGGCTCCAGGTTGCTGACGATTTCAAACATGCATACAAGCACCTCCCTTGTGCCGTCTCTGCACGCTGTGGCTGCAGGTCAGTAGACGGGTGGGTGGCGTGTGCTGCGTGGGAGCCATGGAGAAAAGCGGCAACAGGCCGTACTGTCTGTGCTCAGGTGTGAGGCATCGAGCAGGCAACCAGCCACTTCGAAGTTTTAGAGCGTGATGCGAAGGTCGCGGATACTTATAGTTACTCCTGACCGGATCAGATTAGTCACCAAAGCGATGAGCCGCACGACCCAACCGCCCCCGATCAACGACGGTGTGAAGGCGCTATTGTACGCAGAAAAGCAATCTTCCAAGATTTCAGCCCTTGGAATGCTGCGCACAGACGATAAAGTGACCTCGGGGGCAGTTTATCGTCTGTGCGCATCAACTGTCCTCCAGGACTATTGGACTGTACGGTGGTGCGGCTTACCGCTCCGGCAGCGTCCCGTAGCGTCGAGCCTCGGATTTCATAGGGACCAGCGTGCACAGGACTGGTGGACTGCCGGCTGGTGAACTGCGGGTCTGACAGGGGGGCCACGACGATCAAAGACTATCCGAGGATGCGTGGGGGATGAACGCGGTTAGTTAGCCGTTTGCTTGCTTCGAGGCCGGGTAGGGTGGCAGGGCCGGACGCCTCAGCGGGTGTCCGCGCCTACAGGAATGTAAGTTAAGGGATTTGGATGCAACGACATTAAAGCTATTCCGGCAACGCCCCAGCCAGACACTACATTACAAGTACCTTACACTCTGAATCTTGCGTTGTGCCAATCAGGCCTCCTAGATCGGCTTTCTACACGGAATCTTACACTAACATTACACTGAAAGCTACCAACCCACATACAGCTGTTCACCGCTCGCATAAACGGCTTATACTTCTACCTGCTCCCTGCGCATCGGGGCCGTCGTGGCGCTGCTTTTGGTCGGCTTCTGGCTGTGCAACCCTAAGATGAATCGCACTCATTGGCCTCAGCATTCCTTCTGCCGTGACAAGCTCGTAAAAGAAGCCATCGCCACGTTTCTTCTCACATGAGATATAGCGTGCTGCCATCTGGGCGTCCGCACTCAATGTGCTGGGCCAGATCCTTGATGGTCAAGCTCTTGAGCCCTTTATAAGAGTTGCCCCCCAAGGCAGTCAAGATGCTTCGTCTTAAACAAGCCGAGCATATTATTCCTTTCCTAAACACTCATACGCGGGACTTGCTTGACTGATCATTTTCAAAATTATTCCAGAGACATCCCGGCACTCTAGAACAGCTCTATTAGGCTATCATGGAGTCCCAAACCCCCATCAGCACTGGCCGTCATAATGGAGTTGATGACCACTCATCGTACGAATTCTATTCACTCACCACACTTCTCTACTATATTCTCATACCTGTATATCATCGTCGTTTGGTCCTTGTCTTCACCAGAACTCCTCTGACTTGGCGACTCTATTTCGTGCGGTGCTTGTGTTCTTCCGTCGTTTCCCGAATGCATTCTCACCTCTTTCTGCTTGCGCCGAGACATAAGGGCACTGGCTAACACGCTCACAGATCGGAGGCCAACTGCCCAAGCTCCCTTCATACCACCGACTCACATCACCGTGGTAACACTCCACCGTCCACTCCAGCTCCACTACCTACTCCAACTCAATCTCAAGTCGACTCCAAGAACCAACCCTCCCCTCTCACTCAAGCCAACCTCGACAAACACAACACGTCTACACCCCATGGCCCTTCTCAAGAATCTATCGACCGAAAGGAAAAGATCTTAGAAGCCGCTAAAAAGTTAGGCTTCGAGCAAGAGCTGGCTCGCCATGCCCTGCCTAGTCAACATGATGGCAAGACGCCCATGGAGTTCTGGAGCACCTTATAACTCTCAATCATGTTCATGCTGGACGATGCCATGACTGTATCACGTAAGTGCCTCCAAACTTTTATAAAATTAGTTCAACATTGTTCTCTGACTTGGCTTAGGAACTACACGGTGCTACGTTCTTTGCTACGCTATAGAGTTGGGATGGAAAAGCTCATGGGATAGATGCTCGATTACTTTCGCTTGGAGACACATCATAGCACGGCATACCGCACAATACATTCGCTACTTCGCTACTTCGCTACTCTACACCTTCTCCAGTCTATAGTCTTATAGGACAAACCACCACTCCCCAACCCTTCACATGTCAACATTCATCCCACTAAAGTGACCAAAGACCTCTCCCTTCCCCAGTCCCCCTTCCCCTCTCCGCCTTCCCCTCTGCCACCCCCTCTCCCCATCCCCCTACTCCTGATCCAAGACACAACACAACCCCTCCACCCCCCAGCTCAACCCCCCCAACACCCCCGCCACGGCCACGGCCAATCCCGCCATCGTCCCCACATCCATCTTCTCCAGAACCGGATACGGTGGGATCCCATTCTTGCTCCAACACAGCCACAGCCACGCCCCATAGCCCCCCAAAAACGTCCCAAAGACACCTAGCGCGCGCAGTGGCGAGGGGGCGTACCGTCTCGGTGTGAAGTTGATCACATCTGCGAGCACGAAGAGAGCGGGGAGGAGGTGAAAGCCGATGTCTTTCTTTAGCGGGGCGAAGGGGGCGATGGTAGTGTCTTTTAGAACCGCCGGGCGGAGGAGGTAGAGCGGCCAGTAGGTTGCTGTTATCAAGAGGGAGAGCTGGGAGTAGGGATGTTAGTGAGTTGGGTGGGGGAAAAGGGGAGTGTGATTAAGAAGGGGATGGGAAGCGTACCGGCGTGGCGAGGAACAGGATGCGCGCTTTTAGGGATTGGATCAGACGGGGGGCGTTGAGGATTTCGAGGGCGCCGAGGACGGAGGCGGCGGCTGCGAGGACGAGGGCTGGATTATGGGTCAGTGTATATCCGTGAGTTTGTTGGAGAGGCGACGTTCATACTTATGTTTGTCAGGAACTGATAGTGGCCTCCGAATCCCTGGTTTATCTTGTTCGGGTGGGAGTATAGGTGCTCGAAGCTGATCGCGTACGAGATCAGTGCGACGAAGCGCAGCTGGATGGCCGCAAAGTTGGGACGTCGACGTGGCTGCGGTGGTTTGGCTGGAGTGTGGAGTTCGGAGGAGGGACGAGCTCGGGATGGCGCGGTTCGCTTTTTGGCTGGCATTTTGAGCTGGACCTTAAGGCCGCTTTGAAGTGTTGGGAAAAGTCTTGAAGAAGAGGACTTCAAAAAATTTTGTGTGATGAGATAGGAGATGAGGGAATAAATAAATAGGGGAGAAATCGGAACGAGGAAGTGTCGGATATTTTCTAGTATTGATCTAAAAGGCTAGATTTTTGGAGGCGCTTGTTCAATCTTTTTGATTTTTAGATGCATACGTCTTACGACTTCAAATTGATGGATTGACAGCCTGAACGATACAGAAATCCTAAAGGGATGGACGATATTCAAGAGTTGAAGGGTAAGACTCTATGTATCAGATGAGAAAGTAGGTTTTAATCAGCGTTGATGGTACTCACTGGCTGTACTTTGATTCACTAAGCTGGGCTGTGAAATGTCGTATGTCTTGGAAGATTGCTGTTGATGAAGTGTGGTGATAAGGAACGAACAACGGTCTGATCGGATAATAACACGCTAGTCCGATTACGGTAAGTCCGATATGCTCCATATTTGAACCTCCCCTCTATCGCGCCACACGAAGTTGCACGGAAAGAATAGCAAGACTGAAATGTCATAATTCAACAGCTTCTTGGCGGCATTCTGAGTGATACCCTTCATATTGAATGTGGTCGAACTGCCATCCCAGGTGCTTATATATCAATTCGATATAGATACAACCATCTTATACTTCACGAGGCCAACCTGTTCCCATCTACCTACTCCGCAAACGCAGTAAAGATTTGGAGGCCCTTCTTTGCTACAAAGTCCATCTCTGTTCCCACTCCCACGAAGAAAATGTATCCCTCCTTAACCTCATAACTCTTCCCATTCGCCTCCAGCATCCCCTCGCCTTGCGTACAGATAAATATGCTCGGGCCTTCTATCGCTTCAATGTGCTCTTGCTCTCCGTCTCCCAGCTCCGTCGCTAGGATGCTGAACTCGCTCAATGGCGGTGAGTACAGCTTGGTCTTCCCGTTCTTGCTCTTACTGAATTTCTCGTCGGCGAGAATGGCCTCATCCGCAGCATGAGGTGTAAACGTCAAGCACGAACAGAAGGTCTCTGCGGAGTTTCGGTCGCCGCGAGGGCAGAATCCTGTATTGAGGACGTTGTTGCTGCGTGCCATACACTCGATGATCGTGCCAGAGAGGTAAGCGTGGATGCCATCGGCTGGGATGTAGATGCATTGGCCGGGTTTCAGGGTTATGTAGTTCATTGTGATAAGCGCGACGATGATGCCTGGGTCGGTTTGGTCATATTGCTCCGCTAGACGTGGGATCATGTCTGGGATGTATGTTTCTTCCCCGAAGGAGTCACGGGGAATATTGAGGAGCGCAGCAGTCGTTTTGGAGATATCCTCGTCCGACGCCATGAGCATCGTCTTGACTACGTGCTTGAGGGTCTGGTCATCGAATCTTGGCTTTTTGATAAGTGGCATGTAAGGCTGGAGAGGTGCGAGTTGCATGAGACTTTCGATATCTTTCAGGGGCTTGAAACCAACAAACGCTTCGAAGTCGGAGAGGGCGAGAGCGATCTCAGGTTTGTGATTAGGATCGGTGAATTGAGACGGATCGCGGGAGTGAAGCTCAGCGGCTAGGCTTTTGTTCTGGATCTGGGTTAGAAGCTGAGAAGTAAAGAGCATGACAGACGTACTGGGTGCAGCTGTAGTGGAAGTGCTTTCGCGATGGAGAGGACTTTGGGAAGATATGGAAGCTTCGTATGACCGAATTTCTTGGGTATACTTCGCCCAATAAGTTCTGTGGAATTGGCATCGAGGACATCCTGGAGATCCTCTCCTGTTTTGAGGACGTAAGATGGAAGCTCCGGGTATGTGCCCATCCACCTATAACTCCATCAGCATTTGCACATCTCAGCCACGGTTATCGGGAACCACCCACATCTCAGAGTATGGTTTGTTTTCATCTATCTTGAAATCCGTTCCCGGAGTTTTGGCACAGAGACGTGCGGCAAAGGATTCGGAGCCTTTTTGTCCCCAGGGGTACTCATTGCAGCTGCACTTCAATTGAATTACTTTTTCGACCATTTTGATGTTGAAGGATTGAAGTAGATAATGGTTCGATATGAATAAGAATTGGAGAACTAGAAATATACTGTAAAGAAGGGCACCTAATAGCCATCGGAAATAACAATGCCACAATGCCGTCTGCTGTGACGGCAGGTAACGTCATCAGTGATAAGTCGATCAACCGCCGATTTGCCATGTGCTCGGCACCTGTTCCGCGGGTTCCAGATATAGATTTAGGCCTATCCCGACCGTACCTTTGTACCTGGGTACTGGAGACTATACACTTTTCACTGCCGCTGTGAAAGTTCGTGAAAGAGGACGCTGTGGTGTTGTCGAACGGGCGTTAATGCGAGTAGAATGCTATGTTCAATACTCTAAACGCCATTCGTCCAATCGCAACACGCTCGTGGCTATGGTAGACAACCATGAGGACATGGCGAATAGGGTCAATACAGTACGCCTAATTGGAGATACCGTCCAAGGTTCAGAGTAGTCCCGCGAGGAGTCTAGCCACGCCGAGACCTGCCAGCACCCATGGCTTGTCAGCAGACGCGTGTGCCCATCGTTTCAAGCCGATCAGAAACAAGCTTGAATTGAAGCTTAACGCACACGCGATCCCGGGGCCTGTACCATGGTCCATACGACAGAGATGCAGACTTCAGTTGGCGTTGAGACTCGCACACTCGTTGCAGAAGGTGGTGATGGCGGCCGGCATGAGAGCCAGGGGCAGATCTAGCCCCAATCTCCTTGGAATCTGACTGCCAAGCATCGGGCAGACACCACCGACGAGTCTGCAATTTCACGCACCGCTCCCTTTCCTACCCCCTCCTCGACAGCGCTGAGAGAACAGGCTCAGCGTCGCGCCCGGAAAGCCTCAGACATGGTGTCGTGATTCAGTCCTTCTGCGAATCCAGTCGCTACCTCAAAACCCCCCCGCGCTACGCGAAGCTTGACATCTGGCCTTCACCTCCTGGATTCACTCGAACATGCACTTCGCCATGCCGCCTCGCAAGTCGTCGCGCCCTCCACCGTACGCCATGCGCAACTCACGCTCTTTCAATCTGCCTCGAGCCTTTCGGCGGCGCGACTATCGATTTTTAGCCATCCTCATCGCGGGCTGCTTCAGCATCATATGTTTCCTCACCTACATGTTTTCTTCGGGTGGGTCGTCGGCCGACTACATACCCGCTGGGTCAGCACCGGTGGTCATAGTGACTGTCTTCCCGATGAGTGCAGAAGCGGAATTCGTGGAGAAGATCAAGAAGAACAGGAATGATTACGCGATGCGACAAGGTTAGATTTTCTGGTAGATCAACAACTGGCCCAGAACTAACCACTATACAGGCTACGCAACCTTCTTTGCCAGTGCTACTGACTACCGTTCCCTCCTCAATGATCAGCCTCTCACCTGGAGTAAAGTTCCTGCCGTCCGCCATGCCATGACCAAATACCCGGGGGCCTCCTTCGCCTGGTATCTGGAGCCTACGGCCCTTATAATGAATCAAGAACTGTCATTAATCGACCACATAATGAATAAGGAGCGCCTTGAGTCACTGATGATCACCAATGAGCCGGTTGTGCCGCCAGACAGCGTCATCCGGACCTTTGATCACCTCAAAGGCGATCGTATAGATTTTGTCATTTCACAGGACCATGATGGTCTCTCGCAATCCAGCTTCATTGTGAGGAGGGGCGAGTGGGCGAAGTATTTCTTGGACGCGTGGTTCGACCCGTTGTACCGGAGTTATAATTTTCAGAAGGCTGAAGGGCACGCGCTAGAGCATATAGTGCAGTGAGTATGCCCTCTAAAGACTCACGGATTCCACTATCTATCTCATTAATTCTCCCCTACTCCCTAAGCGATTGGCTAACTCGATGCCGTATAGATGGCATGGTACTATCCTAGCCAAACTCGCCCTCGTCCCCCAGCGAACCTTCAACTCGTATACCATCGACACAACCGGCAACAACGCCAAGGGCATGTACCAGGATAAAGATTTCGTCGCCAACTTCCCCAAGTGCGACGCAGAGCGACCGAACTGCTTAGAACTCATGGAGCCCTACTTCGAAAGACTAGACGGTGGGAAGAAGAGTGAATGAAGACATATACCGCCCAAACTATCAATAACACGACAGTATCACCCAGCAAGACGCTAGTGTGAGAGAGGCAGAGGGGCCGGGCATACACGTTCCGGCGTCCCGGCGGTGACGGAACACGACTGCGATCAGGGCTAAGCCCCTGCGACACGCAAATGTAGAACTACGATGGAAAAGCGAAGCTCATTTCCGACGGCGTTTTATGGAGTTTTTTTTTTTTTTTGGCGGAACACATACGGCACGCGTTTATAGCTGTTGCGGCCCGCATGGGGCTATGTACTAAAGAAATGTCTTTATTTACTTTGGGGCGTCTATAGTTTTGGCCATATATGCCCGTTGGGGCTTTCCGACTTCTTCACTTTTGCTCTGTTGCTTGTGATTTGAGATACACATGCTTGTGAGCCTACGCTGTTTACCTCCTACCTACTTGCCACCCTGCTCCAACCGCTCAATTTCTCCTCTCACCCTCTCCACCTCTCTTCCCACTTCCGCAAATCTCTCCGCAATCTCGGCCATCCCCTTCGCACCTGCGTCTTCATACGCCTTCAGCATCTTCAGCGCCGCCCGCTCTCTCGTCTTCAACCGCATGTGCTCCTTCTCCATCGCAGCGGAGTACTCCTGCAGCGACTCTGCAAGCGGTGCGGGAAGGGGGTGGGTGAGTGCGTGAATGCTGCAGAACAGTCAGTCCAATTCAGTAGCACAGGTCGACGTGTGATTCATCGTGAATCCCTGCCAAGTGGAGGATGGAGAAAAAAGAACCGAGAAAGGAGCCGGGGGGGCGGGGGGGCATACCTAGCCTGTGCGTTCAAAACATCGGCTTTCACGGCTAGCTGCTCTGCGTGGGCTCGCGTGCCGCGGGATACGGCGCCGTGGACGGTCTGCTCTAGGATGCGGATGAGCGAAGTTAGGAGGGTCGTGTGAGTGGTTAGGAGAGTTGCGGCGAGGGTGGCGAGGGAGTGGCGGGTGGTGGTTAGGTCGTCGGTTAAGGCGATGTTGGCGTCGAGGAGGGAGAGCGTGGCGCTGGGGAGAATTGTTGGGTCTAGGGGATCGGAGGCTGGAAGGAGGTTTAGAAAGGTGGTTTGGGTAGGAAAGAGGAGGGGAAAGGGGCGTACATAATGGGTTGGCGATGCGGGTGAGATGTTCAGCGGTGGCAGTGAGGTTGGCAGACACGGCTGCGGAGACTGGGGCGATGTTTTCCTATTGTTTCTTTGTGAGACCTGGGAAACCCAAAAAAAGCAGAGGTGATAGTGACTCACGAGAAAGTATTCAGTGTCATCCTGGAGTATATCGCGATCTTCTGGTGGTATTTGACCGTTCAGCTGGGCGCAAATGATCTCGATTACTTCGTGAAGCTGCGAGAGTTAATTTGAGAGTCGCTTGCGATGCTAGGAGCGGAACACAAACCTCTGGAGGTAGGCCATCAGACTTAGATGGGAGATCGACTAGGCTAGCACGTAGAATCTGGGACTTTGCGGCTTCGATCCTTGCAGTTTGAAGTTTCTGAATGAGTGGTTAAATGGATAAGGAGGAGATCGACGAGAGGAAATCGATATGCAAGAGACGTATTGAAAAAAAAAAAGTATAGAAGCCCTACCTTTTGCACCTCGGCATGTGCTCGCTGCCTCTTGAGGTCCTTGGAAGAGCCATCGGGATTGAATTTCCTCGTGGTCAAGTCCTTATACAGTGCGCTGAAGCCTGGATTTTGCTCAAGCGTGGATGGATCAATTGGGGGAAGCATCGTGCAGAGAGGCACGCTTTTCTACTTTCTGCGTCTCTGTCGATGAAGACACTGGGATGTTTGTGATGGTGGAGACAGAAGATGTGGCGGTGCGAGCGGTCCACGGGTCAAGCCACAGCAAACATGCCAAGGCGCCAGCCCCCTGAACTATCAAACATTCATCAGACTGCTGCCATCAAAAAGAGAGCGCTTCGCCATCACATCGCCTCCTAAAGGCGTACCTTATCACGCGCTGCAGTATCAGATCGACTGGCTCCCGCTAAAAGGTTAGTTGCCAGACTTTTTGGCGAACGAAGCCTGAATCCGAAATCTTAGGGCTGATACGTTGACCTCCACATTTGCGAGAGGCGCAGTAACGTTTGTTCCCGAGGCACCGACACCATTAATTTCAGGTCTCTAAGGTTTGCTGGTCTACTGAGTAGGAAAAAAAATGTTTAATGTTATACCAAGCATCAATCAGTGGTGGTAGTTTTCGAATTTTATATTGATACACGAGGAAGTATCGTTTTATCTTCCTTGCTGTCGTCTATCAAGTGCACAAAAGCTGGACTGCTGGACTCAATGATGTTCCTGGACCATGGCTTGCGAAATATACCAACCTCTGGCGACTCTTAGAAACTAAGACGGGGAGCTTCTCTCACATCACCTTGCATGGAGCATGATAACCATTTGGAGGTAAGGAAGCATGTTATAAGAGCATATAGATCTGGTCCGCCTAGCTCTCTCAAGAGAATACGCTAATGTCCTTGCGTAAGCTGAAACTGCAAAAGTCTAAACTGAACAAGGCGTCGCTTTGGTATATATTGGGAAAGAGGGGATTGCGGAGGAGGCACCTCTTATCGCTTAGACAAGCACTTCTTCAGCGCAGTCTTGATGCCCTTCTCAGCCCTACAGACCATACAAAGAATGGACAAGATTCCACTTTACGTTTGCTAGACGGTCCTGAATCAGCCAGAACAAAGTCATCTTGGTGATGTCTCACTGGCTTCGGTCTGTCATGGCCAAAGCACTCTCTCGTTGCGTAAGGAAGCTCCTCAAAGGATCGGTCCGTCGCAGCTACGGTCGATGAGTTGGATGGAAGCCTTGTCACTGCACCTAGCCCAGGGCCATGTCTGTAGTTGCTTTGCATTTTGTTATCAGAACCCGGGTAATATCGGACAGGCTTAGGTCTATTCTGACCAAAGACTGAATGCTGCTCTTAAACCCATTGTTGGGTCCGTTCAATCCTGGCCCAGTCGTCGTTGAAGACTTCTAGGGGAGTTCGGATGTCGTGTCGCAAATGCCACGGCGGCGAGCTTTTAAACATGGTCTTTGTCTCCTGAACCATCGTGAAGGGATGATGTGGTCCGGGGGATGGTGGATCAGAGAAGCCATCGAAGAGGTGATTGTCGATAGAGGAAAGCGAGGTGTTGGGGGAGAATGGCATTCTGTCCACGGGTGTGGGTGGATTCAAAATGGTCTGTGGTTGGAAGCACCTTCGGGGGTCTAAGAGGGATTGATATGTTCGCTAGAAGCTACGCCGTGGAAGTTTGATCGTAGCATTATGCATCAATGTTGGGCAACAGTAATTGAATTCACTGGAATCATGTGAAAGCGGGCTAGTGAATGGCGGTTGCACCGCTTTGTCGATCGATTAAAGGGTTTGAGACGGCCAGGTCTTTGGGAAGTCACTTCACTTGAAACTCATGGAAAGCTTAGGGGATACAGGGATATGCATTGGAGTATCTATGGAGGCTCTAGATTTTCATAACCTTAGAGCCTTGAGAGTGTGGAGAAATGGGGACTGTGTCATCCCTATTTCTTTGAGGGTGACTTTCTATTGCCGCTAGAACCTTTCATCGCCTTGACAGCCTTTTGCGCCCCACGAAGAATGTCCCAGTTAGCACCTATACGTTTGGGTTTCTTGTCTTGATCAGCGCGAAGTAGTTGCCCTGGCGCCAAGAAATCGTCGAACTGGGCCTTTCCTGCAGTGGACTGGGTCTCACGTGGTCGTGAGTCAACTTTGCGAGCTTCACGCTCGCGGCCTCGCTGTTCCAGAATTGGCTGTACAGCCGCCTGGTGGGAGGACTTGCTGGACCTGAAGCGGCCGGGGCCGAGTGTGTGTTGCTGTCCGGTCATGGTTGAGAACAGGGAAGAGTTTTGGTGATTGCTTTTTGCTGAGAATTTTGAGTTGGAGAATACCAGATTGGGAAACTTATCAGAAAAGCTTTGTGATGGGTAGCAGCTTGAGCAAGGAAAAGGAGGGCTTCATATACTTATCTCGAAACCGAATTGTGAAAGTTGAATGTATGCAATGAACGAGATGTGATTATACAATGACTCCACTGAAGTGGTAGCTGTTGTTAAAGATGAACGCATAACATCATGGGACATGGATTTGTAACATTGAGGAAGACGACTTTAATGGCAACAAGTAGGAATATGTGAAAAGTGAGAGTGTGTCGAGTTAGTGTAAGACAGGGATGGGAAAAAGAGCCTAAGACCGGCTCGTGATTCTTATTGAGAGTGAGTTGCTGGAAGCACTGTGTTTACGCTCCAAGTGTTAGAACGACTTTGCATTGAAGAAGCAACCACTACTCTAGAGGCATCACGCTAAAGCGAAATAACTATCAAGGTGTTTACACTCTGCATGAAGACGTCAAGTCTAAAAGACTTTGTAGAAATGCAAGCCGTTGAATCACCCCTATCTTTTCGAGTGTAACTCCTTGTTTTTAGGCTTGATGGAGGCTTTCAAGGCTTTGGCAGCCTTGGCTACGCCATAGAGGATATCTCGACCCGAACCTCCGCGCTTTTGCCTCTTGGTTTTGGCTTGATCATTGGCAACCAATTGGTCATCCGCGGGAATTTCATCGAGTTGGGAATTTCCTGTGGGAGGGGGGCTTATTGATCAGGACTAACAACAAGAGTTGGCAAGAATATCGAAGACAATATGACCAGGAACATTAGTGCTCAGATTCTGGCATATCGGAAGTTGAGAATAGCTCGGAGAAGTGAGCTTTCATACCTTACCTTCCGCCAAACCATTTCCGAATGCCTTTCACGATGCTCCTACTAATATTTGCCACGGCATGTAAGATGCGGTGAGTCGCATTTGTCCGCCGATCCTCGATTCCATCATTGCCATCTAAGAATGACTGAGGCCATGGCTCTTCGAGGAGGCGAGGGTTGGCTTGATCGTAGGGGCTGCCAGGTGGCCTGGGATGACGTTGGCCCACTGATTTACGCTTGGTGTGTGGCTCCTCGAACTTGATCCGGGAAGCCTGTGAAGGCAGTAGCTCCTCCTCAGTTTGAGATAGCCACATGTCTTGCGCCGAATGCTCTTTGAGCCATCGCTGGACCCGCATATATATTGGCTGCGGGTGCTGAAGCTCGACGCAAGCGGTATACACGGGTGGTTGCTGTTCGTGGAATGGCATAATAACTTCGACTTGACCTTCGCCAACGGGATTGCGTCGTGTCGGAGCTTGATGCGCAGCCATTGCGGATTGCGGGAATGAGAAGGAAGTAGTGTTGGAGAGTGTCAGTTTCTGTAGAGGGCTGAGCTACTCACAAGAGCTGTGAGTGGTCTGAAGCTTTTCACGGATGGAAGAGGCAATCTATGCATGTAATGGAGCGGCAATGTGCGCAACTAGTGTATAGTGTTATGAAAACACCATCATATACAGTGATTTATGAGCGTACTTTAGTGATCGTCGTGTCGAAGCCTCGTAAATCCACAATGTTTCAGAGACTCACCTCCGACATCTCCCGCCTTGTTGTTCGGTCCCATCTGTGGCTAGATTAGTACCATGTAGAGACTTTCTCATATCGTTCAAGATAGGAGCCCTCTACGAAGACTGAACAAAGAGGTGCTGAAGACTTTTCAGGAAAGCCTTCTCGCTCTGGATGTCTCTTAGATCGATAGATCTTTCCTGATCTACCCCCGTCCGCGCAAAACTCTTCGTTAGATGAAAATTCCGTGCATGGTTTTAGTTTCGACAATGGTTTCACATACATTAGCAGAACCCTCAGAAGTCAGTGATGAGGGGGTAGAGGTTTAATTTGGAGAGAGAGTAAGGATCTTACATAGAGCTCACTCACAGAGGATGCTCAAATTGTTCAAAATAACACGCTGAGAAACCGAACGTTTCGCTCGAGGATTTCTTTGCCGAATTAGCAGAGACATAGCCATAGAAACGCCAGACCAACTTCAGAGCCAAGGAGAAGAAGGTATACGACACAGTGCGAGGACCATACTAGAAAACAGATCACAGCGAACACTCGAGATGTTCAGAGCCGTTCGCTACAAGGACGATGCGTTTGCGAAGATTGTAGTTGCCGTGTTAGCATGGGTACAGCAAGAGGAAGATCGGCTCTCTTACACGATCACACTATTGCTCGCCAGGCTCGCCAGGCTCAGCGGGACGACTACTTCGGAAAGGTTTCGTTAGCTTATGGAAGAACTTCTTCCATCCTCGCTTCACCGTGCCGAGGACCGACTGACGGTATTCCCATTCATGCATAGTCGTGTGTTCATGTGGCTTGAGGATCCCTGCGAACGTAATCGTAGGATTCGGCTCATGGTTTTGTACGAAACGATTGTCTATGTGGAAAAAGTGCGCGTGTATTGGATTTTCATGAGGATGAGTTCTCGGTCTTGTATCGGAATTGAGCCGCCGGAGGTGCCGTGGAAGTCGGTCACGGCGGAATCGCCTTCGCTGGCGTGCCTGAACTGTGGGTGGTTGCTCTTGCGTCTCTGGTGGAGCGACAGGAGCGGCTGGAGCCGTGATGGCACGGTCCGGAGCTTCAGATACCTGCAAGGGACGTTGGGGTCCAAGGGGAGGGCGAGGTATCGCAGATATCTGTCGCTCCCGATTGCGCGGAGCTTCAGCTATTGGCACGCGGCGCTTAGGTCTAGGTTCAAGGAGAGGTATCGTGGACGCCTCTCGCCCCTGATTGCGCGGAGCTTCGGGTATATGCACGCGACGCTGTGGTTGAGGCTCATGGAGAAGCATCGTAGATGTCTCTCGCGCCTGACCGCGTGGAGCTTCAGCTACATGTACACGATGTTGAGGTCGGGATTTATGGAGAGGTAACGCGGATGTTTCTCGCACTTGATTGCGTGGAGCGTTAGCTACTCGCACGCGATACTGAGGGGCTCCAAGCTCATGGCGAGGTGCGGCGTATGTCTCTTGCATCTGCTCGCCAGGAACGAAATATCCCCTACGATAGGGAGAGGAAGTGCCTTGCGGATGGGGCATGTTTTGAGGCTAGTGGAACGTTTGGCTTGACGTCTGACTGGGAATTTTTCTGGTGGCTTTGGAGACTGAAGGTTCTGAAGGTCTAATTCTGAGAGCTTTGAAAATGGACAACTGTTACTGATCTTTGTAGGTCAGGAGTGATGGGGAAGTAATGGCCTACGGACATAGAAGAGGGACTTTATACCTCATAGATCTGGGTATTGTGAATACACGTTTCTGAAAACTGTGCGAGAACTCTTCTTGATGCCTGCATTGTGGAAGTGTTGGCCGTCAGTTTCCGTGTATTGTACGAGTATTTTCGCCATCATTGCTTTGACAATGCTTTCTGTTCATAGTGAATGGCCAACTTCCACCTGTAACGGATAGAGAAGTCAGTGATTTCGACGATTCGTGCTTGGAAGATGGTATTTTTGGACAAGTGAATGGCGATTGTGGAGAATCGCGAACGAGAGTTGTACTGTCTCAACTGTTCAGCTTCATTGTCTCGACCGCAGCCTACACCAGCAAGAATTTTGGAAGTGAATCTGATTTGGGATGTATGATTGCTTGCAAAGCATGAACGCACTATGTGAAGCTCCATTCACTGTGAAGATGTTAGCACATAACGGAAGAAGCTTGACCAACATGGTACTCACAAGCGTCCACATCCCAATACCCACCACTCTCTAAGTATCCTGACAACCCTACTCGACAGAAAACCAAAACTTCAACCTCAGAAAACCCTACGTCTTTTTCTCATAAACTCCCAGCTATCATGGACTCAAAAATCCATGACGTCCTAATAATTGGCGCCGGTCCCTGCGGTCTCGTGGTGGCCGCTCGTCTTTGCGAACACACCCCCTCCGCCGTCTTCACCGACGAAGAGCACCAGCGCTACCACTGGATCCTCAAACACGGCCACCAAACTAGCATCAAGTCCAAGAAGACCGGCACCGTCTATCCACCCCGGCAATCACCCGCCGGGCGTAGTTACTCGGCTCTCGTCCTCGACAGCACGCGCGACGAGTGGATGACGCGGGGAAATAGGCTTTTCAAGACGTTCGAGATCGAGCATCTACGCAGCCCGATGTTTTTCTATGTTGATCCCGGGGATCGAGATGGGTTACTGGCGAATGCGCATGAGGAGGGGAGGGAGGGGGAGCTGAGTGAGATAAGGGAGTGTGTTGGGAAGGAGGTTAGTAAGCATTTGAGGAAGAAGCGGATGAAGTTCGAACGCCGGGGTGAGCTGCATCTTTGGTAGTTGCTGGTGATGTGCTGATTGTTCAAGGTCGAGGGCTGAAGTAGTGATTGATGAACGTGATCGGAACGATTACTTCACTCCTTCGCGAGGGTTGTTTGCGGAGCATTGCCGATGCGTTATTGATCGGTATGGTCTTCGCGAGGGCCTTGTTCGTCAGGAAAGTGTCCAGGATGTTGGATTCCGGGAAGTAGAAAATGTGGCTGGAGAAAGCGAACGAATTTTTACTCTGGAGACTAATAAAGGCATTCACTACGCACGATCAGTTGTCCTAGCCGTAGGACCCGGAAATGCTCCAGCAATACCTGGATTGAGTGCCTCAGAAAGGACAGATGGTGCATGCCAAAGCATGCAAATCCAGAGATTCCCCGGCCCATCCGTCCAGTCCAAGATCAAGGCCAAACGGGTGACCAACGTAATGGTCATCGGAGGCGGTGTGACTTCCGCTCAGCTCGTCGATCTCGCTGTTCGTCGAGGCGTTACGAAAGTGTGGCATGTGATGCGTGGTCCACTGAAAGGTTAGCATGTTCTTGCTAAGAGTTCACAAGAAGACTACTCACCTCACACAGTCAAACCGTTCGACGTCGACTTGGTATGGATGGGGAAATTCCGGAACATCGAACAAGCCTACTTTTGGTACGCCAACAGCGACAACGGTACTCTTTTTCCCCCTCCTCACCCCAGACCATCTCCTGCCACGTCTCTAGTATTACACAGAACGCCTCGCCCATTTAGCTACCGCCCGCAATGGAGGCAGTGTAACTCCCCGCGCGCTCAAAGCCATGAAAGCCCACATCGCTGCCCACCGGGCATCTCTCTATTCTTTCACAACCATACAATCCAAGACATGGAATCCAGAAAGCCATACCTGGACGGTTACCACTTCCCCGCAGATCCCCGATCTGCCGCCTTTTGATTATATCTACTTCGCGACAGGTATCGCGACAGATATTAGTACGCTACCCTTTTTGGGGATTTTGCATAGGGAGTTCCTCATCAAGACGAAAGGTGGATTGCCATGTTTGAAACGATGATCTGATGTGGAAAGATGACGTACCCCTATTAGGAAGGCTGGCAGGGTTGAGATTAGGGCCGGGTGCTGGGAATTTGGCAGGTGCACGGGTAGGTGCTGAGAGGGTAGTTTGGGGGATCGAGGACGTGCTTGGTAAGAGTACGAATGGCGTGAAATATGGAAAGTGGGACTGGCAATTTGATTATGCTAGTGGGAGAGGGAACAGGTTTGACAGTTTGACAGGGGAGGATTGCAGGGAGAGTAAAGAGTGATAGAGGTTTAGAAAGACTGTTCACAAATCGAATCATATGACTAACTTGCCCGACTGGATACCGGAAGCTGATATTCTATTCTGTCTCAATCCACTACTAAGGTACACAGCTGTCAAGTTCCTTTTCTGAAGTATCAGTGAAACGGTGATCTAGTGTAGGAGGCAACCTGGATTTGGCCCATTGGTCGTAGAATGCTACCTCTTGAAGTCATCCAAGCAAGTAGCCGGCCAATCAAGATCATAGAGTAGCCAATTCAATTCTGAGACAATAAACCATCTTATTTGGCTTTTGTTTAGAAGGCGTGGAAAGCGCCCCAAGCAGTCGTTAACAAGTTATGCAAAGACCTGTGACGAGGCGCCGAATCTCGCTCGAGGTCGTTCGGTCTGCAAGAGGCCAGGGGATTTCTTGGCGAGGGTCTGCAGAAGCATGTCTATCAGCACAATCGAATCGTCTTCGCTCTTTCGTCCGGATTCCTGGACCTCCTTCATGATAGGACATTGCATCATCGCTTGCTGGTGGTGACGAGCCACACCCTGTACTATTGCCTAGCTGATCGCGTTGTCGTTCGTGCAGTCGTTTATGCCATGCCGACTGCATAAATCTTTGATTGAGCTCAATCGATCCCATTAGACAATTTTCGCTTCTTCGCCTCCTGCTCGGCATCCCCCCTCACCTCCACCTCTCTTCTCCTTCGCTGAATGAGCTCTGCTTCATGGCGTTGACGAGCCTGCTGCGCTGCTACGTCGCGGGCTCGTAGTGCGTGGACAGCCTCCTTGATTCTACCCTCGGCGGCTATAAGGTCTTCCTCGGTGACAGGATCTTCAATAGACTCGAGGACGCCGTTTACAGTGCTGATGTGGTTTGCGTCCTTCTTGTCGTCACGCCAGCGTGGTGTTCCATCATCTTCGCGTTTGTACCGCCACCGTCCTGACGGATCTCTGTAGCACTCGATTATCCGCCCATCCAACGGCTGTCCCAAGGCTTTGAGTATCTCCCAGTCCGCTTCTTCGATGTAAAGATCGTGCTGGAAGGGCTTGTACTGGTTGTTGTTATGCTGTACCAACAATATAAAGCGATCGGGCATGGCGTCGAAATCCGGGATCTCCCCTTCCTCTCCATCCTGGGGATCGAACGTCGGAAACTCGCCTAGCCGGAGTTTGAAGTCAATTGTGTTCTCCTGCGGCGGCTTCCACTTCAGAATGTGTTTATCGGTTCCGAATTTGTAGGGTGTGCTCTTGCAAGTGAAAATCAGGCCGTCGTTGCCATGCGGCAGGCTCGGGAGAACGTGTCTAAACATGTCGCTGATGTGGTAAGGCGAGTGGACTTCCTTCAGCTTGACTCGGAAGGGCTCACGCTCCTGCATTTTTGGGTTTTGCTGCCGCCATATGTTGAGCGGTTTGAAAATGTTTTCATGCAGCTTCCCCAGCCGCTTGTCTAGCGGCTTTTTTGTGACATTCTCGTCGCCGACGGCAAGGCAGTCGAAGATATAGAATATGAGGCGCGGCCTCGGGTTGTTTGGGAGAAAGTCGTGCACCAATTCGCCGTCGAGAAGCGTGCCGAATGTAAAAATGTTCTCATCATGAGGGTTGCTGATGTGTGGGAAATGGAGACCGGGCGGGACAAGGTAGAAATTGTTCTTGCGGTCGATGAGGAAGTGATCAGGCCTAAAGGAACCGTCCTCATTATGGCTATAGGTCAAGTAGAGCAAGCAGCGTATTCCATCCGTCTTCTCACACATGAAGTATTCTGACCGCTGCAGCTCATGGATGTGTTCTCGCGCGAAACTGATTGGTTGTGCGCCAGGGAAGTGGTCGGTGTCGCGCTCAAGCAGGCCGGCTACCGCACCGCGAAGATCTCGCTCCACGTCACGCGGCATCTTCGAGCCGGGGATACCGGGTGGGACTGAGTGTGGCGGCATCTCGCAAGGTGGCGTTGCGCGTTATTAGAAGATGGTGTGGTGGGCTGGCGGTGGGAGTTGTAGAGGCGGGAGTTGAGAGAATCGGAGGGGCTATTTGAGTTCGCGAGCGCGGTCTAATATTGAAATTGTGTTATAAGCTGGTGTCAGGTCAGCGACGAATGGTATTGAGTATGGTGAGTATACGTGGTCGGGGCAAGGAGCCCCAGCTCGTATGGAGTCGACGGCATTCACCATGCAAGGTGGACAAAGATCTGGAGTTGGCGCGTGTGGATCCCATCACGTGATCGTCGATACTGTCGATCTCATAAGATCACAAGATTCGAACAATGATGGGGAAGGGACAGTACTATATAATTATTTGAACTTACATTAAGCTTCATGGTCTGATTTAGGTATATCAAGATACAGATCATATTTGAATCACATGCAGCATAAAAGATGCTGGAAGCTTTGCAGACAATTTATCTTTTACATCTTCTACAGAATCCAATTGAGCTTTTTTTCCCCTTTCACAGAGCCATGGAAGTCTTCCAAATTCACAAACATCTCTCGACGACCCCGCCGCCCACTACCTCATGCTTTCTCAGAGCCTCCGAACCACTGCGTCGCGCGGCATTGTGGGCTCAATGTAGCCGCATTTCCTTCGGGAATTTCCATCATGGTTGGATCGCCCATGCTCAGGCTGTCGACGCCAATCTCATCAGCCGCATCATCTCCAGGAACCATCTCGCTAAGGTGCGGCGTGCCAACGACATCTTCTCGATGACACTTCATCTCCTCGTCCAGAAGGAAAGCGCTGTGTTTGCGTTTGGGCATGACAGGTTCAAAAGACTGCGCCGATGTCTGTTCCCCTTCTAATCGGATTTTCCGGTCTCTTGCGTAGTGGGCACGTGCTTTTAGCCACGAAGCTCGTCGACGGGTATCTGGGACCAAGGAGGTAGGGAAGAGACATCGCGCCGCCGTTTGCACGTCTTCCTCGTTAGGAAAAGGCCGATCGGGTAGTGGCTGCGGTCCAAGCGCTAAATGAGGAGGTGACGATTGCGGAATAGCGTTTTCAGAGCTGGAAGATTGTTGAGGGCTGAGCTGATTGATGATTTTTGGGTCTGGTGGGGGAAAGAGTGGCCGATTGATACGATTGCCAACCAGTTCTTCCGCTTCGGCGAGAGTCAAGGAGGGATTAGGTGGGATCAAAGCCGGACGTCGCGCGCGCTGGAAAGTGGGATGTGGGGATTCAGGGACTCCACTGCGATCAACGTAAGAAGAGAAGGATTGGTCGAAAGCAAACCTCTCGAAGGAGGGTGTGCTTAAACTCTCGCGGCCAGTGCAAGTCATGCTGAGGCAGTGAAACGTCCGAAAGCAGCGGCAATCGCTGTTGTCACGAGATGCAAAGTGATCAAGTTGCTATGCACATTCTCCCGCAGACCTCCTAGAAGATCTTATATATCAATCTCGTGTATCGGGTCCGGCATCTTTCGTCCAGGATCGCCGCAACGCAGGTCCTGACGTACGCGTTTGTGACTGAAGCTGCATAGAACATTATTCTAACCTTATTGTTTGCTTCAACATGATAAGGATTCGTCCAACACAAACTTTGAGCGGACGGGATGGACATTGAATTTGACGAAGGAAAATGATATTGGGATATCGAAAGATATTCGCAAGAAGTTTAAGTCGTCTGCCATTCCAAAGTGTCAAATATGCGACAGATCAGATGAGAAGAGGAATGGAATGAAGGAAGAGTTTCGAGTCGATGACTTTAGAGCAAACTATCAGGGGTAGGTGACAAAGCAAGGAAGTTGTTTGGTGTTTGTGAGGCTAAGCTGCTCCAGCCGCTTCCGATGGTTCACTGAGAGTAACATTACTATGGCAAGCACTGTCAGGACAAGAGCCGCAATTGTTGCTGTTGCACGAGGGCTAATTTCCAGAGGAATCGCTCCGGCACCAGCTTGAGTAAACGCAATTACTGTCAGGTTGGCCAGCAAACCTTCATCCATAGGCATGTAGACTAAGATACTAGAGCGCCTGTCCCGGATGCATTTGAACGCGTTACTACGTCCACGTCGCAGTTCCGACACGACAGAAACAAAACTCGGCAGCGATATCCAGTTGCGGAGAGGCGGCTTACGGGCCTCGTGGAAGCTGTACGCGCACGTTGAGAATGCCGTTGCAATCTGAAGGTGGTCTGATATCAGGGCGTTTGTGGGGGAAACTGAACCCTCCAGTGAGGTTGTAATTGATCAGTGAAGGAGGGCAGAGGCGTGGAGGTTCGCCAACAGAAAGCGAGCACGGAAGCACGTCATTTTTCGCCGGCAGCTTGGCGTGTCTAGACAGCCCTGAATAGCCGTGGTGGATGACTCCAGGTGACTGTCCGACCCTCGACAGGGAATAAAGAACTGGAATATGCCCTCCGTCCAGCCTCATCTCTCTAGAACTTACACGTCTGGTCTGCCTCACTCATGACACCAGGAATTATGGCCGCGTCTTCCTCCAACGGCGCCGCACTCAATGGCAGCCAGAAGTATCGTAAGTCCCCTCCGAACTTTTTTTTTGGACTTTTGCCCATGCAAACATATTCACTGACATCTAAGCAGGCAGGATAACTTCTCAGCCCGAGAATCCGTTTGCTAGCTTTATACCCGACCAGTCCTTGGCCATTGTCCCCGAATTCACCCTTGAATCTGGTGTTGTCCTCTACAATGTTCCCGTCGCGTACAAAACCTTCGGAGCCCTGTCCCCACAGAGAGACAATGCTATGGTTATTTGCCATGCCCTTACAGGAAGTGCGGATGTGGGTGACTGGTGGGGTCCTTTACTAGGAGGCCCGGGGAAGGCGTTTGACACCTCGAGATTCTTCGTCGTATGCATAAACAGCCTGGGAAGTCCGTACGGGAGCGCAAGCCCCGTCACGGCGAAGGATGGAGATACCGCGAAAGGGCTATACGGCCCAGAGTTCCCGCTCACTACTGTGAGGGACGATGTCAATATCTTCAAGCTTATACTCGATGATCTCGGAGTTCGACAAATTGCTGCTGTCATTGGAGGGTCCATGGGAGGCATGCTTGTCTTGGAGTTTGCATACTTTGGCAAAGACTACGTCCGGTGTATCATACCTATCGCAACCTCAGCGCGGTACAGCGCGTGGGGTATAAGCTGGGGCGAGGCGCAAAGACAAAGCATTTACTGCGACCCAAAATACGACGATGGATACTATACATTCGAGGACCCTCCATCAACCGGACTAGGGGCTGCACGCATGTCGGCACTACTCACCTATCGCAGTCGTGACTCTTTCGAATCACGGTTTGGACGGAATACTCCTGATCCCTCAAAGAGGCAAAATATAAACGGCGGCCAAAGGCCATCTACACCATCTCAAGAAGCTTGGGCTATCCACAATGACGGACACAAGAACGCACGATCTCCACGGCCCTCGCGAGTCACCAGCTCCGCAAGCATAGCCACTAGTATCCCCAATGCCGCCTCAGCTCATTCCAATCTTGAATTTCACAACCCATCCACCTCAGCAACCATCGAGAAGTCGAACGATGCTCTCAACGAGAGTGCCAAAGGGAACGTCTCCGAACGAGCGAAAAAACAAACGCCAACTTACTTCTCTGCCCAGTCCTACCTCCGCTATCAGGGCGAGAAATTCATCAAACGCTTCGACGCAAATTGCTACATCGCCATAACGCGCAAGCTCGACACTCACGATGTCTCACGACACCGATATCCCGAGGGCTGCACTCCCCATGACACCCATCCCGTAACGGCCTTGCATCACGCTCTGTCACTAGTCTCGCAGCCGACACTCATATTGGGCATACAATCCGATGGCCTCTTCACATTCGCTGAGCAGCAAGAGCTAGCTGCGCATATCCCAAATGCCGCTTTGAAAACAATTGACTCGCCTGAAGGCCATGACGCCTTTTTGCTCGAATTTGAGCAAGTCAATACGCACTTGGTCAAGTTCTTGAACGAAACACTTCCAGATATAATGAGCCGAAGTCCACAATTGGAGGGCGTTATTGGAGAGAGCGATGATGGGGCTATGGGAGCGAAGAAGACCAGCACGTTCGGCGAGGCAGAGGTTGACGATATCACGGCTTGGTAACGGCTATTTCATGAGTGATGGGATCTAGAGGTTCCGGAACGTAACATCATGCGTGTGTGAATATCTAAGCGTATTGGGGCACTTCAGACAGTGGTAGAACAGTCGCAAAATGAGGATAGATGTGGGCTAGAATAGAGGGTGGTTATAAAGAGTAGAAGTGCAGAGGGCACCCAATGCTATGCCTGTGACTATGCGGAACGGCCTCTAGGGTACTCCACACCGTACTGTAATTCTAGTTCTAATCTAAAGGTTCTGGAATGTGACATTATATATATAAATATTTAAGAGTATGGGGGCACTTCAGACAGTGGTAGAACAGTTGCAAAATAAGGACAGATGTGGGCTAGAATAGAGGGTAGTTATAAAGAGTAGAAGATTAAGATAATAAGGGACGCGCAGAGGGCACCCAATGCCATGTTTTTAACCATGCGGAACGGCCTCTAGCTAGAAACTTGCTAGGCCAATTGAAACGGCTCATATGCAGCTGAGGGGCACTGCTATCCCTTCGCACGCCGGAATGCGTCCACAAAAATCTAGCCAATCAGAGGCTCTGAATCAGGCCACCGTGATGACGACTACGCCCAACTGAAGCAATTCGAATTCGTGTATATAATTGTATATAGCTAGTCCTTGGTGTTGAGCTTAGCTATATGATCTACCCAACCCGTGCAAATGGATTTGTTTGCACTCGTAACTCTGCAGAAAGGAATCGAACAGCACGAGCACCCGTATCTAGTTCTCGGCGCCCGTTGTGGGCGCGTCCAGTCCTGACTACTACGAGATTTCCTAGTGGTGTTGACCGATAGATCCGCCAGCGGCTTCCTAGTTGTGCTATTGACGTTTGTAACCTTTCGTCCGGCTTCAATGCATGCACTACAGTTTTGAGGCTTCTTCCATAGCCTCACGTGCTTGTGCTCCCGCACCGGCTGCCAGATAATATCGTTGGTACCCTTCCTATTGTTCATAGGACGCCTGTGTCCAGCAACCCGTTGCGAGGCCTTACAAAGTTGGACATAGAGGTCCATACAGAATTGTAGATGTGTATCCTTGCGGGTGCTGTGGTGGCCAGGCCGTGGCCAGTAGCTTGATAGCTTGTAGCAGTTGGTGATGACGGTGTCTAGCAGGAAGCTGAACAGCGGCCGCCACGTTTTCATGTGAATCTTCTGGGTGTTGTAGTAGCTACGCAGCTGATCGGCAATATCAACGCCGCACATATGCAAATTGTATTCGTCGATGTGCACGGGTATGTCCAGCCAGGCCCTGAACTCGTCACCGAACACTAGCTTAGTCTGTGCGAAGCCTGTAGCTGTAGGGGCAGGCCTTTTTCGTAGTTTGCAGACGTACACTTGACCTGGCGATGTATGACGTCAGCGGCTCTGCAGCGCCAAGAATCAACACCAAACTTACCATCGTGAACTGTTGAGAGGAATAAAACGACCCTGGCGTCCTTCCAGGCCATTTCCATCACCTGGTGACTCTTAGATAACTCTCCATAGAGCGTCCCCCATGGAATTTGGGGCTCATGGATTGTTCTAAGGTCTGCCAGCCGCGCATTAATGGCCTCGGCCGGCAGCTTCTCTTTGGCCTTTGTCCCCTTCTTCTTTTTATCCTTTTTCTTATCATCTAGCTCCTCGCGCTTTATCTTTGTAAGCCGGAAAGTTCCTGCAGCTCCAACACCCTCAGCGCGTAGTCGCTCGAACAATCTAATACTGCTAAAGAGGTTATCAAGCCAGACTACATGCTGGCCAGGCGGGTAGAGTCGCTTGTCTGAATCAGCGTCGCGTTGGAGGAGAAGATCAAGAACAACAGCTTCCGTTGGTGTAAAGCCATCGCAAACAAAGGATTTATCAAGGTCAACAGGGCCTTTGTTGTCGCCCTTAGCGTGCCATAGCCAATCTAGAATGTAGCCTTAATTAGCTAGAACCCAGATTTTGAAGCCTTTAGGTGTAGGCTTCGTTGGAATGTTCACAATCTCGGACGCCCTGCCCATAAACCTCTCTATTGTCTCGTCGACAGCCAGATGCGTGCCTGGCGCCCAGTACTGCCGGCAGCATACTCGAATATGCTCAGAGAGCTCATCTACACGGTCAAATGTCGTGTGGAAGCCATCGTCTGGCATAGAGCTGGCGCGAATGTAGCGATCGAGCTGCTGGAAACGGTTCCTGCTTATGTAGTTGCTTGGCCAGTTGGCCATGCCAGCTTCAATCGCCCAGTAGGCCTCAATTGACGGCTGCACTACCACTCCCATATAAATAACAACTCCAAAATATGCGTACAACTCTCTCCTGTTTGTAGGCCTCCATGCGCGCTCTCGGCCAAGCGGTGCATCCTCCTTGGACGGCTGGTAATCCGTGGCGTACTCGTTCGTCCAGCGCACCATTTTCTCCACCATTTCATCGGTAAAGAATAGACAGAATAGGGCCATAGGATCATGCTGAGCAAGACCTGAAGGTATATTGGGGGTGCCCGGCGCATTGTAGTTGTCGATTTGTAGTGGCTCGAATGCAGGCAGCTGCGTAGGCTCGGGGTATGGGAGTTTGGGGTGCGCTCGAGGCTTCGGATCCTTCTGCACGAGGTCGATATCATTGGAAAATGTCTTAGGCATTGTAGAGCATTGAATTGTGGAAAATAACTAGCTACTTGGCTTGTTTACATGCTGGCGCGTACGTTGGGGCACGGGCTTGGCGCCAAGCGAGGACGCCGGCGTGCGAAGGGATAGCTGTTCTAGATTTCCGAAAAGAGATCGAAGCCACGTCCACGACGTTCAGCAGGTATCGACAGAATGATCTCCTAATTGTATGAAGGTAGGACCCTGCAGATAAGAGCGAATTGGGCGGAGTCACGTGCTATCGCGTACACTCCATCAATCGGAAGGTATTTTTGATTGCTTCTTGATCTTACTGCACGAGGCTGAGGATCCAGACGAGCTCAGTCAATTTGAACAGGGAGCACAATTTACGATAATGAGGAAGCCATCTGTGCGCTGGGACTTAGATGGAGGGGAATGATTACAAAATAGGAGCATGAGCAAATTGCGGACATATATCGCAATCTTATGAGTGTGGAAGACTATGCCAGTAAGTGATGCTCCCAAACGTATCACGTCCTGACAATCACACATACTTCCAAATACTAAGTACAGTACTAGGTCATAAGTCTGGGCGCACGGATTTATCACTGCTTAGCTCTAATCTTGCTCACTCAACACCACTGTGAGGAGTAGCCCAGCTGGTAAACAGCCAGTCAGTCAAGTGTCTAATTTGCACTACTTGATACTTGACATTGCGCCTAGGTTTTTGAAAATCCATGGGGGTACCCCAAGTGGTGGTAAATGCGTGTGCACAGTCTTACGACCTGTCACTGTAAATTCCAACCCCCTCCAGCTCCCCATCAGACCGCCTCCACACCCGCGCCAGCTCCCTTCTCTCTCCCTTCCACCTCCCCCTCATCGTCTACAACCGCCTCATGAATCTCCCTCACATTCCGCCTATGCAACTTCCGCACCACATCTCCCGTCAGCAAATGATCGATATTCTTGACAAATAGACTCGCAATAACCCCACACATCCCAAACGAAATCGTCGCCAAAAACACAGTCTTTATCGCGCCCGAGAACGCGTTCTTCTCCGCCAGCGTCAGCGCCGCGCCCACCGCCGCATTAAACCCCGGCACCGCCGCCAACGCGTCCGCTGTGCCCGCCGCAATCGCCTTGAACAGTGCAGGCAGCGAGGACGCGGGCAGCCCGGCCTCGAGCACAGCAGCGGGGATGAGTTTCGCGGAGAGCGTCGTGTCGCGATTATTGAGGATAGACACGTAGACGGCCGTCGCAATTGCACCGGCTGACGCGCGGATGGCGCCCATGACGCCAATGGCGAGGCCAATGTCCTCAGGCGCCGTCGTGAACGGGATCGAGACGATGGGGATGACTTCGACGAAGCCGGCGAACCAGGTCCCGACTATGGAGAGGGCGATGGAGCGGGACTGGGAGTGCTGCGTCGTGCTGGCTAGCGAGGCGACGAAGGCGGTCATGCATATGGCCGCGATGATGAGCTGGTAGCGGACGTGGCCGATCGGGGCGAAGGCAAGCCCGCAGCATATGTTGCCGAGCTGGTTGCCGCCGGTTGCGGACACGGAGAGCCACCCTTGGTGGATGAGGTCGGTGGTGAAGAGGGTCGCGACCGTTTGGGGCCACACGATGCCGAGGGCGTAGTAGATCATGCCGCCGATGCAGGCGCAGACGACGAACATCATGAACTGGACATTCCGCAGTAGGGAGACGGGGATGAGGGGGTCGGCCGGGACGAAGGCCTCGTAGAAGACCAGCGCGACGATGATGAAGAAGCCGAGCACGATGCAGACGATGACTTGGGCGGATTTCCAGGGGTAGAGTTGGCCGCCCCAGTTGATGCCGAGCAGGAAGAGCACTTCGCCTGCCATGAAGATGAAGATGCCGCCGAAGTCAAGGGCTTTGATCTTCTGCCACTTGGTCTTGCCCATGTGGAGCATTTCGAAGGTTGGGGGGTGGTAAAAGACAAGGAGCAGCAGTCCAGCGAGTACGTTTGTGATAATGGTGAGGTAGTAATCCCACCGCCACCCAGCGCTCGTGTGCGCGATGAACGACTTCGCGATGATAGGGCCAAACACGGCGCCGGGCGTCACAACCGTGAGCACGAAGGCCGCCATAACGCCTCGCGCTTTCAGCGGGACTAGCTCCTGGATTACGGTGCCGTACGACTGCTGGATCGCGGCACCGAAGCCTATGAAGACGTTGGAGACGATCATGGCGCTCATGTTCTGCGCAGTCGCCGCGATGATGCAGCCGATGAGTCCCAGCACGTCGCCGGAGATGTAAAACCAGCGGCGGCCGAAGATGTCAGAGAGCCGTCCGAAGAGCACCCATCCGACGGCGCTGGTCACGATGTAGGCGAGGGGGACCCAGAGGAGGTTCTTGGAGGGACCGAGCTCCGCGTCGATGGCTGTGAGGCTGTTGGACGCCAGGGTCCAGCCCAGGTAGCCGTTGCCGCAACTGAGACCGACGCCCTGTTGGTGGGAGTTGTTAGTATGTAGGATTCAGTGGGCAGAGTAGTAGGAACGGTGTCTTTACGAATGCAGTGCCGATGAACTGGAGACTCGTGAAATAGCCTGGCGGGAGATCGTCTCCGAGAGCTTCTTGAGCGAGGATGTCGCCATGGGCGCGGAGGACGTGCTTGGATGCGTGTATCTCGTCGTGGCCTTCGTGGATGCTTTCTTGGTGGTCCATGGTGGGTTTTGGCTCGGCCGCTTCTGTAGCCATTGTGACAGATTCCAGTCTCCTCTGCGTATCAGGAGCTGGAAGTATCGACTCTTTATATGATATTGCTTATCAGCAGAGTAGTGCGGGATTCGAGTATTCCAATCCTCTCGTCAGTGTTGCGCAAAAATCAATGAACAAACGACAACGCTCATAGCACACCCAGAATTTCCAAACAAACGGCAATCACTATTTCCGAGGACCCGGACTGCCCATGCTTGCCCTAAGTGCTTTCCCCACGGGGTAACTTGGTATTAAGTATGCCATCGTATGTGTTCCACACGAGTATGAGGGGTGGCCGGCAATTTTCGGTGGCATCGGGACCGGGTGGGATTTTGAGGTTTGTCGGCTGCGGATATGGATCGTTGCCGGAATCAGCATGGTCTGGCGTGATATGCGTCCTGGCACAGGCCTAGAATCAGAGTCAGCATCTTGGAATCTGGGGAAGCGTTGGGCTTGCGGGGGTGGTGTTTGGGAGTGAGATTGGCGAGGCTGCTTCCGGGTGGCTTGTCAACCTAGCTCTCGACTAGACCACGTCAGATGGGGTTCTGCAGCGATCGAAAAGGACGATATCGGTCCTACGGTGCAAGTTGACAGAGGGCCGTCTATACTTTTTCACGCCGAGACGAGTCTGTCCCAGCGACGCGCGCGGTATTCGCACTAGCCTTTCGTTAACCGTGGAAACGAATGTCAGCCTTCCAGCCCAATGCGAAAACAGGTGATGCCACAATCTCGAGCACGGAAATCAGAGTGGCAGGTTTCGCCTGGAGATTACAATCAATTGACGTTGTCGGGGGTGGCCCAGCGAGGTAAGCAGTAGAACAATACACCAAGACAGTGGTATCTACGCGCAGAATCTTAGAACGCCTTTGCCCGCCCAATACCAAATGCTCGAGAAACCAATTGCGGAGATATAGAACATCCCTTCTCTTACAAAACATCCTTAGTGTCGAACTTCACAATAATTGTGGTTCTCATGACCGCCCTGCTTCCCCTTCCCGCTGCTCACCGTGCCGCTCCGGCTCGTAGTTCGTCTCGCCTAGCATGTGCGCTGCTTGCGGTGCCTGGGGCGCCGGTGCCACGGGCTTGCTCGCTGCTGCGTGGAGACGCTGGTCTAGTGCTTTTAGAGCAAGTGCGCGTCTCCGTTCCGCCTCCTCGCGCCGGCCGCCGCCACGTCCGCTTCGTCCGTTGGGGTTCATCAGACTCGGTAGCCCGCCCTCCGCTCGCGCGTGCGCTTGCTCGTTTCCAGCGTCGACGTCCGAGTCTGAGAAGGGCTTGAGGACCCGCAGGGTGATCAGGGTGCTGTAGACCGAGTCCGCGAGCTTCGAGATCGGGGTATGGATCGGCTCGGGGAAGAAGTACGCGAAGGCGAAGGTGTCGGAGGCGTCGCCCTTCATGGTGCTGCCGTCGCCAGTGGCAGCGGAGGAGATGCTGGGCGAGAGGCGATAGAAGCGGAGGTAGATCCAGGCGGTGAAGAAGCCGAACCAGGAGAGGAAGAGGGCGGTTTCGGTACCGAATAGGACGCCGGAGATGGTATTGGCGAGCAAGAAGATGGCGGGGAAGTGCTTTACGCGCATGCGGATGAGGCCTTTGAGGATGGCGACGGTGTGCTCGGGGACGAGCTGCTTGAAGGAGACGAGGAAGGCAGCTTGGAGGGCGACGCCGCCGGAGATGGTGGTGGTTCTGGAGCGCGTTATTAGGGGGGAATGGGGGTAGTGAGGAGGGAGCGCTTACAACGCGGCATCGGACTTGGAGATGACGAAGGAGAGGATGTAGATCAGGAAGGTCAGAAGATTGGGTATCATGGCGACGAAGAGGATGAACTTTGTGAACTCGGTGGAGCTCCATGCCCGTTCCAGGTACCGTCCGCCGTAGAAGACAGTCAACCCAGTGATTACGAGGCCGAAGACATTCTGCTCGACCACGGTGGCTAGCAGAAACACCCAAGGGTATATTATTGACACTCCTGGCACAATGGCGAGGTATGGCACGCCATCTCCTACGCCCACGATGGGCTTCTCAACCTTGGAGACCCAGTCGTCCTGGGGCCGCAGGAGAGCGTTGAGGACTGTGAGGACGACGAGCGACACGAGAAGGCTCCGCGTTAAGGGCGGAAGGTTGATGCGCGGTGCCATGGCGTCAGTAAAGGTGCTGCCTAGCCAGTCGTTCCCAAGCTGCGTGAAGGGTGTTGTGGGATAGAGAGGCCGCTGGTAATAGAAAAGGACGGGACGGCTCCGGATAGGGTGCACGGCACGGAGAGGGCGCCGGGAGTGAATTCGGCGTGGTGGAGGGCGAGTGCAGACGATGCCGTGTCGTGAACGTCTGGCTTGGCTTGGGCGTGGCTTTGCTGGGGCGTCCCCGAGGCCGATCGTCTCCCGGTCGGCCCATTCTTTCGGCCCTAGCAGTCTAACTAGCCGTAGCCGTAGCGCAGGACAGAGGCACGTGAGAGGCACCAGAGACTCCACTGCAGCTATCCTCATCCTCATCCGCCGCGTCTCCCGCCCGACTCCAGCCCCAAATCCCACCGCCAAATCTTATCGCCACCTGCGCATCGTCTGCTCCCCCGTTCCGAGCCCTTCTTGACGCGACCACCTTGTTTGCTGAGCACGCGCGTTCTGCGACGGCCATGCGCAATGCCGGTTGAGCCGCTCTCCTCCAACGTCGTCAATTACCTCGTGTGGAGATACCTCCAGGAATCTGGTGAGCATCGTGCGCGCCAACTGCATCTCTCCTCGCCGCTGATCCTGTCCAGGCTTCGGGAATGCGGCAGTCCAGCTGTCGCGCAGCTGGTACCACAACCCCGACCGTCTTCCTTTCGCAAAGCACGTCTCTTCCCACGCCCTCATCCACATTCTGCAGGATGGCCTCTGGTTTGACAAGCTGCAGGCCGAGGTGAAGGATGTTCGTCGCCTCCCTTCGAGCCACTCTCCGTGTTCTGACAGTGTTCAGGGCCAGCGCCGGTATCAGTTTGGACGCGACCATGGACGGCCCTTCTCCCTCCACAGCACCGAGAGCTCAATGCTGGACCAACAGCCACCCCCGGATCTGTTCGAAGAGACGAACGGTACGGGTGCAGATGCCCCAGCCCGGAGAGGGCCCACGAGAAAGAAGCAGAAGAAGACAAATGGCATTGTGGACCGGCAGGTCAATGGCGATGCGATGGACATTGACCACAACGGCTCTCTCCAGATCACCCCATCCCTTCGTGGTGAATCTGAGGCTGTTGTGTCTGATGCCGAATCGCCATCTGTCGTAGAAGAAATTCCCATATCCACACTCAGTATCGGGCAAAGCACCTACATCCAAACCGAAGAGCACCCGCCCTGGGAGAATGAAGACCCCACCAGCCGCGGACTCGAGAGCGGCTACCCTCCCCGACGCGAACTGAACGCCCCACAAGCGACTAACCTCATAGCGAAGGAACCGGACAAGGAGATCACGCACACTCTGTGGGACCCTTCCGCGCCTTTGCTTCTACTCACTGGAGGGAAGTCCCTGGCGAGGCTCCAAGATATTACCGATTTACGACGGTCCCTAAATTTCCAGATCCCGCTCAACGATTTTAGCGTAACAGCTGTGTGTTTCACCTCCAATGAAGAGGTTGCAATTGCAGCTCGGGAGGAACACATCAATGAGCAAGGAGATACGATGAAGACGGACAAGTTGATCAAGGTCATTGACGCAGGTCGAGATTCACGCATAATCTCTTCGGTCGTAGGAATGGTGTCTACCCTGCGATGGAATCCTTCGTCGCGGACCTTGTTGAGCGTCTCGACCACTGACATGGCCGGAAGTATCAAGATCTGGACAAACGATGACACCATGCCAGCCTTCACCGCCTTTGCTGAATCCGCAATCATGGACGCAGCTTGGATGACCGAAACAGAATTCGTCGTTTGTGGCTTGAATCTCGTACAAGTATATCAGATTGATGGGGAGTTGAAGCTACTACACTCCTTCAAAAAGGAAGGGACCTGGGAGACGGTCAAGTATGATCCAATGCATCGCATCATAATCTGTGCTGCATTCGAGGAGGAGCTTATGGGAGTCATCTACCTCGACGTCACATCAAAAGGCATTCAGACTACCAAACATCCGGACAAGTTCTTTTCGGGCATGGAGCTATCAAGTTTGAGGCAGCCTGCCGGCGACTCTGGACGGGCCCCTTGCTTCGTCGGTACTTGCGCTGCTGCCGGTGCATATGTATGGGATGTAGGGGATTCAGAAGATCCCTTCCGAGAATACCGCCACTTCGCCGTTCCTCTCGCCACCCAAGCTCGCTGTCTTGCCTTCTCCAACTCTGGGGAACTGGTTGCAGTCGGAACTAAAGATTCGGTCTTAATATGGAAGGTCGTAGGGGGAGCTTACGAAGTCAAATGGCTTTGGACGGAAGGATCTGATCTTGAACAAGAACAAGAACAAAATCTGAGCTGGAACCACGATGACTCGATGCTTGCTTTCTCCATTGGCGGCCAAGTATGGATGCTCTCTCTATTTGCTTCTGATGAGGATGCTAATAAATGAAAGGTCGCTGTCATCAATCTCCAGGAGTAGAGAACATTAACGATGACCAAGGAGTTTCAATAGCCATCGATAGGCGTTTGTACACTCGCTTATCACCGCTTGAGGTCCTCTGGCATCTTATCAGAAACTGTAAACCTACAGTTTTGTCAAGCCAGATAGCTTGCCGGGCCACCGCCGACGGTGCCGGACATTGCTACAGGGTCTCGCGATAGTTCCTCACGTGATTATCTGTCTGCGTCACGTTCTCCAAGGCTATCGCGCTGATGTGGGGTAGCGTTCCTCAGATCACCCTCAAGCTGCGGGTGCGAGAAACATGTTGGGTACTCGGACCCAACCACCTACTTCGGTACGGAATACCGGCCCACAGTAGCTGGGCCATGGAGGAACATCAGGGCGAACCTGGGAGCTATATACCGAGCCTGCAGCTAGATACAAAAATGCATATATCCGTATCGCAGCCTGCTGAGGTTTGGATATCAGACAGTCTCTTGCCATGGAGGCATCCTAGCTGGACCCGCGAGCTTAGATACGAACTTATTCTTGAATCGAAAGCTACGATCGGACTTTTCAGCCTTGGCCCTGTGTCGTCTATTCGCAACATGATAAATCGGTTTCATAGAACTCGTGGACTCATTGCGAGGAAGCCTAGATGTTACCATTCGCAGCGATCACGTGCAAATCGCGGGGTCTGCCGTCGACAGGGGACGTAGGCAACCGACCCTGAAGTTCTCAAGTTCTTCTAAATCGCACCGTGTTCTTTCCACCCCTTTGCGATTGTCCTGCTAAGATCTTAAGGTGAAATTATTGATCGTCTAGCAGTGCCAACAGCCAGCTCTCCTCTTGGTGGCTGATTTTTAGATTGATATGCCAACAATGTCTTGGCTATTGAGTATCCGACAAAAGAAGAACAACCCCAAAGAGCCAGAAAGTCAAAGACGAGTAACTAAGGTATCGAGATTCAAAGCAGTAGAAAATGAAACGATACCACGCTTCCGCCGCTCTCTGACTCTCCCTCTCAATTCTCCGTCTCCAATATACTACAGCGACCAGCCCCCACTTCGTCGCCGTATCCAACGAACCCTCAACCAAGACGCTTGCCTACTATTCCGCCTACCCCTGGAACTGCGCACTATTATTTATGGATACGTCTTAGCGGATGGACCCTGCAACCCACTCGCGATGCCACCACAGGCCGTCTACATCTCAAGACAGCGCACGTCACGGGTGTTGGATGTACCTTGCCACCTCCCAGCCGGTGCCCATGCGCTCCTATATCCTCCTAAGCACGTAGGTACGGCAAGTAACAGCATTATATGAAAATGGAGAGGCTGCGCATGCGGCTGTATATACGGCATCATATGCAGCATCACGTACAGCATCACGTACAGCATCGCATATGGCATCACAAATGGCCTCCTATCGAGCATCACGTACGGCATCACGTATAGCCTCCCCTACGGCTTCACGTACAGCTTCAAATACGGCCTTGCAGGCGTCCTTGCGCACAGCTGAGTGAATTGGAAAGGATACACGTGCGGATGCACGTGAGAATAGAGCTCCGGACGAAGCTCCGCGCCGCTCTAGCCAGTGAAAAGATAGGGCGGGAGAAGGAAGTGGGGGGGGGTGTTTATTAAGAAGGGGGTGTGCGACAAAAAGGGGGTGTGCAGGTACTGGTGCCCTTCTCATTACTTCGTTCTCCTTCCACTTTTTCAATCGTAGAGACTTGTGTACGCTTGTTCAGCAGCGTCTGAAGTCCTCTGGAAGATTCAAAACATTCGTGAAACACTAGTTTTGGCAGGCCCGATAGCTCTCCGAGCCACCTCAGACGGTGTTGAACAGTAATGTCATGTTCAAGGAAGTCTGCCTCACCTCAACCCCAAACACTAATACCCAAACCCTTCCAGTGGAAATCAGACTATGGCATACCATGATCTGCACGCTTGTTCAGCACCGTCTGAGGTGCCCTAGCAAGTCATGAAAATTCGTAAACCACAGCTTTGGCAAGCTCGGTAGCTCTCCGAGCCACCTCAGACGGTGTTGAACAGTCATGTCATGTTCCAGGAAGCCTGCCTCGCCTCAACCCCAAACACCAATACCAAAACCCTTCCAGTGGAAATCAGACTATGGCATACCATGACCTGTACGCTTGTTCAGCACCGTCTGAGGTGCCCTGGCAGGTCATGAAAATTCGTAAACCACAGCTTTGGCGAGCCCGAAAGCTCTCTGAGCCACCTCAGACGGTGCCACTCCATGGTCAACGAAGCCTGCCCCTAACACTAATACCTACACCCTACTATCGCGGCCCTCTCAGAACGACCATGGTATGTCATGCTCTGTACACCGTTTCGCCACTGCCTAAGGTTCTCCAGCTCACCTTCCAACCCAAAAATCAACGGGGCTTGCCTACCCAGTAGGGTCGCTGGGCCACCTCAGACGGTGGTAAAGAGCTCAACGTGCCTGCCACCGACAAGACGTCACCTGCCCGCGGCCGACTATAAAAGCTCCTCCCGCCTGGCTTTCTCTTCTCTTCTCTTCATCCAACATCCACCACAGCGAGCATCACACAGCGATCATCACTCTTCTCCACTGCTTCATCACCACGTCAAGCCACCTCAGACACTGTCAGCCCTCCGTCAAGATGATGGCCAAGGTCACCCAGATCACGCTCGTCCTCGCTGTCACTGCCCTCCTTGCCTCTGGATTGCCGGCTTCTCCCGTCACGCAGATCCTCGACGGCCAGATCCAGGCCCCCCCAGGAGTCCCCGTCAACATCATCCCAGATGGACAGCCGCAGGCTCAGCTTCCTTCCGCGATCCCCAAAGCGCACTTAGTCGTGACATCCAGTGCTACACCTACACGTGAGTCTGTCCACCCTCAACGCATCATCCATGCACGCTAATAGTCCTCGCTCAGCAACCCGATCTGTGACCAAAAAGAGTTCGCGTATCCCTGGTGGCAGCACCCCTACCCAGACATCCACGGGCCCAGAGTGATCGAATTGGATGGCAGCTGGAATGGCAGCTTCGAGTGCATGACAGTGTGAACATCACATCAGTAGACGCTGGGTGCTAGTGATGGTGGAGCTTGCTGGGTCTTTTCACTCCTTTTGTTGCTTCTTCTGCTTTTTCCATCGATAGCCTGCCCCCTTCCCTAACCAAATTGAACCCTCTTTCACTCCAACTTCTACTGCTATCGTCGTGACATTTGAGTGAACTTGTTTGATGCGTACCCTCTGCGTGCCCTCTGCGTACCCTTTGCGTCCCCCTCTGCGTACCCCTCTACGCCCCATCTGCGTGCCCCTCTTTATCTTAATCTTCTACCATTTGTAACCGCCCTCTATTCTAGCCCACATTTATCCTCATTCTGCGCCTGTCCTACCACTGTCTGAAGTCCCCCCACACTCTTAAATATTCGCATACACGATGTCACGTTCCGGAACCTCTATATTAGAACTATAGGATTACAGTAGGGCGTAGAGGACCCTAGAGGCCGTTCCGCATAGTCAAAAGCATAGCATTGGGTGCCCTCTGCGCTTCTACTCTTTATAACCACCCTCTATTCTAGCCTACATCTATCCTCATTTTGCGACTGTTCTACCACTAGGTTAAGGTAGGGATTATGGCACACGCTCGCCTACCTCATCTACACCTCCTTATCTATTTTATATTCAACGTCTCTACCCAACTCGACATACTTTGCTCCGAGTGTGCTACTCCCTTGGATGGCTCAACCTTTCAATAGTCAACCCGACGACGGCTGTTCTCCTACCTTGGTTTGGAAGACTGATCAAATCATTAGCGTAGGCAATCTTATTCCAGTTTTAACGACGATACATTCGTACCCTCGACGCCTTTACATTGTGCCCCGAAATGTATAGATGTATTTGAGGTAGCCCGACCCATTACCCTCGTGCGCAGAACGATTCAGCATAATTTACGAAATGCTGCGGTGCAAATCACAAGCATACATACTTACAACCTTGGAATCTCCTATGGGTCTAGAACACCTCTCCCGAACTTTGCATCCTATCCCGAACTTGAAAGATGCACAAGAGGCGGCCTCGTACTTCTCGCCCTCGGGTGCTAGAATCATGGCCTTGGTTGGGTTGATGATTACATTACAAATGGAGCCATCCGTGGTTTGGCCACCACAAACCTGACGAACTACCATGGTATGGAGCTTGAGAGAAAAAATCAGAGTGTGGGCCTGTCACCTATGAAAGAGTCCTCCCCTTCCGATAATTTCAGACCTCTCAACATTCTCACTTTATTCTACTTGCATTTTTCGAAGAAGCTCGCTACTATGAAGGCCTCTACCAGCCTCGTCCTCGTCCTCGCCCTCGCCCTCGCGGCCCCAACCACACTCTCCGCCCCCTTGTCCACTAAAGGGTCGACACCAGCAGCAATTTGCACATCTGATACGTGTGCTCGCGCGGCGAACGAAATTCTTCACAATCGCCATCCCGACTACAAGAAGATTGATCCTTGTAAAAAGCCATACGAATACATGTGTAGAGGATTCAGTGAATGATAAGTGGGACATGCCATAAATTTGTGCACACTCGTTTGCCACTGCTCGAGGTACCTCCGTGAGGTTTTAAATTTCTAGGCTTGATGTCAAGTCCTATGCAGAGGACTCAGGCAAAGCTAGTATACTGGTGTGCCTAGAATTAAAGCCTAGTAGTACTGTATACGGACTAGACAAAGGGATTCACTGTCTGCCACAGCCTTGTCGTTTTGAGCGTCTGCTAACGTATCTCTACCACCTTGGACCCAACCAGACGGATGATGACATTGACCCGTGGGGTGTCAAGCAGCGTGAAGTCGAACTACTCTCCAGGGAAATCCTCGAGTCCCCATTTTCGGGGGACGGCTCGGTCACAAACCAGGAGAATTTCAAGCAGCTCCAGGATGCGTATGCCGCTTGTATGGATGAGACTACTACTAAGAAAGCTGGTCTTGCTCCGCTAAAGTCACTGCTGGGCCAAATATCTAAACGCAATGTTACTGACATGGTCTTGTTGCTTTTGGAAAATGGAATCGAAGCACTAGCCTCCATCTCAGTTGCGGTTAGTGTAACAGCTCTATTTGTGCGGTCGAGGTCGCTCACTCTCACACATCATATAGGCCGACGAGCGACATCCTAAATCGACTGCTGTTTATATTGGCCCCTACACGACAATCTCGAGCCCGCAAAGGGTCATTAGGCGAGGCATATCGGCGCTGAAAGCAGAAAAGATATTGTCTAAAGAACAATGGCAGCTGTTTGGCAGCGAGGCCGATACTGACAGGATCTTCAACTTCACGGATGAGCTTTAGACTTTATCTCATATCAAAGGAAAAACCATCTCCTACAATCCCCACACGATTAAAGAAACCGATGAGCTACTCCCGCAAATATCGATTAGCCGCATCGTATCCGCGTTGGGCCCGTCAGACTTCAGCACAAATCGTGTTATTGTTCGGTCGCTAGACTTCATGAAGTCTCTTTCCCAACTCATCAACAAAACGCCCAATGACACGCTTCATCGGTATTTCATATGGAGGGCTACCGAAGCGTACCACGGCTCATTCCAGTATGCAGGACTAGAGGATTCATACCAATGGTGGGGCCAAGACCGATGGAAAACCTGCATCACAGTTGCCCAGGATACTCTGGGCCTAACCTTCGATCACTTTTATGCCCAGAAGGCAAACTTCTCCCAGGAGGCAAAGGATTATGCAGATCGCATCGTGGGAGATGTCAAAGACGAACTCAAGACGGCCCTTGGACGAGCTAAGTGGATTAATAAGGCTGCACAGGACGAGGCAATTCAAAAGGCCAACATCATGCGCCAACATATTGGATACTCGACCAGCCCCGACATCATGAACGCCGACGACCTCAAGCAACATTATTCCGGACTCGTCGTGACGAACTCAACATTTTTCGATAACACCGTGAACTCGGGAAGATTCAAGGTGAAGAAGGAATGGTCAGGGCTGGGCAAACCATCCGATCCTAATGCATGGGATTGGCCACCGCCGTTTCATATTACGACTGTCAATGCAGTTTATGGCACCACTGAGAACTCTTTCCATCTTCCAGCGGCCGCCTGCGTAATGGATACGGATCCTTCTTTGCCGCAGTACATATCGTATTCCCGAACAGGCGCCCTTGCTGGCCACGAAATGTTTCATGGTATGGTGCTCTACCTTTTACGAACCTACGACTACTCGGTACTGACGCCTTCACAGGTTTTGACAATGAAGGGGTACATTTCGATCGTCATGGCCACGCCTTCACGTGGAAGAACGAAACAGAAAAAAAGCTCAACGAACGTACAAGTTGCTTCGTGAAGCAATACAATGCCTTCAATGACCCCTTAAGCTCAAGTCGGCTGAGGGTCTACGGCGAGCGGATGCTGCCAGAGATTCTCGCAGATACTGGCGGTCTGAAGGCTGCATTTGCCGCCTGGAAGAAGCTCGACAAGGAAAATCCAGACAAAGCCCCGCCCGACCTCCAAGAGTATACCAAAGAGCAGGTGTATTGTTCTTATCAGCCCATAATATTCGTGCTTACCCATTCTAGCTATTCATGCTTAGCTATGCCAGTCCGTGGTGCGCTCGGTCATCGAAAATGGATTTATTCCACCCGCCGTACGACGTCCGAGTTGATGTAAGTGATCAACGATCTAGTTTCGAGAGAATGTGATTAACTGACCTCCACTTAGGGAACTTTGGCGAACTTACGAGGCTTTAGAGAGGCGTTCAACTGTCCAGTTAAGGAACCAACATGTGCGCTCTTCTGATGGCCGGATTTCAGAACGAGAGGAAGGGAGTCGTAAAAGTCATCAACCGTCATGAGGTATGTATGATGCGCTAGCAACGCAGCCTCTTGGCCACGTGTCGAAGCCTGCATACTACTTCAAGGATAAGGAAGGTAAATTGTCGTATTCAAGTTGGTTGGCTTTCCTTCGAGTCATGTCCTAGAGACCTACCTTAGCCCGCCAGGCGGCCTGAGGCTCTAGTCCCGTAGAAAAGTTTATAAATCTTTGTTTAAATGCACAATTCTTAGACTATCCCCATTGCCCAACTTCGCCACATCCTCCACCCCACTCCGCACATACCCACACTTCTCGTACAACTTCACCCCCGTGAGCGTGCTTCCCATCTCCAGCCTCTGAAAACCGCCCGCGCGCGCCGCTTCCTCGCAGTACCGCAGCATCTTACTGCCCAGGCCGCGGCGGGACCACTCCGGATGCGTGAAGATGGCGCGGATGCTTGCGCGGTCCGTGGCGGGGTCGCGGCGGGCGGGGAGACGGCCTGGGGGAAGTTAGTGTATTGGAGAACCTGGTTTGGACCTGACGTGGTGTTTGAGTGAACATGGTAGTAAGAGGAAGGTGAGTGAGAGATCATAGGGAAGGCATACCAGGCGCTCTATCGCCGCCGTAAAGCGTCTTCCTGAAGCTCCACCCTCCAGCTGCGGCAATCACCTCTGGTTGGGTGGAAGGGTAGATGATGAAATAGGTCCCGTCGTCGATAAGGAGAGTGTCCGGCGCGAATATGAAGCCAATGGAGCCTTCGATTTGGGAGGGTGTGTAGTGGCCGACGGATAGCTGGCGGATGGAGAGGTCTATGAGATTGACGAGTGCAGGGAGATCCGAGAGGGTTGCTGGGCGAAAGTGGAAAGTTGCTTGAGCTGGCTCAGATGGTAGTAGAGAGTCATTTTGAGGATCTGGCATTGTGATTGATGGAGTTGCTCAAGGAGCTTTGATGTCGCGGTAGCTTGTTTGGGAGTTCTGCACGAGTCTTTATTCACAACGAATTGCGGTGTTGATGAAAAGGGAAAACTTCAATTGCCGATAACTACAAGCATAAGGCAACCTGCCTGTCTTTCATGAGTCATAAGAAGATAAGGATGCTGTAAGGTAGAACTCCGATATCGGTGAAATACTCTAGGCAAGCTAATACTGAGAAGCAGATGTGCCCACCGGTTTTCAGTAGATTGATGCTAGCGGAACTAGAAGGATACTGATCACTTCACGAGTACATCTCTCCGTCGTTGGGATGCGTCATGGGTTGAATGAGACATCGGATATGCTCAATATATAAGAATTGGGATTCATAGCTTCGGGTTTCTCCCGAGGTTTATCATAATGAAAGTTGACGGTGACAGAGCTCGGACGTCTTGGAAGATAGTTGATGGTTGATGGTAGGAGGTAGCTTTAAGTTCTTGACTGGACGAAAAGCTCACGTGATCGAGAACAGTAAACCGAGTCAAATGTTGCAACTATGACTATCAAAAATACAACATGCAATTCATCGTTTCAGTAAGGTGTCTATATATGAGTAAGGTATTGCTGTCGTCTGCTATGGAATAGCTGTAACTACCACGTGATGTGAACTCTCAAACCAATGAGGGTCCCGGACGGCAAAACAAACGTTTTTCGGTATGCGCACTAGTCTCATCATGGCCCGGGTGGTTTCAACACCTACGTCACAGCATTAACCTTTTCTAAATCGCCGGATTCTGCCTTCGAAGCATTACGACGATGGAGCCTTTGAATCAACGATTCCAGTCGTGATCCGGAAGTAGCCCTCCTTTACAAGCCCTGCGCTAGAATAGTTGCGAGCCAAGTCTCTACACCCTCCTCACGTCTGAAAGCCCTCCCTTTTTGAGAACTGTCTCTCACTCTTTTGGCAACCCCACGCGTGTCTTCGGTCTTAATCATGGGTATGGACGTGTCTGAGATTGTCACCCCCTTCTTGGGAGCTTTACAGGCTTCAATTGCCGTCCTTCTAACCATATTCTTTGGTGTGCTGGCGGCGCAATTCAATCTGCTCTCAGGCGACTCTGCGAAAGAAGTATCACGGACATGCGTGTGTATGTTTCTGCCCGCTTTGCTGATCACCAATGTGGGCGCCGAATTGCATTTGGATACCGGTGTCAGATACCTTCCTGTACTCCTTTGGGCAGTTGTCTACAACCTACTCTCAATGCTGCTCGGCGTCTTTGCTACCCGCGTTTTTAAGCTGCCTGCATGGGTTACTCCAGCTCTCGCTTTCAACAACACGACGTCGTTACCACTTCTGTTGGTCCAATCTCTTGAATCCACGGGTATACTCAACTCCATCCTGATGGGCGACAGCGACACTTCATCCGCAGCCATCAATCGAGCCAAATCGTACTTCTTGGTGAATAGCATGGTCTCTAACAGCCTGACGTTTGCTCTCGGCCCCAGGCTTCTCCGACCGCATGACGAAGACGCAACGAAGGACGACAGTGCCAAGCCCGATCAAGAGCACCCAGGATCACATGATTATCCGTTCGACCAGCGAGAGGAAGACGTTGAGAATGCGCCAATGCCAGTTCCGGGTACCACGACCGAGGATAACGCACCCAATGGTGGCCATCAACGAGAAGGTAGCGAAGGCAGAACACGAGAAGACGCCATGCAGGTTTTCGTTGATGAGGAAACCTCCCTCCTTCCGCGTGCTTTGATCCAGAAGAGCTGCCAAGCCGAACGCGAGGGTTACAAGAGGGGGAGACATTACTGGGACCGCATGCCAAACTGGGCTCAAGAGGTAGCAAAAGTCATATATGCTTTCATCAACCCTCCGCTCATCGGCGCTCTGCTTGGAGCGCTCATCGGTCTTGTTCCGGCTCTCCACCGCTTGTTCTTCAGCGATACCAACCATGGTGGATACTTGAACGCATGGCTGACGGCAGGCATTAAGAATATCGGTGACCTCTTCGCCTCCTTACAGATCATCGTGGTTGGCGTAAAGTTGAGCCAAAGTCTGCGCAAGATGAAGAAAGGAGAAGAGAGCGGTGCTGTGCCATGGAGGAGTATGACGTTTATTACGTTCGTTCGATTTATTCTCTGGCCGCTGTAAGTTCTTCTTCAACCTCATCCTTTGCTACTTTCCGCTGAACTTCACTCAGAATCAGCATCCCAATCATATGGGCTGTTGCTAAAAGAACTGGCTTTTTGGACGCGGATCCAATTCTGTGGTTTGCCATGATGCTGATGCCAGCTGGGCCGCCAGCAATGATTCTGGTTGCCCTTGCGGATGTTAATGAATCCGAAGAAAGAGAAAAGATGGCGATTGCGAAATTTCTTACTGTGAGTTCCATATACTGTGGGGAACGAAGCTTCATGAACTAATTTGTGGGACAGATATCGTATGCAATCACTCCACTAGTCTGTCTAGCTGTCGTAGGGAGCTTGAAGGCAAGTGAGGCTGCCATTGGATCTAGACTGTGAGACCTCGGTGAAGCATTAAGACCGTAGTTGGAATCGTGTATCTTGCTTCACTGGAAAGAGGGATTCATCAAAAGCTAGGATAAACACTGTACAGTATTTACGCGCTCTGTCGCGATTTCTGTTGGCGCTACTAAGACTTATCGATCCACCAGGAGGACCTTCTGACAATCCTATTACTATAATTGTTCAGTTATTCAAAGTGCGCTCTAGTACACATTCCCACAATTACCCTTTCAAATCAACATTGCCTAGAAGTTCTCTAGATATTGGTTTTGGCAAGGTATCACGTGATGATGAATCGATCTGACTAACTTCCGCTGTTTGACGACGGCAGTCCTTTTGGATGTATAAACACCACCCAGGCACGAAGAGAGATGGCGCAGTCTGACCGAGCTCGACTATTGACCCTCCTGCTACGTGAAAACGAAAGAGCAGTGTCTTCTTCACGAGCAGCCTCTAGCGGTGAATCTGCAAGTGGAAAAAGAAAACATGGTTAGCCGGATCAGGTCAGGGGCAGCAGATCAGGCACACCAACATGATATTCCACGACACCTATTGGCAGGCCGTTTTGGTGATCAGCGTAAAGAAATTGGCCAATACGGGGGCCGGGAGACTCCTCCAGGGCTGCCAGACGCACCGTGGAGGCACAACAGGAGGGCCAGAACGGCCACGATAATGGCGCTGCTGACATCGGAGCGTTGCTGCGCAGGGTACCTTGCAGAGCTGTCTGCAAAGATGCAGTCTCACTCTGCGTCCTGGCCGGGGGAGCGCCGTGGGTCGCACCAGGGCGCCGCTTGAGGTGCTCGATTCCACGGCTGCCACGCGGAGGTCTCGTGGGAGTTGGCGGTGAAGAGGCTGCAGTGTGTAGAGCCAACCACCAAGACGACGTCCAGCACGAGAGCTTCGAGTGCCTCGATATAACTACACATAGACAGCAAATACATAGCAGCTCGCAGGAAGCGCAGCGTTTCATGCCAAGCTCCTGCAGGAACACCCTAGCGCATGCCCAGGTGGACCCCGTGAACGTTTTACTGTTTTATGTCGAAAAGCGGTCGCACCAGCGCAATTCGATCACACAAACCTGCCAGCCTGCAGTCTTACCTCGATAACGCGCCCGTTGCCCGTTGCCCGCTGCCCTGCCCAGGCTCGCCCTCGCCCGCGCCCGCAAACTGTCTTGCTCGTCCAGCTTCGCCGCCCTCTCCACCGTCTCCGCCCATCCTTCCGTACCCTATCGTCATCAGGGGCATCCTTCACAACGCGCTATAATCGCCCTCCCGAACATCTTAGGCAATCCTGCTCGAATAGGCCCCCATTTCGACCCGTAATGGTTTTGCGCCGACACGTCTCTACATAGCGCGACAGGTGCCATGCCCGGCTGGAGACCTCTCCCGCGAATTGCCTTTGCAGTTTGCATCTATCCCTTCTCGCCCTCCGCCTCCGCCGACCTCCCCCTCGAAATCGGCGATGAACTGTACATAATTGAGCAGGGAGGGCGGGATGGCGCCTGGTATCGCGGATATTTGGTTGCGCCTCCGTCGCTGCTGGCCGGCCTGACAAGCGTCAAGGGACAGACGCTCGAGGCTCGTGTCTTCTCTGGCATCTTCCCGCGCTGCTGTGTCGAGGTCCGCGAGGTGCTTGGGGACGGACAGGCCCCAGGACACAGCGCCGACGTCGCTGCCAGCTCTCGAACAAGCCATGTCGAGCAGCACACCAACGGCATCATCACGCCGTCCGAGAGCCCCGGTACGTCTTCTGCCTCTGGCATGGGAGCATCGCGGGTGAAGCAAACCTCTAAGCCTGAGCCCATCTCGATTCTGCCCTCTGTAGCGTCACGCCCGCTCTCAAGAAAACGCTCCTCCAAGAATCGCACCGGGAGCTATGGATCGCAATGGACAGCGCGTTCCGACCATCTGCAGCAGCTCGCGCTGCCTCTCTCCCCCGTTTCTGTCGGCTCGCGCGACGCGAACGCGCCTCGACCTCCGGCTCCAGTTCCAATGCTGAAGATTGGCGACGAAACTCCAACATCGAAGCTAGAGCCATTGGTAGACGAGATTGCGTCTTGTCTCAGGGAATGGCATGCGACGAAGCTACATGAGCTTCTTTTGGCAAGAAGGTATAACACGTTGGACAAGATGTCGGCCCTGGTACAACGGTTGGACACGGCGCGCCGCCAGCTGTTGCACAAAGTTTTGACAGCGCAGGAGCTCCGGAGAGTTCGCGAATTGACGGTGTGGGACCTCGTGTCAGGCAACAAGATGCTCTGCGGGGAGGTCATTGTCCGTAGCCCCTCGCAGCGAGGCAGAATCCTGACTGGCGACGACTCCGCTATCGAAATCACCAAGCTCCAATCGCTGATGAGCTTGCTCGACGAACGTCCAGTCCAAAATATTGATGAACATAACTTGCACCACCTTTTCGTCAACATCCGGCATGTTCTCGGAGACTTCACGCTCTCGGCAGCCCAGGTCAGCATCCATCTCTGCCTCAAGATACCGGGCTCTGCGCCGAAGCCCTTGTCCGAAGTATTCTCAGTCGACCTCTTCACGAAGGAAGGAACCGCGACGGCCTTGAACGAGGAGAAACTCAAAGCGCTCTTTGTCGGTCTGAGCTCTACAGACATTGGCGAGGGGGCTGGTTCAGGCTCTAGCTTATTCTTGGTTTTTAAGCTCCTAGCAAACGAAGCTTTCCGCGGCTCAATAAGCACCGCAAACTCGAGCGCCGCTCCGCGTGAGAGCACCTCGAGCCAGACAACTCCACCATTGCAGCCGTCTCAATATGGCAGCATCAAAGGCGGGCGACGAAGTGTCATGTTTGGCCATAAACCTCGAAAGGACTCTGAATCCGTTGCTAAAATAACCAATGACCAGCGACCCACCAGCGTGGACTCCAACACGAATCGAGCTCAAGCTGCAGAACGACCGGGATCCGCAGCAAAACCGAGGACATCGTCCAGAGACCAGAAAACTGTGAAACGGACCGTAGCAATTGGGCTTCTACGAGTTGACGCACTCATGAAAGCTCAGGCAGAATCTGAGCAAAGCATAACCCTGTGGACCCCAGCCGGACCTTTCGACGAGCTTTCAGAGGAAGGGGATGAATGGGATGCTGTGTTGACAGAGCTATACCCAAGCCCTAACAACAGGTACAAGAAGAGTCCCCTCGTCAACCGGTTGAATGTCCACGTCAAAGCGTTTGCAAATCCAGAGGCCGAGACATTAATACAAAAGACCCCAACCCTACTCCACAACATTAAGCAGACGCGAAAGATTGGGTTCTCGGGAGCTCCCACCCAGTCAAGAAGCGACATCTACTTGACCCTGACTGAATCTTTCTTGCCTCGTAACGCCTTTCTGTCGCATCCTAAATCTGGGACTGTCCCTCTGAACCAGCACTCTGGGATGGCGAACCTCCAGCTCACGATCGAAGTGCGCAAGTCAAACGGAGAAAGGATTGATGGATGCATTTATCCTTCTTGCAACAGCGTAGGCCACACAGCTTGGCGGACGACTGCAGTTGAGCGAGGTGAGGGATGGAATCTCACAGTCCGACTGGCTATAAGTCCCGAGGATGTCCCGGGTTCACATATTGTTATGAGCGTTGCCGATGCTCCTGGCTTCCCTTTCGCACTCTGTTGGATGCCACTGTGGACTCAAGATGCCTTTATTCGTGATGGCGATCACTCTCTCGCATTGTACAAATACGATGAGTACACATCGAGCATGATTGCGGGACGTGGGGCGTATCTGGCATTACCTTGGAGCTCACGGAGGAAGGACGAATCCGTCACAGGTCCTGTAGCCTCACTCCACCTACGCACATATCTCTGCAGCACCAAGTACTCCCAAGATCCGCATCTGCTCGGCCTCCTCAAGTGGCGCGACCAAGCTAACGGGGAGCTTCTGTCACTCCTCAAAAGATTTGTGTTCGTTCCCGAGATCGAAATTGTCAAGCTACTCAACGAAGTTTTCGACGCCTTGTTTGAGATTTTGGTGGAATATGCAGGCAGTGATGAGCATGAAGACTTGGTGTTCAATGCTCTTGTCATCGTTTTGGGCATTGTGCATGATCGACGGTTCAACTTAGGTCCACTTGTTGACCAGTATGCTAAGACAAGGTTCAACTACCCCTTTGCAACCTCTTGTCTGGTCAGAAGCTACACTAGGCTGCTATCTAACCCAGTAGACCCCGAATGCTCTAGGCGCCTGCGCGCAACTTTCAAAGTAGGAAGCCACATTTTGAAGTTTATCATGAGCGCGCGGCAACAGCAGAAAGAGAAGGAAGCCGGAATTGGAATCACCACCAGAGAGCCGACTTTTGCCAACGACATTCGCACCATATTCAAATCCGTCGATGCTCTGATGGCCAACCCGGCGCCAATTCTCATCGGAACCAAAACCTTGGTCGTCCAACATTTCCACACTTGGCTTCCCGAGCTTTCTCCATCTTTGCCACCGAGTGAGATCGTGAAGCTGGCTTGCAGTTTCATCGACTCTTGCTCCGCGGCTCAAGGAAAGCTCGTTCTTTACAAATTGGTGCTTATCATCCACTACGCCCAGGTCGAGGTCTTCAAGCTGCCTGATATTCGACGTATCCTTCTCAACAACACCGTCAAGTGGCTTGCTCCTCATTGGGGAAAGACAGCCACAGTGAACGACCAGTGGAAAGACCAGGTGCGGCTGTGTTGCTCTGTCGTAGCCTCTCAGGTGGAAGACCTTGGACAAGAAGCGTGCGAGTATATTCCAAAACTCGTCGATTCATATCGAGCTATTCAAACAATCCCTCGGTCAAGCAAGAAAACCCTGTCGTTACTCTTCCCCACTTCGTATCCTTTTCTATCTCGGTCTACAACCACTGGAGCTGTTTTCGATGAGGCGCTGGTCGAGATATCGGCCGTTTTGGCGGCACTTTCAAGCTTGCCGACCATCATCCACCTGGATTGGCCTCAAGATGATATTGCGGAGTTTTTGTTCAGCACTTTACAAGTCTACATCTCAATTCTCGATGGGGAGGCATTTCCTACATCGTGGTTGAGTGTTCACATTTTCCACCACAAGGCAACTATGCGGACTCTGGAAAAACTTGCAAGCATACTGATCGACTCGTTTCTCCCTCACCCCGATGAAGCCGACCAGTTCAACACAGAACTATGGAGGACTTTCTTTGACGCTCTACTCAAGCTCGTGGGGAGCGATGCCCTCGCTTTAGAGACATTCCCGGAGCAGAAAAGACGAGCAGTTTGGAAGATCGCAGGTGATGTTCGCGAGCTTGGCGCTGACCTGCTTCGGAGGAGCTGGGAGGCGATTGGTTGGGAAACTAGTCTCGAGGACAAGAAGCAGTATGGACTTGAGAAGATGGGCGGGTTCCAAGTTCAATACGTCCCCGGCTTGGTTGCGCCGATTGTCGAACTGTGCCTCAGCGTCCATGAAGGGCTACGAAGTGTTGCCATCGAGGTATTGCAAACTATGATTGTCAGCGAATGGACATTGAGTCAAGACCTTGCTCTCATACAGGCGGAGATGATCGACTGTCTTGACCGACTCTTCAAATCAAAACACCTAACGGAGAGCATACTCCAGAAGCTTTTCATTGGAGAGCTGATCGACCTCTTCGAGCCACTCGCACAGGAACCGGACGACCCATTGTTTCTAGCAGTCAAGAATCTTATTACCACTATCGATGAGCTGCTTGATTTGTTGGTAGCAGTACACAGCACCGAGGCTGTCGGGGAGGTGTTCCATATCATGGACACCCTCCACCTCATGGAGTTCCTCAAGGACATGCAGAAAGAAGACATTTATATTCGATATGTTCATCAGCTTGTTGATCTGCAAGCCGATGCTGGGAATTTCACAGAAGCTGGTCTGGCACTACGTCTCCATGCCGAGCTTTATGAATGGGATCCCACGTCAGCAGTAGACCCCCTTGGCGACCCACATTTCCCCTCACAGACCTCGTTCGAGCGAAAGGAGCAACTTTATTTCAAAATGATTAAATATTATGAGGACGGCTCGTCATGGGACAACGCCCTGGGGACATATATGGAGCTTGCAACACAGTACGAACACAATATCTTTGACTTTTCCAAGCTTGCACGAACTCAGCGAGCCATGGCAACGATATACGAAAGCATCGGCAAGGGCGAAAGGCAGAACCCGCGGTACTTCCGTGTAGTATACAAAGGCTTGGGATTCCCGGTTGGACTCCGAGACAAACAGTTCATCTTTGAAGGATCCCCTACAGATCGCTTAGCTACGTTCACGGACCGAATGCAACAGCAGCATCCTTCGGCTCAAATCCTAGCTGCCAACGGCGAGGAAGATGTGGAAGGACAGTATCTTCAAATATATCCCGTCAGCGCTCAGAAAGATCTACTTCATCCAATCTACCAACGCGCAAAGGTTGCGCAACCTATCCGGGACTACTACCTTCTTTCGAGACCTTCGCACTTCACGACGGCTTCGCGTCGGACTGGTGGGGAGTCAAACGTCAAAGACCAAACGGTTGAAAAGACTGTTTATACAACCGCTGAAGCCTTCCCTACCATTTTACGCAGAAGCGAGATCGTTTCTGTTGGCACAATATCATTGACGCCCCTTCAATCTGCAATCGAGCGTACCACACGAAAGGCTGTGGAACTGATGGCATTAGAGAAGAGAGCTGCTGATGGGGAAGACTCTGTGTTCACTTCCCTCACGCACGAGATCATGGTAGCAGTGGACCCGATTTCGGAAACTGGTGTTGCTAATTATCACGACCTACTTCCCAAGCAACGGGACTCTTCAGAAATCGATCCAGATGAGGAAGAAGAAGAGAAGCCAGTAAATCTCCTTGAGAACGCGCTAAAAGTAGCCATGATGGATTATGCTCTGGTCGTGAAACGTTGCTTGACATTATACTCTAGGCCTGCTCACCAGGCCACTAAAGCAGACCTAACGCAACGTATGTACATGCTTGCAAATACCCACTTAGATGAATGCTAATTGTCTTAGGTTTCGAGTCTACGTTTGTGGCTGAGTTGGCAGCTCTTTCGCCCAGCTCTCAAAACACACTCTTACGATCGCCAACCGCATCTTGGCTTGTCGCCTCTGAGCCTTCTCGTGGTGCTAGCCCCGTGGCTGCTCCACTCAGCCAAACAAATGGCACGCATGTCACATCATCGTCCGATGCGCGACCTACCCCTGGTCACCAGAAAAACAGGTTGAGCCTCACGTTCCTGAAGAAAGGATCCGTAAGTGAACAACAAGAGGGGCGTCAAAACAGCAAGACCGCTGTGGATGAGGAAGACACCCAGTCCAACGCGGCCTCATCCCGCAGTCGGAGCAAGGACGCTGGAAAGCAGCACAGGCTGAGTTTCCTACACCACACGCCGACAAATGAGTCTCTGCCACAACCACCGGCAACCCAAGCGCCGAGCCAAGCGAAGAGTCAGACGCAGAGCCACCGCAGCCAGAGCAGTGAGCGCAGGCCCGAGACGGGGAGGAGCGAGCAGTCGAGCAATCAGAGCTTCGGCGACCGAGTGGGCAACGTGCGGAAAAGACTCAGCCTGCTGCACATTGGAAAGAAGCCTAGCAAGGCCAGTGTCAAAGGACGGTACGACGAGACACTAACGGAGGAGTGAATATTTGTTCTCGATCATTACATTTTCTACGACCAGGACATTGGACTTCGAATCTTCTTGAGTTTTCATACATCAGGCTGGGACATCATAGTATTATTTCATTAGCTTTAGGTGCAGCGCAAGTTGCTGAGCTAGCCAGCCTGAAAGTCTCCTTTTGCATAGGGATTGGGATCTGTTTTTGTGTTCTTTTTTCCTTCCGTCTTTTCAGGTCTCGGCGGTTGAGCGTGGAGCATGGTCGATTTGAATGCAATTGGACCGGTGCACGTCCGGAGTGCTGTTGGACAGGGATTGTGGGTGTTTTGTTTTTGTATCATAGTGTTCGAGGTGTATACCCAGACTCTGCTTCGAAGGTGGAGTCGCTCTCGAGTTCGAGGCACGCTTTTTGGATAGTAGAATTGGATGCTGTTGCCGGCTGAAACGAGGCTGTTCCGTGTCTCTGAACAAACCTGTATACTACGTACCGCGCTAAGCCTATTATGTCACCCTCGAAATCTTGGCGATCGACAACTTCACAAAAAGTTGCACGAAGTCTTGGTCCACCACGTCGTCTGCCATTCACGCCAACATGTCTCTCAACGACCGACTGGCCAAGATCCGCTCCTCACCGCGGCTGCAGAACCAGCAGCAGGTATATAATTCGTATCAGACGCCATGCGCTGCGTGCTAATTGCCCACAGACCGCCGTGGTTCTCTCCGCCGTCGAGGATACCCTGCGCGAGCAAAAAAAAGAATTGAACCCGACAGGATATTTCTCCGCATTACTAGCTCTACTCGTCCAGCAGATATCCTCGGACCGTGGCATAGTCAACAAGGATGTCGCCTCCGCTGTCGTATACCTCCTCGACCTCGTCACACCCCACGCTCCCCCGCCTCTTCTTCGCTCCAAATTCTCCGAGATCCTCACGAGTCTTGCGCCTGCCTTGACACACCCAGAAGCTGAGGCCCCACTCCTGAGGTCCTCGATAGGGTGCTTGGAGTCTCTACTAGTCATACAAGATGCGCAAGCTTGGGCGCTGCCACAAACACAAATCAGCCCTCGGCGAGCTGTCGCGGGGCTGCTCACTATTGCTGTGGACCACCGGCCGAAGGTACGGAAGCGGGCTCAGGATGCGCTTGCGAAAGTCCTCCAGAACCCCCCCCCGAGTCCGTCGTTAGATCACCCGGCTGCCGACATGTGCGCAGAGTCGGCGCTGAAGTCGCTCAAAGACATTGCCGATGCCGCGGGGAAAACCAAAAAGCACAAAGCACACAAGGATGGCCAGCATGAGCCGGGGCTTATACACGCGCTTCAGCTGATCAAGACGATTGCAACAGCATCTGGTGGATGGCCAAGCCGGAAGATCGATGCGCTTTGCGAATTGCTTCTAAACATATCCAAGTCGAGCAACGAGTATCTCACAATGACAGCTTTCGAGATATTTGAGGTCATATTTGAGGGCATGGCCGACGAAGTGTCCTCCGTGAAGCTTCCTCGACTTCTAGAGGTCATCTCCGAGCTTCAGCCCGCGAAGACAGACTCCCAGTTGCTTCCTCCATGGATCGCCGTTCTTTCCCGAGGCTACGACGTCTCTGCACAAGTGCTCCCTGACGAGACTTTCCAAAAGCTTCCTGGCTTGTTTGTTATGATATCCAGTTTCCTTAGCTCTCCCTCTCATAATATTCGTGTTTCTGCGTCCGAGTGTCTTGTGTCTTTCATGGCAAATTGTATACCCGACAGCGTTCTGTTAGATCCTTCGATCTTTGACGAGAAGACCCTGGAGAAACTTGCCAAGTGCGCTCAGGATTTGCTAAGTGTCAAATTCCAAGCTGCGTGGATGGAGGTCTTCAACGTCCTAGGCGCCATGTTTGATGCTCTGCGATGGGTTTCTGCGCCGCTACTCTCTGGAATAGTCAAATCTATCGGCGAGTTACGTGGGAACGAGTCATTTACGGGGAAGAAAGAAGCGGATGCCGTCTTGTCCAAGGCCATACGTGCCATGGGCCCAGATAATGTTCTCGACATTCTACCTCTCAACCTCCCGAAGCCAACTCCTGGAAACCCAGGGCGGGTCTGGCTGTTGCCGATTCTGAGAGACTCTGTCAGTAATACTCGACTGGCACATTTTAGGTCGACCTTGGTGCCGGTCAGCGAGGCGATGTTCCAGATTGTCTTGACTCATGGAGACAAGGAGAAGACCGTCGAGATAAAGGTTTTCGAGACAGTTGTGCAACAGATCTGGTCGATCTTACCTGGCTACTGTGACTTGCCACTTGATCTTGTAGACGTATGTTGTACACTTACTTGTTACAACGGGACTTGCTAACCCGACCTAGGCGTTTGACCAAACTTTTGCGGAGCAATTAGCGAACCTTCTTTACGGTCAGGCTGAGCTTCGTACCGACTTGTGCCGGGCATTGCAGAATCTTGTGGATACCAACAAATCCATCGTGGAGTTAGAAGGCGACGACGACCTCGTGGCACAGTCAAGAATCTCAAAAGCCGACGCACAAAAGAATATTGGACACTTAGCGAGCTTCGCGGGCAATCTCCTTGCTGTTCTTTTCAATGTTTACAGCCAAACTCTGCCACAGTATCGTGGAATAATCCTTAGATGTATCAACGCTTACTTGAGCATCATACCTCAAGAGGTGAGCTTAGCCATCAGATTGATCGGATAAATCACTGACCCGTTTAGGAACTTATGGAAACCTTCAATCGAGTCGTCACTAACCTGGAGTCATCCCTTGCCGAGGGAGGCTCGCAGACACAAGCTGATAAGCAGAAACAAGAGAAGAGTAAAGATAAGATGCCTCCGATGAGCCATACTCTCATGGACCTTGTCATCACGATTTCTATCTACCTACCTCGCGACAGCTTCCCTTCCCTTTTTCAAATAGCAGCGGTAATTGTCAACAAAAAGGATGACCCTCAGCTGCAAAAGAAGGCATATAAGCTCATACCCCGCCTAGCGGAATCTACGCTTGGAAAAGCCGCATTAGAGGAACGGAATGCTGAGTTACAACAGCTGCTAATCAACAGCGCTGAGCAAGCTTCAGCTCCCTCTCGCCGGGATCGTCTCGGCGCTATCGCTCAGATCATCGAGTTCATCCCCCGTAACGACCTCCACTTTATCGCCGCCGTTCTTCCCGAAGTCGTCATTTCCGCCAAAGAAGTAAACGAAAAAGCCCGCACCGCCGCCTTCGACCTCCTCGTCGCCATGGGCGAGAAAATGGATCTCGGAGGCACAGTCATCACTTCAAAAGCCCCCAACATGCCCTCCGACGCGCCGTCTGTTGAGGCCAGCCTGGAAGAATACTTCACCATGGTCTCAGCAGGTCTGGCAGGTGACTCAGCGCACATGATCTCCGCCGCCATCACGGCCGTCACGCGCATCCTCTACGAGTTCCGCACGCGCATCTCCCAAGAAACCATGAGCAACCTCCTCGAAGTCATGGACATGTTCCTGCAGAACCCGAACCGCGAAATCGTCCGCTCCGTCCTCGGCTTCGTCAAAGTCGCCGTCATCTCGCTGCCCGAAGCGCTTGTGCTCCCGCGCCTCAAAGCCCTCGTGCCCAACCTCATGGTCTGGTCCCACGAGCACAAGGCCCAGTTCAAAGCGAAGGTCAAGCACATCCTCGAGCGCATGATCCGCCGCTTCGGCGTCGACGCCGTCGAGAAGGCCTGCCCGGAGGAGGACAAGAAGCTCATTAGCAACATCCGCAAGACACGGGATCGGCGGAAGCGCAGGAAGGACACTGGCGGCGACGATGCCGCCGACGAGGACGCCGCCAACAAGCCTCAACGCAAGGGCAAGTTCGAAAGCGAGTTCGACGAGGCGGTCTACGGCTCCGACGACGACGATAATGGCAGCGACGTCAGCGACGAGGAGGTCATGGGCGGCCGCGCCGGCGGCGGGAAGCGGCGCGAGAAGCAGGGCCGCTCGTACATCATCGAGGACGACGACGAGCCGTTGGACTTGCTGTCGAAGCGCGCGCTGGGGAACATCTCGTCGACGAAGCCCGCGAAGGCGCGGGTGGTGCCGGCGACGAAGACGAAGGTGCGCAGGAACGAGGACGGCAAGCTCATCCTCGGCGGGCCGGACGCATCGGACGACGAGGGGGACGGCGATGGCGATGTCGTGATGATGGAGAAGAATCCCGGGGATGGCTCGCTCGAGGGCGGGATCAACGCGTATGTGGATGCGATTCGGGGACGGGACGCGGCGCAGAGGGGTAGAGGTGGGAAGCTGAAGTTTAGTAATCGGCGGCAGAAGGGGGGTGAGGACGGGGATGAGATGGATATCGATGATGAGGAGAAGACGCAGGTGGCGCAGAAAATCAAGGAGAAGACCAGGGAGGGGAGTGCACGCGGGCGGGGCGGGTTCAAGACGCAGCGGAGGGGCCTGGGCGTACAGAAAACGAGGGGCGGGAGGGTGGATAAGGGAGCCAGAGGAGGTGGGAGGGGGAGGGGTGGGTCGGGAAGGTGGATTGGGCCGAAGGCTTAGAGGTGTTGTTTCTCTGAATGTGTGACAAATGAGGCGTTGGAGGTGCTGGTGCTCGGGGTCATGACATAGATATGGGTTTACGGAAAATGGGACGCCCCTTACACGGTTCTTACAGTTTCAGAGGACTGCTTTCTAGATTCTTGCATCTAGTGCGTAGCGACTCGGTGGTGATACATGTGTAGCCCGAACATCCAACAGGCCCTCATCTGCCCAGCTCTGTAAGTGCGAAAAGATGCGCCGTCCTTCATGCTATCCGTAAGATTACACGCCATCCCCAAGAACGCCCGCTGCTAATGAATGACCGTTCTCGTACCCAACCAGGGCTACTTGAGTAAAAAGTGGTAGTTTTAACATAACTCCGTCTAAGGTGGGCCAAAGAACTTTCAGGCTTGTCAAAACCGGCAGTTTTCAATTCCTGATAACGCGCCAGGGCCCTTCAAAGCGGAGTTAGGTAAGTGTACACAAGGAAGCCTGCTACACCTCCTTTTACGCAGACGTGAGATCCGCGATGCGTTGCTCGATGTCCGGAATCGCGCGCAGTTGGAGATCGAGCTCTTCTTTCTCACTGCACAAGCATTTAGCCACCACCCCCTCAAGTCAACGAACAGGGTCCCATGGGGGTTTACTCACTCTTCTAACTGCAGCCTCCTTTCCGCATCCAACTTCGTGAAGATATACTTTCCCTGCCCATCGAATTGGAGGATGTTCTTGTGATACTTCCACAGACTCCGCCGATGGCTGACAGTCATGAGCGTGATGCCTAACCGCTTCGCCTCGTCGTACATGACGCGCTCGATCTCGAGCGTCACGCTGCTGGTGCACTCGTCCAGGATCGCGTACTTCGGGGCATGGTAGAAGAGCCGCGCCATCGCGACGCGCTGCTGTAGCCCGCCGGAGAGCACGTCTGTCCATTCCTGCTCGGCGTCCCAACCGTCGGGACGATCGACGATGTGCTCGATTTCGACGACGGAGAGGATGGCGTAGAGGTCGGCGTCGGTGATGCCCTTGTCGCGCATTTCGCGGACGCCGTCGGGGTAGATGATTTGCTGGCGGAGGGTGCCGCGGGAGAGGTAGGGCCGCTGGGGAATGTAGAAGATGTCCTCGAAAGGGGGTTTTCGAACTGTGCCTCCGTAGACGGGCCAGAGGCCGCCGAGGATTCGGAAGAGAGACGACTTGCCGCAGCCGTTTGGGCCGACGATGAGCATGTGGTCGCCGGGCTTTACGGAGAAGCTTAGGGCGCGCACGAGGACGTCGCCGTTGGGTGAGACGATGGGGACGTTCACGAACTCGATGTCCTCGCTTTCAATGACTTGACCGCGCCCGCTGAGCACTGCGGCATTTTCTTCTGTGTTTGCTGAGGAGACAAGCTTCTTCTCGAAATGGCCGGCTTGGATGTCGTCGATGACATCCAACAGCGTCGATACTCTTGACGTGTACCCGGCTAATTCTGTGATTTCCTTGTAGGAGAACATGACACGACCGAACGCATCAGAAGACATTAATAGCATTCGTCGATTGGTTACAAAGCCTAGTATCGGTTAGTTAAAGCTCTATCTGCACTCTGGAGGCAACTCACTCTCAGTCCGATCAGCCATGCTGTTCCCTGCCACACCAGGGATCTTGAAGAACACTGGAACGCTGCAAAGCATCAAGCCTAATGCGCCCCAGAAGTACTTTATCACGAAGTCTTCCATCACACCGTGGTAGAACCGCCTCCTCAATATTCGGTTCACGTGCTTGATGAGCGTAAAGTATCCTTTGTCCAACGTGTCCTTCTCCGCCTCATGTCCGTGATACAGGGCTACCTCTTCGCTGTAATCAATGAGTCGCGAGTGTTGAAACCTGAACTCGCCCTCCAGTCGTGCTTCATCTGCAACGTATCTGCCGAATGGTGGTGTAAGAGCTCGCATCACGCTTGCGGAGAGCTGGACAATCAAACTCATGAAGAACAGTCCTTCCCCACCAACGCTCCGGGACAGAGAGTAGTTGTATATGATCATGTCGAGGACCGGTTTGGCGATGTTCGAGTAGAGTTCCGCTAGACTGTTGGAGAATTTCGCTACGTCAACGGTAATGAGCTGGTCGGCGTTTTTTATCCGGTCGTCGAGCGCAGAGAGTGTATAAAAGGTCATGTGGGAGAGGTATCGGTTATGTATGTAGTTCGTAAGGCGGGAGCGGTATTGGAGGGAGAGTTTACATTGGTGATAGGAAAGCTGCAGAAGGTCAGTCAATACGCTGTTAGATCCCCGGGTCCCTAACCCTGCAGACATACCATCGAGTTCGTAAAAGTGGCAGGAATGGCCACTACCATCCACCAGACAAGCCCTGTGAGGAAGTCTTTGCCTTTCCCTCTGACCAGACTGCTCACAAGCCGGCCATCCAGCTCGGCGACGTACAGACTGATGAGAGTTCGAAGCACCAGGAAGATGCTATGGCTAATGAGAAGCCGTAGCTCTTTACTCCTCCATCCCGGTATCACAATCTTCAGCAACCGCAGCAAGTTCTTGAAGAACTCGCGGTTCAGCTCCACCTTCTTCCTCGATGTCGCCTCTCCCTCGGCGGGGCCAGTCCCGGGTCGTTTCCGGGCCTCAGCTTGCCGCAACGACGCTGCTTTCTGTTCGGAGATGGCACTCCGTATGCGATTGATGAGTGCGACGAAGAGTGTGAGGTATACGGCTCGAGAAATGCGCGTGCGGTGTTGGAGGTAGCGGGCAGTCAGTTCGTTGACCACGCGCTTGATGGCGCTTTCGGAGGGAACGGCGTGGGAGAAGAGCTTCGACTGAGCGGCCATGGTGTTGTGCAGCTCAGGTCAGCATGGATTCGAGTGGGTTCAGTCGTCTGGAGCTTTGCGCATCGTCCTGGGATGGCCGTGGTGAAAGGTGACGGTGGTGGTTGGGATGGAACTCGCATGTGATGGACCGCCTCGGCTCACATTCCGCGATCTGCCTTCCCCAGACTCCACAGTGCCACAATTCGACGTCACGCGGGTTGAGCAAACACCAGCTTCAGTTCGGAGACTGCTAGTCGGTACCCGGCTAGAGGGCTCTTCCGGTTGCATTTATCAAGATACTTTTCGGCGTATAATGTGATTTGTTTTTATGACCAAATCTCGAGTCTATTCGTCTAACTAATACGCAGGCTCGAACCGATTTGCAAAACGAAACATACGACTGAGTACTGATTATACAAGGAACAACCACTTCCGACAGACATCAACCTCTTTAAACATTTTCGATGAACGTAGCATTTCGACCTTAATGCTTCCCTCAATAGTCTCTCATCGTCACTTAGTTTCCCCTGGCTTTGATGGCAGCTCTCTTGTGTCTAGCTGCGACCTCCTCCGTAGAGACATAGAACCAGTACTGAGCTTGGTAAGCCACTTGAACCACCGCGGCTGGGTCTTGTCCCTCACACGTCGCAGGCGCCGTGCCACCCTTGGTAACGAGCCGGTAGACTTCCTTGACCGCACCGGTAGTCCCTGCTGTCTGAGCCACAAGCTTCAGCCATGGTACGTCGACGGTACCATCTGCCTCGGCCGGTGCTGTCATAGCAGCATTCTTCTTGAGCTCCGTGTTTCCCAGGCCGATGACGTCGAAGTCCGGAGTGGTGCTATCGACGAAGAAGTGCATGCCAATCGCAGCTGCGTCTTCGTTGATACTGCCCAAATTCCCACTGGCGACAGCACATGAAGCGTTGGTGAGAGATGCAACTGCGCCAATCGCGACAGGCACTGTAGCCGATGAGCTATTGGCGCACGTGTAGTTTTGTGTGCCGGTGCCTGCAGCGATAAGAGCGAGTTGCAGACCCGAAGAGACAGCGGGAAGAGTGTTGGCAGGCTGCGCAGTGGTGCTCAAGTCGCATGATCCACCGGTGCTGACATTAGTCTGGCGTGGAGGGAATGGCCAGGGACGTCTGATAGGACTACGAGCTGGTCGCTGGGCGTAAGGAGTAGCAGAGATAGAGAGAGTGAGGGCCAATATGGTGAGCAGGATAGTGGAACGCATCTTCGCTGGTAATTAGGACGGGCGGTGGACAATTCGATGTTTTTTAAGTGGAAGGAAGGTGTTGCCAGCTGATGTGTTCCCGAATAGTCTCAGCGTCAAGCGAATATTCGTTGAGGAATCGAGGAATCGATAAAGAGAAACCGACAAATAGTGTTAAGCGTATATATAAGAAGAAAAACAAGGCTGCCAGAGCCAAAGAGAATCGAAGGCAAATGAACGTTGATAAGTGAAAGAGGAAGGGCAGACTTCCAGAGTCGAGAATCAGGCAAGTGAATGCTTGCTTGTTGGAAGAACTATTGGGTGGTCTCCTTTCCAGTTTATATCCTCCGGTATACCTATGCCTGCCACACGAACAATTCGCAAGTCCGCCCCCCGTGGACGTTAGTCCTCAGGAGGATCGAACGCTTCAAACATATGCCCCTGTGGCCATCAGGCCTTGACATGGACTGAAGACATGAACTAGCAGCATGCAGGCTATGATTCATGGTGGAGAACTCCGTCGCGACCAAGGCACCAGAATAGAAAAGGAATTTGCACTAATGTCAACCACCCCAAACAGAGTGCAGGACATGAGTTGGTATCTGACGGGGATGGCACGGCTCATGATTCCAAACCACATAGCGGAAGGCGTAGCGGCTCAACAGGCTTCATGTGGAGTGTTGCATGCCATCAGGCTTAGTTAAGACAAGCGGCCCCTATAGCTACCATTACCTGAGCAAGGTGTTCGTAGCGATCTAGGAAACGAGACTTCCGCTACTTGCTCCACACTGTTGACTTGTCGGAATTACGCCTGTTGGATCCTTCTCTTGGGAAGCCCAGGCACGGGCGGTCAAAACTGGAGCTCCTGCAGCATCCGGTGCGCAAGTCGAAACGATGAGGTTGAGGATAGATGAAGGAAGCGTAGTGGCATGCTACTACCGGGCAGTATGGGCGATCTGAAACAACCGCTGCCAAGACCCCAGAAAACCAACCGTTGCGACAGCGCGCCTAGGAAGGTGGGACAAGCGGACGTTGCCTTCCGACGGGCGCAAATATACGCGGGACGCTGCCTGCTTGCGTCGCAGACATTGAAACTTATCTGAAACCTGATATAGCTCAGGGTTTGACGGTGGCGAGTGGCATCGCCGCCCGACTCTCCGGCATCCCCGCCATTGCTCTTCTCGCTGGCACGTGTCGGAGGTATTGAATGCGAACTAACGACGGGTGCGCCTCGACGTGTCGTTGGTGGTGATGTCGAGACTCTCTCGCGGGAATGCGTGAGGCTGAGGTCTCTTTAAGGTTGGTGGGCCGAATCATAGCGATCCTTGGAACGCGCAGAACAACGGCCAATGGCTTCAATGGAATTGCACAGCCTGATGCTGGCATGCAGAGCGCTGCAGAGCGCGACAGAACTCGTCAGCCTTGTCCGCAGTCTTCTGGCCTCGCTGCTTCCGTCCAACTCCATCAAACACTCTTCCCGGCGCCCGTCTTTGTCCTGAGATCTCGCTGGACGAGAAAGCCGTCTTATTTCTGAAACGCGATGCCATCTGGCCTCGGGATGGACGCCATGTCGACAAGAACTTCAGTCGCAGAACTCGCCCGTCGTGCCGGCATCAGCCCTCCTGTCAGCCGCCAGCCGTGTCTCTCCGCTCCCTCGAAACCGCCGCCACGAGTCACGGATGAAGACCGCACCCAGGCTCGGAATCTGCTTAGCGAACAGCGCATGCGAAAGCCTGGGTACGTCCAGCCTGACAAGCAGCTGAAACGCATCTTCAGGTCGTCTAGAGTGAATGAACGTCTCGGGGATCCGACCCACTGGGTATTCTCTCAAGAGGAACTAGACGAGGCCTTACTAGGAGTAATAAACGAGCACCAGCGACCATCATTAGTACAGGCGCTCCTAGACTTAGGCGCTAGCGTCAATATCGTGGAAGCCTCAAAGGACAAGACGAAGAAGAAAAACGACACCCTTACCAGACGCAGCACCGTGCTGCAGCGTGCCATCTCCAAGCGCGGAGTAGAGTCTGTCAGTCTCCTGGCAAGCAGTGGTGCCGATAGACGAACGTTAAATGATGGCCTCAAAGTCGCACTGGCCGAAAAGGATCTGTCGTGCATTGAAGAGTTGCTGCGACATGGCGCAGATATAAACCAACACAACGACGGCTTCACACAAGCTGTAGCCTCCGCGGACCTCGCGCTTTTACACCTGTTACTCCGAGCACCTCAACCTCCGAATCCTGATCTTGTCTCACGATCTCTCCATCTCGCGGCCCAGTTCCAATCTATTCCCACAGTATGCTTGCTGATTGCGTATGGTGCGGACCCGAACCACCACGATGCGTCAGCCTTCAAGCAGGCCCTCTCGACTCGGAATTATCACTTGGCCGTGGCGATAGCCAGTAGTCCCATTGCCATTACGCCTCATGCTCTGCAAGGCACCTTCGATATCGTCTTGCGGAATCCAGACCAAGCCGTGCTGGAAGACTTCATAGAGCTTCTACTGGCGTGTGGACTGCCTTCCACCACCGAGGGTATCTCTCAGCTGCTAGTTTGCGCCGCAAAAAGCAATCGGATAACTTTTGCGCGCAAGCTAGTCAAAAATGGAGTATCACCAGACTACAATGGCGCGGAGAGCCTCAAACGTGCCATTTCGGACTGCAACTGGCTAATAGTAGACATCCTACTCTCTAGCACCATCTCACGCACGAATGCCTCGGACGCTGTAGTGTCAATTTCTACAAGAATTGGCCGGCAAGAGCGGCTGTCTATTATTGACAAGTTGGCACAAAGAGGGGCCACGGGGATACCACTAGGTGAATTCCTAATTGTTGCCGTTGAGGAAGATGACCTCGAGCTTCTCTCACTTCTTGTTCGCCTCGGAGCACCATTAAATAACAGAAGTAACCGAGCACTTCTCTCAGTTATAGCCATGCGAGATCTTCGAAAACTCAGACTTCTCTTACGCCTAGAGGCTCCCCCAGCAGCGCTAAGCCAGCTATTTCCGTTGCTTCGTCAGGGCTACACAAGGTCAGAACGGCTCGATGCCAGCAGGCTTCTGCTCGAAGCAGGTGCAAAAGGGCATGAGGTCGATCAAGCGCTTATCGATGCCGTGGCAGATACCACTCCGTCAAGGGATTTTGCTCTCATCGAAATACTTCGATCAAAAGCAGACGTCGATTGCGAGGAAGGAATGAGTCTCGTTCTGGCCATTCAGCAGAAAGATTTGCCCGTTATTCGAAGCCTATGCAATGCAGGGCCCTCTGTTTTTACCGTTTCCAAAGTCTTGCCACTAGCATTCGGAGTGAATGGTTTGACCGAGTTAACAGCGTCTGAAGTCCTCCGTATTGTCGATTTACTTCTACCACTTAAACCTTCCAGCGAGTCAGTGGCGCAAGCTGTCACTATTGCAGTGAGCGGTGGCTTCAAGAATATCGACATCATCACCCGCCTTGTGGGGAATGATGCTGCAATGGGCAGTTTTGCGTTTCGGGCCGCCCTGAGGCTGACACGCCTAGAGGATAAGCTGAGAATACTATCTGCCCTTCTTCCAGGATTCATACCACCTGAAGAGACTGGGAGAGCTCTGGTTATGGAGACAGAAACGGCAGTACATAGCAACATCCTCACTTTGGTCCAGCTACTTCTGCATAATGGCGCCCCTGTAGACTTCAACGAGGGCGAGGCGCTGCGAATTGCCGCAGTTTCTACATCCGTTGAGCTCTTGGACATTTTATTGGGGACAGGCAAGCGGTCGCAAACCTCATCAGTGACGAAGGCCTTTCGAGCACTTATGCACGACAACAACTCTCAGAAGAACCGCGATTCGATAAAAGTTGCAGAATTGCTACTCAAGAATGGGGTTGATCAGCCCGCTATAGATTCAGCGCTACGTTCTACCCTTGACGAGCTTTCTTGGGGGAGCAGCTCTGGACAAATGGTGGACCTCTTACTGGACCACCACGCAAACGTCAATACGGCCGATGGCACCTGCTTTACTTTTGCGGCCCGAACCAAGGCTCTCGATCTATTTGCCAAGCTACTTGCACATAACCCAGACTACAGAGTCATTATTCCTAGCCTATTGGGCTCGGGTCTAGATGAGCCGTCTCTTGTCGCGGCTCTGAAAATTTGTTTCGATAATGGATGTCCTCCTGCACTGCTCGACTTATGTGGACGAGGGAGAGACCCTCCTTTGGTGGTCGCGATGCGAGACTACCCTCGAAGCAAATCGTTAGTATCTCTTCTCTTAGCGCTTGGATGTACCCCAGACATTGCCGCAAAACATGTTCTCGATCATGATATTGGCGAAGAAGCGGTATCTGCACTTCTCTGGGCCCTCGACCAACCGCAAAAGAAGATTTCCACCTCCGTTATACAAGCCCTCCTTGAAGCTGGAGCATCCCCTCTCCGCCGATCTCCTCGATCTGACATATCCCCACTCACCCTTGCTGCTCGTGAAGCACGTCCCGAAATTGTCGCCGACTTACTCGCACGTGGTGCTGAACCTTCATTCCGAGACAACTCAAATCGCTCTGTGTTGTTTTACGCGAGCAGCAAGCCTGTCACCAGCATCGTCAAGTCTCTTTGCGAAGCCAAGGCATTGAGAGACGATGGCAGCTTGCATGAAGCGGCATGTTCACTGCAGCTGAGCAACGCTTCTCTGCTTCTCGAGCATGACCACAAGCCAAATTTTCCCTCCAGACTTCATGGTGGACGAAGTGCCCTTGGCCAATTGTGTTTAGGAGTTGAAGTCACCAATTCGGATCAAAGGACAAAGCTACGACAGATGATTCGATTACTACTAGATGCCGGCGCGAACGCAAAGTTCCGAGCTCGCGACAAGAAATCTGTGGTTATCCTGGCGCTCGACAACCCGCACCACGCAGTGGAGGTGACTGACGCTCTTCTCGAGACCGAAGTATGGGAGGACTTGAATGACGATAAGCATCTTTATCATGACGACGCGGGCTATTGCTACTCGCCGCTCAAGTACGCAGAGCTGATGCCACGACCTGGGCGGGACCCACAAAAGCGTGAGCTCATGGAAGTTCTGATAGACAAGGCATGTGTTCCAAAATTCTACGCCGAGGAAGGAGAGCAGCCTGCCGGTGCTGTCGGATTGCCGGCACATCTGGCTCGGATAGCCGCCCGGAGGACAGAGCAAAGGACCGCCATGCAGCTCGAACGCGAGGCAGATGAGCACTCGCGACGCTTGGCGGAGACGAAACATCTGGACGATCTACGAAGAGCGAAAGAGAGAGAGCTGGCTGCGCAGGCCGCCCTACAAAACACGCACGCTGTGCAAGCGCGACTAGAGGCGGCGAAGCATGACTCGGAGCTACGCCGAATTCGAGAAGCAGAGAGGGTGAAGAGGGACCAGCGGCAAGAAGCTGCGAACCAGCAATTACAGATCGAGGAGCGCGAAGGAATTGCCACGTACCAACGTGAGCAGCGCTTCATTGAGCAGCGGAGGAAAGAGCTGGATTACAGAAATAGCGCTGAGCAAAGGGCTCTTTTGGAGAAGGAGAAGGTGTTTGAGCGGAATGTGCAACGGCAGAAGGCGTTGATTGACCGGAACGATCAGAGTGCGAAGCTTCATGCTAAGCTTCAACAGGAAAAGCCGAACCAGCTGTATCTTGAGCAGCCTGATTAGGGAACGACCTGCCGATCTGTCTTGTTTCTGTGATATGTGGGTATGAAACTGTTTTCATTTAGGATGTTGTATTTGTGGTGCAGTTTTCGGGTCGTTTCCCTTTTCACGACGTCACATATTCGGCGCTGGAGACTTCTAAAAGGATTGAAAATACCCCAAATGATTCTCGCAATCTTGGATGTTACGAATCTTCTCTCAGATAGACAATTACTCGGGTTCAATTTAAAATACAGTAATATAATCAAAGCTTCCTTATACTTTTCTAACACCGCCTGTGGTGCCTTCAAAGTACTAATAGAAAGCAGGACCCGTGAGCTACAGGCCCAGTATGTGTACTTCTATCTACCACCGCCTGAGGTAGCTGGGCAAGGTTTCAGGCCTGTCAAAACAACGGAGTTTGAATTTTCTATCGGAATGTCGAAAGTTCCTTCAAGCACTTGGAACGGCGTTGGAATAGTGTAGTCGAGCTAAGTGAGGTGTACGAGATACTAGCAATGAAGTTGTTTGGCGAATTGTGCTTTGATTGTCAAGGTTCGTCGATAATGCGAAGTGGAATTCTGTCAAATCTTCGTCGTGATTGGGATGTGAGAAGCACATGACCATGGAAAAGTACATAGGAATCAACATTTGCCGAAAAGTTGTTGGAATCGAAGAAGTGTCGAATATTTTGCGTGGAACGGGAAGCACGTGACCTCTCCAACTTCTGCTTGTGTCAAGCATATCCTCCAGTGCTCAATGCCCACGAATTAAAGTCTATGAATAGAGAAGCGAGTGAAGCAAGCTCTTGAATAGAAATACATTACGAAAATGATGCTGGCGATGCTTTTGGTGAAGAAGAAGGGAGTGAAGGTTCGGCTCGGACAAACTTTGGTGCGGCGGATCTGATACGACGTCGAAGCCCAAAGCACCTCCGCGTTTCCACCCGCCAGGACGCCCGCAGGGGCACAGCACAGCTGCAATTGCCACCACGATGACCGATGTTGAAGGCCCGATCAAGCTCGCGGAGCTGCTGCGGCACCCAGAGGACCTGGACAAGATTCCTGCGCTCAAGGCCGAATTCACGCGCAAGAAGGCCACTGTCGACGAGCAACTGCGGCATGGGCTCCGCGAGCAGCTCGAGGTGACCCAGGCCGGCATGACGAGCATCACCGAAGGCACGCGAACCGTCAACCAGATCAAGGAGGAGATGATGAAGATCGACAAGCTATGTGCGGAGGCGCAGAACATGATCCGGGACTTCCCCCACATCAACCTCGTCGCCCAGACGCACCGCAACTTTGAGCAGGTCGAGAAGATGAAGCGCGATATCGATACCTTTGAGGATCGCCTGGCTAGCCTAGAGGCGCTGTTACAGGAGGACGACGCCGATTTGGAGAACCAGCCCAACCTGCTTGAGATCCACTACGGCCTCACACTACTGCGGGACATACGGGACGAGGCGATGGAGCAGATCAAGAGCTCTGAGGAGGCCAGCACGGAGCTTATCGAGAACTTGAGGCTCGATAGTGGCTCAACGGTTCAAGAATACTTTGCGAAGCTGGATGAGGTGGTGGATTGGTTCGACGACCACGTGGGCAATGCTTGCATGAATCTGATACCATTGATACAATCGGGCAACGCGGGCATGGTTGTCAGGCTTGCACTGATCATTGAAGAGGAGGAAAAGAAGGACAAGAAAGTCAAGGCGTTACAAGATGCGCAGAGAGAGTTCAAGGGGCTGGCGGCTAGATTCAAGAGCATTGCAACTGGGCCCAAGGAGTTGAGAGGATATAAGGAAAAGTTCCTACAAGCTATCAAGGCGACTGCAGAGTTGAGGATAGCAGAATCCAACGAGACTTTCTTAGGCGAACCCGACAAGCTAGACAAGATCACTAGGTGGCATTTCAACGACTTGAATACAGTAAAGCTGGGCATGGTCACCCTCATGCCGAAAAAATGGCGGATATTCAAGCAATACACGGACATCTACCACAATCTTATGCACGACTGGCTCATCGAGCGTATCGATGATCAAGAGCTGGCACCGTCACACATGCTTGCCATCATCCATTGGGTCGACAAGTACTACACGAAGATGGCGAAGCTTGGAGTCCCGGAAGACCTTCTCACACCGCACCTCATCGACAATCGTGGTGCTGAGCTTGTTCGAGAATATCGACAACTCATCATCAAAGCTGTCGAGGAATGGATGGACCGCATGGCGGTCACAGATAAACAAAACTTCCTTTCCCGTAGCGAGGGGGCTCTGGAGACGGACGAGAATGGATGGTTCCGTACCAAGACGCTGGGCGACATGTGGCGCATGCTGCGAGAGCAACTATCTGTTGCCGGCAACAGTGACCGTACAGATGTCGCCGAAGGTGTTGTTGAAGCCATGTTCCGCGCCCTCACATCTCGCCAGAGAATGTGGGAATCACTCACCGAGGCCGAACTGGCGAAATACTCTGGCCCCGCCGTCGACCAGGACGGCCTACAGCCACTTCAAGACTGGCTAATATCTATCGCCAACGACCAAATCGCCTGCATTGACGAACGGGATTCGGATCCCGACACCAACGGCTCCTACGTCTCAAGTTTCCAACGCGACGTCACCTCTCTCGTCTCCCCAGCCTACGCCCCGATCATCGACGGCTCCATCGAATCACTGAAAAACGGCTACATTGACCTCGGCGCCCACTGCATCCACATCTTCGCCTCCCTCATCTTCCTCGTCGACTTCCGCTCCATTCTCTCCGAATTCTTCACCGGCGCCTGGTACTCCCAAAAGCGCATCGGCCAGATCGTCAACACCTTCCAAGACTACCTCTCCGACTACGAATCCGTCCTGCATCCCTCACTCCGCGATATTCTTGTCGAAGAACTCGCAGATGAACTTCTTGTGCACTACCTCTCAGCTGTCCGCAACAAGGGCGCTCGTTTCCGCCGTGCAGACCCCTTCACCGAGAAGATCAAAGACGACGTCGTTACGGCGTTTGAGTTTTTCCAGGCGTACCCATCCTTCCCAGATATCAAGCAGAAGTGGCGCGTGGTGGATGGCTTTGTCAAGCTGATCGAGGCAGACAAGACCCAGGTCGTTCACGTGTATGCCGAATTCAAGGAGCGCTACTGGGACGTGCAGATTGGGTGGGTGGAGGCGGTGTTGCGTTCTAGAGACGATTTTGAGAGGTCTATGCTCAACCAAGTGAAGACTAAGGCAGCGGAGGTGTATGTGGAGAGGGGCACGGATACGATTATGGGGAAGGTCAAGTAGATGCATGCTCGTTCGGTGGTGGGAGTGATATTGGTAGGGGATTTGGCTGGAAAGGTGTTGGCGCACTTAAACATGGATGCATGGGTTGGTGTTTGGGGTTTGATGAATTGTATGTACGAATACCCGAGGCGGTGTGTTCTATAGTGATATCTGTCTGTGCATCTCTCTCTGCATTATGCGGGCTTCTTTCAAAGTAAAGTGGTAGTCTACGAACTTGTTCTCTATACTTTAGATACACACCTACTCCGGGGCTTGTGTACACTTGCGTAGCAGCCTTTGGGGGCTCCTGGGATGTTGATGAGAATTGGAAAACTACAGTTTTGACAAGCTCGGTAGCACTCGGGCCTACCTCCGACGTTATTAAAACAGATTCCCACTTGATGCTCAACGCACTGTCTATTGGTTTTGAGTGCATCTCGTCAATTTATTACTCTTCAATCCATCACGTGGTTGCGTAACGTTTCTCACACCCGAGATTGGATATTCTGGCCGCTCGTAATTGAATGCATGGAAGGTGAATGTTCAGCTGCAGGGTCCAACGTGCATCCCGTTGTCAATGAGCTTGACATGTGATTTTCCTTGTAGGCGTTGCGTTGTACGAAGTAGTTAGGACCGGGTTGGACGCCTATATCGCCCATAGGCCTGTGCGCCGGGAGCGTCTTCTTGACGCGACTCGCGTCCTCGCAGCTTCTTCCCCTTCAGCACTCACAACTCCATTCTGCACTACGTTCCAACGTAGCTTCTCCGTTTTCTAAAAACCCCAAGAACGCATCGCACCCGCAGTACGAGTTGAGTTACGCAACCAAACCCCCCCGCTCGACACTATGTCCGACTTCAAGGTTGGGCAGACTGTCGCGCTCCTCGATGGTCGCCAGGCTGTCATCAGATTCATCGGCACTCTGCACATTGCTGATGGCCAATTCATCGGAGTCGAGTTCGCTGATCCCAGTGGCAAGAACGACGGCTCGGTCAGAGGCGAGAGGTACTTCGACTGTCCTCCTAATCATGGCATGTTTATGAGGGCGAGCAACATCGCGGAAGTCATCATCGACGCACCAAAGCTAGCTCCCAAGGTGAAGCCACGACCAGCTGTGAGTGTCTGCCTCCTTGCCACCTTGAATCTAGATGCTAACGGCCCGCAGTCTGGGTCACAGTCTCCCCTCAAGAAGCCAGCTCCACGTGCCTCCAGGCAGAGCATGGCTCCTCCCCCAACCCGCCGCACCTCTATCGTCCCCACAACCTCCTCAGCTGCCACTTCCCGTCCGACCTCATCTCGCCCCGCTCCCACAGCTTCGGGACTCGGCTCGCGTGCACCCAGCACGGTTTCAAGCACATCCTCAGCGAAGCCAGCCACGAACAGGCTCTCCCTGGCACCCCGCTCCCGCCCGACACCCGCAGCATCCACCACAACGACAGCTTCATCCTCCAATGTGGCCATCTCAAAGAAGCCCGCGGCTTCAATCACATCATCTACTACACGAACCTCCTCAACCCAAGACAAAAAGGTGGAGGAGCTGGAAACAAAGCTTCGGGTCCTCGAAAAACAGCGACTCGAAGATAGGGAACAACTCAAGGCTCTGGATCGAATTCAGCAGGAGAGGGATAAATTCGAGTCCATCATACAGAAACTTCAGGCGAAATACCAACCTATACAGCAGGAGAACGCGGTGCTCAAGAAAGGATTGAAAGATGCGGAAGACACCGCGGAGAAAATTGCATTGCTCCAAGAGGATCATGACACCGACATGGAAATGATCACTCTTGAGCGCGAGATGGCCGAAGAGAAGGCCGAAAACTACATGAACGAGGTTACTGATCTCAAGCAGCGTGTTGAAGAACTCGAGCTAGAGAACGAGATTCTAAAAGACGAGAACCTTGAACTTGGACAGGACATCAGCCCCGAAGAGAAGACTAGTGCGAGCTGGGTGCAGATGGAGCGGGAGAATGAGCGTCTTCGAGACGCCCTCATCCGACTTCGAGACGTCTCGCGAGAGCAAGAAGCAGAGCTCCGCAGCGAAATCAAGAGCCTCGAAGAAGATGTGCAAGACCTAGCACAGGTTAAAGAACAGTACGAAGACACGAAGGCCAAACTCTTGGAGTCGGAAGCGGACATCCAAGACCTCCGCCAGCAGCTGGACGCTGCACTTGGTGCCGAGGAGATGATTGAAGAGCTTTCGGATCAGAACATCGTACTGAAAGATAAGATTGATGAGTTGAAGCTCGTTGTTGACGATCTGCAGGATTTGAAGGAACTTAACGACGAACTTGAGATCAACCACGTCGAGAACGAGAAAGAACTCCGACAGGAGCTCGAACTGAAAGAGACCGAAATTGCAGATAGCCTTCGGGCAGTTGCTCAGCACGAGGAAGCTCTCGCCACCCAAGAATACGCAATTGTCAAGTATCGGGAAGCGTTTGCCACTCTTCAGTCGGACTTGGAAGAAATGCGGGCGAATAAGGAAATCTCAGAGTCCGAGGCACAGGACCTTGCCCAGCGGTCGAAGGAGCTGGCAGATCTGAACTTGAAGCTCAACCAGTCTGCGACCAACACGATGATCACGACTATCGACATGGAATTGAGGAAACTCGACGCTCAAGAAGCATCGGAGCACCTCGCCATTGTTCAGCTCTTCCTTCCCGAAGCATTCCAGTCAGAGCGAGACTCAGTCTTGGGACTGCTTCGATGCCGCAGAATCTCCTTCAAGGCCAAGCTGCTGCACGGTTTGATCCGGGAGCCCCTCAACGCACCTGGAAAACAGAGCGTGATTCACGACGAAGACGTCTTCGAAGTCTGCGACGCGCTGAACCAGCTTGTTTGGATCGCAGAAATGTCCGACCGGTTCATCAGTGGAATCTCGTCATGCAGCCTCGAGCAATTTGCACGCTTTGGGGCTCAGGGCGCGATATTCGACCTAGAGCCAGTTGAGAAGGCTCTCGACACCAAAATCGAGGCGCTTCGCAAGAATGATTTCCCCGGACGCACGGTCGCCGAGGAACTTCAGAGGTCGGTGGCTGTACTGAAACATCTCGCTTCTCAGCACGAGATTTCCAGTGCTTCTCTGGACAGCGGAGCAGACGAGCTCAAAATGAGCGTCGAGCTGATTCAATCCAACCTGGATGTTACCATCACCGGGCTAACCCTCATCAGCTATGAGGTCGGGAAAACGGTTCCATTTGACGACGCGGATGACGGCATCGCGAGATTCATGCAAAAATCCGACGCAGTAATCGCAGCCGGCCGCTCCGCCAAAATCGTGGTCGGAAAAACACTCAGAGCCCTGCAGGATTTGAGATCGCGATCTCTGTCGCTCACACCTGACACGCATCCCGATTTCGAGGCTTGCGAGGAAGGCACCGCGCAGCTAGCCAAATATTGCCGCATCTTGGGTGAGAATTTGTTCTCCCTTCTGAAGCAGGAAGGACAGCCAGCGCCACCCACGTATTCTGCCGTCCGGAGCATTCTCTTTAAGACCACAGAGACATTTTTCACCGACTCGCCCATCGATGCCGACATCTATTCCACCTTGAGTGCGAAGCTCCGAGCTCTCACAGAAGATCTCTCAAACCTTCACGCTATGTCGACTACTCTAACTCGCACCGTGGAATTTGAACGTGCCACTGCTCCTTGGGTTCTCAAGAGCCGAGAGATTGCAGCCAGCAAACTCGTCTCAATTGATGCTGAGGATGAGATGAGGGCATTGCAAGAAGAGCTGCAGAAGCACGCTATGACGATCAGACTCCGCGATCGCGACATCGAAGAAAAGAATGTTACGATCGAGCTCCTCGAGGCTCGCACTCGAGATGCCAGCAAGAAAGCCTCGAAAATTCACGAGCTGGAGCAAGCGATCTCCATCCTACGCTCCAAAGAAGAATCTCTTCTGGAGGAACGAGAAAAACGCGACCGCGAGATTCGAGTCTTAAAACTGGAGCGCGAACGCTGGGCCGACGCAGCGAAGATGCAGACGAAGTTGAGCGAGAACGGATCGGCAAACGGTGCTCGCACCAGCTCTGCAGACACCGACGCACTCGAACGCGAGCTCGCAGCCACGCAGCAATCCCTCGACCGCTACCGCAGATCCGTCGAATACCTTCGCAAGGAAAACTCCAAGATCAACCGCGAGGAGAAGCAGCAACGCCGCTCGAAGCTCGATGAACTCGCAAAGCGACAGCGCGCCGAAGACGGCGAGCCGGACGAGCAGCAGCGCCAGCTCGAGAAGGAGAACGCGGCTCGGGAAGCGGCGGCGACGACACCATCGAAACCATCGAAGCCGGCGGCTGAAAAGGTGGCGGCGGTGGAGGTGAAGCTGGGCAAGCAGGTGCGGCAATCAAAGGTAGAAGAGCGGAACTTGATTCCCAAATACCTGACTGCCTCCCTCATGCCTTGCAAACAAAAGACGTCTAGATTCGCCCTGCTAACGCGGAATCTTCAGGTCGTTGCCGCAGAAGTCGCGAAGATCGAGTCCCGATTGAACGCACTGCAGGTGACGCCGAGGCCGCGGGAGAAGCGGCTGACGTGGGAGCCGAAGTCGAGGACGCCTCAGTCCGCTTTGGCTACGATCAGCGAGGAGGCCGAATGGGACTTTTCTCCGTACTCGTTCCAAAAGACTATGAACGAGGTGGCGATTTTGAAGGCGGAGAAGATGAGCCCGGTTAAGGGGGTTAAAATCCGGAGCAAATGGGTTTTCAAGGTTTAAGCATTGTGAATTGGAGTACAGGAAAAAGGATCGCGGTTTCATGGCGTTTTGAAGGTATGGCAGCATTAGCATTCGGTGTACGGTCGTTTTTGGGTCTTTGAGCGAAGAGTTTTGGCAGCTGCGATGATACCCTGTGCCACCCCCGAGGGGGAGGAGCTTTGTTAGTTTTCAATTGAGTTCGTTATGATTCGCAGAATAATTTTCTATGTGATTGTAAGGAGCTTGAAATGTGATGTGAGGATATTTCATGTTGATACTGTGATGCTGGCGTGGGAAGTCCTTCAACGTGGTGAGAAACTTCATAATACGATGTCAATTTTTGGGGGGTGTGAATGGGACATGGATTTGGGGCGTTAGGAAGGTAGTTGAAGCCGACATGCAGTGGTAAGAGAGCACGCAGTTTTCAAGCCAACGGGTTACGATTCAGAGGGTAAAATTCAGGCAACGCGCGGGCAGTTCAAATTGCGGCTTTTGGAGTTTAACATTTCTACTAATTTACCACCGTCTGAAGTCATCCACCGCGCTATGAAAATTTGAGACATGATGTCAAGTTCTCGAGAGCGTGAATCAGGCCGGATGAAATCGCCACGGCGTACGCTTGTAATTTGAGCATATTGAAGAATATAAGAACGGTTGTCTTCTGATACCACGCAATGGTTATAGAGGAATTGAAATATGTGGTGATATTACACGAAGAATGAATAAAAAATAAAAAAAAAGGATGCACCAAGCGAAGGTAAGAATGTGAAAAATTCATATACCGAGATTTAGATCAAAACAATAAACGGTCCTTGCGCTCGCCAGTTCCACTAATCCCAATTACCACCCTCCATAATCACATGGGTCCGCACCGGGAGAGTTTATATACCTATCCCTCGCCGCGCCGGCCTCACAGATAGGGATCTGGAACAAGTCCTGGTGTGGTAGGCCCTTGTCTAAACGCAGAAGCGCCACCAGCCATCGTGTTGGTAATACTGTATCCGTTTTTATTTCCATTGGCTTGGTACGCCTGCCACGAGCTCCACACAATTTGATCTTTATCGAGGCCAGTCTTCTCAGTTAGCTCATCCCAACCAGGAAGCTTCTTGAAGACGTTTGCATTGCATGGTTCGGGGCCGGTGTTCGCCGTGGGCAATCCCTCGCAGATCTGTTTCGTGTACCCCACGACTCGGAAGGTGTATCCGATGACGAGACAGGAGCCGGTGTCAGAAGAGATCCCTTTCTCCATGAGATTGGTAGGGTCTCCGCTGGTGCAGTCTTCGGCTTTGTACAGGATGACTGGGTAGAGGTTCTCTGGATCCGCCAATTTCCAAGCCGAGCTGAGGAGCGATGCGGAGAACACTTGTTGCAAAGAGTTTGACATGTCCGACAAGGATTGATTAACACCATTGTTGGCTCAGACAGCTGTTCTCAGAGTCCCGGAAAAGTCGGCAAGGTAAGGATATTCGCCGCGGAGTGATTTGGTGATGTAAGTGTCAATGACTTTGATATAGCGGTCCGTAATCGCCTGAAGTGTCTCGACGAGGGTGCTCTTCTTATCATCTGGGGGGAGTCCTTCAGGCCTGAGTAAGTCAGCATCTGTTTATTGATCGATGGGAGTTATACCCAAGTGAGGATCAGAAGCTGTCGAGACGTACAATGTTCCATCTTTCTTGGCATAGTCAATTGCCTTGCCTAAACCATCTTCTGCCGCATCTGCTATTGATTCACTATCTAGACCCTTGGCACTCAACTCTTCTGCTAACCCTCCGAACGCCTTCACCAGCAAAAAATTGACTCCATGTCAATGAACCCGTTCAAGATCTTGTCAAAGAGCTCATCCATAGGGTCTTCTTTCTGCTGCGCAAAGGTTGACACGAAAGAACCTATCGTATTTACGAGGGCGCTCCAGGCAGACTGTATAGAGAGGTAGAAGTTCACGTAAAACTGTGGCATATTAGTTAAGTAAGTTATCATAGGAACAGCAATATGGATAAGACTTACGGCATGGAAGTTGCTGATAGAAGTCAAAACTAACTAATCCCCCGGCGTTGGAGGAGGGGGATTCGACATTGTGCAATCAGCACAGTCGCGATCAATGTTGCAATCGTCCACAGAGAGCCCGCAGCTTGCCCCCGGCATTCCGAAATGGTTCAGCATAGTGTTCAGCCAATCTAGCGGAAGTTGCCCATTCTGTCCACCAGCACCACCGGTGTCTTCATTCTAGTAACGGTTGATGGCGCTGAGGGCTCTACCGGCTTTTGCTGCATTCCAGCGATCTATGGCTGGCCTTCGCCTGTCCAATACTTCTTCAGAGCACGTTACGTTCAAATAGGCAGGGTGCTCATCAATTTGTCGAATCGAGTGGATGGTAGGTAGAGCGATTGAATGTGGGATAAATCAAAAAGCGATGCAAATAACAATTCCAATACTGTTGCTCCTGTAAGAGACCATGTCGAGTCTAAAATGTTTGCTCAGAGACCAGCAAAGACAGTACTCGTGAAAGAGGGACTAGAAAGAAAAACGTTTAGGAGAGGAAAAGAGTGAAAAGAAGATGCCGAGGAAAGAAAGGTGACGAAGTATGGACAGCTCGATGTCTTGTTTTGAAAGCGATTTGCATGATGGCTTCATATTCATACGTAAAGTCAATCTGATTTCCAAAATAATACATCCCGGGTTCATCACCCGGCTGAGCCACTAGAATAATGTCCGATAAAGTCTTGGAGGTCTCATGTGTGATGAGAGTTCATGGAAGCTGAACAGCTCGTTGCAACAAACCCTGAGACTTTGTATAACATAAGCCTCGTATTTTTCAGAGCACAACCCCAAAAATATCAGTCGGCTGAGTTTCATGTGCGGTGAAAGTCCAAGAAGCTTGAACAGCTTGTTGTGATAGGCTACGGGGAGCGAGGCATCGTATAAGACTCGGGTTGTAACAGCTACAACCTAGGATCAACAACTCATACGGTTCACGGTCACCTACGTACAGACTTGGAGTTGCTGGCATAGTAGCTGCCTACATGCCTAGCCAGTTACAACTTCTACAGAGAGGGGTTGGGGTACGGTGGCCTACCCTGCCTAATGCTGCCTACTGCTGCCTCCAATTAGTGCTTCTGCCTATGCATACAGTCACTTCCTACGTAGTATATAGTTTGGCCTTCGGGCCCCCGAAATAAGACAGAGTTCACATCAATTTTCAACCTGAGTATAAGCCTCCTAGTATTCACGGGTAAGGATTGAAAGTTCCAGCCGCGACGGACATTGATTAACAGGGCAGATGAGACTGAGGTTTCCGAGCGCGACAGAGACTGATTAACAGGGTTGAGTTGACGGGGGTGAAGTTTTCAGCCGCGACAAATTGATTATTAGGGCAGACGTTAAGCACAAATAAGGAGTCATCAATCACGTGATGATAGTCACATCTTGAAACCGAAATCATTACCATATCATTGATCTGAAGTCTCCTCCAAAACTGACACCTGCCTTGAAAATAATGGAGGTCTGAAGGCACTGGCTTGAGTGTGTGGGACCGAGAGAGATTATTTAGTAGATGAGAAGCTAAAAAGAGATAATTGCTGAATCCCACCATTGTACTACCTGTTCTAGCAGTGTAAGTTAGCCCGGATCAAATAGTGACAGCGCATGTTTGCAAATTGCGCCGTAGAATGATTCATAGATGTTTAGTCGCAGTTTTGCGTCCACAGGTCGCGTGTTGGGCTTCCTCTGTAAACTTCGGGACAGATGTAAGGTTTCGAGAGTGGGAATCAAGGGCATGTTTGGAGCGTCAGGAAGCTAGCTGAGGTCGGCCATGTAGGTTAAAGAGGGTGTAAGATTATGGACGGACACGGATGCGATTTGGAGTCTGAATTCTTGAGGTTTTTGAGGAGCATTGAAATGGCGCGTCTGGTCTTAACTTGTTTGCTGCGTGGTTGCCACTGTCTGAAGTCCCTCGTGGCACTATTGAAAGCCCAGACAAGAGGTAAAGTTTTCAAGATTGTGAGTTAGGATTGGGTTTGGTCAGAGGCCACCTTGCCGCGACCGTGCTCCCCACTTTCCCGACTTTCTCGATCCCACTCCACGAAAGCAGCCCCAACTTCGATCTCAACTCGCCTTGGCACCATAATGAACCCAGCGCTTAGCCTCGCGCTCAAGGTCGTGCTCATAACAATTGGAGTACCCTTGACCCTTTATCTCGGCCTTTTGGGACTTTCATTGCTGCTCATTCCTTCCAAGCATACTCTGTGTACCTTCATAAGGTGACCCCCACATGGTCCAAAGATCTCAACGTCCCGGAACAGTTTGGATTTCTGCATAATCAAGCTGTCCCATTTTACATTGACACCGAAGACGGCGTGAAACTGCATGCATGGCAGATTGTCCCGTCTGGAGTCTATGAACAGAATCAGAAAAATATACTGGACCAGGGCCTGTCCGGACCGGTCAGCGATATTACGAAAATCGTCAACTTCCGTCTATTGCGAGATGACCCAGAGGCAAGACTTGTTCTGTACATGCACGGCACATCCGGAACCTTAGGCTCTACAATAAGGCCCACCTCGTACCGCAATATCTATTCCGCAGCGCCAAATAAGATCTACATTTTGACCTTCGACTACCGTGGCTTTGGCTTATCAAGTGGCATTCCTTCTGAGCGAGGCCTTTTGCTTGATGCACTCGCAGTTGTGAAGTGGGCAACAACCACCGCTCAAATTCCACCCGACCGGATCGTGGCATATGGACAGTCCCTGGGTTCAGCAGTTTCAATATCGCTAGTCAATTACTTAGCCACACAAAATCCTTCGCTTCCATTCGCTGGTGTTGTTATTAGCGCATCCTTTGCGGATTTACCAAGTCTCACTGCAACGTATCGAATCGGCGGAATTATTCCAGTTTTGGCTCCAATTGCAAAAATACCGCCACTTTTCCGCTTCCTCACAAGCAGACTCCAGGACACTTGGGTGGTCAAAGACAAGATTGCTCAGTTCATTCGGCATAGCAAGAATTATCACCTTACCCTCATTCATTCCGAGGATGACAGCGATATTCCAGTTGCGCACGCCCAAGAATTGCTCTGGCATGCTGTGAATGCCACCAGTGCAACTCCAATCTCATTTAAAGAGCTAGAAAAAGACAAGGCTAGAAAGAAAGTAGATCTAGGGCCGGGTGGATGGTATGTTGACTGGACTACGCAGGAAGGGACGATAAGACTACAGATCTTGAAGTATGGCGAACATGACTGGCAGATGACATATCAAACAACGTCTTCAGCTGTTCTTCAAGCATTTCGGTCCAGGTATCCAGAATTTGCACCTTGATTGTCATATCAATGACCATGTTTTGGTGTCATATGGACAGAAGAAGCGGCTGCTTACGACGCTAATCACGAGATGCGTGTAGAGGCCGTAGTAAACCTCTTTGCTTTTCAGCTGGTGCTGGCTCTCTACACAAAAAAGCTTTCACCATTACAACCGCTAAAATCTTCGAAACTTGATCTGGCATCATCCCCAGGCTCTCAGATACAAATTTTCGCGAGACACAGGATGCAAAGTAGTTCGCAATCTGTTCCGTCGTACCAATGCCACAAGTTCCAAGATTAGAAGGATTCGGTGTCGGGGGCACTCATATAGTAGCATCACCCTGTCAGCAAGGCTGAAACGTCCCCGCATTCCACGAGCTGACGTTCAGTCTCATCAACCTCTTCCAAGAATGCCACGAACACGCCGATAAACCTTACGACATGTACCTTTTAAATATGCAGACGCTCCGTTTAGAGGTCTTCCAAGCCAAACCTCCACTTTACACCATTCTCTCCCAGACAGGGAGGACGACGAGATGTTCTTTGAGGACATCCACAAGCCGGAAGAAGCTTGCAAGGCTAGGTTCAGCAAGATCAACAATGTTGCATGCAAGCCATTGCGGACGGCTTCAAGTACGCTTGGTGGAATACGTTTTGCATCTAGGAATTTCACCCCAACGGCCAATGTCCTCAATAGTGGAGGCATTTGCCGCCAGAAACAAGGGGCTTTGGAGGCAAAACTTTGCCCAGGTATTTCTTAATCTGCTTACTTGGCTATGTTTTCAATGCTAGCGCCTGGTCCCAGTATCTAAGCCTGAGTTTGTGGCAGTGCCATTAACAAGGTGGAACTTAGTTTTAGGCCCAACATTCTGCAGGAATTTAGGCTTCGATAACTTAATTCCGGGGTCTACAATTATGAGCTTAATAGATTGGCAATCACGTTGACTCTAAAGGAGATATAGTGCGATAGAGGCTTCACAACACTACCCTTGAACACAAATTTTCACACCGCACATCACACCACAAGCGCACCTTTCACTAGACATCAATCATCGTCAGAGGCCTCTTCCTCATTTCCCTCCTCAATCTCCTTATTACTGTCATCTTCCTCTTCACTCTCATATAGAAGAGCTTCCCCAGTATACCACTGCATTGCATACGGAATGATGGTGTCCTTAAGCTCCTCTCCCACTTCAAACGGAAGTTCCTCCCATGTCTGATCATCCTCATCATCATCGCCATCATCATCATCATCATCATCATCTTCGCCTTCGTCATCACTATCACCGTCTTCGGAATCTTCTTCCTCGACTTCCTCCGCATCGTCATTCTCATCTGGTGCAGCGAAGAACTCAAAGAAAGAGTCCAGGGTGATGGCTCCAAGGAGCAGTGGGGGAAAGAGCGTCGAGAAAAAGAGAAGCAGCGCATCAAAGAGTTTGAGAGAAAGCGTGCGAATAGGAAGATCAAGGAGAACTACAACAAGCTGAGGCAACAAGCGAAGATCCGCGATCTCAACAAGAATCATGCGCATGAGCGCGAGATTGACAGACTGCGCAACGAGAATCTCCTCGCGGACTTGAGGCAACAGAAGGAGGCGATGCAGAAGGATATGGACCACAGGTTTGAAATGGCTCGGATTGAGAAGGAAAGAGACATTCTCGCAGTGAAAATGGAGATGCTCGCTCTATTCATACCTGATCTTGGAAAGGTTTCTACAAGGTGGGGGAGGTATGTCGTTTGGAGGGGGCGGCGGCTTTGGAGCCCTTGGAGGGGGAGGGGGCCGCCGACGTGGATTGCCTATGGGAGGATTTGATGACGATGAAGGCTCTGAACCTGAGTATGTTGAGAGAAGGGATAATGCGTCATCGAAGAAGAAAAATAAGAAGGAGAGGAAGGCCGGGGCGAATAAGAAGAAACCAGGGGCTAACAAGAAGAAGAAGAAGAAGAAAGGGAAAAAGTAAGGATAATAGTTGCTGCATAGATAAACGCAGTCCAGCCGAGCTTTCTGAGGCCATCAATTCTATGTTCAAGTGGTATGCTGGCGCCCAAGTGTGCTGTGCTTTCCTATGCGATATTGAGGTTGAGGAGGCCGTTGAGTTAAGTCCGCGTAGACTTCAGACTGGTGGACACTCGGGTTGTAACAGCTACAACCTAGGATCAACAACTCATACGGTTCACGGTCACCTACGTACAGGCACTCCCCCCCTTTTCTCTCTCCTTGATTCTCGTTCTTTGGTTGGTTGCTACTAGCGCGCACTCAGCGTGGCGAGGCCCTCTGTTCAGCTACACCAGGGTCCTCTCAGCTGTGTCCATTCCTTTCAGCTGGCCTCTATTCAGCTGAGCTGATAAGACCTAGGGGGTGGGCCATTTCCTATTAGTATATATTCGGCCTGTACGGCCACTACAATACAGGCAGAGTTCACATCAATTTTAACCTGAGTTGGACAGTGGTTCACGCGGGGTGACTCTGCAAGAGCTTCTTGCGCCGTCTGATGTCATCTTTTACGATAAGAGCTGGAATGAGACGGTAGCGATAAGGAAGTCGAGGTTTTATGGCAGAATTTGCTATCGAAATTCAGGTTCGCTCGGGGGCCGGCGAGCGTGCTTGGAGTGTTCAGAAGCACCTCAATACGATCAATGTCCGAAGGAGTTGTATTTTTCTAGTTGTACTAGATGGCCTGTAGAGCCACTCGCGGAGGAGGAATGATAGTGAAAGGCAGTATTAAGAGGGGCTCCGGGAATTGCTTCAACTAATCGTAATAGAAGTTAACTTGAGAGTTTCCCCTTGGCAGCTGGCGTAGGAAGGGCAAAGGATCAGTGAGGAAAGCATGAGTTGTATTGAGGTGCTAATGAGTGGCTATATAGTGAAGAGAGACCAGGGGTTGCAGGCAGCAACGGTGACAAAACAACAGGTGAACCCTGTCCAGCTGAGAAGTGAACCCTGTACAGCTGAGACGCGTAGACAGACGTGCGTAGGAGCATTCTAACTGGCTGCCACCCCTCGCTGAGTCCCATTGACTCCACCTATCACATAACGTCTCAGCGAGTGTAGGCACGTCAGTTCCAGTACCCCTCCAGTACTCTGCACATAATACTGTCCTAGTATCTTGTGATTGATATCTAGATACTTTGACGTGCTCCGTTTCCGTAAAAGCTAGTGAATCGATAATCTCCCCTCAGACGATCAATTATCTTCGGAATAAGGCATGTAGGGTGAATATCAACACTTTCCAGGAACCTGAGAATCATTGTATCACTAACAGCAGGCATCCAAGGCCGCAATGTTCGAGGGCACAACCTTATTGAGCTGATTATACTGTAGATGCTGGCTGAACTGCTTTACCAAAGATATCAAATGAGCATGGGTGAAAGCGAAGGTAGAGAAACGAGCTTCTCAGATCACTCCGTATCTCAAACAATTTCTAGCTGCTCTTCCTCCTCCTGACCTTCTGCAAGCTGCTTTGCTACTTCCCCATTCATGATTCCATGGACGTACGACGGCCCCATCAACACGTGCCTACGAGAAAGTTCCGATTCTCCCTCTTCCAAAGGGAGCAGCGGATGCAGCACCAGCGGAACACTCACACTCTGGATGATGCAGATTTTATCTCCCGGCAGCGAATGTACTGGGACGTAGCCGAAGTATCCCTTTGTGGTGGTGCAAGTCACCCATCCATAAATACGGTTAGGCACCCCGTAAATTGGCGATGAAGTGCTGCTGTCCGCAATGGCTGTTCTGCCAGACCACTCTAGGTATTGCTGTCTATGCCATTCGGTCTCACCAGCAGGTATTTGCGTTACAATGCTGGTGGCTCGATTCGTCAGCAGAGTGCGCCAATACGCGTCGAGTGCGTTCTCCCCTGTTGGATAGCTCCTGGATTCCAAATCCGCGGGCTCCCACCCTCTTATAGCCTGGGCGAAAGCCTTGCTGTTGAGAGATCTGTTGTAAACTAGATCGAGATCTGCAACCTCCTCGATTGTGTCCCATACTACCCCCTTCACGCATAGGACCCCTTGGTCGAGGTCATCGGAGTTGGGCAAATCTTCCAGTATAGAAGTACCGGAAGCTTTGAACGGTGACTTGATATCAAGTCCGAAGCCCAACATATCGATTTTCAGCGCGGAAGACCAATCGGGAACCCATGTCGGAAGCTCATGCTCCGGTGGTATAGCCGGTGTTCGGTATGCTGAGCAGAGAAATTCTAAGCTGGGACGGGAGTGTGCTCCCTTATTCGCTACGTCGGCAATCATTACTTTGGCAGCCTCGATGTATACTTCGCGAACACTTTTAGAGTAATCCGCCCGTAGTTCCGACTCCGGGAGAGACGAGAGTCCAAGCAATGCGTATATCATATCCCTTGGGTCCGAGCAGTCGCGTTCTGAGTACCGTCCCAAAAGGGTTCGCAGTCGGGTGCTTGCCCTTCTCATTTCGAACATAGGATAGTTCGAATCAGTCCGCTGATCGTCAAGTGTGATTGCAGAGTGGAAAGTCGCGCTAAATCTTGCGTGAAGATGCTCATCCAGCTTTCTTGCGTAGGGGTTATTTCGTATGATGTTAGTGATAGTGTCCCAGTTGATTTCGCGTTTTCCACACATGAGTCGTGCTTCTTGGGATTTCGTGATTTCTTGAACAGTCCACATTCTAGACCACCAGGTGCGTTTACAGACGAGTTCTGTAATGGCATTCCACTCCTCTTGGGTAAGATCTTTAGGGTCCATTAGGTCGTCCGGATTTTTGGGTCGCAAGGCTTCCTGGCCGATGATTATGTTACTGAATATGGGTTTCAACGTCATGTCTTCTTCCCGCCCGCCAAGCCTCTCGAGCAAGTCCATGGCAAGGTTGCTATCGCTACTTTCTTCACCTAACCACACTATCACTTTGGAAGCGTGCCGGTAGATCTCTGCCATCTTGAGGACTTGTGCACTGCGTTCTGGCATATTGCTTTGGTCGATGCAGATCGCATCAACCCAAAGATCTCTCCATTCACTATCCTGTCGCAGGTGTCGAAGAGCGGATTCGAGATTGTTGCTTATGCTGAAAGGATGCCCACAAAGATCCATTGTCGTAGTCGTGGACATATCGCCCCATGTATAAGAAAGTGCTTCGTACGTCGGATGCTCGCCCAATGGGTTTGGGTAGTGAATCATGTATGGTTGATTGTCTTTGCAGATGTAACTGGAGTGGAGTTCACACCGAAGTGGGTCCGACCATTCACCCGGTAGCAGCCTCAGGATCCTGATCATATCCCAAACAATGTCCTTTGGTGTAAAGAGTGGCGACTTCCGGTCGATAAGACTCATAACAAAACGGTGCGAGTCCTCGTCATCGTCACTGTCCTCCTGAGCTGATGAAGCGTGAGGCTTCTCATCCCCAGCTTCATCTCGTGCACTCTCTTCTGCGGCCACCGCTCCGGGGTCTTGTCCACTCTGCAAAGTTGTGTCAAGGCCTGACTCGTGAGGATCATCATCTGTGACTCCTGTCTCTGTATCCCCTTCTTTACCGTCTTCCAAAGTCAAAGCTTTAGTGTCTGAGGTGATCTCTTCCAAAGTTTCTTCTCCTTCCGGCACTACAATCGGATCGGAAGCTTGAGCAAATCCTGGTGTTACATCGTCCAATGGAGGAGCCTGGGACCCCAAACCCGGGATATGCTTTTCAATGTCCACTAAAGGTTGATATACGTAGCCAGGCATTTCCGAAGGGATTTGAAAGTGAGGCAGGTTTGGTGTATAATTCAGGAAGTGGTGGTTTAGGGATTGTGTCGAGGAAGGCTGTATGCTCTATGTAAGTATGTACTCAAAGTGGGGCAGTGCATGCTGCTGGTGTGTGAGAGAAGCGATCCGCGATCCGTGATTGGCGTCATGAGCATGGATGCCATGCAGGAGCGTCGCTATTCCATTCGCCAATACGCACCAGTCGCCTGCCAGCAGATTCCGGTCAACCAGGAGCAGGCCGCCAAGCCACAGTGGATGCATGTATCGCTGCGCTTTGCTTTTGAGCTTCTTAGGCGTCTTGCTAGGATCTCCGAGACGGGCTTTCTTGTTGCCTATTCAACAACTGTTCCTAGATATGGCGGACAGAAGGATGGCTTGATTTCATTTGAAGAATCATATAATCTTTATCGTCTCGAACTCACTGGCCGTATCCATTCCCTCTCCATACATAGTCCCTGATATGTATGCAGGCCCAACTAATTTAAAGCAGCGTTCATTCCAATTATCTTCCACCATAGAGACCTCTCTAAGGATGAAAGGCACCTTTGCACCTGCAACCAAGCTCACTTCATCTCCAATTCCCACCCCGTCAGGAAACAGGCCCATTTTCCCGTTCTGAGTGATCCCAAAACACCTCCCCGCACAGCTGTGGCTGATAGACGCGAGGCAGGTCGCACGGGCTTGACGCAGCTCTTCTCTCGACATCCCCTTAACTGTTTCGGGCAGGATGACCTTCATCAACGCCTCCCTCGTCAACTTGTGGAGCGTTGGACCAACCTTCTGCGGCGCGGTGGAGAATATGTAGTCGACCTGCCCCTCGCTTACGCCAGCGTGGAGCGTGTCGACGAACGTCTGCCACGCAGAAGTCGCCGCGGCTCCAGGGCTTGTCGTCATCGTGCCGCGTCCGGGAGTTCCATGCGCGTTTCCCAAGGCGCCAACTACTAGTAGAGCCAGAGAAATCCATTCCCTTAGTGTCGCAAGCGCGCTCGAAAGGTCCGCTCCGTCAGGCGGCTTATAGCATCCGCAGACGGTCCTCACACGCTCAAGCCGGCACACGCGTAGCTCCAGCGTGGTATCGCCTGCCAAAATTCGTGCATCGGGCTGCATTCCCTTTGTCGCGTCGAACTGCAGCATAAGGATTTGGTTCTTGTATAGTGTCGCCTGCGCCAGAGCCTCGTGGTGAAAGGACGTCTTCTTGGTATTGGGATTGCCTTTGGCAACACAGGCTAGCGTAGCGGCATCATCAAGCAGTTCCTGAACCTTCGATGAGGTCAGGAGCTCGGGACTGCCATCTGTGCCGAAAAGGGGTAAACTCGTGGGTTTGACGGACCAGGCTGGTGCCCAAGACGGGAGGGTTGGCGTGTATTTTACGTAGCTCATGCCGGCGTGAGCCAGGAAGTCGAGTCGAGTCGCTGGTGGGCTCACGTCCAGAAGGTGGCGGACAATATCGACGTACAACTGCCGTATGCTAGTTCGATACTCTAGCTTTAGCGTAAAACTACTCGAACGCTCGGACAAGCCCAGCAGGGCGTAAACGTAGTTCACCTCCGCAGCGGTCTGGAAATCACAGCCCGTTTTGAACATCTGGACGAGATAGAACAGCAGCGACAACGACGTGCCTCCGCCTTTGACAAGCGCAAACCGCCTTATCAACCCCACGTTCTTCAGTGCCTCTCGGGCCTGCTCGCCGAGCCCAGCATCCCCAATGCGTCCGTCTAGCATCTCCAGCAGTGTCTTGTCTCCCAGTAAACACTGAGTAAACCAGCTCAGTCGTGTCCACTCGAGTTGTGCGGCCCCGTACCGCACACGAACCTTCCCCCGGGCGCGAGCGACCTCCTGCACCACCCACGCGCGCCGAAACCACTCACGCCTGAGCATACGCTTGAGGGCCCGCGCCGCATCGACATCGACATCGTATCCGAACCGCGTGCCTGCGCTCTGGCTCAGGCGGTTCACAAGGAACAGCCGGTCTACCAGGGCGGTGGCGAGGGCTGCTGTTTTCGAAGGGCCGAGCCAGACGGTCACCTCGGCTGCGTTCGCGTATATCTGCGGCATTAGTGGGATCTGGCAGTCTTGGTCGGCGGTTGAGGCTTGGTCGATACATAGTGCATCGAGCCAGATCGTGCGAGGCCGGAAAGGGGAGCGGAGCGCTTGGAGCGCGGTGTATGCAGAGCGGGTTATGTTGATTTTGTCGTTGTTGACGGAGATAGTGTGTGTAAAGACAGGTGAGCCCCAACAATAAGAGACGGCGGTGTAGGAAGGAGTGGAGGAGATTGGGTACCATTGGAGGAAAACACGAATAGGCCGCGAGGGAGAAGCGGAAGGGAGGAGTGTAAGAAGGCGGATTCGATCCAAGGTGGGGTCCTGAGCAGTCAGCGGCTGAGGTCTATCTCTACAGTATGGAAGAGCCAAGTAAAAGTAAATGAGCTGGTCCAGTACGGTGTCGTAGACCGACGTCGCAACTGTAAGAGCCTGTGATACAATACAAGAAGCTAGAACATCAACCACACCAAGTATCGTTTGGAGCTCGGCAAGACATTTCTGCCAGATCAGCGTTGCTTGGCTTTTGTTTGCCTCTTTCGGATCCTTCTCATTCTTCATGATCTGTTGCCAAATCTGTTGTCGTATGGTCGCTGCCGTCCGATAAAACACATGACTTTGTGCGAACAGCGTGATGTGGATTAAAAAAGCCGGCCCATTCCTCACCACAGTATTAATCAATCCAATCGAACCCGCCTTGACCAGAATCGACGTAAAGGAAGCTTGATTTCCTCCACCCTTCGAGTCCATATGCAGCTCTCCCATCTCGAGCGTCGGCGCCACAAGCACCCAGAACACGTCTGGTACATGCATCCTCCGCGACGCACTTCCCAACAAGCGTACCGTACAGCAGTACGTCACATGGCACGCGAGGGCGGGATTGTGCCACATCAGAGCCGCCAGCGCACCTCGAACCGTGAGGCCTCGCCCCGCTCTAGTTGTATCTCGAGCGAACGACCTCACGCGCAATGCGAAGCTACCGCACAGGAACAGGGCGAGCAAGGAGCCACCGATGTCGAACGGGAGCTCGAAGGGAGCCACGAAGTGGAAAAGGAGAGAGACAAGGGCCACGAGCCCACAAATCAGGTCGGCGGTCCATGATGCGGCGGTGTACTCCAACACGCCCGCGACCGCGAAGAGAAAAAATTTGGCGGCAAGCGGCGCGGCCTGGTCGAGAGGGCTTGGGTACGATGTGACGCATAGCTCGACGAACTGCGGGAAGAAGGCGCCGGATGCGAAGAAGAAGCGCATATGGGCGAATTGCGGTATGAAAGTGCCGAATGCCAAGTGGTAGCGCCAGCTGTGCAAGTAGCCCAGAACCTGTCCCATGCTAAAGCACGTTGGGAGCTGCAGGGCGACGCGGACGGCTGTGAGGGCTTGTTGGAACGAAGAGACACTGCGGGCGAGCGATATCTACTTAGCTCAGAGTCTACAAAGGTACGTGCTGATCTTCTTTGCTTCTCAGCTCACTTCTTGCTTTTTGATATTGAGCGTAGCCGATGAGTTTGCGCTGTATATTTAAGACCAGGCTGAGTGCTGCGCCCTGTGATGAAATGAAGAGAATGAGTTCCCGATAAAGGCAACAGTCCTTGGCAGCTGAAGTGTGGCTGTATGCACATTCGGCTACAGGAGGCGCTTTGCACGCCAGGTGTCTTCCCTTTTGGCCACCGGTGATACAGTCATTGCTGCATCGGTCATGTTTTCGAATAGGGAGCAAAGCATGAGAGACTATATAGCACTAATGCATGCGTTTTCTGTTGATCGAACCTTAAAGATGTTACTAGATGGAGAAGAGGAGTTGGGAACGCGACTCGGCTGAACGACGAACGCGTCAGTTCGCGCTAGCAACCATCCACTAACAAGCAATGAGTGCAACAAGCTGGATCATTTCTTTAAAGTTTTCAAGTGCTCATGAAATTGTCGTATTCTGGCTCAGCCATACCGAGTGATCGTTGAAGTTGAAATACGGGACTTATAGTCACGTGCATATCATGTGAAGCTCACGTGATTTCGGACCTAATGTATAGAATTCAGGTCTCATAATGCACTCGAAGGGCAAAACACTGAACAATGTTGCCACAGGACATCCTTCCCGCTAAGCATCAGACCCCTAGCTTCACGCCCGCACGTCCCCCAGCTTTCCGTCAGATTCACTCCAACACCTATATCATTCATCAACCATGCCCACCTCCATAAAGCCACCACATAGACAATATCTTCACTGCACAAACCACGTCACACCCTCCCCACCTTCTAACTCTCAACACCGCCACTACAATCTATCTCCCATCCCCGTGAAGCCACAATACAGACATCATCCTCACTACATCAACATACCACTTCACAACCTCCTCCAGAACCCGACCACAATGACCACCCCGCAAACTCCCTCCCCAAACTCCAAGAAAACCGTCCGCTTCTCCCCCACCCCCCAAATCTTCGCGCTCCCATCCAATCCCCTCCTAACCACCACGCGTGCGTATCGCGATCCCAGCAACGCGGCGCTCGAGCGCATGGCCGACGAATGGCGGCAAGCGACGCTCGCGCAGGAGCGGCTTCATGCCGCGCGCGCGAGCGCCGCGCTGGCAGCGGAAACCGGGGCCCGAGGCGCGAGTGCTGGGCCGAAGGGAGCTGGCACGGTTCGAGCGGCGGGTAGGCCGCTGGGAGAGATTGTGGGGTGGGTGCCGCGGGCTGCGTGTGCGACGGGTTCGGCGGGTGGAGGCCGCGGAGGCGATGGGAGGGTGAGGGATGCGGAGGGGCCGGTGCCGTGGCGGAGGGGGTGAGGAGGGGAAGATGAGGTGAGAGGATGAGGTTGGGTGGGAAGGAGATGCAATCTTTAAGGGGCGACACGATATTCTGGAGCGTATTCGTGTAGGTCGGTTTGGCGAAGAAGGCGACCTAGGGGGTAGAGGAGTGAGCGAAGGAGGCGAGGCGATGGCTATATCCAAGGCGTAGAGGAAGCCGCCGGTAAGGCTGGATAACGAGGTGAGGTGTGCGAAACATCGAGATCGGAAAGGATACACGGAATTCGGTAGGCGAGACATACATCCTGAATTACATTAGCAACATGACGAACAAGACACTTCCACTACACCGCTGAAGCACATGCAAAGCCTGTTCAAAGAATCGTCATGAAAAGGTCGATTCCATTCATCCCCATTCAAGGAATACACAAGAAAAATGTTATAAAAAAGCCGCCCCTTTCCGCCCTGTCCCGGCTAGGTTACCCAACCCCTTAGTCGCATCTCCAATAATACCCAGAAGCGCCATCGTAATATACAAAATTATGTAACCTGGACAAATTTCTCTTGTCGCTCTTGTCTGAAAGACCAGTGTAAAAAGATAGAAAATGTCCTCGATAAAGGGAGAAAGGGGAATTGAATGTCGGAAAATATGATCGATATGCGCTGAGAGATGTTGGTGATATCACATTCTTCCGGATAAACACACATGGCTAGAAAAAGTCCAATGGTCAAAAAAAGGTGACCTCCCAATGCGCTGGAACCAGAACGCCAAAGAACATTAAAGTTGAGAGATCGGATGGAGCTGCGGATATAGCTAATACGCCGGATACCGGTATATTTGAAGAGCGGATCGCGTGAAAGTGTAACAAAAATGATAGATTCGAACGCCACGCTGTACATAGTGATGTGGGATGTAAAAATATCGAACGAGGGAACTGCTCTCGTGTGGGTATCCAAGGTAATGGAGCCGAATGAGATGGCATGCGGTATGATTTGGTGAGGGTTACCTCGGGTGGACCCCGTTTAAGATAACGGATGATTTGGTGATTGATACCGCTGCCTCGACTCGGCGCGGCACGTAAGAAGCTGTTTCGCTCTAATGCTCCGGTGATGGTCCAGTGTCAGGGGAAGTATCAACCGTTCCCTTTCACTCGCTTGTTCCCACCAACACGAGGGCTCGCCTTCACCTTCTGGCCGCCGCCCGCGCCGTTGACCTCACCACCACCTCCATCGTCAGTCTCCATCTTGACGTTGCTTCTCCGTCGTTTGTTGCTAACGTTGGGTGATGTGTTTGCGCTGGCTGTCGCAGAACTATTGGTTCCTTGCTGGCTGTGCTGTTTAGCCATATGAGTCTGGGCAGGTGATGGCGTGTGACTGTTCTGCATGAGATGTGGTGACCCGTTGATAGCTCCGGGTAATCCGAGGTTGGCCATTGCTGGAGACATGAATTGATGATTTGGACCACCAGCTTGCCCCGTACCAGATGGGGTACGTGAGCCTGGTGGAAGGTTCTGTTGCTGTTGTTGCTGGAGCAGCTGAGCTTGATTAGGTGGTATATTGCCTTGTTGCTGTTGACTGGGTTGTTGGGAGAATTGCTTCGGCGGCAGCGAGGCGAGGAGACTGTTGAGCGCTCCAGCTGGCGTGAGCTCAGGGTGGTCCTGAGCGTATAGGATGAGCTGGTTCATGTGGGAAAACGTTTCTCCAATCTATTCCAAGTCAGCCACGTAGCCTAGAAAGGGTGCGGATTGGCATACCTCCAGGTACTGTAGCGTCTTTGCAGTTACGCCAAAGTCATCGATAGGTGCTTGCGGTAGATCGGACAAATTGAGAAAAGGCTCGGGAGGGACGTCGGGCTTTTGCAATTGGCGTTGCTGGTTGCGCTGCTTGGCATTCGGCTTGTTTGTCATTCGAGGAGACTGTGTCTGGCTCAATTGGCTCGGCGACGGTTGCGTAAATAACCGTTCCAATGTCTTGCGGGGTATATACTCCTGATGTTCGCTTGTCTCAAAGGATAGCAAGTCTAATTTGGGCTCGTTCTGCTGATTGGACTGACTGTAGATAGCTGAGAGTTTTCCAGGGGCCACAAGCTGTTCAAATTAACAAATATGCATGGAATGCGAAGATTACCACTGACCTGCGTGCCATTTTGGAACGAATAGATGATCTTGGCTCTGTGACTCTCAACGTAGTTGGAGTCCGTTCCCACTGCCTTTTCTGACGCCCCGTCGATAGTGATTTGCATATTCTCAACACCGCTATCAAATTGCACATAGAAGTACCGAGGCAGTGCGGCGAAGCTGACAGGAAACTGTTTTGTTTTGCCCCCAGATCGGTCGTAGAGGGTGTGTTTGAATTCTCCCTCAGGAGAAAAGAACTTGCTCACAAACGCATTCCAGTGAGAAATGTTGTTCTCTTGGCGGGTAGTCTAGTGGCACAAATTAGATCGGACTCAAACATATGAACATGAAATGCAACTTACTGAGAATCGAGACAGATGATCCAAAAACAACAGGAGCTTGAGTATTGTTTGACCAGCTTGACCTTGCCCTTGCTGTTGTCGAGCTTCTTGCTGCCGTCGCATCATCGCCTGGACAGCTACCTGTTGTTGGTTTAAGGGTTGTTGCGGCCTTTGCATCTGTTGAGCATTTTGGGGGTGTTGCTGCTGCGAATTTTGCTGCTGTAAGTTTGGGGGTTGGTTTGGCGCCTGTGGAGGTTGAGCTTGCGGTGGCTGCGATTGCTGAGGATTTGGAGGGGGTGCTGGAGAAGAATGCCCCTCGTGAACGCTCATCTGTGATGGCGGACGTAATGGGCCTTGTTGTGGCTGACTCGTTTGAGGGCCTTGAGGACCTTGTTGCCCCGGATTACTTGATTGAGACTGTGCGTGCTGCATTGCTAGGTGTTGATGCATTTGCTGCTGCTGCTGCTGCTGAGAAACAGCCTGTTGCTGCGCTTGGGCCTGAGCCTGAGCGTGGGCTTGAGCTTGCTGCTGCTGCATCTGTCTCTGCTGGAGGAGTTGTTGCTGCATATGTGGAGGGAGATCTACCCGATTGATAGGGAAATTTCCAGGAGGATTTCCCTGCATAGCAGCCACCTGCGCGGACATTTGGGGGTTCATACCGCCCGGGAACCCCATGCCGATGCCGTTCTGCTGTTGAAAGGCCATCTGCTGCTGTTGTTGCCGCTGACGGAGGAAAGCCTGCTGCTGTGCTTGGTTTTGCTGCTGTTGTACCAGGGCAGGGTTCACTGTTTTTGACCTATTAGCAATCGCCTCATGCTGAGAGACAACATCGTCGCATAAGCTATGAGATGTATAACGGACGACGGCTATGCTATAGTGAAAGCACTTACTTTGCATTTGCTGTTGCTGCTGCGGGAACATGTGCGGCTGCGGGGTCAAATGAGACAGCGCATGTGCATTGGGGCCGACGCCCTGCTGCATGCCTGGCATCATAGCTCCCGCCTGGCTAACGTGCGGTCCATTCGACCCTGACACGCCTGGATGCATCTGCATTGCTTGTCCTAGATGCTGGCCCGGATTTGGACCCCCGGGACCCATTTGCTGGGCATGAGGCATACCCAGATGCTGGGGCCCTCCAGGATGTTGTGGATAGCCGGTTGCCATCATCTTGACGCCCTCACGGGTAGAAGCGCGTGCCGCTTCTTCAGATTCCTCCGCTGTAGTGACCCCGCCGGGTAAATCTGCAACCCGTCCGGTTACTGTGTGTCTATTCCAGTAGACGTGCTCTCGCAAACGGAACTACTTGTGGTGATGTTCGGTTACAAGACATGCATGCCCAGAAAGATGCGATGCGCGGGAGACGCTATTGTGGCTGAGTAGGCGGCCGCAGAACAGTCAGGCGTACAGAATGCTCAAAAAGCCAGGCAGCTCTCGAAAGGCGTGCAGTGCGCGTGCCGGCGGGATAGACGCAGAGTTCGAACTGGCGCGCCTCGAAGGCTTCGAGATGGCTTCGGATGATCCACCGGCAAGTGCCGGGGCTGATATGCGACGACGACGAGATGTTTCGCGACACCCAGGGAACGATGCCGGACAGACGGGCGCAACGCGATCAGCAGCGAGTCGAAGGGAGAGGGCGCACGGGAGCGGTGTATGGCGCAGACGTCGTGGGTGCGATATCGCGCATTCGTGCCGTCGGGCGAGGAAGCGGGTGGAAACGAGCGTAAGCAGACGGCGGCAATGGCTCGGGGGTGGGATCAGAGGGCGAAGGGGCAGACGGGCATGGCGGCTCGCGGCGTGGGCGTGTCGTCGGAGGCGTGGGCGGATGGGATGGCTGGCGGGCGTCGTGGTGGTTGACGGGAGTGAAGAGCGCTGGGTCGGGCGATGCCTCTAACCTGGGCACCGAGCGAAGCAGCCTGTGGCCCTGAAGACCGCCGAAATCTAGGGGCCGATTTGGAGAGGTGGCTGGTATATTTTACCTAAGCACGCGCCAAGTCCCCCACTCCTTTTGCCCACCTGCTCGTCGCCGCCCCTATCGGCGGCTTTAGAGCCCTGCAAATCTTGCTCTGGACTGCGCAGAGAGGCTACCTAGACTGCTGGATTCTTCACAGACGCCTCTGATGCGTGTGGGCACACGGCCGATGCTGCGAATGTCACGTGTGTCGAATTCAATACCACGGTATTTCGGATGAAGGTTAGGGTCCCAGCGTTTTAGCAGCATTTGCCACCAAATTCTGGTCACGTGATCTAGTCTTCATCTGAAACACTGTGGTACCGGAGACTAGGCCGAGCATCGGCTAGCTCGCCGGGCCGAGGTCACATGATGCACTAAACTAATCGCCCGCGGGCTTGTAGAAAACCTCGCCAGCTTTTCTTCCTCACAGCGTCCACCTCCATCCTCCACAACACTGCATCTCCACCACGCCATGGCTACTCTTGCAACACAGCTCGTTGCGGCGGCGTCTGGTGCTACCAGCTTCACTAACTGCATACCTTGATTCTTCGCAGCAGGGATCTTCAGAAGCTGGCCTCACTTTTGCAGCTGGCCACCTACTCACACAAGCAGCCAGTCCACAATGTTCCTCTCGTCGTGAGTTCAGCTCTCTTCATCTGCACCCACATCCCTCGGGATGATGACAACTCAAGAACACGTCTTCTTTTCCCAGCTGAGTCGACCTTGATGAAACCAGTCTTTTCGGGCGCCTTCGCCGGCGCCTGCTACTTGCCAGTACTTTTGTCTGACCACCATGTCTTGCTCTCCATTGCCTGTAAACCCTTGCAGTGCAACAGGCTAACACGATCAAGTTCTTGCAGGATGTCGACCTTGTCGTAGACATGGTAAGCGCCCATCTCTGCACCGACCTTGCACAGTGCATGGTCAGAGTTCTCCGCACACTGCTCTACCACCGCTTGTGGTGCCTCATGGTATTTCGGAAGTCCAGGGCAGCGGATAACACTTCCAATCTGTGTACGCTGCTCTGCCGCTGCTCGAGGGAGCTTCACCAGTTTCTCAGTGGTTCAAAACGCGGGACTTCCGTCTGATCCGTGAGTCTGAAAATACCTCGAGATACCACAAGCGGTGGCAGAGAAGTGTGCGGATATGTGTGATGGGCGTCGGGAATGAGGCGTCGTTTCTTCAGGTTAGCAACGCTTTTTCTTTTGCAACCACCCTTTTCTATGATGAAACATTCCTACATTCGCAGTTTCCACGCTAGCCATCGACTCGAACCTATGACAGATGCGCGTTGAGCGGCAATTTCTTCCTTGGATGTCTGATTTTATTCGAACCACATTGTTCTTGTATCCGCAGTTTCGAAGATATCACTCATCTAACTCGGCATCTAGGTAACAGGCTTGACGACCTCAAATAGACTACTGAAGGACGGAAGTGCGATGCGAGGGAGAATGGGCTTGCATATAGTTTTATAGAATACCACTTTTCTCAACTAATCAAATTGCGTCTCGCCTCTTGCATGCGCTGTTGCCGCCCGTGAATGATCCAAACGACCAAAGCATCAGCTCTCTCTCTCTGACAAGTACCACCGAACACAGTGAAGATACACATTTTGCACTCCACCTGCGGCGTTGCTTCTTTCATCTGGGCATTCTTATCGCTCAATCGGCTTACGTGAAGTGCTGCCCGCCGCACTGACGCACTGGCGAGCTTCTTCGCCAACCCCAGCACCTCGAGCTTCACTGCCACCAGCTCCAGCCCCCCGCCGAAGCTCTCGCACCCACACCCAGCTGTGGAGAGACCGCCGAAGACCTCCTCCCCATCTCCTACACTCCCTCGCAGTCAGCAGCCATGCCGGAAATCGTGGATCCGCGGATGATGTCCGTGACGCCCAGGTTGCGCTACAACACCATTGGCGGCGTCAACGGGCCATTGGTCATTCTTGAGAGCGTCAGTAGTCTTTGGGAGGCATTGCAGAGGGTACTGGAGCTTATGCGATTACACTGCAGGTCAAATTCCCCAAGTACAACGAGATTGTGTCTTTGACGCTCCCCGATGGCACTGAGCGGTCCGGCCAGGTCTTGGAAGCAAGAGGTACCTTTACTGCCCGTGCATTGCTCTAACATGTACTAATTTAGCTTCATAGGAAACCGCGCTGTCGTGCAGGTACAATCCACAGCCTCTGCGCTACCATACGACCCCTCTGACCGGATACACAGGTTTTCGAAGGCACTTCAGGCATCGATGTGAAGAAGGTCGGCAACCCCTCCCCGAGGCTAGACATCGCTAACGTACGTAGACAAAAGTCGAATTCACCGGTCACAGCTTGAAACTAGGTGTCTCGGAGGACATGTTGGGTCGGATATTCGACGGTTCAGGTCGAGCTATTGACAAGGGCCCAAAAGTGTTGGCGGAAGACTACCTCGACATCAACGGCAGTCCCATTAACCCGTATTCTCGAGTAAGCATTTCCTGTGTTATAGCTATAGTTGGGTCTAACGTAGCTATAGGTATACCCCGAAGAAATGATTTCAACCGGTATCTCCGCCATCGACACTATGAACTCCATCGCCCGTGGCCAGAAAATTCCCATTTTCTCCGCAGCCGGTCTACCGCATAACGAGATCGCAGCCCAGATTTGTCGACAGGCTAGCTTGGTTGCAAAACCTAACAAGGGTGTGCACGATGACCACGAGGACAACTTCTCCATCGTCTTCGGCGCTATGGGTGTCAACTTGGAGACCAGCCGATTCTTCACCCGGGACTTTGAAGAGAATGGCAGTATGGAGCGTGTCACCCTCTTCTTGAACTTGGCAAACGATCCTACGTAAATGTTCCCGAGACAGACCTCGACCTCAATAACTAACTGTTTGTAGCATCGAACGTATTATTACCCCGCGCCTCGCCCTTACAACAGCCGAATACTACGCCTATCAGCTCGAGAAGCACGTCCTCGTCATTCTCACTGACTTGTCGTCCTACTGTGACGCTCTTCGTGAGGTTTCAGCCGCCAGAGAAGAAGTGCCAGGTCGCCGTGGTTACCCTGGTTACATGTACACTGACTTGTCAACCATCTACGAGCGTGCTGGACGTGTAGAAGGGAGGAATGGTTCCATCACTCAGATTCCCATCTTAACCATGCCTAACGATGGTATAAATGATCTCCAAATCCCTAGGCTCGATACACAAGATAACTAACGACCTCCTAGATATCACTCATCCCATCCCAGATTTGACCGGTTACATCACTGAGGGCCAGATCTTCGTCGACCGTCAACTCTCCAACAAGGGCATCTACCCACCCATCAACGTCCTCCCCTCCCTGTCCCGTCTCATGAAATCCGCCATCGGCGAGGGCCGCACGCGGAAAGACCATGGCGACGTCTCCAACCAGCTTTACGCCAAATACGCCATCGGTCGTGACGCCGGTAAGCCCCTAACCCAAGAACCCCCATCTTTCGCCCTAGCTAATGCACTCTCCCACAGCCGCAATGAAAGCAGTCGTCGGCGAGGAAGCCCTCTCCTCCGAAGACAAGCTCTCGCTCGAATTTCTCGAGAAATTCGAGAAAACCTTCATCTCCCAGTCCGCATACGAGTCCCGCACCATCTTCGAATCGCTCGATCTCGCGTGGAGCTTGCTCCGCATCTACCCCAAGGAATTGCTCAATCGTATCCCGGCCAAGGTGCTGGATCAGTACTATGCGCGCAAGGCGGAGGGTAAGAGGCGCGGGAACAAGGACACGAGGGACAACGCCGGGCCCGAGGCGAATGGGGAGCAGACGGAGAACTTGGTGGATGTGTAGGCTTGTGATGTGAGGGGTCTGTTGTGTTTATGTTAGCTGCTTGGCGGAAGGCTGCATTGCGTGTGTTCCATATTATGTTGGTTTTGAGTAGGCAGATAACAAGGCGAATGAATATGGCAGAGTGTTTCTGCTCTGCTCATTATCTTGCAGTTGCTGGGTTTTTGTGCTCGCTTTCCTGACCCTGCGTCGGAGATGATCATTCCAGAAGAAGTCAGAACCAGACCGGCTGACACGGCTGCAAAGTAAGTTTGGGCACGCCGTCTTTTGATCTCTTTCAAAAGTATAATAACGTGCTAACGCACCAAACAACAGCCAAGTAGACCGACTATAAGCGCATGAAACCGCTTCGATTCGAGTTCTCAAGAGCCGTTAAATATTATCAAAAAGATTCCGAATGTGCTGAAGCGCCTCAAACCGTGGTGAGCGAGTGTGTCCCGACTTCGTTCAAGGCAGTATACAGTCAATTGTGGCTCAGCGGGGCCCCATCCTCTCCTTACGAATAGAGAAACGAATCGAATGCAGATATCCAAAGCACGCAGTTTTCCAAATCGCAAAGTGGGACGTGTTGTGGTGACTGACGCTGCCATTACGAAAAAGTCGACGGACTGACTGCTCTGTCTGCTACAGGCATCTAATGGAGGAAATTCAAACCCCATTCCTCAAACGCCAAAAATCAACCCAAAACGCCTCAAGAGAGCCTCCCAACTCTAGAAAACAACCCCCCCCATGGCCCTCGGCGGTCTTACTAGCCTCGCCTTCCCTTCCCTCCACCAGCGCCCTTCCTGTCCACATACCCAAGAGAAAGAAAAAAAGAAAAAAAAGCAGAAAAAGAAGCAGCAAAGAGCCCCTTTCCGATTATCGTACACCGCCCCGCCTAACTCCAATCCCCTAGCTTTTCTCGCTCGCTCACTACTGCGCATGAAACCACAAATCCATGCTCTGAAAATCTGCACGTCTTAATGGAATTTCTATGAGGCGCCGAAGCACCTCAAACGGCGGTAAGCGAATGTGTCCAAGCTTCAATCACTCACGCCGAACTTTTCGCCCGCTTCTTCGTCTCCGTCTCCACGGCCTCCTCCGCAATAGGTGTATGTACACCCAACCCCAGCCCCACCCCGCCGCTCTCCGCAGACAGTTCCTGCAGCTCCGCCACCAGCTCCGTCTCCGGCTCCTCCCTCAGCATCGCCTTGTCCGGCGTCGGGCTGGGGCTCGCAGCGCCGCTCCCGTCGACACTGTTCTGCCGTACCTGCTGCTTGACGCTGATAGCAATCTTCTCGTCGAGCATCTGCACCAAGCGCTCCGAGTACTGGTCAAGCAGCTTGACCATGACGGTCTCGTCGACGGTCTTCGCCTTCACAGCGCGCTCGCCCACGGCCCGCGCTGTGATGGCTAGCTCGCGCTCCAGCTCGCGGACCGACTCGGACGAGAGGCCGTCGGAGCTGTTCGCAAGGCGCTTGCGGTAGGCGCGGAGAGTGCGGCAGACTTGTTCGGTGGAGGCGCCTAGGCTGCCGAACTCATTGACGGGGGCGGTGCTGCTTTTTGTGCGTAGTCGGGCGTCGAGAGAGGGGCGTCTGGATTTCGAGTGCTGGTTATTACGGGGACTGGGAGGTGAGGGGGAGCGGTTGCGGTATTTGCGGCTGATGGGTTGGGCGAAAGAGGGGCCGGTTGTTTGGAACTCCTTTGGGATGCTAGGCATGGGTGATGGGTCGAGTTTGGGGGCCTGCGCGAGGGAGAACTTGGAGAGTCTTTTTCTTAATCGAGGTGAGCGGCCTCCTGTTGGGGTAGTGGCTTCTTCGTCGGGCGATCGCTGGAAGCGGGCCAGTTCGTTCTGGGAGAAGACGCGTCGGAGCGGTGGTTTGTTGACAATCAAGTCTCGGTTCGTTGGTGTAGATGCTCCCGCCAGGTCCATTGATCTGGAAATTTCTTGCCTCTGAGGCGGTTTGAGGTCCAGATTCCAGATAAATATGGTGCCATCGACCGCCACTGTCACTAATGATCGCTGTTCGACATCGTCCTCTTCGAAATTCTTGGAACTGACTAAGGCAATGTCTGTGACGCCTTCGGTATGGCCCCAATCTCGCCCGACCAAGGTTCCAGCTTCCTCGTATAAGCGAATAGATTTATCCGTGCTAGAAACGCCGGCAATGAGCGGAGACCCTCGAGGTGTTGGAATATGTGCCAATGAGCACATTACGACTGCGTCTCCTCCCTCTGAATCTGACGCTCGGAAGCTGCTTAGCGAATGGCCGTTCCGTAGATCGTACTTCTGGATTTGCCGATCGATTGTGGAGACAAGAAGTACGTCGTCTTGGTCAACGTCTAACACCATTGAGACTGGAGAAGCCTTCAGGGTGATCGTCCGAAGAATGACGAAAGCGAAGAGAGTTTCGCCGTCTTCTTCTCTGGAAACCAAATTACGAACCACGACTGTCCGATCGGATGAGCAGGACACGAGTCGTGATCCGTTTCTTGAAAAAAGAATACCGGTCACGGCACCAACATGCTCGTCCAGAGTTTGAAGAAGATCCCAAGAATCGCCAGTTTTTGTAAAGACCTGAACTGTGCGATCACGCCCCGCACAAGCAACATAAGTAGGCGTTTTGTCTTCATAAATTGCAATATCCGTAATTTCGCCAGCATGCGCTTTGAAATCGAAAACACTAGATCTAGTAGAGCAGTTTGTGACCCTGGAAGACAATGTTAGCTCTTTCTGTTCGCCAGCTGATCACCACCGTGGGGCAAGCGTTTACCTAAGAACTCCATACTTGTCCCCTGAAACGATGAATTTGGCCCCAGAGGACGCGGAGACTGTCCGAAGCTCGTTAAGGTCTTCGTCGCCATTGTCCACTTGCTCCAAAGACACTTTAAGGTCCTCTTTGCAGAGCCCTTCTCGGCTCCAGAAGAGGATAGATCCTCCGGCTGACCACGTAAAAAATGAAGAGCTGAATAAATTTGGCGATGGTAGTGCTCTTACTCCAAGAACAGGCTCTCCATGGGCAGGGAGTTTTTGAACGACGTCTCCAAGAACTGATTCGTCGTCGGGATTAGTGAGCCGGGAAAGTCGGATGGAGTGTCGAGAGTCCACGGTTACCAGGTAATCTAGTATTGGGGCAACTGCCTCGACCTGGGCACTATCACTAGTCAAAGCGACAATAGGTGATTGCACCCTAGGAGGCGGGGAAGGAGGTGGAGTTTGTGTGACGAGAAGATCGTTGATGTGCAAAGTTCTCAACCCTCCCTGGCTGCCAGCTAAATGTAGTCTACCATTCAAATCCACTGCCATTGCTGTCACCCCGAAGCCTGCATCGGCAATCTTGGAAAACCGCTGGGTTCCGTCGGTGTCGTCGATAAGGCATATGTCACCCTTGTCTGAGCAAACAATTGCTTTACTCGGACTGACAGCAACTACGCTAGTGAATGTTGTCTCCAGCAATGATCCTAGAAGGCAATTTCTTCCGGGTAGAGTCTTGTGTGGAGTACCTGTAATCATAAAATTCACGTCACTTTGACGGGACCTGGAGGGCGTTGATGGAAGAATAGGCTCTTCAGTCCTCCACACTTTGACATGACGAGTGCCAACTCTGAGTAACGTTAGCATCCGGAACTCGTCTTCAAACGCGTCTCAAGTAGGTAACTTTAGATGTAGCATTGAGCAACGAGATATTCCGTAAATATTCCTATCTTACTTCTTTCATGAATTTGCAATTGTAAAAAGACTTACGTGACGAGGCTGGATCCTAGCCAGGTGATTTTGTTGATGTTGCTTGTACATTTGTTGCTTGCTAGCAACGTCGCCGACCCAGTACGAGGATTTATACTCCAAATGTAGAGAAAGCCGTCATTAGCAGAGCCTAAACTGGCAAGATATTGAGAATCGGGGCTGAAGGAAATGGACCTGACGCCGAAAGTGTGGTCGGAGAGGCAGGTCAAAGGAGTGTCGGAGGGGGCATCGGTGGAAGTAGAAAATATCAAGACTCGGGGTTTATAGCCAGTCTGTCAATGTCAGCATGCCGCTTGTTTTTCTGTCTAGAAATTAATGTCATACCTCCCCGACGGCTAGGTATTTCCCATCCGGGCTGAAAGACACACAAGTCGCAGCTTTTATCCTTTCTCTAGCCGTCCAGGTCTTATTTGCGGGGGAGTCTGCCCAGTCGCCAGCTGGGGAAGCCAGGGGAGAGGCCCCAATGCCGGCATCTCTGAGGGACGCGGCGGTTCGGCTTCGGCCTTCGTTATTTGTAGGTGTTGCAGGACCACCGTAGACAGAGGAAGAAGGGTTCAGAGGGTTTGTGGTAGGTCGAGCGCGGTAAAATCGTTGGGAAACATTATGGTCGTCAGCGACAGTTGCGATGACGGCTGCAGCTCCGGCGGTGAAAGCGAATGATCGGCCGGAGGGGAGGCTGTCGAGGCCATTGGCCGAATTGGTGGTGGTTCCGATGACTTGTCGAAGTGAGAGTGAGAGCTCCGGGGGTTTGGACTTCACTGGAGAGCGCATGGCGGTGGTTTTCGTGTATGGAGAGTTGGAGGGAGTGAGTTTGAGGCCCCATGCTGCCGGGCTCATCATCCTGCTGGCGTTGGATGGAGTGAGCGTCGACATCTCTCAAACCATGGAAGACGAAGGGTAGAACAGTGCTTCATCGCAGTTGCGCTTGCCGTGGATCGATCGGGTGGTCGTCGAGGAGATGGAGGAATGCGGAGAGAGTGCAGGTGCGGGTGCTCATGCAGCGAGCAATTGGGTCATCATCGAAGAACAGCTTCATACTCGAGCACGTACATGATGGAGCTTGGTGTTTCACAGGTCTCGCGGTCGCGGAATAGTGTGTGTTGGGCGCACGCGGAGAGATTCAGATCCGCAAAAGGGGAGCACAGACGGCAGCAAAAGCAACAAACACGCAGGGGATGCAGCTAGGAATCGCCGTCACTAACTATCACAACACCACATCGCCATGCTCTGCAGCTCCATCACGATAGCATGCAGCGTCACGGTCCCGGAGAATGACGCTCCAGTTGGCACTCTGTCCAACAGACCCGGTCTAGAAGCGGTACCGCGTTTGTTTACGCCAAAAACCTCCCTCGTCAACACTGTGGACGGCATCGCCTATTTGGTCTGGCGCTATCATCGGGCCATGGACTAGCATCCTTCGTCGGCCAGGCACAACTCCACGCGGACGAGGATTGCCATGTCTCCAGGCTGCACTGTGCACAAGAAACCAGCACAGCCCCGTCGGTGGCATGAGCCCCCTCCCCCGCCGCAGCCCTCTGCGTTCCTACTCCACGAACCTCCAGATCAAAAGGACTGCTGTCTCGTTATCTTGTACGGTACCGGTTCAGCTTCATTTGGCACCAGACGTCTTTCTCGTATCCTTGCTTGTAATAGCTGTCTTCTCGCGGTATTTGAAAGCCGGCAATATCGACAGGTCATCACCGGCATCATGACCAACTTCGCTGGAGGAGACAGTCCGCTCTCGGTCACTGGGAGCATCGTTGGTATTGTTGCTCTCTTGATCAGCGTTTCGACTATTGTTCAGGCAATCTTCATCTTTTCTACGGCATATCGGGACGCCCCCGCCGAGCTCTCTCGGATTACATCATCAGTCTCTAACACTGTTGATGAGAACTCTCACCGGCTGCGCACTGGCCATGTTCCCGGACCCATTGGCGTTGAGATCGGGAAGGGGGGCTATTCTAAAGGTAGATGGACCGCCATGCTGGAAGAGTACTACGATGCCCACCTGGAGCTAGATGACGAACTCTCCAAGATCAAACGACAAGGCGAGCGGACTAGCTCATTCTTCAATTGGAACCGCATCTTCTGGGTCTTTAAGCGCAAGGACCTGGAAGAATCGGTCAAACGTGTTGAAACCTTGCGGATGAGAAAAATGGCAGTAGCTCTCAATGCGCTAGTAGAGTAAGTACTATTCAATGATATGCTTCGCGGTCATCTGTGTGTACTCCTCTGCCACTTCTTGTTCACGGATTTGCATCAAGGGTTAGTAATCTACCCCTAGCCACAGCCGTCTAAGACCGCTCAACTATTCAAAGACCGTTGAGCATGATACGCGTCCGTATTATTCGTTTCCTAAGTCTCTCGACCCACCTCAAATGATGCTGAGAAGGCGCACATGTATCTTTGACAAGCCTGTCTTGATTAGACACTAACTTACTTGACCTCCAGCGATGTGAGCCATCTGAAAGATATTCTGGAGCGCATTGAGTCCCGAATTCCACAAGGTCCGCTTCGATTACCTCCTGCGCGGCAACCTGACGAGGACCACGACCTTGCACGGCCTCTAAGAATGTACTCTTCTTCTGTACTCGGAGAGTCGGCAACAGATATCGTTAGAACTTCTATGGATTCTCGATGATTCTCAGTTCTTCGACTCATTATGGCTAACTTGCAGCCACCCACTCTGCCTTCGACTCGACAAGTTAAAAACGTGACTTGCTACTTGGATTCGATATACGAGTCCGATGATTCAGTTTCCTTGCGTATCAAATTTTCCACTTCCAGCATCTCTTGCGAGCCTCTATGCTCCGTATTATGAAAAAGCAGAAGGTGCACGCGGATAGCAGGCCCGCGATCCAGACAATCATCGCTTTGAAGTCCTTGGACGATTTCTCGTAGCCTTTTGCCTCTCCAAGGACAAGGCCCGCGAGTGGGCTGCCTGCCACGTAGCCAACACCACGAGCGCAGCCGAGGATCCCCGATACAGCGATATAGTTTTCATTCCCAAAGAGCTGCACGCTGAGGCTGGCGATCAGTGTCGTATAGACGCTGCCAGCCAAGCCATGGCATGCGATGAACACATACCACGGCCAGGCGACTTGATTGACCGCTGCGTCCAGCCAGAAAATCCACGTGGCGAGTGATGTCACGGCCATACCGAGTATCAGCGTATTGAGATGTCCGATTTTGTCACCGAAATGGCCTATCAGCATTCCAAAACAGGAACCGGTTCCGTTATGAATGGCCAAAAGCGTAGCTGCCTTTGTAGCACTGAAACCAAGCGACTGGCTGAACTCCGGCCCATACTGAAAAGGAACGGAGATCGAGAGCGTGTTGAATAGAGTCATCAGGATGACTAGTAGAAAGATGGGTTCTTCGAATATTGGCAAAGGAACACGGCATGTGCTACGCTTTGCAAACTTTCGAGGCCCCTGTGCGAAGATAGTTGCAATCACCAGAATTACGGCGTTGATGGCACTGAGGACGCCAAGGGTCTTGCGTGTTCCGATGTTGTCGAGCATTTGATGGATCAGTGGCGTGTAAGTAAGTCCTCCCAGGCCGGCAGCTGTGCAATTGTCAGTGTAACGATCCTCGAACATCATTCAATCAGTCCGCTTACCGCAAGTCACAGCGCCCATAGCTTTCCCAGAGCGGTTGGAAAAGTATTCAGGGACGAGCATGATGAGCGGTATCTGAACAAGACCTGAGCCAATCCCGCCCATCAGACCCTGCGTAAGTACTACCTGCCAGTACTGTAGGAAACCTCCAGTCAGTATTCGCCTCACTAGTACAAACATTGAGAAGTAACTCACCCTCGTACTAGCCGCAGCCAATCCCAACCCGAGCGAGAACATCACATTCCCTACCACCAGAATCCGCTGGATACCAGCACGGTTCTCGAGGTATGGGGTAAGCATGAATCCGAACAGCATGACGAGTCCACCAGAAGCCAAGGATCCGATAGCTCCAATTGCGGCCCGATTTCGAGCTTCATCAGGGCGCATGATTTGCGACTCCCCGGAAGTGTAATGAGCCTGGAAGATACCGAAAGCCCCATTCAGGCCTGCGATCAAGGTTACTCACCCATCACCTCGAGAGGCGAAAATCATGCGACGTACCCGACATTTGGAAAACGGTAGCGAGAGCCGTCACTATGACAAGGAACTGCTGCATTTTTGTGATTTTCTCTTTGGTATTGACCAATTTTTCATGTTGACCACTTGAATCACTTCCGGGGACACCCTCTTCATCTGCGTCGGGCTTGCAATATGAATCCTTAGAGGACGACATGTCTCTCGATGCTGTGATGTCTCTCGTGTCGGTCGAGTCGACAGACTCCGCCGTCCCGGTGTGCGCATTACTCGCCATCAACCCTAGGTCATGTCAGCGACGGTATCCGGGTTCCTTTGAAGGATGGCTCTAACCTGCTTCTGTCATGGCTTCTACGATTTCTGTGTCCTGTTCTTCGACCGTCCAATTCTATGAAGGCCCCATGTAGCTAACGAGGTGAGCTGGGAAACATTTAAGAGCGATACAATGCGCGATTATATCGCTGTGGGATATTTCATAAGATCCCTCTCATGTGGAGGCCACTCTGTGCTCTTTCAGAAGTTTGGTTGGTTCATACAAGCCTCTTCATTCTTGGTTCCGATAAATCTAGACTTGGTTCTCTGATACCGCGATACATGGAATCAGACCAAAGAGAGAGCTCCAACATGCACACCACCACAACACAAATGAACACAAATGGGAGTGGTGGCTGGAAGCACACCTATCATTCGTGCAGGACCTCATCGTGGCGTGATGTACTGGCAAGCTTTGATACTGGATCTAAGCTGATTCTTGTTTGCTGTTGCTCTTCTTTAGGTGAAAATCGCCGATGTCCGATCATACTAAACATCATCTATCTGTTTTCATAAGTGTACTTGACTCTATACCAGACAAGCAGTTACACTGTATTCTCAATATTCGTAACTTCTAACTCGTGCAAGGTGATGATGGCATCCAGTGAGAAGCCAGGAAGACTGAACTTGGTCGCTGTCGAGTACCAGAAGCCATCCGCCGATGTTGTATCTAGGTCGCCCCGCTGTATATCATCGGTATGCTACTAATGTGTTACTTGCTTGATGACTTTGAGAGCTACAGAGAATGTGAATTCGGACGTCCGTCTCCGTTGCCCGAAAGGGAAAGGCGCCAACGGGTTCTTGGCATGTTGGAATTTGTTAGCATCTCGAGGGTTTCGAGGAAACAAACGTCGCCTGCCATTGCCCACCAACACTCTCACCCCACGCCTTCTCTCGCCCGCTCTGCAGCACTCAGAGCTCACTCGAGCGGCCTGATCCCGGATGCATGCCGTAGCGTGGCGGACACTGCGCTCGGCGTCTCGATCTAGGTCTCCTGCTCGGATCGTCAGCGGCCGTCGATATCCTCTCCCACCGCGCAATCGACACTTCAGCACTACCTCCCCCGCTGCGCAGACCTCGACTCCTCCGACCGACCCCCAAACCCCGACCGTCGAGCGTGATGGCGAGCCTGAAAAGGACCGGGAGCCGGCCGCGGCGGCCGCCCCGGAGGATGCCTCGCAAGACGCCGCGAAATCCGAGGACCCTGATATCATAGCGAAAAAGCTGCAGAAGGCCAAGGAGTCGGTACGGCACTACGGTTCCGCCTTGAAGCGTTCACAGCGTCATAATCGATCCCAGGATCTCCCACCCATACACCTCCCGAGGTGGTTCTTGAGGCGGAACGTCGTGCTGAGCGAGGAACACACCTGGGGTATGGAGGAAGTCAAGCACCTGAGAAAGATTCTGTCGCGGTGCTCGTTGACGGTCACGGATAAGAGGACTGGGGAATTGTATGCCGATTTTACCTTCTCTACACCCTCTCTACGCATCTTCAATGTTTTGTACGATATAACAGCGCCATGGAGGAGCATAGCCGCTGGGACGCGACCGGAGGCGATTGGAGCAGAAACAAAACAGAAGATCAGAAATCTGGTGGAATCGTTGGAGAAAGAAGCCGGCGTCATCTCAAAGGATACCGACTTCTCGACAACAGGTGGTTACGAACGTGGCTTTAAAAACGCCTGGGATATTTCTGAAAAATACATCCAACAGTGTCAAGACAAGTTTAAAAAATGGAACAAGTTCTCGCATTTCGACGCAGTCGCCGACCTACACTACTCGGTTGAAGCTGAAATAAAGGCGACGATCGCCGGCTGCCTCCTTACTGTACAACCGGAAACGGGCTTGTCCTTCCCATCGGCGAAGACCAACCTACTCTTACATTCCCCGGCGGAAGGGAGCGAGCAGTTTTTGTTTGCGGTGGTCCAGTCAATGGCTACCGAATTCGGCGCTGATATTGTTACAATCGATGCTCAAGACCTTGCCGAGCTTGCTGGAGGCTATGTAGGCGACAGCCCTGACCCAATGTCCCAATCAATACGCTCGCTGGGCTATGACACATACCGAATGAAATCCGACCTCCAGGAAAGCATGGAATTCATCGAAGAGAATGAAGAAGGGCAAGAGGAAGATGATGCACCCGAGTCTTCTCCCCCTACTCTTGGGTTCCCCACTGGCAAACCATTTTCCAGCGGGAAAGGAAACATGATACCCGGACCTGTGCACATTATAGACATTCAGGGCCTCACAAAATCGCCTATTTTCAAAGCTTTAACATCTGCGGGGATTGGAGGCGGGCGCGAAAGGGGTATTTTTACGCCCGCTCCGGGCTCCCCACGAGCCCCCTCGCAGAGCGAGGCGCAATGGGAGGATGTGAAGCTCAATGCATTACTGGAAGCTCTGGTTGATGCCAACGATATCAAGAGAAGTAGACCCAGTGTGAAGAAGGTCGTCAGAAAGTCGAAAGACTCTCCTAATTTCCAGGCCGGCGCGCCCTTCTTTTTCGACTCTGCCACACTGCAAGACCAGAAAGCGCAACAATCGTCGGTCGAGCAACATACCAAAGTCACAAAGGATGAGGTGAGCACTGAAGTAAACTCAGACACTCCTAAATCCTCAAATCCTCGATCGCCATTTGAAGTCGATCTAAGTTCTTTGCTCCCCCCCGATGTACAAAGCCGCATAGAGCTCAAATTGACGGAGCAGAATCTTGAAGAAAGTGCCCCCACACAACTATCTTCCATTCCAGGACGTAAGATCATCCACATTAAAGACATGAAAGAGCTTGGAGGTACGCAAAGGGGTAGTCAAATCTTAGTAAAGTTGCAAGAGATTGTTCGGAAACGAAGAAGCGAGGGCGAAAATACAATGATTATTGGCACCACATCGTCCACCGATCTAATGCCAGAATACTCGAAAGCTGGAGTCCGAAGCCTACAAGCTGATCGCGAGAATCCGGAAAGCTATTCGAGGACTATCGTGGTACCTTTCTTCCGAGATACAGCCGGCCAGAAAAGGATGCTTGCTGGTCCGTTTGTACCCGCCAAGAAAGAGGCCAAAGCTTCGAACTGGGCAGAGACGTCAAGGACTATGGATATTAATCTTCGCCATATTCAAGATATGCTGAGGTCTCTTGATCCAGTGGCCTCCCACGATCTCGCCGACCCCGAACATCGTATCAAGCTACCCTTCCGGACTAGTGAGCCTAATGTGTATCAGGATAGAGTGCTTTTCTTTGACGAAGTCCACCGAATTGCCTTGACTGCCATTGGAATCCACCGTTCGAAGGCAGACGGCTCCCAACTCTCTGCCGCACATGTGTCCTTAGCTATACAGCTTCTAGACAGCAGTGACGAGGCCAAATTCTATTGGGTCGCATCTGAGAACAAGATACGCGCAAAGGATGGAAAAGAATCAAAGGAATCAACCGGTCCAACGGCGCAACAGGCCGACAGCAAGCACGATCTCATCAAAGCCAAAGCGAACAAACACGAAAAGAGGCTTCTCGGTGGTGTCATTGATCCCGAAAAAATCAACACGACCTTTTCAGACGTTCACGCGCCAACCGAGACCATCGAGTCTCTTAGGATGCTGACTTCGTTGTCCTTACTAAGACCAGAAGCCTTCAAGTATGGTGTTTTGGCCACCGACAAGATTCCCGGTCTCCTCCTTTACGGACCGCCTGGAACTGGCAAGACGCTCCTTGCCAAAGCCGTGGCAAAAGAGAGCGGCGCGACCGTGCTCGAGGTCTCTGGTAGCGAAGTCTATGACATGTACGTCGGCGAGGGCGAAAAGAACGTGCGGGCTATCTTCTCGCTTGCGCGCAAGCTTTCACCCTGCGTTGTCTTCATTGATGAGGCGGATGCTATTTTCGGCTCCCGCGATGGAGGGAGACAGCGGACAAGTCACCGCGAGATCATCAACCAGTTCCTTAAGGAGTGGGATGGCATGAATGATCTCAGTGTTTTCATCATGGTTGCGACGAACCGACCCTTCGACCTCGACGACGCCGTACTAAGGCGTCTGCCCAGACGACTTCTCGTCGATCTACCAACGCAGCTCGACCGCAAGAAGATCTTGAACATCCATCTCAAGGGCGAGGCATTAGCGAAAGATGTCGACGTCACAGAGTTGTCCGAGTTGACCCCGCTGTACAGCGGCAGCGACCTGAAGAACTTGGCTGTGGCAGCTGCGCTGGCGTGCGTGAGGGAAGAGAACGAACAAGCAGCAATCGCAATGGCGAAGTCCATGTCCGAGTCCACCTCGGAACCAAGCACCGACGCTAGCCCCGAACCACCATCCTCGGACTCCGACCGCCCTCCCCAACTCGTGCCTGGACTGAAGTACCATTTCCCCGAAAAGCGCATCCTGCACAAACGGCACTTCGAGAAGGCGATGCAGGAGATTAGCGCGAGCATCTCGGAGGATATGTCGAGTCTAGGCGCGATCAAGAAGTTTGACGAGCAGTTTGGGGATCGTAGGGGCAGGAAGAAAAAGAAGAGTGCGTATGGGTTTGGGATGGAGAGGGGGGCGGACGAGGGGGCGGCGAGGGTGAGGAGGGATTAGAGCGGGGCGAGGGGGAGAGGTGTGTAGGCTTTGTATTATACTGTACAGATCTTCTATTAACATAGGCATTGTTAATGGGATTGGCTCTGTGCTTGTGGATTGCATTCGAAGAGCGGGATTAGGGGATATAGCGGAATCCTAGTGTGTGGCTTCTGTACCTGTCTGTTGGTGATGGTCTGGCGTGTTTGTCTGTCTAACAAGTCGGAGAAGCAAGACTAGAGGTAATCGAGGGAGTCATCTAACACCTCGCAGCATTACCTGCCGTGATAGAGGTGCAGCCATGACTCCGCTAATAGTTGCTAGCCAGATCATAGGTCCTCGACGCAAGGGGGCTCTACATCTCCATCCACTCAGCGAAAAGAACCCAACGGCATACCACCCGTCCCACACCTTTGGGAACCAGCACATGCATCCCCACGTGACCCTTGTGTAACCCGACGCAGTGGACTGGGAGGCAACCACTCTTGGCGAGCATTGCGGCGCAGAACCCATAAAGCGCAGCGCAGCCTAAGCCAGTAACTTCGAAAAAGCGTCTTTCTCTCGATCGTCCGCACCTTCCCTACCCTCCCTTCTCCCTCGTCGTCGTTTTCGGAAAACAACCGGGTGAAAAAAACAAAAAACAAAATGCAAGACGTCAAAGTCAGCGCCAAAGCGGGCGAGGCGCGCGAGGCGACGGGCTTCGACCTGATACAGTGGCGGCGCTTCTTGGTATGTGGCACAGCAAAATCAGCAAAAACCGTCATATGGCGCGTCCCTCCCGCCGCTTCCTCCGCGTTTTTCGACTTGCCCTACCTAACTCCACTATGTGCGTTTATGCTGATGGTTCTCCGTGGGTACCCTGGCAGTTGATATCCCGCCTCGAAGCCGACCGCTACGTCCACCGCCGCCCGCAATACACGTCCTGGATCGCGCTGCCCGCGGGCGAGCAGAACGCGCTGTGGGCCGCCATCAACGCGCGGCTGGACGCGGAGAATATCCCGCGGATCAATCAGAGCGTGCTGATCTGGCGGATGAGCCAGGCGATGCGGGAGGCGCGGCGGCTGTTTGGTAGGTGAAACTTCGGTGGCGTTGCGTTTGCTGTGGTTGGGTGAGCTGGACGGCGCTTACGAGTGTGTCGCAGTGATGAACCAGGAAGGCGGGGTGGGGGAGGGGGGCGATACAAGTCAGGAGCAGGCGGAGGAGGAGGCGGAGACGGTGCAGGATGGGTATAGGAGTCCGTATGAGCCGGTGCGGTCACCACCGCCGCAGCAACGGTCGCCGCCCTCTCGACATCCAGCGCAGACGGAGACGCCGCCGCGGCCGGCATACGATCCGGTGAAAGATGCGGCGGGTTCTTTGGGTGGATTGGTGGAGGAGGGCAATAATGACGTTGCGATGGGTCTACGGCGGATGTAAGAACACTTGTGATATTTCGGCTTTTGAATTATTGTCTTCGTTGCGCCTTGTAGATAGTCGGGCTGCGGGCCATCAGGCTCCAAGACCGGATAGGGGGAAGGGGCATAGTGGTTAGATCGAGACTGTACACTTGTATATGGGGCCCCTGTCGTCGTGACGATGTTTTATAAGAGAATCGAGATGGACAGTAGAGGAAGTTAAGAGTGGGACTACTGAAAGATGTTCGTGGTGTTAAGTTTGCGATCATTGTGAGTGAATGGAAATGAAAGATTTGAGGGACTGTTAGTTATTCACGATCTGAGCTTGCATTCAGGTCACCAGGCAATCGATGCTGTATTGCATGAAGGCCAACCTCACTACGTAGAAGTCGATACTTATCTAGGCCGCTGGTGGGCCTCGATTGTGAGTGCCAGTCCCACTGAAGGATCAAGGTCCAATCCAGGACCACTCATCTCCTTGCTACTTCGATTCTTCGGCTTGCAGCTAAGAGTGAGCAATTGCATACCTGATAAAATCGCAAGCAGGGAGTGTTTGTCTTGGACTCCAAATCCAAGCATTGTCATAAGCCCTCTGCGGCTGATATATGCCTCGGAGATGATCGTCTCAGATGTTATCCATCTCTCCCAGAAATCCATCGTCGGGATCCGTCTCCTCAACTCTACCAACTGCTACATCCGCTCTTTCCTCTGAACGGATAAGCTTCTTCGCCTCCTCCTCTTCAAGCTCTGCCTTCTCTGCTGCTGCGATTCTAACACTGAGTGGGCGCGAAGCCATGTACGATTCCATATAGGAGGCACCCAAGCTGGAGGGGTAGCCGTAGCTTCCCGCCTGATCCACGTCGTCAACACCAGAACCGCTCAAGCCGCCGACATAGGTCGATATGGGCGCAGGAGGTTCATCGGCATATATAGCCAACGCCTCCTCGTCGGGACTTCGCGATAATCGTTCATCGTGCTCTACGAATGTCTCTGTCACAGCATGTGGCGGTCCGTGCTGGAGCGATGGCGGCGAGGCGAAAAGAGCGGTGGTGGCATGTGTCTCAGGGCTCATCGTTAGGCTGTGATGGACTGGTCCTGGATCGGATGCGTGCGCTGTGTCCTCAAGGTTTTCTATTGATGATGACGCGTTGGATGACGCATTCGTAGTGGAGTCCGACAGAGGGCTGGTAACTATGAGGCTATCGGAGGGATGTACAATCTGGTCATCGACTGCTAGAGAGACGCGTTTCCGGTGTACAGCTTTGGTGCTCGGAACGCGGCGTAGTGACGACTTTCGCGTTCCCACTCGCTTGCCCTTCAACTCGGCTGTCGGTTTCTTCTTCTTTGACACAGATGCTCCAGTGGTCCCCACTTCTGCTGTAGTTGGCGGCTCTACGTCGATGGGCGGTTCTTGCATTTTTGAACAGTCTCCTGGGCCTGGTATGACTTCTGAAGAAGCGGACTTAGAACTTTCTCCTAGACTGGCCAGCGAGCCTTCAGCTTCAGAACGCGTCTCCTTGCTCTTCGATCGTGCCTTTTTCTGCTTTGTCGTCGCGGCATCATTTGCATCTAGTAGAGGTATGAATGCCATCAGTCCACGGAGCTCCATTTCCCGTTTGTGTACGCGATTTGGCTTCTGCGGCTTCGCGGTCTCGGTGGTCGCGGAGGTGGGCTTGGGTGACTCGTCGCTGGGAGGTGTAGCATCACGGGCTCGGGGGGGCGGCTGTATATTGCTGAGCGGCTGTATTTGGCTGATAGAGGCGGCGGAGGGCGTGGGCGTGCTGCCTAGGAGCTGAGAGAGTCAGTAATCTGGTGTCCAAGCGTAGTCTGACCGCCTAAGTACCGTTTGCTCGTATTCATGAAGATCATGTTGCCTCGCCTGGATGTACTGGGCAATGTCGTCCTCAAGCTTCTGCTTCTTCTTCTCGATGTTGGTGAGGATGAGCTCCAGCTGTTCCGGGGCGAGGCCCTTCTCCTCGGAGGGTCGAGGTGACAGCTTGAGGTACATTGGCGCTAGCGATGCAGACGGCCGAGGGCAATTCGATGCTACTGCTAGTAATGACGTGTGTGAAGGGCGAGGGCAGTGGATAGCTCTGTCATAGCTGGAGAGGATCCGGTGGGGGGAGGTGACAGAAACGGGCAGCGGGGCGGGACTTGCTGCTACGGTGGGCCTTTTGCAGACCAGGCACGGGGCGCACACGGGGCGGCGCAGGGGCAAATAGCTCGGTGGGCCAGGCGGTGGGCCCGCGTGAATCGGGCGTGGTGCCAGGCGGAGGTAGTGCTTCTGCTACGCTGCGTTGAATCTGGTCTGTTGTTAATTCCGGCATCGTCGGCTAAAGCCGGTCGTAAAAGGTGGGGGGAGATTGGCGAGAAAGCTGGAGCCAGCCGAAAGACAACCCTCGACATTCACCCTATTCGCCCCAGCCTCCTTCGCCTGCATGCACATGACCTGCACTGCCGCGCTGGCACTCTCAGCCTCGTCAGGCATCAGCTGCAGCACTTTGGGAGTCATGACAGCTCTTGTGTCTTTCGGCCGGTCCCTATTCATCACGCACTCGAGCTTGGACATTCTCCCTTCTCCCATTCGCTCTACTTTCGGTTCCGTCACTGGACTTGCTTCCTAGCCAAAGAGAGACCTCCATCACCGGAGGAATTCAGACACCGGCAAAGAGCTGGCCTCGTCCATTTCTATCCCTTCTCCTTCAACTTGTCAACGTCAAGGCTGAGTCTTCATCCTTTTCGTGCCATCTGTCTCAACCTTCGATCACTCAAATGATAGCCTAGACTCTGACTAGTCTTGACTCGTTGTTAGTAGAAAGAAGAATGGCGCCCCCTGAGCCTGTTGTTAGCGCGTCTCATAGCTACAGCACCACTCAAAACCTCTGCTCTGATTGCCAGCATCTCCAGATAAATAGTTCCAATGTATTTCGTTGCACTCCGTTGAATGAGCCCTCGAGATGGGATTCCCCCGAGATGGGATTCCCCCGAGATGGGGTTCCCCCGAGATACGGCTTTCATATCAATTGCAAGACTTGTACCCCAGTCTCTAAAGTCTGCAACAACAAGCCGCTGCTGGTTGCCCCTTATGCCCTTTATTCCGGAAAAGCATTGAAGAACACTTGAGATTCTTCACCGCGTTACGGACAGTTGACCTCGAGACATCTCTTCGAAGTGCAATTTATGAACACGAGTTAGGTGAAGCGACTGCTAACGTGCATGAGCCGTATTCTCTGGCCATTTCAATCTGTTAAGGCGGTGAGTCCGCCGGGAGATGACGTTCACTATTTATAAAAGTGATGGCAAAGATACCTCACTCTAAACTTGCAGGGCTTCTGACCATTGCCTACCACCGCTTGGGGCCCTCTAGTACAGTACTAGGCCATAAGTTTGGGCACATGGATATACCACTGGTCTAGCTTCAATCTTGCTCTCTCGATACTACTGTAAAGAGTACCCCAGCTAGCATGTTTCTAATTAGTCAAAGGGTAGTCTAATTTCCACTGTGTTGACCTTTACATCGTGTTTGGAGTTTCCAAGGCCTGTTGGGCCACCCCAGCCAGTTGCAAGGGATGCCCAAACTTATGTCTTGGTACTGTACGTTATCAAGAGGTCTAAAACGACAGTTTTGGCAACCCTGGTCGCTCTCCGGGCTACCTCAGATGGTATTGGGCTGCCGCCTTCTGTTCGACGAAGCCTGCCTGGGAAGGGGACGATCTTCTATCGTAACAGACCCTCTTTGCACCCATCACGAAATATTTGGAATCAGCAGCACATTAGTGAATCCATACTGTTCGTTTGCAGAAACCTGTTATTTTAGCAGTCACTCGAATTCGGCAGCTATACGACTGCTTCATCCTATTCCGGCTTCTTGGTCCTTATACAATCGGGCGAGTAGTAGAAGGGCTCTATGTTTCCGCCGCCCGCGCCGCATTTTGCCGATACAAGGGTTAGTGATGCCTCCAGTCCATGCACGGTGTCGGGTTACACAGAGGTCACGTGGGAGTGTGTCCCAGAGATATGGTACGGATGGCATGCCGCGCAACTAAATACCAGTCTAGATATTTTGCTGTCGCTGGACGGGTTCTGTGGTGTGGAACCTTTGCATCTGCTGCGGAATGTAGATGCCTAACATCAGTGCAACAATCAACGGAGTCATAGCTGCATATGTAGGTGCCACTGCAGGTAAGGCAGCAAGGTATTCAACAACTGTCATCCGCGATCTATAAACCTCTCGCCCGCAATCAACTCCAATATGCTACCTACACGGTCGTCACTATGCATATCCAGCTTGTTTCTCATGATGAAGACTTGTATTGGCTTTCCGTGGGACCGTTCGGCATCCCATCCCACCGCCAATCACTAAACCAGCCAAAGCTTTCATCCCCAATCGTCCAAAACGCGTTGGCTCAACCAAAGAATCCCAGCGACATGGTATCATTTAGACCTTTCTTCCCATCGCGCCTAACGCGCATCTCCGTCTCGAAGGAGACCTAACTTAGGCTATTAGCTAAGGAAAGCCTGCTGGTGACACCGGTGTCGTCGCAGTCGCCATTTCCTTTTACGCACAGAGGGAGGGGGTGTAACGGTGCCACGTATTAGCATTTACTAGGCCAGACAAATCGAAACAGCCCTGGAGAATGTTGGCAATGCGAACGTTTGTGTTGTACGCGGAGAACGTCAACTGGAGGAAGAGGCTGTGGTTGGTGCAGGCGAGTCCGCAGGAGTTTGGGTAAGTGTGCAGGATATCGGTCAGAGCGAGCACTCATGTCACTTAGACAGCACCGCTCAAAGTGCTGTCGATTTCTTCACTATGTCTCCTTTCCTTCCCCCAGCACCCCTCGAAAAGACCGTTCTTTTCCTCTCCCATACCCATACCCATCCCTATCCCCATTCCCTACACCCTCTCCGTCCATATGCCCCAGAACCCCGCCAAAATGCATCGGGCCCCGTCGAGTCGTTGCAGTCGCAATCTCAACCTCAGCACGGCTAATCCTCCCCCAAACCCTCCGCAGTCCTACCCTCCGCGCGATCAGCGCTGGCAGGACCGGGGCTGGATGTCGCGCATAGCCGTCCCTCCCACTCCCTCACATGGTCGAACACGATAGGAGGCGCCCGCGGTGCTGGTGTAGAGCGTGCTGTTGGCGTTCGCGGGAAGGGGGAGCGGCGGAGGAGGCAGTGCGGGAGATGCCGGCCGGGGGGAAGGCGGTCGTTGGAGAGCGCGGGAGGGGACATGGAGAGGGGTGGATGGGGGTTGGGGGTTGCAGGAGGCCCTGCGAACGGATCGCGTTGGCGGTATGGTGGGCGTTCCCGTGATTTGGGGTGATGGTAGGTGGACGGATGATGGAGGCGAAGATTGGAGGGAATGCAGACGCGTCGTGTTGTCGGTGCATACTGAGTAGGTGATGCGGTGGGCATTTCCGTGACGAGGGCGATGGCCAGTGACGGGATGGCGCAGGTGAAGAATGGGTGGTGAAAGAGTGAAAGCAGTAATATGCTATGACGAATGTCGGCTGGTGAAGTAGTGAAGGAAGTATATGCCATGACGGAAGGCGACTGGTGGAGTGAGATTTGTTGAGATCCAGACACGCATGACGTATGAAGTAAACAAGAGATCTGGTGAGCCGTGACCCTCAGTTGGTCTATATATTTCAAGTAAAATCCAAATCCCTCATCCGCTAACTTGCCCTTTAGCTCAATTGGTAATCGGCCACACCGAGTGTAAGCCCGTCGGCCGGAGTCCAGGCAACGATACCTCGCGAGGTAGTTTTACTACCGTCGACAAAACTCACCTGGGGTCTTGCAGTTGGTCTCGGGTTCGATTCTCGACTCGACCTTTCGGTGTTAAAAAGTTGGAACATTCCTTTAGGTTCGCCGGAGGGAACCGACTTCGGGCGGCCTGGTTCGTAGAGAGGCTTGGAAGCCTGGTAAAGAGGATGTATGCAGTTGGTGCGTGAGGCTGAGAGTGGCCGGTTAAGATGACGGATTGAAAAATACCGCGGGCGGGCGGACTTAGAGAAACCCCATCCGGGGTGGCTACACCCTCGAGAGAGGGTGGTGTTTTGCTCCTTAGATATTCTTTTTGCTGGATGCTCTGCACGCTGAACTCATTTATATATATATATATCAAGAAGACTGCGATTGAAAGAAAAGAGACCGTTTATATACTTAGTGTCCGGCCAGTGATATGCTTTTCCCTATGTCGGAATAACGGAGGAGCTCATTACCATTACCATTACCTAAACCATCTAGAAACCCTCTTTTCCTCCCTTCTTATATCCCGTTCTATTCTAAGACTGTAAAGAGACTGGATCCCAAGCAGAGGCATATATACAGAAACAAACGAAAGGGTATTATCTTTTCTCCGCACACAAGAACGCCGCTCACCTTGTACTCTCAATCACGAGAATGGCCACCACGCGAAACATCCCCTCTTCTTCTCCCCTTTGCCTTTTCCTTCTTTCTCTAAATCGACCATCCTCATCGCCTCTTTCTCATTCGCAGCGCGCACCCGCTCTTCTCTTTCCCGCTCCTTCTGCTCAAACAGCTGCTTCTCACGCTCCGCACGCCATCGCACCAATTTCTCTCTCTCCCGTAGCAGGCGAATACTCTCAGGCGTGAGGCCCTCGATCGAAGTATCCAGGTCTCCAATTGGGTCGTCGAGCGTATATCTCCGTCTCCCCTTGCCGGGGGCGCTGTAAAGAGAACTCGGGGTAGGACTGCGAACACCGCCAGCCTGAGATGGTTCCGCAGATGGTTCTGTAGTTGGTTCCGTAGAAGGAATGAACTCGGAGTGCTCATCACTGCTATCATGTCCCTCTCTATATCCTCCCAGCGCACCACCGATAATGTCACCAGAAAGCACCTTCTCCATTTCTCGCCCCCTCTTGAGCCTCTCCATCCGCTCCTCTCGGTCTTTAGCCACGCTCTCGCGCCGCTGGCGCTCTTCCAGTGTTCGCTTCTGCTTTTCCAGGAAGGCGATACTTTGCGGAGTCATTCGACCATCTGGTGGCGGTGCCGGGCCAGTCAGCGCGGCGAGTGCTGCTAGGTGTTCTTTCGAGACAGCCGAGCTGCCACGTCGCGACGCGCGAGAGGAAGCGGACTGGCGTTTCTGGAGTCTGTTTGAGGTAGTGGAGGCGGTTGAGAAGATGGAGCGCAGCGAACGGGTCGACTTTGTCGATTTGACAGATTGTTGGGACTTGGTAGATTTTGCAGATTTCGTCGAACGAACGGAAGCTCTCGATTTCGAGCGTTTGCGGGCATCGTCATCTTTGAAGCTACTTCGACGGCGGCCCCGATTGCGGGCTTCTTGGGAGCTGGATGAATCGACCGGTTCAGGGGGAAGTTGAGGGAAAGGGTAGGGGAGACGTTGAGGTTGATCACGCCCATTTATGCTACTTCGATTTTGGGAGCGAGGTGGGGATGAAGGAAATGTGGCTCCATCTGGAGAGCTCATCAGTAGTGGTAGCGGAGCATGCTGAGATATAATTCTAGAGCCCCTCTTTTCTGCTCTGGACGTTTGCGGGAGGGAGGAACTGGATGCTTGATTGGTGAGACTGAGTCGTTTGGGCGGAGCAGTGCTGGCGCGCTTGATTCCTGGCGTCGGCTGGATGTAACTCAAACGCTGTCCATTGCTCGTGCTGGAGGGAGGGTAGGTGGAATAATTAGTCCCATGAAGAGTAGAGTTGCTCATTTTGCGGTCCAATTCCTTCATGGTGCTGTTACTCATCCGTCTGTCGAGTTGCGGATTGTGAATATTCCCGTTGATGTTCCCGTGGCTAGTCCGCCTATCTAGTTGAGAGGTTATGTGCGCATTTCCACCGCTCCTTCTTCTCATGCCCCCCACACCCCCACTCCCGCGTCGCCCGACAGCATCGTTACTTAGCTGGCCTTGAGGGCCCATGCCCTGGGCCGGTGAAGCTGACATACTCAGTGGGGGAAATGGACTTAATGATGGAAGGACTGGCGAGGAGCCCATACCGATCCCTCCTCCTTCCTTCTCCTTTCCCCGCCTAGCTCGCGCTTCAAGAACTGCACTCTCCCGCGTGGTCTTTTCACGCCAGCGGTGTTGCTCAAGACTATCTTTTTTGACAAGGCGTGGGTGGTGCGAGACGGAGTTAGGGCTGTAGCGCACGGAATTGCGATTACTGTTGCTTGGGAGTGCAAGAACAGTCGAGCTACGGGCCACTGAATTGCGATTCGACTTCGCGCTGGGAGGCAATTTCGAGCTGCTTGAAGTTGGAAAAGGAGGACCAGGGAGGGTATATTCTCCGCTCACGATGCGGGAAGGGTACTGTCCACCCATACTCGAGCGTTTGGACTCCTGGCCACTCATGTTGTCATGGTAATATGGGCGCTCAAGGGAGTTGACGGTAAGACGGTCTTCGTAGCTGTTGCTCCCCTTGGCGAATCTTGAGTTGTTCACAGCCCTGGGACCTATATTCTCATTTTGCCGGTCCCAGTCGAGGTTCCCTTTTACCGAGAAGCGGTTCAAGCGTGGTAGTGGCGGAGCATCATCGGCGGTGACAACGATGGCAGGGCGGGATACCTGTTCGAAGCCGGTGCTGGCTGGTCGTGGTTTCTTTCTGGCGGATGAGAGAGACGGGGGCTCAGGGAACATGGATTGGCCGTTGGCGTAGGGGTAGTGAACTGGAGGAGGGGATGCTGGGCTCCATATGGCAGAGTTGCGCGAGGCCAGACGGTCGGAAGCATGAAGCGATTTCCGGCGCTGCTGTGCGAAGTCGTGGGCAGCTTGACGGCCCTTGGCGACGTTGTCCGGAGACATTGGCGCACGGGATGGGGCCATGGAGGCCATGGTCCTGTGAGAAGAGAGGACGGGGACTTGGAGAAAAAAAGAGGAGCCGGAGCTGGCGGGTGAAGAACGGGCAGTCCAAGAAGCGATGGGACGGGAAGAGTTGGCGGGCGTGGGACCGAGTGGAGATGGACCTGAGGACGAGGTTACTGGTGGCGGGTGCTGTCCTTCGCTGGTTGAATTGCGATTGCGATCTGCGGCGTCTAGTGGACGGGTAGAGGTCGTAGTTGACGCGTCTGTACGACTGTCCTTGCGTCTTGTATCGTGCAGCTCATGCTTCTCAGGGCCTGCTGCAGCGTTGGCAACGATTGGCGGCGGCCTGGTGGTGGAGTCTTTCACGCTGTGCACCGGCTGGGTGCTCCCGCCACTGCGTTGGTGTTCGGCATCGTTGGCCCGGTGGAAACGGAGGCTGGTGAAGAAGCTCTGCCAGGTTGCCTTGGTGGACGTCTTCTGCAACGCGGGGCTGTCGCTGTTGGTCGCGTAGGCCTTTTTGAATGCTTCGTCCAGCTTGACTTGCCTCAGACGGCGGCGCAGGTCCTCGGGATCGAATGGCACTGCGGGCTCCGGTTCGCTGCCACTATGGAAGAGGCTCCATGAGGGCGGGACAGGATGGCTCTGTGATGAAGGTCAGCGATCCCCCGTCCGCCGTGCTGGCGATCGGTATCTAGAAGGCCCGGGTCCAGCAGCGATAAACAAATTCCATACGTACCCTGGATGCAGGAACCGCCATCCTGGGCCCTATCAGCTCGGCAAGATTGGTGGCTGGCTGTGATTGTCCGTTGGCGGAGAGCCACGACTCACTCCACCCCGCCCATCGGCGACAACAACTGCAACTAGGAAGACACGCAAAAGAGAGCAAGAAAAGGCGGCGCGCGGAGAGGAGCGTCTGGTGATACTTAACCCGTCGTCCCCATTCCCGCCCGGGCAGCTGCCAGCGCTTCTCCCAGCTCAAGAGTCGGCGCTGTGGCGTATCGTCGCAGCCAGCGTGCCGCCATCGCCCGTTCCGCGTCCATTTTGGGACTTCATGCGTTGAAGCGGCTAGAGGATCGGCTGAGGTGTACCATTTGGGCGTCGTGGAAGCTTTCGACGCGCCCTCTGGCCTGTGCTCCTACTATTAGAAGGCTATCCAACTCTTCTCCGAGCCTCTTCAACCTCGTCCTATGCAGCGACGTCCGGCGAACGATCCTCTCTCTGCGTTGGAGTCGTGGACACAGAGATAACAGCGGGTGACAAGCTGCAGGATCCTGAGCGTGCCGACGTTGTAATGCGTCGTGGCTTCGGCTGTGCCATGATGCATGCATTCCTCTGTCGCTAGGAGTCAACGCCTGCACTCAATTTCCACCAGCTCGATCCCCGAAGTCCGGCCCCATCTCTGTTCTCCACAGACCGTGATTGCGCAAGTTCTTGTCTGGCGATCCAGCCTAGATTGGCGCTGCTGCACGCAAGGTTGCCTCGTCCACGGCTGAGCAGTCCTTGAACTCCCCGAGCTCAACAACCATCGGTCTTGACTTGACATCTGCCGTCCCAATAAGCGTCCCAACATCGATCCCAGAGGTAAGGCGGGCAGCCGCCAAGCGTAGATCCGCCATGTTTCACCGGCGGGAGATCGCCCGCTTCCTGGCGTTGGTGAATTCCGAGCGCTAGTCTCCTTTCGACGTACAAAGGTATTTCTGAATCAAAAAAAGACGCGAGTGAAAGACGACGTTTGTGCTGGTGAGCGTAGGGATACGTTGAGGCCCTCAGAAGATAAGCGAGTTTGTGCTTATGGATTACGTTACGAAGACAACGTCCGAGGTTGTCTTACCATCAACCAAAACTTTAGGAAGAAGTCTCTACATCCCCCATCAATGCAGGTTAATTGCTCAACTCTGCTCTCCGGCTCTACAAAGGACTCATGTCCGTTGTCTCAATAGCTAAGTCGGTTTCTTTCATCGCAGAAAGACCACTTCCTCCATAAATCTATCCCATCTGCCGTCTCCCTGACCTTTTAGTAAATCCTCGTTCCCCACTTCTCTTTACAAGCAGACACACAGCCCGCAGCCACTTCTCCATGTTCTCCTCGCATCACATTGCCAGCATACGAATCATCAACCCTTTCAATGTGTATTGCTCATTCACGTCCTATCCGTTCTCTGTTATGAAATTCACATCATTCAAAAATAACATCAAAGATGCAATATACACGAACGTATCAGCCATTATTCACTCGTATAGTCGATTCACATAACGTGAACTCTCAAGGAAGTGCAACTACAATGCCCAAAGATATAAGGAAGTCCTGGGCGGACTTGGAGACCACAAATCCTCCATACCGTGCTAGAACACCACCCTAGCCTATAATCTTCCTTCAAAAACCAACCATCCTCAAGCGTATCTTTACACACTCGCCACGGCCACAGCCCAACATGCCTCGTCGCAGGTACGAAGACGATGAACGGCTAGAGTTCGGAACCCGCTGTATCGCTATGATGCTGATTTGCAGCAAAGAACCTACGAAGATATCAATGGAAACATCTACCAGGGTGCGTCCGGAAATTCTAGTGCTCCGAAAGTTCTTGATCGCCATGGCGTCTGGGTGCCTCAAAATCCTAACAAGAAGGACTTGGCGAAATACGAAAAATACTGGGCGATATACGACGAGCGTGCTCCTCGAAAGACCGCGACGCCTTCTGTCAACAAGTCGACCGTGGCGCCCATTCAACGTCACCTCACAGACGATCGAAAGCCAAGGAGAGCGTGACGTCTCGGGAAGAACGGCCCGGTCTCTTCAGGCGTCTGACGCGACGTCTTACTGGCAACGATGAGCCCAGGAAGAAATCCACGGCGCCAACGTTCTCGAAGAAGTCCCCCGATATCCCAAAACGCTTCAAGGGCGTCAATCCTTCCGAGGGAACTTGATTCCCTGACGGCAGGCACTTTTGATATCCCAGAGTCATTTGATGAGACCATATCACGACCACTAATCGTGGTCGCTTGAAGTAAATGGGCCGAAGCCGCCTAAGAAGACAGATAATATTGAACGTCTCGAAGTCATCAAGCTTAGCGATATGAGGGACATTACCCGAAGGCTATCATTGAGACCCAACCCCTTACTAAGCAGTCCCGCCAATTTCGGGCCACTAGAAATGGTCACGTGGACTAAAACATGGATGAATATACAATAACTCTCTTTCGCCACTACTAATCCCTTACTCGCCATGTATATCTCTCTTATAAACTGCCTTACAACTAAATACGTGATCTTCTTTGTTTCTCCAAGCACCTTTCTCGGCTAGTACAGCAACTCCGCAAATTCTCTTTGCATTGTTCATCAACATATGCTCCGATGCTCCAGCATTCGCTCAGTTCACGTACGTGCCTGGATAGGCATCATTCACGAACATCCCGTCAACATTCACCCATACTGTCCATTCACAAATCGCGAACGTCCGTACGTGAAAGTACAATGCTCAAGTATACCGACAACATTCACGGACATCTTTGTTATGACTCACTTATACTATCTATTCACAATCATTAACTCAAGTACGTGAAGGTACAATATATCGATATATAAGGGTGTCCTAGACGGAGGTTAGAGAGCACAAATTTCCAACCTCATCTCTGAAGCCTGAACTACCGCAACTCCAAACGCTCAGAAAACATACTTCGAACCACAACCTCACACCACCGACTCCCAACCCTCAACATGGCCGGTCGTAAGTTCCACTATTTTGGAGACGATTCGCAATTCGGGGACCAAGCTGTTGGCTACGATGCTGACTTGGGACAATTTTACTATGCCCCGGCTAAGCCTGAATTCACTCGTGACAAACATGGAGTTATGATCCCTAACAATCCTAACCCACGGGACTTGGCTCGGTATAACAAATACTGGGCTCAGGTCGAAGAAGGTGAGAAGCGCCGAAGGGCAACTGCTATCCAAGCCAGCACCACTGCCCAATCTGTCGCGTCTACCAGCATCGTCCAAGAACCCACAGCGTCGAAACCTGCACCAAATCAGCGTAATGCGACGTCTAGCGGGCGAAAATTTCTTCAGTGGCTAAACGAGCCACTGCCAGCATCACTCCCGGAGGCACAGAAGCCAGAGGGGAACCAGGAAGGCGTTCCAAACGCTAAACCTGGTTTCTTCAGGCGGATAACTCGGGAGTTAACCGAGGAGTGGAATCCCTTGGAACGCTCTAAGACCTCCAAGACCATCAAACGCCACAAAGGCGTCAAGCCATATGAGGGGACTTGATTCCCCAATGCCGCCCACCCTTGATGGCTTGGAACCCCTTACGTAGATTGTTATCACCCACCGTGGTCAAGTAAATCTTAGAAAAAAAAAATAGACAAACCCCACTTCCAACCCAGAATTACATCCGTGGCGAATCTCACATGTAGGAGATCTTCAATTATTGCAAAAAAAAGCTGCTTATAACATGAAGTCAGCAACATTCAATTCTGAGCCCGTGACTTAAAACCAATCTTGAGCTGACTCTCTAAATTAATTCATGACTCCCAGGGCGTATAAAGAGATGTACGTCTCGCGCCACCTAGAAATTTAAAAAGCCAGTTTCTTTCCAGCTTTACATTGTTCGTATACGATGTGATACCGTCAACATGCTTATTTCTACATTGTCATTTCACGTGTCGTGAATCATGTAATCATACAATTCACAACTCCCTGGAGCATATGAGAATTATTTCTGCAAAATGTTAAAAACCAGAAAGTTTCAAAAAACATATCGTCATCAACTTCACAACGCAACTTATCACCACTCCACCGAACCCTTCCAAGCACATTTATTCCATCATGGGACCGAGAAGGTTCACAAACAGCGAGGATGAACACCTGCCTCCAGGCTGGCAAACTATTGCTTATGACGCAGAAAGTGGCCGAAAAACTTATGAACATGCAAATGGCCACCAATATGTGGGACGTGGTCCACCACCGAGAGATCAACCTCTGACTGAGGAACTAGAGAACCGGCTGTTTGCCACGGGCGCAGCCTGGAACCCGAAACCACGGCAACCGGTCACCCGACATCCACAAGATCGGAGCCATGTCACTGACCGCATACCAGCTCGACACGTACCGTCCCGTCATCTCACCGCGCCTCCACCTCGACCCCCACGGTCGACCACGTTCGACGATATACTCGGTCGAATACCCGAACAACACCTTGATCGTTCACAGACCGCGTCGCGGCGGAAAGAGGATAATGGTCTTTCCAACGCAGGTGAAGACGTCAAAACCTGGGGCAAGCGGCTCACTGAGAAAGCCAAGAACAAGCTCAAGAAGGGCCCTCGACCGTTTGAGTGAACATTTCCCAACGGCGGCGCTTCTTGATGCAATCTCATACTCCACAAGACCTGACTTCTGGCTGACCGAACTACATGGCAACTGGTTACTTAGATACCAAATCTGAACCTCTACACCTCCCAACGTAACTCCTTATAATGTGCCCACACGTGAGTGATTTACTAACTCTATGCTCTATGGTTTCTTCAAGTACTATTGTATCTTAGGCTATTTCCCTAGTTTGAGACATTTCAAACACGTGATCTCTTTCGCGAGATCATTTGCTCAGGAGAAGTGGATCACATCCTGCTGCGAGGTGAGGTCTTCAGAGAGAAAGTTCCATCGTTGCCATCCGTCTTAAAACTCTTTCATTTGCCAGACCAGTCTTTCATGCCAGTGGTAAACGCAGTTTCATATCTCGTGGATATAAGACTCCCTTTTGATGCGACTCGGAAGTGACAAAGTGCCTGAAACGAGGGTCTTAATAGCTGAGTGTATGAATACAATTCGATTTGCATCCTCATGTCACCAGAGTGTTCTTCCCTCATGGTCGATAAGCAGGTATCCTTTCCGTTCTCGTCCCCAAGTTTCGCCCAAGTCCTCTGCGATAACATGCGACGTATTGCTCGCTGTGTCATTAAGTGTCTTTGTACACGTACGATGAACAGCTCTAAGGTCCACATTGTTCTTGAATATACCAGCCAAGCTTTCAATTAAACATCATTCACTCACATATTTCCGACTACGTAAATATACAATACACCAAGGTTTGAGTATATAGCTTCATCTTGGACAGTCTCTACAGACCACAGATTCCCCAAAGTTGTTTAAAAACCTCACATTTCAACGCAACAAAACTCTTTCAACCCTCAAACTTCAACTCGACCCACAGCTCCAAGTTCTCAAGAACCACACTCAACATGCCTCCTTCACGGCATAATCCCAACGTCGATCCTCGACGAGAAGCAGAAGCAGAGGGCAGCGCGCGCGAAACCTAGGAACGCCATTACCAGGAGCGCAACGGCCAGTCGTCAGAATGGGAGTGGCGGCGCAGAGCACACGAAGCAGAGCAGCGTCGTCTCAACGATGAGCGCAAGGCTCGGCAGAGGGCATTGGATGCCAGACTATACGGAACAGTCACAAAAGAGCCTCAGTCTCGTGCCTCGCGTAGTGCTCACGATGAACCCCAGTTCAAGGCCGGGAAAAGCCAGTTCGATGACTTTTTGGATGATAGCCAACTGATAACTGAAGAGGAGGCGCCAAGGCGCATGGGAGCTAGCTGGGACGTCCTGAGAGGTATCCAAAAAGCGGGCAGAAATTTTAAGAAGGGACTCAAGAACTCCTTGACCAAGAAATAGGTTCCCTAAAGGTCCGAGTCCGAGAAGGACGACCAAGAACCTAAAAGCGGGAAGAACTCTCCTTAAAGATGGCCTCTGAGCCCTACTATCCCTTGCATGCTAAATTCCGAAGTCAGTGTCGTTCAAACGACAGCTTTCAATCTACCCGGCCAGCGTCAGTAAGTGACCTGGCCACACAAGAATCAATTCATTCCCCAAATACCTAAAATGACTTCCCTAGTCTGCCAAACGTAGTGATCAATTGCCCATTCTAGTCATAACTCGCTAAGAGCAAAGTTTCCGTTGTCCAACCTCATCCTCATGTAGGTCGGCGCGTTTTTTCATTTTTGGATCATCTAACATCTTCCCAGAGCATTCAGCTCTCACTCATTTTTCTTACCTCATATTGTTCGTGAACATGTCGACCGCAATGCACTCTGTACCGAAATAGGATATAGGGCCTTATTTTTTCTCATTGCTTATGAACGACACCGTATACTGTAATTTATGCCGAGGTGGCGTGCACAAACTGATTCAGCGTGGCCAGTAATCCAGCGGTCGGAGTTCAAGGCACTTCGATTGATTGCACTGAGCCGGTTGAGATTGAGGATTGATTGGTCAGATTGATGGGATTTGACAATCCAGATCAATCCACCCAGACTTACTGCCAAATCTGCTATTACAGGTATAGAAAACGGGAGTGTGAGAGTGGCATGGGCCAGAATATGGCTAATTCCATTGGAAGTAGGACTATTTGATCCGATTGAGAATCGCACGTCTTCTGGATTAGTTGGATTGGGTTTCAATGGGTGTGGATTATTCATCCGGCCGATGGATGGATTGAAGATTGGACGGATAAGTAACTAGCCACGCTGTAAATTATGTCATTGTACATCAACATCATCAACCAAGCGAAAACACAATACACCAGAACAAGCCTATATAGCGACGTCGAGACTGGCCTCCTTTGGAGAGCATAGCTTTCAGGTTTTCCAATCGTTGTCGAACTTCCCAAACCTCAAAACCTTGACACCATCTACAACTACTCCCATAACCACTTCCTCAATCACCCAGAAACTGCACAATCACGACTCCTCGCCTGCAATGAGTTCTAGAGACCAAAGTCAAGGCGCTGGCAGGTCCCAGCGCTACATCTCTTTACCCGACCCAATCGAAGAAGAAAACCTTCTTCAGGGATCAGATGATGACCGAAGACAGAAGGCCTTCCAAATGGAATACCAAATGCAGAAGGCCTACCAAATTGAGGACGCCAAACGCGATGCCGAGCTCCGGCAGCGTGAACATCGCGAAGCTCTCCAGCGACAAGCCGAAGAAGCCTATCAAGACAACTTACACTGGACGGGCGCCGGGTGGGATCAGATACAACCAGTGTCTCCCAAGCCACCCCTTGAAAGAGTAAGGACATTGCCAGAATCCCACAATCCATGGGACGCTTACTCTGAGGCGCTTAGTAACCGTAGAGAGGAGATGGCGTTCATGAAGACCATGAAGCGTCTGATGCTGGTCCTCCTCGGAAAAGATGTTCCCCCTCTGCCTCCAAAGCCCCAGAGGCCCTAAGGGCTAGATCTTGGTCACCGCACCTGCGATGTAGTCATTCCCGAGTTCTCTGGGTTTGATATTCGAATTCGTTGACAATTGACTCCAGCATCCTCTGACCTTCACTTCACTGGCTAGGATCACTATATGAGCTGGTCATACCCAAGATCAATTCACTCTTATCTAGCCTCATTATGTCTCCCTGAGTGTACTTATTTCAGTGACTAGTTGACCCCTTATTTTGCATGTTTCCGTGTTCTCTATTCCCATTTCCGAACTAGCAATAGATCATCATCTTACCGTCTCCCTTCCAGATCGACATGTCTCCTGAATAGCTTTCACCGATGGGAATTCCGCTATTACATTGTGTATGAACGTGCCGATCAATACACAGACTGATATGGGAGCCAGATTCTTAGTGTGGCCACATTGTCCAAAAACATAGCGACATATAAGTCAGTATACAATACGTCATGAAAAGCCTATATAGGGACGTCAATATCACCTTTTCAGAGCACAACTCTCAAATACTCAGATTACAGTCAAGTAATCTGCATTTCAGAACCTTGACATCTCACATACACACCTACACTACTCACAAAACTATTCACAGCCCCAACTCCAACTCCAAATCCACAATGGGCTCTGGATACCGCAGTGAAGGCACTGGACAATATCAGCACTACATCCCCTCTCCCGACCTAAGCGAGGGAGAGCGTCTACTTCAACCTCATGAGGAGCGCCCGCAGCAGGCGGCCCGGGAGATCCGAAGCGTCTCCTACGTTGCGCAGCTCCAACGACTTGGAGTTGCTGGCATAGTAGCTGCCTGCATGCCTAGCCAGTTACAACTTCTACAGAGAGGGGTTGGGGTACGGTGGCCTACCGTGCCTACCGTGCCTACTGCTGTCTCTAATTAGTGCTTCTGCCTACGCGTACAGTCACTTCCTACGTAGTATATAGTTTGGCCTTCGGGCCCCCGAAATAAGACAGAGTTCACGTCAATTTGCAACCTGAGTCAACGGCTCGAACGGCTCGAAGCTCTTCGAGCCGAAGAAATCCGCATAGAAGGTCTGCACTGGACCGGCGCGGGTTGGGATCAAACCAACCCAACCCCCCCAGAGCCGTCACTGACGACAGTGCGGACCTTCCCTATATCCCACAACCCGTGGGATGCATACTACGCTGCCGTGAATAAGCGTAGGGAGGTGATGACAACGTCTTACAAGCTCAAGCGCCTGGGCCGTTCACTCCTGAGGAGACCGAATACTCCGAAGCCCCCGAAGCCTCAGAGGCCCTAGGGCTGGGCCTTGGGACACTTCCTGTCACATCTCCTAAGGGCACCTCCTGAAGGCGCCTTGCATGTTATCAGTTCGGAAATTCTTCGAGTCTAACATTCAGATTCTTTGACGTTCAAATAGAACTCCTCATCTGGCGAACCAGCAAGTCTGGTTCTGGTACGTAAACTCAATAAATCCTTCCCAAAATCCCCCAACATAAGTTCTTTATAGTAACATGCTTACTCCAATGGCCTTTAATGAAACCTATAATTGCCAGAACCTTAGTGACAAAGTATTAACTTCGAACAGTCTTTCATTAGTTCATTGACTAGTCTAGAACAGCATTATGTTCTATACGAGACAACTACTCTCTTTGTGTTGAGGCTAGATATAGGCTTGTTGCTTTTCAGTAGCTATTTCAGTAATACAAGCATTCACATCAATTTGGTGGCCGCTCATCACTTAACGCTGCTACTTTGTTCAAGAAAGTACCGTGTATACTACATAGTACACCAACATGGCGGCCAGGTCCTGGATGTTGTATATCGACATCGCCGACTAAGTAAATATACAATACGCCAGAAAAAGCCTGCATAAAGACGTTTGAACTGACGTTTAGAGAGCACAACTTTCCAATTTTTCAGCCAATTCTGTCAAGCTTCCTACATTTCTCAACTTCCTTGACACTTCATACAAAATCAACAAAACTCCTACAACACCAAAACGTCTTTCTTCGGATCCTCTATACTAACCAAGCCCAAAATGGGTCCCAACAGCCAGAAGCAAGGCGCTGGTATCTTCCAGCGCTTCGTTTCCTCCCCCGATCCAACCGAAGACGAGCGCCTTCTTCAGTTCGAAGAGTTAGAGCGCAGCCGCCAGCTGGCTTGGGAGGAGGAGGTGCGAAAGGTCGCCTACCGTGTAGAAATTCGGCAACGCGCGGAGCGCGAAGCTCTGCAAGCCGAAGAAGAGCGAACGGACCATCTGCACTGGACGGGTGCCGCATGGGAAGAAAGGCAACTCAAACCAGAGCCATACGTCCCATACGTCGCGAAGCTCGATACCTTCCCCGTGTCCCACAACCCGTGGGATGCGTATTACGAGGCCGTTGACAGGCGACGAGAGGAACGACCTTCACGAAGACTATGCAGCGACTAAGTCGTACGCTGGTCGGCAAAGAAAATCCTCCTTTGCCCCCGGAGCCTCAGTAGCCTTAAGGGCTAGATCTCGGGGCGCCTTCACTCTCTAGTCGATTCTCTTGCTCCTCGAGTTCGACATTCGACTCGAGGATAATCGACTCGAAGATAATCGACTAGCATCTCCTCGTCTGACAGACCCGTGGCTCGGTCCGTAGACATTTCCAGTCTTCGAGTCTGAAATTTCGGATTCGCTGACGTCTAACAAAATCTCACCGTCTGCCGGGCCGCTAAGCACGGTCTGCAGACTTCTCAATACGTCCTTTACAAAACCCCGGTACCAGCTCCTCATGACATGCCTACTACAGTGACTTGAGATAATCGATATGTCCAACCTGTATGCAGTGTTACTTACCTTGAAGTGCGCTTACCCGTTCACGTTGCTCGCTCATCTTTCAGAGTATTACCAAAGTAGCCAACACTTCTGACTTCAACATTGTATACTCACATATCACCCCATTGCCAAAGAATTAAACACAATGCACGGCGGCATCATATAAACACAACTCAACCCTTCCGATAACTCCCCAATTCTTCCCAATTGCCCCCTTCTTCAAACCTCCCAGCACCCCGCCACCCACGATGGAATACCTCTCTATCCTGATGCAAGCCAAACACCGTAAGCCCACCCCGTCGTCCCAAACCACACCCACCAGTCCACCTCCCCAGCCTGAAGCCAGTCCCGATTCCCAGGTAGGCCCCAGCCCCAGCACTGACCCTAAGCAGCAACAACGTGAACAGCAACAAAAAATCTTCGAAGCCGCGGAGCAGCGCTTGCATGACGAAGAAGTCGAGGCTCGCAAAAGGGAGGCAGAATCTGGGCGTAGGTATACCTCATCGAGTATGGGGTATCACCCCAGGCCTTCGCCGCCTCGGAAACCTCGGGAGCACATGTACGGAGACATGGGAAACTTCAAGAGTTATTTCGGGGGACGGATGGAGGAAGGGGTTGAAGAGAAGAGGCGGATTTGGGACTCCTGGTTGAATGGATGAGTTCTGGAATTGAGTCGTTAATGATTTACGACCACGTAGCTAAATTAGTGGACTGTTAGGGGGGACCGCGTAAAAGCATAGAATGATACTATCACATGCCTTTGCCGCATTTCTTTGACACACATATCCAGCGATGGTTAATAGCAACATCTTGATCGCCATCTTTCTAATTATCCGAATTCGCCGTGACATGCGCATTGTCTACTGTACATCGCTAAAGCCAACAAAGGCTTAAGACAATGAACAAAGCCGAACTATATATTCCTAGTACAGCCATAGTTCATCAACTCCAAGATCTCGTCACATAACATTTCCTTTGCACATCCCGTCACAGCTCATACACAACACACAATGCCGTTTACCAAGCAGAAGAAGACAGAAAACGTCTCCAAAACCATCCGCTTCGCCGAAGCACCCTGTCAACTCGGCGTCCCAGAAAGGGCCGTTGTGAAGCAAACACCGGGCTCCAAGACCCGGGCGGCCGACGAGGAAGAAGGATCGAGCTACTCACCCAACCGGTCGACCTCCTTAACCTACCCGACCGGCCGCTCACTCTTTCCCTACCCAACCATCCCCTCCCAAATCTCCACCTCTCCCTCAACAGTCGTGACACTACCAGCATCACGCTTGTACTCAACAGGCGCATCATGGAACCCTAAGCCCGCGATAACAGCGTTCCACGAACCCTCTCTTGCGCCCGCTGCGACCCTTCCCGATTCACGGAACCCGTGGGACGAGTTTTACCGGGTTCGTGACGGGAGAAGAAAAAAGAAGACGACGAAGATGAGGTGGTTTGGGATTGAGCCGTAGGGTGACCGTATTAGAGAAAGCCTTGAGCTAGAGCTAGTAGTTAAACAATAATAGAATAGTATAACGTATACAGTTCAGACACGTGACTGCTCCTCCAGATGAACCTTTAAATAGCGAAAAGAAAATGTGTACGTTGCCTAAATATAACAGCTCGGCTGATAAGATTTGAGAAGAATTGAGATAATTATAGCCGTACGTACCCTAACAACGTCCTTACATGACTCGACAAAGACTCGAGATTTGAGATCACATGTCACGTGACCCCACTTTCCTGTACGCCTATCACAATCACGTCACATTTCTGGTGTGTTGAAACGACGAGCAGGTCGGGTGGAGTGCCTATCTCGACGCATGGGATCAGATAACCCGAAAGTTAGCCCGATTTTCCCGTCGGGAAAAGCCAATCGTCTCGCACGCGACAATCGTTCCCGCGGCGGGCCGCCGCCTCGTTGCAGAACGTGCTGCGAGTCGCATATGCAGCGTCGGACGATAGTGACCAGCGACGGTATTCGCGTTTGCTGCAGGTCCGGCGAGTTGGATTGAGGATGGGCTCTTCGTGAGGCGCCCCGTCACAGTTTCACGACACCGTGACGCGGAAGTTCCAACATGTGATGAGGCTGTCCATAGGCTCGACGTCGACGGACGAAGGTAATTGGAATGAGGTAGGCAGGGGCCGTCTCACGTTGAGTTGACAGGCGCGTGGGTAAGGCTTCTCGGCCCGCATGCCAGTTGACACGGTTGCGGGTGCTCGGTAAGAAAGGCGGCAGAAGTAGCGGGCCAATAGGGCTGAGGAGGGCAGTGGCTGATTTTTCGCAGTGGTCCGAAAAGAGAGGGATCGCCGGTGGAATTGAATTTGAGTTCTGCAGTGCTAGAGGGTGGGAAAACGGGGTGGAGTTGGTGTTACGGAAGCTAGTTTGGTGTTGCGGAGGCTGGGGTGGCTATTGGGCGTCGGTTGTGAGGATGAGACAACGTCGTAGGCATATTTGTTGTCTTCGCCCCTCCCTCGTGATTATTCTCAAAGGAAAAGAGGCCCTGAGCGAAGAGGTCAGGGTTGCAATGTACCCCATACGAAGCTAAAAGCTGGAGTGCGCGTAGTCTGCAGGGTTTCTCCAGATTCTGCGCGTGCTGGGGAGGTTTTCTGACAGACCGAGTGGTGGCTTCTGCAAATCGGCATGCGGTCCGGGAGTCTTGCGTAGGTAGCGTGGTAGGTTAAAACGTGGACAGACATTACTGGGGATCTCTTTTGACACGTGAAGAGATGCGGATTCGACGAGAAAGAAGATCGGCTGAAATGTGCAAATGTAGCTGTTACGTACGTCGAAGGGCCCCAATTGTTCATTGAATCAAGCTGAAGACCAGCCATTAGTCACGGACAATAACGAGGATACAGATGGTATAGTTTGTTCTGAGTATGGTACAGAGTATGTGCTAGGTATAGTTTGTGCTTGGTATGGTTTGTGCTAAGCATTGCTTCTTTGCGCCATGCTCCGAGAGCCAATCGAGGAGCTTACTAGGCCACGATCGACCTTGGCGAATGGTCGTGATGAGACGTCTGCTTTGGCCAGGAAGGGAGCACAGTACATACAAATACATGTCGGCAGCCTGCATGAAGACTTCTTCTTCATGGTCTACTCTGCACATGTACACGACAAGGCACATGCATCCAGTGCATTTTCTCAGACAGCCGCGTGAGCAGCGTTTCCGCCCGAGCTGAGTGCTGGTGGCGGGCTCTGGCTGCGGCGGACCCAAATTGGGACGAAGTTATTGGCGTCTGCATGCCTTTCACGGGGAGAGGCTCCGGCACCTCAAGACACGGAGGATCGGCGTCGGGGGCTGTGGCATGCCTGACAGGCCTCTTCCTGGCGCAGGCCTCAGGCGTCAGGGCGTGAGGCCATTCGGCAGCATCGCAGCATCGCGTGGTTGACGACACTCGGCAGCGCCAGTCGGGGCACCGGCTGCTCCTCCGTTGCATGGCTCAATTGGGCGCTGCTGTGCTCCCATCGGCCGTGTTTGACTTTTCTGACGGCTTGGTTTGGCGTCGTAGTGATCACCGCGGACGCTGCATTGAAGTGTGAAGAGTGGAGGGTAGAGCTACTTGGCGCCGCCGGCTCGACCGCAACCCACATATCTAACTACCAGAGCTCAAGCTTCAAGCACGCCTGGGCATCTAGGCACGCATCTCGCAGCTGTCTCGGGAGCCCTCTTGCATCCTCATCTTCTTGCCCTCGCTCTCACACTCTCCTCCGATGTCTGGCAGCCGCCCGGTGCCTGCAATTGCGCTCAGCGGCATCGCCGTCCCACCCCCCGCCGCTTGAGCTCCATCGGGAGATTCAACGTCGCACACCACCCTGGCACCACCACCATGCCTGCCACAGGACGCGCTGCATGCTCCGCAGGCCAGTCCGCTGCCCGGCCCCACACGCAGTCGACGAAGCGCGAAAAGGCAAAGAGCTCGCAGTCCTTCGCGGCCCCGCCGAGGAGGGAGTCCGCCCAGACGTCGACACCACCCGATACTGCTCGCCCTGGCCTCAAGGGCCGCGCTTACTCTGCGCCTATGGTCCCGAGAACCGAGCTGTCTGGTCCCTATCATGCTGCTCAGGCGGACAACTTGTCCCTAGGCGAGGCTGCCGATGACGAAGAAATTGCTGGCGACCCCTTCTTCCAGCGCTACAATATCCAGCAACACGACGACGCCCACGACGGGGCCAACGACGACGCCTCGTCCAGCTCCCTCGACAGTTCCTCCGACACCGAAGGACCCCTCTCCCCCACTAACATCAAAGCGAGACCTTCGTTTATGGCCGATTCCATTCCCAGCCCACGGTCGCCAGTGGCCTCAGTCTCAGTACGTGTAGCTCAATCCCAATCCGCGAAGCGCGGGGCTAACGCATTCTTCGTCCAGTCGGTGGGGAACGACACTGCCGCCATGCAGGACCTGAACATTGTCGTCGTGGGTGCGCATGGCAGTGGAAAGTCGACCTTCATTCGCCGCGCTCTGAACCTGCAGAACACCGCTTCCTCGGCCGCCATAAGCTCCCGCAAAATGGCCATTGACGGATCCATTTACATTGTTCGCCTTTTGGAGCTATCTTTCAGCGAAATCAACATTGGGGAACGGGACTGCATCAACTGGCCCGAAACGATTGACGACCTTGCTACACCGCGGATAGACGGAGCTATCACAATTTACGATGTCACGAATGCCAAAAGCCTGGAGCGAGTACCCGAAATTTTGAGTCAGTCACATTCCAATTACACCCTCGGAAATTATTTGGTCACATTGCAATCCGGGTGGAGAGCTTGGAACTCAATGATGTACAATTATGCTGACGGATTCGTGGGATAGACGCATTGTCAATCACGTATCTTCCCTACCTTCTAGTTGCATGCAAGTGCGATAATCACCCTGTTCATCGAGAAGTAGATCCCGCCGTTGTGGAGCAGAAAGCGCAGAAGCTCGTGGGGGAAATAAACGCTTTCCAGACCGCAGAATCCGCCCCCGAAACCCAGAAAAGATGCCTGTCGGTAATGCTTAGAAACACAATATCCGCCAGACGAAGTAAGTTAATCCCATCTCCACATTGTCGTCTCCGTCCCGCAATCACGTCAAGAGTCGACATCGTTGTACGTTGCCTAATTCTTCCGCCAGCACAACCTCAGGCCGCCTCGAACCGTCGGAGGGCAAACTCCTCCGCTGTACGTCATGTGCCACCCCGGGAAACGTGGTCTCGGAAACATGAACGGGCTAGCTCTGAATTCTCCGGGTCCAGGCTCAAAGCTCGGACGCCCGGGCCTTTTGAAAAGGATGCCGAGAAAAAGGGCCACAAGCACACTCCAAGTGAAACGGTTGGCCACACGTTCTTGGATCTCGAGGAGTCTCCTGGATATGAATCTTACGATACCGAAGCCCAGGACTCGGATGGAGGTCAAAGCGTCGCGACAGACCTACCATCAGACGAGAAAGGCTACACGTTAGACCAGCTAGTCGAACGGCTTCTTGCGCAGCCGTTGTCAAAGAATGACTCAAAGTTTGTAGCTATTTTTTTGGCCCTCTACCGGAGATTCGGGACCCCTGGCCAGCTCTTGGACAGCATCGTCAAGCGCTTCGAAGCACTAAAGCGGGATAAGCACCCGCAAATGATTCGCACGATAGCTCAGCTAAGGCACCTAGCTATTCTCCAGCAATGGGTGAGCTGTTATCCAGGTGACTTTGCGTTCCCAAAAACCAGGCGAACAATGCGAAAATTCGTCTCTGGACTATCTTCGAATCGTATCTTCTCAATAGCTGCAAGGGAGATGGTACTAGACCTAGAAAATGTGACAGAGGATGACGATACGGATTGGGCCTGTTGTGATCGGAATCGAGAAAAGGCAGAGCCTTTACAAACATTCCATACTGTCCTCGATGAGGATTCTGATGAAGATGATTTCGCCAAAGCCATCGGTACCTTATCTACGGACAACAATAGTGTAAGCCGCAGTACGACAACCGCAACGACAAGCTCGTCCAGGACATTGATCTCTACCACTGGGTCAACGAGCAGCTCATCTCAGACCATGCTCAACGGTATTGAGCGCGCGCAAAAAATCGCCAAAACCCTAGTACCAAACCCCACAAAACCTCTTTCGAAGGCGCAATGGCATTTGATGATGGGCCAGGACGACGAAGCTATCGCAAAAGAGCTAACACGCATTGACTGGATCATGTTCTCCTCCATTCGACCCCGTGATCTGGTCCGTCACGTGAGTATGAACGCAGACGAGAAAAAGCGCTGCAAGAGCCTCGAGAACGTCAATCGCATGATCGAGCACTTCAACCACGTTGCCTACACTGTCACAAACTACATTCTCCTTCGAGACAAGCCGAAGCACCGAGCACTAATGCTCGAAAAATGGATGAGAATTGCGCGCAAGCTTCGCGAATTGAACAACTACAACGCTCTCGGTGCCGTACTAGCCGGTATCAAGGGCACGGCTGTGCATAGACTAGTTGCCACCCGTGAACTCGTGCCCCAGCCTACCTCTCGCGACTTCATGAAGCTGGAGATTCTTATGGGTACGCAGAAATCGCATTTTGCGTATCGCCTCGCCTGGGAGAACTCCTCGGGAGAGCGGATACCCTACCTCCCCCTCCACCGCCGCGATCTAGTCTCTGCGGCTGAAGGCAATGCTACCTTTGTAGGCGACAAGCGAGGCCCACCAGCAGCGAACCCGCACCCGGGCGTCTCAGTCTTTCAAGGCGCGGCCGGCAGCAGAGACTCGCGCGAGGCGCCTCCCGGTGGGGTCGCGGGTAAGGAGCGCATTAACTGGCGCAAATTTGAGATCATGGGCGAAGTCATCGTAGGCGTGCAAAAGGCACAAGGAACACCGTATCCACCGTTCGGTAGGAACGAGGATGTTAGGAGCTTGCTGCTTGATGTTAAAGTGGTTAAGGACGACGATGTACGCTTACTTATCTCTGAAGATGGTGTAGGGAGTGGGTTTCGGGAGTAATAAGCTAACAGCAAGACAACAGGAACTCTACGACCGCAGCGTCCAGCTCGAGGCCGCAGGCGCCGCCGACCGACGCAGGTTCAATTGGTTCCAGCGTTAGTGCTACCAAATTCTTCATCCACCCGCGGTGCCCAAGAACAGATCGTTATGTCCTAGACAATATCGTCTAGCACTCTACGTTTCCTTGTCTCGGCACCGTTTCTTTTTCTATATCCTCGTATTACAAGTAAGAGGAATCGTCCTCTGACCAGGGTAGGATAACGCAGCGCGCATGCCCACAATCCCATTCTCGTTCAACTACGGACACAGCCAAGCCGGCAGCCCCGGGGCCATCAGGTTTCAATGAGAATCAGAACGAAATTCAATTTCGAAGATCCTCTACTAAATAAGATCTTTACTCGAATTTCCGGCCTTCTCTGAATATCGGAACAGCCTTCTGTCGCTGAAGACGGTTTTCCTTTTATTCTCTCTTTCTTCGAGCATATTCCACTTCCCCTTCTGTTAAGATACCTTTTCTCTATATCTAAGTCTTTTAGCTATGAGCATTTAGCAGTTTAATAATGAGGTGCGAATATCCTGTCATCTAGCTTGTGCCTATTATGTCTGGAGTTTCATGTAAGGGGGAATGGATTGGTGTGGCGAACTCTCCTTTTTTGATATCTCCCTGACCCTGCGGTATCGGGGGGATCTGAGGGTGTTTTACAGGCTGTAATGAGAAATCTTAGGAGTATGGGAGGTTGTTTGTTTTATTATGTTTACTGGGAAGGGATGAATTGGTTGGGTAAGGGTTGGGATGGCTGGATTGGGATGGGCATTGATACAGAACACATGTCATGAGGTACGAGAAATGAACAAAAGTGTTTCAAGCAATGAGCGGCGATCTATCCCCAAAACCCTCTTCCATCTCCCCGCTTCTACATCCCCTTCACCTTCCCTCTCTCCCGCCCACTCTTCACCCCCTCCACCTTCTCCATCACCTCCCCCAACACCCTCCCTAAAACCCCAATAACCACCTGCATCACCCAAACAACCAACCTCGCCACATGCTCCCTCCACCCCAGCACCGGCACCCTACCCCGCACAAACTTCGCATCCACAACCTCCCACGGCACACTCCCCCCCACCGCTATCCCCGCCCGTATCCCGCTACTAAACCCGTCCTCGTGGAACCCGTACCCGGTCCACGCGCCCGCGTACCACACCCCCCGCGTCCCCTGGATCCGCGCCAGCTCTTCTTGTGCCTGTACAGCGCGCGCGTTGTACAACGGGTGGCGGTACGCGTACGAGCCTTGGGTCAGCGCCGCGGCGGGCGCGTGCGGCGGGTTTAGCGTCACGAGGACGTCGCCGTAGAGGGAGGTGGGGAGGGATTGGAGGATGTTCATGTTGTAGGTTAGCGAGACGGTGTGGAGGGTTGGTGAGGGCCTGGGGCTGGTGGTGGGGTCGGAGGAAAGGGTGAGGTAGTTCCACGCGGACCAGGCGGTGCGGCGGGTGGGCATGAGCTGGGGGTGGGAGGTAGCGGGGGGGGGGGGGGGGGGGGGGGATGAGGGGGGAGGGGGAGGGGGTGCCCCCGGGGGACGGGGGGGGGGGGGGGGGGGGGAGGAGGGGGGGGGGGGGAGTGGGGGGGGGGGGGGGGGGGGGGGGGATATGGGGTGTGGGATGAGCAGGTGGGAAGAAGAGATGATTGGGACGCACAGAAAGGTCTGAGTGGAGGTACGCGGTGTTTGGGGTTGTTTCGAATGCGCTGAGGATGCGCAGTTCTTCGGCAGTGGCTGATGCGGAGATTAGGTGACGGGCTTGGTCGCCGTGGCAGGCTAGGAGGGCTGAGTCGAAGATCTCGGTTTTTGCTTCTTGAGTGCCGCCTAGGGTTAGGCTGACTTTGCCGTTTTCTTGAGGCTCGACTGAGATGGCGGGTGAAGAAAGATGGATAGTGGCTTTTGAGGTCTCTTTCAGCACGGCATCGATATACTTCTGCGAACCCCCCTCGATCGTCAACCACGGCGGCCTCTCTGCAACCGTACTCAACAAATGATGGTTCCACATGAATCTCACGAGCGTCATAGCAGGGAATTCAAGCGCGCACTTGTCCGGACCGGTACTCCACACACACGCGGTCATGGGGATGATATAGTCATCCCTAAAGCTGTCCGAGTAACCCTCTTGCACAAGATACTCACCTATCGTCTGCTCTTTCTGCGCGTCTGAAGCACCATTCTGCTGTTCAGAAAGCAGGTCTAACGCAAACAGATTGAAACGGACAATGTCGAAGATCATGCGCCAGAAGCTCGGGCGGAAGACGTTCTCGCGCTGCGCGAAGATGGAGCTAAGAGACGTCCCGGACCACTCGAAGGCGCCGTGGTCACGGGAGACGCCGAAGGTCATTTCGGACGGGATGGTTTTGACATTTAGGGCGTTGAGGAAAGCGATGAAGTTGGCTGTGGAAGTGGTTAGTATCTACAGTGGAGCTTTATAATCTTCGCCAAGACATGTATCGAACTCACGATATGTGGCTACGTTCAAGACGATGAATCCAGTGTCCACGGGTGTGCTGTCGCCGTTGTATTTAAAGGTAGCTGTGTTGGTGTGGCCACCGAGACGATCTGCTGCTTCGTACAAATGCACCTCATGGGGAGAATTCCGAAGCGTCCAAAGGGCGCCGAGCCCGGAGATGCCGCTACCGACAATAGCTATCCGTTTCTTCTCCATCTCTTAGTTGCTGTATGACAAAGGAAAGACAGAACGCGAAATTTGAGAAATCGGAGACGATGATAAAGGTCATGAGGTCATTACTTGATGGAACGGTACTCGTCTCATCTTGGCCGCAGGTGGTTGGAAACGTTTCCATATCTGGCTGTGGAGTGACTTCCAATTGCGAAGTACGGTAGACTTCAATCATATGAGCGGTGCTAGAGGCTGGAAATAGATCTGGCCACGGAGTCGCGGAATGTCTCCTGGAATTTGGTACAAAGGGTAGGTTCCCGAGATTTGCTTTGCGGACTAGTCTCTCGCTTAATCACCAATCACCTTCAAGTCGGCCAATTAATACCTTTGTAGGGATCACGTGGGTAATTACAGTACCAAGACACACATGTTTGGGCACTCCTTGCGACTGCTTGGGGTACCCCGATAGGCATTTGAAACTCCAAATAGGATGTGAAGGCCAGCATAGTAGAAATTAGACTACCTTTTAACAAAGCTAATACCCGCTGGCTCGGGTGCTCTTCACAGTGGTGCCGAGCGAGCAAGAGAGGAGTTGGAGCAGTGCTATATCCGTGTGCCCAAAATTACGATCTAGTACTGTATTGAATTTAAAGGTGAAACATATACACATAGAATTGAACGCCGAACTCAGTCGGCTTTCTCTTTACCTGGCCTCGGTAAGTGTAGCCCTGCGTATGGCATCCCTTTTACTATCTTCCTAGTCTGCGACTCGAGACCAAATGCGCAATGCGCCGGGCCATCTTCTATGCCACCATCATCTACAACCCCAAATTTCAGCTTCGTCTTCAACAAGTCTCTTGGGAAGGGACCGTTCCCTAAGCAGCTCCCATGTCCAAGAGCATCGAGAACAGGGTTACGGGTCGTGACCATCGTATGCACAAAGCCCGTCCCGGACACTACCCCGTTCTCGATCATCGAAATGAAACCGACGAGAAGGCAAATAAAAGCCAACACTATAATAATTGCGTATCCAATCCAGAGTGACCGGGTATGGTACATGAATTCGCTCACATATCGCGACTTAGTGCACGGGACCGTAGCGTTTGCGACTATGAGCAAGGAGGTGTCTGATAGTAACGTGAGTAGCAGATCTTCATACAGTGACTGCACTTCCTTTTCTAGATTGGGAAGGGGCCAGTACGTCTTTCGGTTCACAAGCCGGGTCTCGGTCACGTCGGAGAGGGTTCGAGGCCATTTTCCTTCTATCTCGACGGTACCGCGAAGCCAATTTCGAAAGAGATATCCAATAGAGTGATACGCGGCGATCAACTTGTACCGAGGGACATCAAGACCCGGGAGGATGAAGTTTGACGATGGCGTTATATCAAATGGATGTGACGTGCCGTTCGCAGATTTAGTGGCTTGGATCGATGTGTCGATGATCGGGTTGAGAAAGGTCTTATTTGTAACCGTGGTAGTTTGTTTGCCTCCGCTGTAATTGAAGTGAACCGTGTACTGAGTTTCGTGGTGCTCGCAGGCGAAGATTCTTGGAATTTTGACTGTTTTCCATTTGCCTGCGAAAGCTGAATCCGGAGCGTAAGGTTGAGTGGTATTAACTGAATATCCAATCCATAGCTTCGGTTCAGCCTTGAGTGCGCCAAGCTCAGCTGGCCACGGAGGTCCCTCGATTGGCTCGCCTTTATCGTTGGTTAGAAGTTGAGGGTTGGCGTACTCAGCAGCGTCAACATCAGCAATGTAGATTTTATCTCCAATCGGCGCAAGAGATGATGTGTTGAATGGGGAGCCAGATTGCAGGGCTGTATCGGAGGACGCATTGGCTATCTCGTTACATTGGTATCCAGGACCAACGAAAGAGATAGAGAAGGTGCAGTTCCATCCCGCACCACATGCCTTCGCATCTCCACCTTTGATCTCGACGGGCTTGTTTGTGTAGACACTCATGACGGAGAGTCTGACTGCGTTTTTCGAGGGTCGATCCCAGTAGTCGAACCATCCGGGCGCGGTTGCATTGATATCCGTGGTATTCCAGTAGGAAAGCGAGATTCCATATGACCCATCAATCATCTTCGGATTGCGGAAGTCGTCATAGGCCTCTTCGGTGAAGTTGAGAGTAGGTGCGGTGCACATCGTGGAGTTACTCCAGACCGCCGCTTGAGTAGTCAAGGTCCCAGGCGATAGCACCGCCGCAATTGGCATCATCCAGCTAGCAACGGCCATCAAAGTTGATAGTTTAGATCGTTTGATCATTTCCCAGTTCCAGAACATCGTGGGGTCCTCAGTGACTTCGATCGAAGCCTCGATTGCCTTCAAGCTCAATGCCTTTTGTCGAAAGGTGTACCATATCCTCTGCTTGTAACATAACACAACGCTTCCGACTAGAGTAGCTCTAGTAAAGAACGCGAGGGCTGTTCCGTACTGAATTTGTCGAACTTGGTCCCGTGCTTCTTTCCCATTCAGAAACTTGTAGAACTGGTGATGTGCTAACGCGCCAATCACACCTAGTAGGAACAATCCGATGATACAGGTAGGAGTCCACCAGTGAAGGCCCCATTGAGGACGACCCGTCGGCCTTGGAATCAGGGCTTGAAGGCCTGCATTCAGGGTCGATTTACGTGGTGTCATCTGGAAGGATTCGACGCTTTCATTCTCGGTAAATGACCGCGGTGAGTTTCGAAGAGGTATAGTGTGAGGGAACCACGAAGGAAGTCTCGACGGACGTCGTGGTTCCTTGTAAACGCTTGAAATTCCAGGGGAGGACAGGCCTGGAGAATATAGCCCCGGAGAATAGGCGAAAGTCGACTCTGGCGATGGCACTATCCCAAGGCCATAGTGCCGCTCGCCCTTGAGATCCGGGGTCCCATACGGTCGTGTTGTATGACATCCAGCTAGAGAGATGTAGCCGCCATGTTGTGGTGAGAGTCTCCCTGGCGGAAGAGGGGATGGTGACCTGATTGACATGACTGCAACGATGAAACCTCTATTATGTCCTCTCAAGCATGGCTAGATTGGTGCTGAAGAAAACTGGCTGCTAGGAAACGAAGATTCTTATGGTATAAGCAAGAGGCTAGCCTCTAGAATGTGCTGCGAGATTGATGAGAGTGAAAGTATAAGGAGATTTATATGGAATTGGATCTGACTAGAGACTCTAGTAAGGAAAGAATCGACTTATAGGGCGTTACGGAAAGGCCGCTTAGAGCCCTACACGGGAATTAGATGGGGGCGAAAAGGTCGGCGAGGGCTGGACATCGTGGCTGTTTGGCGCAGCAGCTGAATTGTGCCAAGCCAACCTCATGCACCGCACCTGCATACTCTGGCCTGAGGATAGAGCGAGAAGAAACCTTGGAAGAGGCCAAGCAAAGCTGCCAAGGGGCCCGGGTAAGCATCCTTCCCTCAGCTCATGCCATCGCGCGACGCGGCTCGGCGCGGTGAAGGAAGCTGGGGAGAGTCGGCGAAGCTACAAACGCCCTCGTGTTGATACAGGGGATATATGCTGCGCAAAAGTCTCTGTCCTGAACGGTTCTCATGACCTTAGAGGAAGATGAAGGAATTGTCATCGAAGCAGAACGGGCTCAAACACTAACGCACAGGCCACCAACAGTTGGTTTGATGTGGGGCTCTAGTTTTCGTCCTTCATCTCTGTCGCACCTGCAAATGCATCTTACCGCCAACACTGATCCGTGACGGCCTGCTTGGGGTAGCCGCAGCAAACATTCGCAATGCTCTAGGGAGGTTGGAAAGACCAGAGTATTTTGCAGAGTCCCCATCAACTTCGGCGACATAAGACTTCGCTTGCTAGATCTCACCCATGAACGTGGCTGGAATACATTCAATGGAAACTCGAGGCAGTGTAACAACTCTCTTAATCTCAAAATTTGATGATTTTCCTCTAGCGTATCGCGCACCCTTTCTGTTTCAGCCATACAGAGGGTTTATCTTGTGGGAAATCATCAGAGCTACCTTATAGTGCTAGGATAAGAATTTCCTTACACCTTGCTAAGACGTCTTGTGGAATGTTACCGAGCACCCTTAGACGGCGGCAAAGAGGTGTGTGACCCATTGCTTTGGGCCTGTAAAAGTACATTAAGACACCACAAGCGGTGTCGAAAATATGTAAGGAAACTTTCGCCCTAGTATTGCAGGTAAACGGTTGCCTGTCCAAATTCACCACCCTCGAGCTCCTCGAAACTCGACGCAGCGGAAACAGGGCTACCGTTTGACTAACCGAAGACAAGCTAGCTGGGTACTCCTCACAGTGATGTCGGGCGAGCAAGAATAGAACCCGTGCAGTGGTAAATCCGTGTACCTAAACTTATGACAAAATCATCATCTTCATACCAACTACCTCAGCCTCAATTCGTTAATAAGTATCATATATCAAGCCCAGCGGGCTCAACCCGGAGCCGTTCGAATTGACCAGATACCCGGGCCCATCCATAAACCACGCATAGCGCTCCACATACGACAACCCATCCAACCACGTCAACGCCGCCTTCATGAACGTCTCAATTTGCGCCTCCGTCCCACTCGTGCACCCAAACTCGGTAATCCACAACGGCCGTCCTCCTCCAATCGAGTACGCGTTCTGCACCTGCGACTTGAAGTCCGCGATCTGCGACGCGTCGTTGTACCAGTGTATCGGGATGAAGTCCACCTGACAGCTAGTGCAATTACCAAGGAAGTTCGAGAGATAGGTCAGCCCCATTGGCGATCCGCCGTTCGTGACAGCTGGTGCTCCTAGGCGCACTTGACCTGCAAGCGGGTTCATCCACTGTTTGTATCCGGCGACCGCAGATGGGATGTCCATGCACGATCCACCATCAGAGCATCCATCAGGCTCGTTGAAGGCAAGCACAGCGTCGGTCCCGGCAGCAATGGCGGTTTGAACGTTGGTGTTCCAGATGCTGGTTAGGTCGGACGCGGCGGACCACAGCATGGGGATGTAGGTAACCACGGTGCTGAGGCCGCTTTGGGGTGTTCCGGAGGCATAGTAGCCGCTCCACCAGTTGTAGGCCCAGTTGACCTTAGAGGCTTTACTTCCGCAGGAGAGGGAGAAGAGTTGGGTCAGGGTAGCGTCGTTGTAGCTCAGGCCACGCTTGCCGGCGCTGCGGGTGGGGCTTGGAACGCAAGTGGAAGAAAAGGACGTTGTGGAGGTTCGGAGCGTCGTGGCCGATGTGGATGTGGATGGCTGGACAGAAGAGGAAGAGGTCTTGAGTGTCGTTGCTGAGAGGGTTGATGAAGCAGATGTCTTCACGGAAGAGGAGGACGTCACGGGCTTCGATGTGGAGGTAGAGGTCTTGATTGAAGAGCTAGATGTCTTGACTGAAGAGCTAGATGTCTTGACTGAAGAGCTAGATGTCTTGACTGAAGAGCTAGATGTCTTGACTGAAGAGCTAGATGTCTTGGATGAAGAGCTGGAGGTCTTGACTGAAGAGCTAGAGGTCTTGACTGCAGATGTGGATGTCTTCTTGGTGCTCGTGGAGCTGGTCTTTTTGGTGGTTGAACTTATTTTTGTCGAAGACGATGACTTTTTGGTTGAGGTCTTTACGGTCGAAGTTGAGCAGGTCGGCTTGAGCTTTAGGCCCGTACACGATGCGGACCCAGTCACAGTCCGAGTGCTCGTCTTACCAAGCGAAGTCGCAAGGCTCTTACACGTACACGGCGCGGTTGTAGTCGGCGCGGCATATGCAACGCATAAGAAGGGTATCAAAAGGTGGAAAGGGCGCATGACGGCGAAAAAGACGACAGACGCGTAACAAAAGAATGAATAGATCCAACGGAACTGCAAAAAGAGCGACAGACTCGAGATAATTCGAAAACTTCTTCACGGCGCCGACACCGCAAGCTATATACTGCCTCATGACTCTAATGAATTGCGAAAAGGAGCCGTCTTCACGGCAGCTAGACCATCCGAGGGGCAGCCTTGCGCGTCCCGCGTCCCAAATTTGAAGCCTCGACTCCCTTCAGCGAAGTCTTTGAGCGCCACAGATACAAAAGGTACAAGCGCCACGATGCCGCCGAAGCTATCACGGCGTTTCGACAGGAACAGGAATAGTGTCAAATGGAACATTTTAAAGATGGGATAGCGTGCTGTTGATCCATGGTCTAGAAGAGCGCCACGTGAGCGCTTCGTGAGCGCCACAGTCCCGATCGGGTGGCTAGAGATCCATCCTTCACGTGATGAAACGTGGCCTGGAGCGGCGATCCCCGCTCGGTTCCAGGGGAGGAAGGCACCCTTTCCAAGAATTGCGTTCCGCTGGCATCGATAAGAAACGGATGTTTTGGATCTAGCGGCCTATTAGCGTGTCAGCCTCGCCCTTCGCTTGATTGTGGCCCAGTTGTCCGCCCCAAAATCCTTCCACTATCTCTAGTCTGCCTCGAAACTTGTAACGCGCTGCTAAGTAGAGCTAGCCTGGTCGTCAAGGAAGTACCTATCAAAATGGGCCGCAGCTGTGACGAAGCCAGCAGGTCATCGTATCTCACCACTCCTGTAGGATGCAGTTCCTTGTTTCTTGTAAGGCTGCGCCAGTGAATGAAAGGCCTAGAATAGATACACGGCACAGAAGGCTCAGGAACGGTATGGAGGAATAGTGGTCGTACCTACACTAAATAATATTAGTATTTCTTTGTCTTTGTCTCTTCTTCCTCTTCTTGTCTTCCTTTTGCTTCTTGTCTGCTTCATCTCATCAATTGGCATGTTGGCCTCAAACTTTCGAGGGCGAGGCCTCTACATCATCGCTGCTATTTTCGTCTTCTCACCTCCCTCATCGTCCTCAGCCAATCGCCCTGGTTCTACCCATCCAATTTCTTCACAAAGAAACCCGTCGAAGAACCCCTTCCAGAGTCATCCCCGCCCAACCCAGAACCTCAAACTCCACCTCCTCCTTCCCTACAACCTCCCAAAACCGAGTCCACAGATGATGACGTCGAGTACTGGAGCTGGCCTCCCAGTCCCCGCTTTCACTGCTCTTCCCCCATACAATCCACCACTACCCCCAAGGACGACATCTGCGCCCCCTTCCCAACCCACCTCCTCTCGAATATCCAAGTTACCCTCAAAATCGGCGCCAGCGAACCCTCCGAACGTCTAACCGCCCAACTCACCTCCGTTTCAAAATGCATCCCCAACCTTCTCGTCGCCTCAGATATGGACTCAATCGTCGACTCCCGCACCGCATTCGACGTGCTCGCCGACTTGCCCCCTTCCCTACAAGATAATAACGCCGACTTCGACGCCTACCACGCGCAGAAAGAGCCGTTAAAGAGCGGGGATTTCAACCGGAAAGGTGGGTGGCGGCTAGACAAGTACAAATTCCTACCTATGGTCGAATACGCACACGCATCCAACCCCTCCGCGGAATGGTACGTCTTCCTAGAGTCCGACACCTTCATCATATGGGACAACCTCTTCCAACTCCTCGACCGCTTCGACCCCCGCGTGCCTCTCTACTTCGGCTCCCCCTCGCCCGGCCGCACCCCCCCTGGCTTACCGAAAACATGGTTCGCGTACGGCGGGGCCGGGTTCGTGGTTTCCGCCGCCGCGGTCAAGAAATTGCTGGATCGGGAGACGGGGGCGTATGGGGAGCTTGTCAAGCCGGGGATCAACGCGCAGTATGAGCGGGATTTGAGGGGGGAGTGCTGTGGGGATTCGATGCTCGGGTGGGCGTTGTGGGAGCATGGTGTCACGTTGAGTGGGCTGTTTCCGATGTTTAATCCGCATCCATTGCGTGGGATCCCGTTTGCGGAAAGGTTTTGGTGTCAGCCTGCTATCAGTATGCATAAGACGAGGTGGAGGAGATGGGGTCGTTTTGGGAATGGACGATGCGGTGGAATGAGAGTGTGAGTGCACAGATAGGCCATACGGACTTGAAGTGGCCAATTTGAAGTACTAATAGGCCACAGCGCCCTATACTCTACGCCGACATCGCAGCACACATCGGTCTCGGCACGTTTGAGCCCCGCAAGGACTGGGATAACGCCGACTGGGACGGCTGGCAAGAACCTGACGACTCGCCCGCACATAAGTCTGTGGACGGATGCGCTTCGGAGTGCCGCAAGCATGGCGGATGTTTCCAGTATACATTCCGCCGCGACCGTTGCACATTCGTGCGTTCATTCAGGCTCGGGCAACGGAAAGATCCTGAGGGCGAAGAAGATTGGAGCGAAGAGGAAAAGGTGTTCCATGCGGGATGGGATAACGTGAAGATCAAGCAGTGGATGAGTGAGCATACGTGTGAGGAGGCAAGATGGGTGAAACCGAGTACCAAAAGGATATTCTGAGGATTTTTTAGGATCTGGTTTTGAGCGAGGCGTTCCGGGTGTGATTATGGAGCTGGCGTAAGACTTCCAATGGACTATGAGCACGAGATGATATTAGTCCGAGGGTCGGTAAGATGCCGAGTACCAAGTGGTGGACCGAAATCACGGCTTCATGCCTGTAAAATTGACAGGATGTTTAGACGCGAGGTCGTAGAACCTGAGACATGGTTTCACGTTAGAGCGCAAATAGATATCCAATATAGAATAGCGAAACACTAATACCAAATACCAACCATATCAACATCAAATAGGGAAATTGTGGACTAATCTTTGGAGGAGCCAATATGTCCCTAGGAAGCGTAGGAAGCGTTAAACTAGACTCTATTGCGTCAAGGGCTACTAAAAGGAACTCATATTTGTAGGCCATCAGCTATTGTTAGATAATAAGGCCTTACCTGCGGATAGTCGCATTTGCAGGTAATGTAATGTGCACGTGACTTTCACGGAATCAACGTGCTCTACTGTAGTCCGCCGTAGACGAGCTTGCTAGCATGTAGTTATTGAGTGAGGATCTGTGCAACAAAGTTTACCATGGCTAGCGCTATGCAAAAATCTCCCGTGTTCGCATTCCGAATCAAGACGAAGCGTGTGAACAAATGCGATACAACGACGGTAAGGGCGATCGCCGAGAAAGAGACTGTAATAGCAACGACTTGATACCCTGAAAGATGAGCTATGAGAAACGCAATGCATTGCGCGAAAGAGAATGTTTAGATTCGCGCGAACTATTAAATTAAATGTCACAGACTCTTCAGAAATGAGATGCAAGCGAGATCGGGGCGGCTATGATAGATAGTTCGACTCTAGTGAGTGTGCTGACCATGCGCAGGGAAGCGCCGAGTAGTGCAGACTTTGTAAACATCAAGTTGTGACACAGACGACGTGGAATCGGGCATGCTCGCAGGCGTTCCGCAGGATGGGGACATGCGGGCCAGAGGCATGTCTCCATATGCCCCTGTGGGGAACAGAGCTTGGCTTTCTGGAGAAACAGCAGCAAGTATCTTGTCATTTGTAGTTTTCTTGTTTCTCTTAAACCTTCCTCGTGTATCTCTCGGTTCCGCCTGAGCAGTTAGTTGGTGGTGCCTAGATAGTCCTGAGGATCGAAGTGTATGTCGTTTTCTTTTTGCATTTGAAAGGAACGAAGCCAGGCCAAAGCTTTGCACGGGCAACATACACGTAGGATAATACGCCGCTAGATACGATCATCTTCTCCCATTACCAAAGGCAGATGAAGCTCTGATGATTGTTCCGCTGTTTCGATGCCTGTAGACATCCACTGCTCATTTGTCTTCCGTAAGAGCCGAATGGGCATCGTCGGCGATGTCTGTCGCTTCTTGAATCGGATCCCGAGGCCAGTTTCTATGCTCTGAAGAGACCGGCGGGAGGTGGTAATGGCTGTATGTCGTGAAGCCACTAGGGGCTCGCGGGCGCTATGCTGACGGTCTCAGTCGCGTTGTGCTCGGCTGTACGGCACTGTCAGTATACAGGCAGGCGCACTCTTAAATGCCTATCATAAGATAGACTTCGTGATGCTTCCTTTGACGTTGATGTTGACTCAAGTAGAATAGGTCCGCTGCGAGTTTCGCGTGTTAGGAAGAGGCAAATACGGTGTAGTGGGGGGCAGTGGTACCAAACATCAACGTCAACCCTTCCGCGACCTCCTACTCAACACCACTTCCCTCGCGACCATCCACCAGTATCCACTCTCTATTCTCCCGTCATCATGAGGGCCAAGGCCTGCCTATAGTGCTCCCATGATAGTCGTCGGCCCTTAGCCATGCCCCTCTCTGATCCCTGAGGCGAACAACGCCCGGCGCGCAGCTCCCACACATCCCGACTATTCTTGAGACATAATCAGCAACGCACCTCCTCATTCTAGAAACAATCAGCGAGAATAGCAGGCTGCCTGCTAGCGGGCGATGCTCGAAGGATTCTGCGCTTGGATAACGAAGCCTTGTGGCGATGAGCCCTGGCGTCAACGACGACTCCCGTCCGTTGTCCCAGAGCTACATCTCCATCGCATGGATACCGCAGCTTCCTCCGTTAGAGAAAGTCTGTGTCCAAGAACACTCGGCCTCCTGGAGCTTCACGATACCGGTCGCTTCCTCCCGTCTCAGTGCCGCGACCCTTCCCAGCCATGAACCTCGCCGCCATCTCCGCCGGCCGGTCCTATCGAAGACAACGCGAGAAAAGACACCTATAACGCGTGGCTTGGCCTATACGAGACAGCATATGTGCGCGCTATTCGACATGGATCGCACCTCGCCATCCATATCGGCCAGGCTTATGAGCGACAACCGGCGCAGGCTGCACATTTGCTCTTGTAGATTGGCTTAGGGACCGCATGCGAAAGGGCAACTGTCAGAAACAACCCTAGTTGGCCTGTTCAACTGTTCTGCATTGCGCATCATGTTGACAGGCCGCCTTGAATCTTCTCTAGGGGCTTCACCGACGTAATTTTTGCTGGTTCGCTCTTCCAGCATGGCTTCCATTAGTTGCTGTCCGCGAAAGCACTCTCGCCCCAGGTGAGACTCTCGGTAAGATACGCGATACTCTAAGCACGCTTCCATATTCGCAAGCCGATGCGTGGCATCATGTCTTCTAAGACCCGCTACACTGGCCACATGCCGGGTTCCCCAAAGAGTAGATGCTAAAACGATGCTCCAGCGTGCCGTTTTCAGGGCTGGATCCACTCTGAACGCATATGTTTGGTATGACCACAGCCTGCCATGGATGGCAATTTGGTACATGTCATGTACCAGTATGGCATGCCTCAACGTACGCCGAGTACAATAAGAACTCGCTCTTGTAGACTCTCCGGACCTCGACTGCCAATTCCTCGTAGTTCACGCAGAATCTATGATTCTGAAACTGCAGACGACGTCGTCTTTGATGACTTCTATCAACCATCAGTCCTCTGACACCGACGGAAACTGTAGAATCCACTGCTCTAGTTACGCTTCTAGTCTGGGATCCCAATGCGTACGCCGTACAATAAGTTCCAGTCGAATTTCTTTACCTTCGATTCTATCTTCTTTCAGTCTGATTTCTTCATTTCATTCAGACAAGCTTCGTATATTTCATTCCATTAAATCCAACTGGAGATCCGTAAAGAATGAAAGACAGAAAGATTGAAGAGTATAAGAAAAGCATAGGAAAAGGAAGAAATCCTAGAACAGATACGCAAAGGAGATCCGGCCTGAGAGCGGTTTGAAGAGTCTGGAAGTTGACATCTTGGAATCTCTACCTTCGTAATGGCCAGGAGACCCTAAGAAGTGCTACTACCCCTGCAGGCTTTCAACACGGTCCGCGTGAAAGGAAGACTTGATGGGGTGCTGAGCACCCGTAGCGTGTGGCTCGAGTCGGAGGTGTTCATGGCAGTTCTAGCACCCGGTGTCAGCTTTGTGGGGACAAGATGAGGATGTTTGTTATCTTGTGTTCACGCGGCGAGTCGCATGAGCGCAGGCTGGCGTTGAAGAGCCGCAAAAGGTGGTTGTTGTGGTGGTGTTGCGGAGGCATGGTGGTCAAGCCCAAGGAGACCGCCTGCTCCCTCCTGACGGCGTCGCCCTGTTCATGCTGTTGCTGGCTTCCTGTCTGGATTCTCTTCATCTAGAGCTGCTGCTCTTTACGCCTCCTGATTCACGAGCTCTAACAGGCTGAGTTTCCTACTGCTAGGGGTGGATGAAGGCAGTCGAGTCGCTACTCGCTTGTGGTCCGTGCATTTTGTGTTCCTTTTCTGCACGCCCCTGCTGCTACTCTCCTTTCCTGCGCGCACCACCGACATCACAGCGAACCTACAGATCTCGACGAGACACCACTGACAGCGTTATTACCTCTCCAAACCACGCACAAGACGCCCCTGAATTCGCAATGTCGGGCTTCATCATCAAACAAGAGGCCGTAGACGAGGAAGCTGGCGTGCCATTCCGACAGCGCCAGCTGTACGTCCGAGGACCCCCACCACCACCTCAACCCATGGACGTAGAGATCGCGGCGATTCGGGACCGTCTAGACGAGGTCGCCAATATCAGCCGCCAGCAGCAGCGCCGCCGCGACGTCGCTGAGCACCACGCAGCTGCCGTAGAGCACCTTAGAGATGCCGCGGAGCACACCGTCGCCGCCCAAGCCCTCACCCTTGAGGAGCAGGAGGAGCAGATCCGAGGCCTCCTGGAGGCCCTCAGCCGCCGGGACGCCGAGGTCAGGCACCTGCGGGCAGAGAACCAGCACCTCCGCGCCCAGCTGGAGACGCCTTCGGGCAGCGATCGGGCCCGTCACACCCGTCGCCGCACGCCTCCAATCCAGAACCCCTGGACCCGCCGTCGCTCGCGCTCGCCAGACCGTCGTGGACCGACCACCCCGCCTCGTCGTCGTAGCCCCCCGCCGCGTCGTTTTACCAACCGCCACCGAGACCTAGACGCCCCCCCGACGCCGACGAAAGACACCAGCATGTTGGACTACTAGCGCTGATTCGCGGAGTGCTGCCAAAGACACGGGAGAAGAGGGTTCAAATCGGAAGCTTGGCGGAGCAGTTTCGGGAGCTGTGTTGGAGTATCGGAACGGATTCGAGGGTTTGACTGTGCCGGAAAACTTGCTGGAGGACGTGGTGCGATTCGGAACCTGCTGCCGACGACATCGACTTTGGACGACTGAATTGGGTGATTGTTTTTGGAGTTTCGGGAGTTGGTTTGGTGCGGTTGGGCGGATTCGAGGAGTTGACTGGGGCGGAAAATCGGTGCTGGGAGTGGTCAGATTTGGGTGGTGTTTTGGAGTTCGGAAGTTTGATAGTGGAAATTTGAGAGTAGTTCTGTTGCTGCTTGCGGGCGGTAATGGGGCTGCGTGGTACCTCCTGCGTATAGGTTTCTGTGAGTGCGTGATGTAAAGTGCGGGAGGCTGTGAACTAGGGGTGTGGTAAAGAGGTAGGCGTTTTGGGGTCTGAATGCTTTAAGGCGTGAATTGTAGGGGTGTTGCTATTGCTTGCTGCGGCATAGGATAAGGCTGGATCGCACCCCTGGCCTATCTTGCCTTGAGAATCACGAGATGTCAAGAGCTGGAGGCTGTAAATTAGGGGTGTAGAAAAGGGGTAGATGTTTTGGGGTCTAAATGCTTCGAGGCGTGAATTGGAGGGCTATTACTGTTGCTGCTGCAACGGACGATATGTCTGGATGGCGCCCCTGGCCTATCTGGCCTCATAAATCACAAGATGTCAAGAGCTGGAGGCTGTGAATTAGGGGTGGGGAAAAGGGGTCGGTGTCTTGGGGTATAAAAGCTTCGAAGCGTGAATTGGAGGGCTATTACTATTGCTACTGCGGGATAGCATAAGGTTGGATGGCACCCCTGGCCATCTAGCCTTGAGAATCGCAACATGTTAAAAGCGGGAAGGTGTGGATTAGGGGTGCGGAAAAGGGTTAGGTATCTTAGGGTGTGAAATCTTCGAAGCATGAGTTGAAGGGCTTTTGCTGTTGCTGCTGCAGGGCGTAATAGGGCTGGATGGTGCCCCTGGCCTATCTAGTCTTGAGAATCACGAGATGTCAAGAGCGGGAGGCTGTGCATTGGGGGTGTAAAAAAAAGGTAGCTGCTCTAGGGTCCAAATGCATCGAGGTGTGAAATGGAAGGCTATCGTTATTGCTGCTGCGGGGTGTAGCAAGGCTGGATGGCGCCCCTGGCCTATTCGTTATTGGACAAAACAAGATGTTAAGAGCGAGAGGCTGTAAATTAGAGGCGTGGTGAAGAAATGTGGAACTCGGCGCATACGTCTTTGAAATCACGAGGTGTAAAGGATTTGAGGCTGAGAACCGGGGCTGCGGAGAAGGGAACGAGTTTTCAGTATCTCAACGTTCGACCTTTTGAATTACAATAGAGAAGCTGTACGTTTTGACCGTACTGGAAGTACTTAATGGTGCCCCTGAACTATTCATCTTTGGAATCACGAGATATCGAGGATGGGAGCTCGTAGACTGGAGGCATAGAAAAGGGGTCGAGATCTAGAGTTTGAGAACTTGATGTCTTGGACTTGATTGGAATGTTTTTTTGGGTAGCTCGCCATCGCCTACGAGGCCCTTCTGGAAGGAGATCGACCGGAGGAAGACTGGCATAGTTACAGCCAACTGCATTGCCTCAGCACTCATCCTGGGCGGTCTCTCATACCAGAAAGCAGAGACCAATGCCACTATGGCCCAAATGTGGGCAATAAGAGCGCCTCATCCTCCCGCCGCCTTCACCCATCCTCACCGCTCCCGAGGTCAGAGCAGCACCTACTGCAGATCTGACTAATGGCACCTATACCGGCATCTCCTCGAGCGATTTGATGATAGCGAAAGGGCCAGATGGTCCCCTCGGCCCATCCATCGTTGTAATTCGGCGATGTAAAGGATGCAAGGCTGTAGATCGAGCTGGGAGATCTCGGTTGGTGTTGTGAAAGTCGAAAGCTTGGGAGTGTGAATTTAACGGGAAGTCCAGTGCCTATTGACAACATTCGAAGTAGTCTATGGGGCCCCTAGCCTATCGATTCTTCAGAAAACGAGATGTAAAGAACAAAAGGCAGAAAATCGGGGTGCAGAAAAGGGATGCTGTTGGTCGAGATGCGCAAAGGATCGATGGAAGCGGTGCAAATCAGGGTGTATGGAGTTGTACTATTAGCGAACTTGAATTGAGCCGGAAGAACGTGTGCTTTGACAACACTGATAGTGCTGGGTGGTGCCCCTGGCCTATTTGTCTTTGAAACTTCAAGATGTAGGAAATTCGAGATCAGGAACTGGGAGCATGGACAAGTGGAGACAAATGGAATGGTAGGGTGGATTCGGCGAGGCGTCGAGGTGCGCAATCGAATAACGGCCATATTTACGATTTAAGGCTTGTAAGAGTATGAAATTGAAAGGGCTGAATCGAGGCCGAAAAACGTGTGTTTTGACAATAGTTGGGCGACCGGATGGCACCCCTGGCCTATACACTTTCCTAGCGTTTGAAATCTCTGGACCAATCTATGCCGGAAGATAACCTCATTACTCTCTTCTGAAATCCTAAAGACATCCACTGATTCCCCTAAAGTCGTCTAAGAAGTGACGTCACATCAACACCAGCACTACTTCCACACCATTGCGTATTTCAAAGAACCTAGCACATAAATCCAAGAGATCATTCTAGCACCAGCCAACCTCATCGGCTTTCAAATCTCGTCTCTGTGGTGTTACCGCGCAGTTTTTCCGCAGAGCGATTAAGATACGCTAGACTCGATCGGGAAACAAGAGTAAGCAGAAGCGACACGCAAGTAGTCGCTTACACCGGGATCGACACAGGGATATTAACTACAGGGCTGCAAGCGAGCGATCAAAGAGGAAACAAGGTTGATTATAAATTTCTGAGGTGCAAGACAAATGACTTTGGAGCCTGGAGGTGTTGGTGTATATAAGGTACTAGGAAGTTAGGAGTGACAGGACATCCAGAGCTTCAATTTCCACTGCACTGTCCTAGCAAGAAAGCCCGATTCAAACAATCACATTCAACCAATTGACCATCCAAACGTCAACTCCAACAACATATTCATTCAATTCAGAATGGCATCATACGTAATCGCAGGAGCCTCTCGAGGCCTTGGGGTACCCCCCCCTCCCCCAAGTACCCACATCAACACATCTAACACATCTCCAGTACCAATACCTCCAAACCCTCAACTCCAACCCCTCCAACACCGTCATCGGCCTCGCCCGCAACCCCTCCGCCGTGCAATCCCAACTCGCTGCCGACGGCATCCCAAACGTCCACGTCCTCGCCGGCGACCTGACCTCCCCGGCCTCGCTCTCCGCCGCCGCCGCCGAAGTCTCCAAGCTCACGAACAGCAAAGTCGACTATCTCATCGTCAACGGTGCGTACGTGTCCGACAAGACCAGCGGCCTCACGCCCACGGGCTTCGTCGGCAACGAAGAGCTGCTGAAGGCCGACTTCGAGACGTCCATCAACACGAACGTGGTCGGCGTGATTTACACCATCAACGCGTTTCTCGGCCTCGTGAAGGCGAGCGCGATCAAGAAAGTGGTTGTCATCTCGACCGGGATGACCGAGCCCGATCTGATCAAGGAAGCGGAGGTTGCGGCGAGCGTGACGTATTCCGCGAGCAAAGCTGCGACGAACGTGGTCGTGTATAAGTATGCTGTTGAGTTGAAGAGCGAAGGGGTGATTGTTCTAGCGCTGAGTCCGGGGCTTGTAAGGACGGGGCTGTCGGAGGAGATGTATGAATATTTGGCGGAGGTGTTCCGGAAGTATGAGCCTGGGTTTAAGGGGGCGATTTCGACGAAGGAGAGTGTGGAGGCGCAGTTGAAGGTTATTGGGGCAGTGACGATTGAGCAGAGTGGAGAGTTTTTGTCGCATTTGGGGACGAAGAGGTGGTTGTGAGGTTGGGTGGAATGCGAAGGGGAAGTGATTGGTGAACGGGGCTAGTTGAGGTGGGAGAGTGGAGAGTGTATTTGAGATATACATGAGTTTAAAAGAGCAGATTTACTTTTCAATCGTCGTGACCAGTATCAGGCAATGAATTGCCAGTGGTTCAACAATCCAGAGCTTCTGAAGGTGGAGGTCAGGTTCCTCTGGGAGTTGACTGATTGAGATTTGCCTGCGCAAGCCATACCGCCTCCATCGCTTCCCCCATACACTTCCTGATATCTGTCGGGCCATTAGAGCTCATCGTAAAGCAGCACTCAGCCAGTTTCCTCCAAATCTGCATTACTACATTGCCCTTCCAGCAATATAACCTGCAGTTCGTCCAACACTCCTCGTTCTCACACCACACTTCAAAAAGAAACTCGCTTTGCCAAGATTTGACCGCGCACGCACACTCCGCATCCACCCATTCCTCACAAGGTCTCATATGTGCACAGAATATCGCCAGTCGACCGAGTGCCGTCAACGCGATGCGGAGCTTGTGTTTTGTGAGCTGCTCGAACTGGCCAAGCTTCAGTACGCATATATGTTGGAACATGACCCATTTGCGTATCTGGGGCGGGTGAAACCAGTCCGAATCCCCCTCGGTTCGAAACAAGGGGACCGCGGAGCTAAAGACATCTTGGCGATGGGATGCGTGCCGGCATTTAATCGGCGGATAGGCTTTTGCAGCTATCGCTATCTCGCCATGTGAGGCGGTAAGGTGCTCGCACAGTCGGACGCGCGTGCTGGGTTCGGCGCCTCTGCAGAGACGGATCTCAGGTGGTTTAGAAAGCTCGGAAGACGAGAATGCGATGTAAAGGTGTTCTAGTCTGCAGTACGAGCAGAAGCGGTTGGCTGAGACCCATGTGCCCTCTGGTTCTTTGGTGAGCCATCGACTTTCTCTTTCGTGTCTGCAGTCAGCGATAGAAGCGTGCTCTTTGGCTTCTAGTCTCGCGGTTACTCTGTCGGAAAAGAGAAATTCCTTGAAGGTATTTTTGTCTTTTCCGTTGCCCACTTTAGTTGAGTGTGGTATTGTATGCCAGAATTTGGAGCACGCTAGGTGAAAAAACTGTGCTTCGTGCGGCGGTAAGTAGTCTATCACCATGAAGAGAAGTTCGGTTGGTAGGTTGTATAGCTGGCTATCCGTCATGTTCTTTATTCCTTCTGGCTTTCCGCGAGGCTGGTAAAGGCAGTCGGGGAAATTTGCGGGTGGTCCTTCGGGGCGAAGTCGCGGAGGGATCGTTGTGTATGTGGTCGCTTATTGCTGATGATAGTTGAGAGGGTTGTTGGAGCTGGTGTTGAAGAGAGATGAAGTTTGAAGGTGGTGAGTGTGCGTGACTCTATATAAGTATCTTCAACCATGGTTCCGAGTAAAGCTCTTGTCCCATGGTTTATCATTTTCGTCACCAGCTGTAACACAACACCAAGGTACGACATCTCGTCATAGCCCGTGTACAATTTGCTGCCACTGCTTGTGGTGCCTAGTGATAGTTTTAGATCTCGAAATGCGATAGACATTCAGCAATTTGGATAGCCCGTAAACACACGAGGTCACTTCAGACAGCGGTGAAAGAAACTACATAGATTAGAAGTGTGATCTGCCCTCCTACACACCTATCAGCACATCAAAGCCCTACAATTGGTGGCAGGGAACTGTACCGACATCACCAACGAGAGACTGCTCCATTAGAAAACCGATTCAACGAAGCGCACCTCCCACCTGTGTACACTCCTCCGCCGCTGCCTAAGGTACCATGAACAGTTGCGTGGTTGCTCGGAACATCCACTGATTGGTTTGTGGAAACACATCGAGGCACTTCAAGCAGTGTCAGGCAAGTATACTTAGATCCACGACGAGGCGTCTGAAGACTGAATTTCCCATGATCTACTCTCAACCCGTCTGATCCTCAAGCCTCTTGCCAAACCTAATCGGGCCTAAGCATACTTTCGCATGATCACTCCGATGCAGCCTCCGACAGGTCTCCGAGCAGTACTTCGTTATCAAGCACTTTCTGCACTTCATAAACGGGCCCTTGCTATCTCTACACCATCCACACTTGATAGGTGCCCATAGCTCCGAAGGACTCGGGACCTTGCCTCTCCTACAATACAAGTACTCGAGCCACCAATCTAGCAAGGCGGCGTAGGGCATCGTGGAAGTGAGAGTGTTGCCAATCAGGTCCTCGTATCGTTCTGGTAGGCTGGCTGGAGCAGACGCCCCGGCCGCATGAAAGATGTCGGCGTGGATGTCCCACGAGTACCCCTGGCATGTAATTCTCATGTCGCTTGAAGTGCCATTTTCAAGAAGACTGAGCATCTCCCTGGAGGTATATCTACGAAGTATAAGCATGATGACAAGTAAACGGATTCCATAGGCTTACTCGTCGTAATTACTAGGAAGGATGATTGTAATGTTGGTCTCATCGTCGAATCTGAGGGTTCTCTGCATACCAGGGATGTGGATTCTGGGTATGCGATGGACGCGTTGTCCGGAATTTTGGTGTATCTGTGTGTAATTCCGTCTACGCCTGGGTGGCGTTAATAACACCGCATAAGGGGAGGGGTTCGGTTTGCATAGCCTTACATGTAGCGCCTGTGAAAGTCTAGAAAGTTTTCAAATACCATCGTAACGATGTGCGTCCAATAACAGCAGTCGATATGAATGCCTGTGCTGAAGCTGATCAGAGTAGCGATAGTGGATGTGGATATCGTTGAAGCGAAGCAAAGCGAGGGCGTACTCGTTGTATGACTGCAGAGTTGTTGGATAGTGGAACGGATGGATGGTAGAGTGGAAAGGTTCAGGATGGGTCACGCAGGATAAGTTTGTATACAATATCTCTGCCTGTGCTCCTTCCCTGCACGTAGGGAAAGTCCATCGTCACGAACAATCAATAAGCCCCACAGGCCACCTCAGGCAGCGGCTATGCGAACCATCGCTCTAGACTTTCGTCGATGAGTCGAAGGGCCTCGAGGAGTGGCAGAAGCGTGTACACGCATTGATGACGAAGCACCGAAAATAGTACTGCGAGTGTCTCCGAGCCTATGTGGGCCGGATGTCATGATAGTAAGAGTGCGAACTGAATGAAGCCGATGAGTGTGCAGCGTAAAGTCACACTCACCTATAGGAAAGTCAGATGCTACAATGCCTTGTCATAGAAATCCATACACTCATTTACTGCTGCATGAGGAGCTTCATAGTATCTTCAGCATTCCAAATGAGAAAGAAACTCGGCGCTTTAGACAGCGTCAACAAGGTGTACGTAGATTGGAATATTCTCCCTGCTGCCCCCGGTTTCTATAGACAGTGGCAGCAAAGTGTACGGAGATCTATGGCAAGGTACTGTACAGATGTAAGCTGAACGCAATTCTAGCGCCCATCACTTCCACGGCAGCGTTTTGAAGATGCCTCAGTGGGCATCGTCTTCATTCACTACAAAAGCACTAGGTGAATCCAATCATACCTCATGACAGCCATCCAACGCCCTTCCCATACCGTGATTGCTCAACGAACCTCCTGTACCCAAACACCTCAAACCATACGGTACTCAAACATCCCTCATTTCGAAAAAGCATAGCTGTACATCCAAAAGTGCGAACGACGTTCCAAATACTCCTTCCTGTGCGTGTCAAGATTAGCTTCACGCGCCCACCCCCAAGGCACCCCTCCTAGGGCCCACGAAGCCTCTCCGTTGCCTGCCAGTCCTACCCCTACCTAGCCAGTTATACTTGAGCTCTTTTGTGAGGCGTTCCATTTTAGCTTGAGATTCATCTCCACTCTGTACGCTGGCTAGCACGCTGACGCATTGTAGCATCCTGCCAACAATCTCCGTCACCTTTGCGGAATCCATGGGCGGTGGTGGCGGCGGCAATGGCTGTGGCGCAGGAGAATGCGTTGACTGCGCCGAGAAGGAACCTGCTGAAGTATTCGAAGTCGCTCGTGAACGAGAAGAGGGGAACGAGGTCGAGGATGCGGTGGATTCAAGTAGCCCAGAAGAGTTGTATGAACTCATGGGACCGATGGCTCCATCGGAACCAGAAGTAGCTGTCCCAGGACGAAAGTCTGGGATAGGATTGGGGTTTTCGAGTCCTGCGTTTAGATTCTCCAGAGACAGTCGCGAGAATATGGCCATAAGAGTATCGTTGCGAGGAAGGACTACCGTGTCGCGGAAAGTGAGGAGAATTATTCTTCGCACATCCAAGCCTTCTCCTAATGTAGGGATATTCTTATTGGCCGACGACATGTCACTATCTGGCATGGCCGCGCCCCAGAAATCTGCTGCCGCCGGGGCAGTCATGAGTGGGCCTCGACCTTTGAACTCCAGGTCCAGCGGGAGTAGAACGGCTTGAAGGAATGGTAATATAGTAGTGAAAACAACGAGCCACATCTCAACTAGGTGTGGAATGAGGCGGTCATCGGGAATATGCCGAAGTGTTTGGTCTAACGATGAAAAACCAGTCTCGAGTAGCTCGCCAAGGTCTTCTATAAGAACTGTTGGTGTGCGCTTTTGAATACATCTCCTGATGTGCACGGATACTAGAGCATTGAAGTCTTCAATAGGCGGTCGCGGGTCTTCTCCTTCGAATATAAGTAACAGTCGGGCTTTAAGCAGCGGCCAAGCATCGTCCGGTGACATTCCTGGGATACCAAATGCGGCTCCCAAAGAACTCAAATCGCTCATATATCCAAGGGCTGTTCCAGGAGAGGGCCCTCCAATCGATAAAGCGTTACCAGGAGAACTGCTTATAGGCCATTCAGAGCGCTCTGTGCTGAAGGACTGATTTCTCTCCCTGTATGGAGCTTCTAGCTCGTTCAAGTATGGCGCCAAGGAAGCTACCTTCTCTTCCTTCTTCTTTTGCCTGAGTGCTCTTCCGCCATGTCTCAGATCAAGGCCGCTTGCGAAGGAGCTTGAGTGCCCTGGTGACGCAGGAGCTGCGAATGAATACAATGGCTGAGGTGCGTTTGGATCCGTCGGCTTCGAATTACTTGAGGCTGACGATAACGGTAGATGGTGGTCGTCTTTATCCTTCAATTTGTTCTTCTGTCGTGACAGAAAGTGGTGCTTATGTTTCTCCTTTTCCTTCTCTTTCTCCGGTTGGAATGTGGTTGATCTCTCCAGTGGGACCAAAGTAGATGTAGAGGCGTTTGCGGAAGAGTAGATTGAGCTTGCGCCGGACATGTTCGAGTCGACAAGGCTGGTGGTGGATTGATTCATCATCAGTCGATTCAGCGCAGTCGTGCTGTGCATGCCCAATTTGTTCGGCGAGGGAAGCGCAGGATGCTTCTTGTCGAGGTCTTTATCCTTGACGATGCCGATGCTCTTCGGTTTGGAGAACAGCTTCATCTTGGACTTCGATTTGTCCGGCTTCTGCATGTACATCTGCAGGTCTTGCGCTGCTGGCCTCGGCGAACCATGCTCTGGAGGCAGCCCCGGAGAGTGCACAGGGCTTCGAGGAAACGCAACGTTCGCAGCGGTCGTAGCGGCCAACCTATGCCCCCCTACGAGGCCGTTCTGATATGTCACGCCGTTGGTCGCAAACGTCATCTTCGGGACTGGAGGCGGGGAAGCGGGCTGGCGTTTTCCCGTCGGCTGGCCATTTCCTCCCGGGTCTGGTATTGTGGTGGAGCGCTTGCGCATGTGCTGGGGGTTCTGGACATGCATGGCTGCTTGGGCCGCGATCTGGGAGGCCGTGAGGTGGTTTGTGTTGGACATGGTGGGCGTCGAGGAGAGGGTCGGCTCGAAGTAGCCCTGCGATCGCTGGCGGGGCCGATGGCCAAAATGTGCGGGAATGGGCGTCTTTTGTTCCACGACGGATGTGTTGCTGTGGTTGCGCAGAGGGAGGTCTCGCGCGGGGAGGTCCCGCGACGGCCGCGAGAAGTTCTGGCCTGAGGTGTCGAGCAGCGAAGGCGGCACGGGCGACCTGGAGTCGATCCGTGGAGGCAACGGCGACAGACGCTGCGTGGCCTGCGAGTCCTCCGAGTCGTCGTCGTCGCTGCTGGGCGTGATGCTAGCCACCGGGCGCGGAGGTGAGGGCGGCATGGTCGCAGATGGGCGTACAAGGTCCAGGGCGCTATGATGCAGGCATCCGCTGCTATACGTGCATAGTAGTAAGAGGGCAGCTAGGAATGGAGAGCGAGCTCATGGCCAGCATGAAGGCAGCAGGTATGTATGTCCGTGGAGGGTTTGAGGTTGAAGCCAGCATTGACCTGGAGGGTGATCGTTCCTGCCAAGGGCTAATTTTAGCTGGTGATCTCTCCGCAATCTTCACCGTCGACTTTCTCTCCCCGCCATCACATATTCACCACTTCTCGCCTCACATCACACCTTGGGAGGAAAAGTAGCTCACTCCGGAACGATGTCTCTGCAACTTAACGCCGTTTATGCCGCCCCCGCCCACGAGACGCGCACATTCTCGTCCCCGCTTCCAACACTCCCGCAGTCGCCCACCACATCAGACCGCACCGCCTTCCTCGAAGCACTACGGACATCTGTAGTCGGCCTACAGCTCGATATCAACGAGTTCCTGACCAAGAAGATGGACGAGGACAATAAGGCTAGCGGTAAACTTGCAGCCGAAGAGGCCAAAGAGGAGGAAAACTACGGCGAGGAGGTTGTGGAGGAAGATTGATACATTGAATTCACTCCGCAAGCTTCTATACTATGAAGATATACCCAAGGCCCTCCGCGCGCCCAAGACCTGTCTATCGATTCCACGCCGAAAAAATTTCGTCTGGTCGCCGAGCAATGACGATTCCACTCATAAGCGCTCTTGTTCGCGTACCGACACATTGGATCTGTATGGATGCCCTTGAATACTATGACGAGGTCGAGTAACCTAATCGGAGGCCGCGGGATCGTCAGTAGCAGAGGAAAGAAGAAGCCATCATGAAGCGCAAAATTCTGAGGCGAAGGGGGATCACGAACGTAAGGAGGGTGAAAAGGCAAGGACGATTAGCGCAAAGTCATGGAGGATTGTACTTGCAGGCGTAACAGATAGCGTTGTCTGAGGGGACCCAGCAAGTTCTCAGACTCTTCGAAATGCCAAGTTCTCATCTCACTCAAACTCTCGAACAGACCTTGAAGCACCACAAGTCATCTCAAAATCATGTACACATGCCGCTACTTCGAGGACTACCACTGGAAGCCTTCGGCTCCAGGGCCACTTCACTGATAGTGACATGTTGTGTGCCAGAGTCGAGCCCGTGGACAATGACATATCCAGATCACAGATAACCAAGACGCCAGCTGTCTACACTACCACACATCACGATGAGATAGCCCTATCCCCGGGACAACAACTACATAAATACTAAACACCTTCTCCTCGAGAACTATCACCCACCCAAACTTACAAACGCCTGCACCGTCCCTTGAAGAGAGTCTAAAGCCAAACACCCGAACCTCATCACCACAAACTCTAACTAACTACTCACAACACTGCCAGACCTAACAAGATGTGCGTCGAAATAACAACCTACTTCAAGACTTGCCGCCACGACTTTCGCCAAATCGTAGCATGCAACCACCACCCCATGGACGTCACTCGATGTCCGCAGTACCGGCCCCAACGGGGCCACTGGCGCTACGGGAAATGCCCGAACTGCCTCCCTGGAGACGGCCGGGGCGCGGCGACGTTCCAGCGGCCAGGGCAGAGGGACGTGGAGGATTTGTATCGGAGGATGGGAGTTTAACATGGAGCGTACCAGGGACGCAGGTACCCCAACTACTCCTGAGTGTGAGGGACGTATAGGCTCTCCGAAAGGATAGCTACAGTAGATAGGGCGTCCACTCTGTATCTAATTAATAACTATTCCCGACTGCTGGCCAACACGCAAGCCAAGACAAGGACTCGTTAAGCATTCTCACGATAGCAACATGCGAAAGCAAGACAGCACGCAAACCCAGTCTGGTATTGGCAAGGGGGGATCCATTTACGCTTCTTCCCAAGCGTCGCCGGCCAGGCCGACAGAGTCTCAACGACTGCAAAATAACCTAGGCTACAAACGCCGCCGCCGCGGGCTGCCCGACCCATCCATCCCTCCAACCTGTCCCTCCTCCATATCACCCACATATCCAAGAACCCCTGCAGTCCTTTAGCTCCTTCATCCTCCTCCAACAACGGCCTCTCACCAACGGAGCTCAGCCAAGCCAGCCGCAATTTTCCCTATCGCAATACAAAACGCAGCGCAGCAACAAAAGAGAAGGGGAGGAAAAGGGGGTAGTGAAAAGCAGACACTAATATCAACAAATTGGGGATGCGAGCGACGGAGCGGTCCATTCGGAGTATTAAGGAGTAAGTAAGTAGTAAAAAAAAGTCAAAGACCGCGGTGGCTCAAAAACACAAGCTCAACACACGCACAACCCAACAGCAGGCCCCAAATATACGACGAAAAGGGAAACAACAGATACGCGCCGAAGGACCGGGAAAAACCAAAGATGCAAGAGCGCAAAACCAGATGATATCAAAAAACCTAGATGCAAGAGAGGGAAGACAGGAGACGACTAAAGTGGGTAAGTGGAGCAAATACAGACAGTGAAGCGGAGAAGAGGAAGTGTGAGATTTTGAGGTCTGGGACTGGTCTACTGCGCCCCGATCTCTTCTTCAGCCCAGCCGGGGAGTCCACCGTCGCCCTGGATCGCGAGGCCGTAGCCGCCGTTACCGCTGCCGAATCCACCGATTCCGGAACTCAGGCTACCAAACGCGTTTTGCTGTTGTTGTTGTTGTTGCTGTTGCTGAGGGCCTTGAGATTGCTGCAGAGGCTGTGCGAATGGCCCTTGAGAAAACACGGGTAAACTCACGGCGCGTGCGTGTTGAGCGCGGGCGTTGAGGTTTGAAGGCGCAAGGAGACCTCCCACAGTGGTCGAGCCGTTGCCATTCGATGAACCACCATTCACAAGGCTGAAGCTGGAGGTGCTATTGTGGGCGGTGTGTGATTGATGTTGTGGAGGACCAGAATTCATGTCAGCTCCGTAGAATGCAGCTTGTTGAGAGGCGAAGGCCTGCTGCTGTTGCTGCTGTTGCTGTTGGAGATTGACTTGCTCTTGTTGCACTTGCTGCTGCTGATTCTGTTGCGCTTGTTGAAGATACATCATCAAGGGGTTGTTGCCACCAGCGTTCAGAATATTCGCAGGCGCTTGGCCTTGCATTCCCTGGTATTGGCCGTTCGAGCTCGCACCAGCCGATCCTGGGGCTCCAGAGCCAGTCGGTGAGACGGAAGGTCCAGCTTGGCTACGAGTAGGCTGGAGTCCGTTGATTGGGGATGGTGATTGCATACCATCATGGCTTCCAGCAGGCTGGTTCTGTTGGTTTTGGTTGGCATTTATCTGGCGTGGCGGGTTGCCACATCGATCTTTGCCGAAGTTAACCTTGAACCTCTTATACTCCTCGCGTCCACGAACAGCCTCGATCGCCTTGATCGCGTTGGCGATGTTCGTGAAGTTGACGAATGCACAGCTCTTCTCGCGAAGGGCGTTCACAAGCTCAATTTCGCCATACTCAGAGAAGTCCTGCCTCAAGCGCTCCTCACTCCACGACTCGTCCAGGTTGCCGATGTACACGTTTCGGGAAGCGCCACCACTGACGGCCAGGGCAATTGCAGGAGGCAGCGCACCAGAATGTTTGCCCCATCCAATCTTCAGGCGCCGATTGTGGATCATCAAGCCTTGAAGGTTGCTCAGGGCGTAGAATGAAGCTGCTGATGTCGGGTCGATGAATGTAACGAAGCAGATATGCTTATCTGGGATATAGCGGATGTGATGCAAAAGCCCACCACGGACTACGTTGCAGATTTCCTCAATCGTCGTCTCGGGGTGGATATTTCCGAGATACACGGTCCGATTACCCAAGTTGTTAACTCCACCAGCAGAGGTTGCAACAGCAGCCGCTGCCACAGACTGTTGTGCAAGAGCGTTCGAGATCAGGTCCCGATCGGCACCGTTCAACACGTGCGCATATCCTGGGGCAATTCCGAGGTATTGCGCAGCGTTCTGCTGCTGAGTCTTCGAAACATACGCGCACCTATCCTTGCCGTAGTAGACACGTCGCGGGGCTTGCCACTTTGGCTCTTGTGGGAGTTGCGCAACAGCCTTAATAGCATTGCCGATTGACAGGAAATGGACAAATCCAATAGCCTTTTCCCGTACAATTTTGACGGTATCGATAGGTCCAAATTTACCAAGATCCTCACGGAGCTCATCCTCGCTTACGTCCTCTGGAAGATTTCCAAGGTAGACATTGCGCGAGGCGCCAGACTGCTGCACGGCTAGGGCAACAGATGTAGGCACTTGAGAGGGCTTACCCCAACCAATCTTGATATCCTGAGCTCTGATGGACAACTTTTTCAAGATTGCATCAGAGTGGAAGTGCGTTGCAGAGCTGCTGTCCAAGAAGGATATGAATGCACAGTTCTTGTCCGGGAGCAACCTCACGGACTCAATCTGACCACTCCGAACATGACCAAGTATTTCCTCCGCAGATGTCTCGGGGGGAATGTTGCCAAGATAAACAGTGCGACTGGTCCCAGAAACCAATCCAGGGGCCATGTGCATCTGTCCTCCAAATCCCATCTGTTGACCGCCCATGCCAAAGCCAGTTGTCGGTGATTGCGGTCCTCCGAAGAATTGCGGGGCGTTCATTCCAGTCGGTGATACTAGGTTCTGATAGAGTTGGGGTGAAAGAGGCTGATGCATCTGCATGGGACTACCCATTTGATTCTGCTGGTTTTGTTGTTGCTGCGAGTTCTGGTTCTGGCCGGTAAAATTCGAGAACCCTTGGAACTGTGGTGAAGCGAAGGCAGACGGAGAACCGGGCTGAAATGGGCTGCCCAAAAGAAGCTGTGATGGAAGTAGTGGGGTGAAGTTCATATCGAATGCGGTCCCAGGCGTTTGCATGTCGTTGCCATTTTGGTTGTTTTGTCCTAATCGTCCCGTGTTGATGCTGGGGATGTTTGATCGCTCAGGGTGTCGGTCCGAGTAGCCTCCTAGGGATGGCTGGTTGGTGTGGAATGCACCGTGGGAGAAGCCCGTATGGCTGCCGTTCACGGAGTGCTTGGAGAAGCCGGTCTGTAGGCGGGGGCCGCTGGGTCCGGTCGGGGTCGAGTCTTGATGCTGCATGCCGAGTAGATGAGGGGGCAGGACAAAGCTGTCCCGCGCGCTTTGAGAAAGGACAGCCGTGGTGATGAATTATCGGGTCCGGTCGTACACGTACCGGACACTGCAGACTATGAAGGGATGGGTGAATGTAAATGCAGTAGAAACGAAGACGATGGTGCCGAATTAAAGAGTAGGTCAACCTAAAGGCGTGCTTAGTAGCTGCATCCAGGTGGGGGCCGTGGTTGTAGGGGGACACGTACAGTCAAAGCCAATTCGTTCTACAAGCTAGATAGCAGTCGCAGCGATGCCCATATGACGCAGATTGGCGTGTCGAAGTTCGAGTTCCTCGCGATAGCTGCAAAAGATCGTGACTGTCCCGTGTGGGGCGGGAGCTGAGTCAGACAGAGGGGCAAGTGGTGAATGCTGGATTAAACAACGGACAGATAGCGGTCCTAGGTGAAAGGTGAAGGGCGAAGATTATTGGGAAGGATGCTGGTAAGCTGAAGGTCAAGGTCCCGGCTAGGGTGGTGTTGAAGTCGCAAGAGGGCAGATAAAGAGCGAGAAGAACAATAGGTAAGGAATGAAGCAAAAGAGCGGCCTTTGTCACGACGCCGGCTTAAGAGAAGTCAAGGAGCGAAGCGTGAAGGCGTGCAGGACAGCAGGAGAGGTGGACGAGCGCGAACAGGAGAGGTTCTCAACTCCGTAAAATTGGGGGCCCTAAACGGGCTAGCGGGCTGCCCGAAGTGTCTGGACGACGCATTGCTCACCGGGCGACACCTTATTCTCATCACCAATGCGGACTCTAGGCGCCACCGTCGCAGCCCTGGAGGCCGCTAACGGCGCTGCAGCTGCGCGACGGGCAGCAGGCAGGGAGTCTGCAGCCAGGGCAGCATGCAGGGCTGCCGTGAGGCTTCGATGTCGTCTCGACTGTTGCAACGTCGACGCCTGCCACGCTGCCAGCTGTAAACAGCCCGGGTGCCTGACTAGTCCTGTCTGTCCTTCGTTCTCCCGCACGGCCAGGGGCGCCGCCTGTGCGCGCGAGTCCTCATACGCCAAAAGCAAAGTGCAGAGCAGGCGCCGAGACGAGGGCAGTGTCTCGGGTCGGTCAGCGCAGACAGAGTCGCAGACCAGCAGAGCATTACAAAAACGGCCGAAGGAATCTTGAGCAAGGGCTTCCATTTGAGGCTGGCATGTCGCATTTCACCCAATTGCGGGACGGAACTGGCTTCATGTATACTGCGAGAACTTCACTGATTCCAGGCGTGTTTATGTCTCCAGCACGTTCCTGATTTCGATATTCGGAGAATTGCTGCTCCTGATTCTCGGGTCTGAACGAGAAGAGTCTCGGAATGTGCCATAGGCTGCCAGAAATAGAGACATGCCAATCGAAGGTTGAACCGCGGCTAATTGTGGCGCTGTGGTGTGGCGCGGTTATGTAAGCGGCCTCGACATCAATCCCTCCCATTTTTTGGTGCAAACAGAGCCCCGTCAGCCACCACCCTTCCGGCCGCCCATGGCAGACCTCTACCCTTCGATGGCACAGTGTGCCGTCGTCGCCACTGCCCTTAAAATCCTCCTATTTCCAGCCTAGTATGTGCCAGAAAGAATTTCTTTGCCGCGACTGGACCATCTTTGCTCACTACTATTGCCAGCAAATCCACAGATTTCGAGGTTCACCGGAATTGGCTGGCCATAACTAATTCCCTACCCCCTCAAGAATGGTACTACGAGGTAAACACGTCTTTCAAGTTGTTTCTTGCGTTTCCAATCTAAATAAACGCAGAAAACATCCGAGTGGACGCTGGACTATCCACCGTTCTTCGCCTATTTCGAGTGGATATTGTCTCAAGGCGCACGCTTCGTCGAGCCCCATCTCCTCATCGTCAAGAACCTCAACTATGACAGCTGGCAGACCGTGTACTTTCAAAGAGCAACAGTCATACTCACTGAACTAGTGCTGGTCTATGCGTTGCACTTGTAGATCTGCTCCCTCCTGTCAGCGCCTCCTATTCTAACCGTCGCTCCTAGATATGTCAAAGGCTCACACTCAAAGAAGACCGCGCACGCGGCAGCGATTTCGATTCTGTTATCTCCTGGATTGCTGATTATTGACCACATTCACTTTCAATACAACGGCTTTCTCTATGGTATCCTTGTCCTATCTCTTGTGCTTGCCCGAGACCGGTCGACCCTCCTACCGAGCGGTCTGCTCTTCGCTTCGTTGCTTTGCCTGAAGCATATCTATCTCTACTTGGCTCCCGCGTACTTCGTCTACCTTCTTCGGGCCTATTGCCTAAACCCAGAATCGATCTTTCGCGTCAGGTTCGGCAACGCACTGACGCTTGGTGTCGGCATCTCTGCCGTCTTTGCCACCGCTTTTGGGCCGTTCGTGTACTGGGGACAGACCGCACAAGTCTTGAGCAGACTCTTTCCCTTCTCGCGAGGCCTATGCCACGCTTACTGGGCTCCCAATGTATGGGCCATGTACTCCTTCACAGACAGAGTTCTAATCTACGGTACTTCCAGTCTTTTGCATTTGTTTACCACTGCTAACATACTCCAGTGGCGCCATATGTGGGATTAACCGTCGATAGCTCCGCAGTCAATAGCGTAACACGAGGGCTCGTAGGAGATACGTCTTTCGCGGTGCTTCCGGACGTGCCGCCCCGCGCGACCTTCCTCCTAACTTTGTTCTTCCAAGTTGTGAGTGCAGTTGGCCCTTGGCCCATCTCTGACCCTAACGTCGGCTAGATATTCCTGATCAAGTTGTTCTTAAAACCGACTTGGGACACATTTGTTGGCGCTGTCACGCTTTGCGGCTACGCGTCCTTCCTGTTCGGATGGCACGTACACGAGAAAGCGATTTTGCTTGTCATCATACCTTTCAGCCTTCTCGCGCTAAAAGACCGTCGGTATCTTGGCGCATTCCGTCCGCTTGCCGTGGCCGGACATGTGTCCCTGTTCCCCCTGATTTTCACAGTTGCGGAATTTCCAGTCAAGACAGTGTATACTATCTTCTGGCTTGTGCTCTTCCTGCTAAGTTTTGACCGCCTAGCCCCTGCGTAAGTACTGTCAACTCGCATGGCCACCTGGCTCAATTGCTGAACTTTCCAATAGCTCATCCCAGGCTCGTGTCTTCCTTCTCGACCGGTTCACCCTACTGTATGTAGCGGTGGCTATCCCTTTGATCGTGTATTGCTCGTTGGTACACCCAATAGTCTTTGGACAGAAGTATGAGTTCCTGCCTTTGATGTTCACAAGCTCTTACTCGGCTGTTGGGGTTGTTGGGAGCTGGGTAGGGTTTTCGGTCGTATATCTGTCATCCTAAATACATCCTGAAAGGAGGAACAATACAGTATAGCCTCACATCTCGGCTTCCTTCATCCACTATACGATGACTCATACTTCAAACCGTGATTCTTACTGCTTGGTTTTCTATGTCGCTCCGCGCGTGAGAATACGAATCTGTGGTTGAAGTCTCTACCTGAAATGGGTGAAATGCACAGATTTATATCGCTATATAGTGAAAGCATGCGTCTGGAAGCCGCAAGGAAGAAGAAGGTATCTGGACCATGTTCGTATTGATGCTGTTTGTGGCGAACAATCGCATAAAGACAAAGTGGGAACGTTTCGTAGAGCGCTGCTAGGGGTGGCCAAAGGCGTTGGCCTGTTACATGGCCTTCTACTCGTATGTAGATATAAATCATGAAAATTACTTCCTTATCTACTAGTGACTATGCCTGATAGAATGGGCTCGCCCCGAGCTGCAGAACGAGCACAAATACGCTGGTAAAGTGTGCTGTCGGGGTGAAGCGGCTCCGCAAGAAAAGGTTTGAAGTTCGATGGAGCTTGCCAAGCGATTTTGAAAGTGGACGGGTGATTGGCTAGTCACCCAGGGCATCCCTCCCCCGAATTGTCTACCTCACAATGGATACCTCTTCCTTTACACTCCTCCACCGTCCGCCGCGCCGTCGCTCACCACCACGCTTGCGCCAACCATACCATCTCCAAACCGTCCGCTAACACGAGTTGCATCACTAGAACGCGTCAAGGCGTCCTCAGAAGAGCCGCAACCCTGTGCGACGTCTTTTCGCAGACCCCCCCAAGGTCCGCCGAGAGTCTCGCCTGGGTCTGACCAGTCTCCAGCAAGCCCATTGCGCTTCACACCATCACATCCGACCCCGAACTCTGCTGGAAGCCCTTTCATCAAGCCTCAGACCCTCTCTCAGCTTGATACGCGACAGCCGATTCTCGGAGCTCAATCTGGTACCAAGAGGCACCACATGAATCCAATAGCCTGATAGCCATGGTATTTACGCGTCCTAGACTCCAGTATAATCAAATATCTAAACTGTATAGGTCTATTACAAGCGAAAGCCTGTTATACCGCTCCCCGAACCACCTTTCCTCGACGATCATACTGAAGTAAGGATATATTCGGCACGGGGACAAGTCTGTAAAGCTAACGAAGTGCTGTAGGTTTGGTGTATCGAGCAGACACAGGAGGTCTTTGTCGATTACGAGAAATATCTCGCGAGGTACGTAGAGTGAATGCTATATTCAAATTGGACGTCGCCGCTAACACCCAGTCACAGGCGCGATTTCTACAGCCAGGTACGCTCATCCAGAAAACCACACATGCGCCGTGCGTAATCGCGTCTTTCGACAGAGCTAACGCGCTTACAGAGGAAGTTCACGTGCAACGCGACTGGCCACTCTGGACTGACATTCTTCGAGGCTCTGGAAAGCGAGGTAATGATTGATTATACTAAAGAAGAAACCTATATTAAACAATTACAGATGGATACTGTCAAGGAAATCGACTCCTTCTTTCCGGAGGCGTTGCGCTCTCGGATGCTCCATTATGTCCAATTCCAGCGTACCTCTCGAATGGATGACCTAGGTACATCTCACCCTGAAGTCGCATTATTTATATCGTAACTGACCATTTCACTAGTCAACGTTGTCTTTGAAGTAAGAGCATCTCACCTCACTACACCCAATACGCTGCTAACCTCCAACAGCGATTCAGGGAAGATTACATGGTCGGGGACCGCGTCGTGGTGGAAGAGCATGGCAGTCGGTTGCATGGACAGATTAGAGACATAACGGACCCCAATCCGAGTAGCAAGTTCAATGACGGCACCTCGGACTCGAGCAAGCCAATACTTTACTACATCTCGTTAAACACCAGCAACGACGAGACCACCAAGCTCGGCTGCAAGGAGTTTTCCAGGGATCGCAACTACTACTCCAAGCTGCTCTTGAAGTCCTTCCTGAGAAACGCGGTTTCCCGAGAGAACTGGGCCGGCGCACCGTGGCTAGTCAAGGAAAAGCTTGCTACACAGTATGGCATCGACACCCAAGTCCCGGAGACGAAGACGCGTGACGCGGTGATGGCGGCGAAGAAGGCCGCTAACGCGGCAAACGCGAACGCGGCAGCCATGCCACCTCCACAACACCAAACACAGCCAGTTGAGCACGGAGGAACCTTCTTCAATTTCCTGGCCAGTCACAACCAGGCCCAGATGCAGAACCACCAACACTGGGGCGCAGATCCCAATCGGCCGGTGCTCAAGCCGCAGAAGCAGATGTCCATCGAGGGCTTCGCGCGACAGCAGCAGTTCCAGATGCCGCCACACTTGCCTGGCAGAGTCGCTCAGTTTCTGCCAATGCAAGGACAGAACGGCGTGCCGAATGGCGTGCCGAACAACTTTCATCACATCCAGCCTGGCAATGGTCTGCCCATCAACCTGCCGTTCCAGAACCAGTTCATGCAGTATCAAGTCCTTCGGCCAACCGCACCACCGACACATCATCCAGCGCCGCCGGCTCCGCCACCAATCAAGTACCCCATCGAAGACCTGGATGTTCGATCGCGCCCAGACGCGCCCCCGCGTCCTCAGCTCAAGTTCTTCACCGACGATGTTCCCGCAGGAGTCGATCCTCTTGAGAAGAAGACTGGCATACTGATGAAGTCCATCGGTCCTCTCCTGTGCACCTGGGAGACGTTGAATGTCCACGAAACTGTCTTCCACCTGGACTCGTTCACCTTCGACGACTTTGTTGAGGCCATGCAATACGTTCCAGACCCGGAAGATTGTGAGCTTTTCGTCGAAGTTCATTGCGCCGTCCTCTCTCAGCTTATCGATGAGAAGGGCAATGTGCTAGTAGCTCTTCCGAACATTGAAGGCTCCCAAGATGGATCTGGAGACGGGGAGGAGTCCAGCCTCTTGTCATCGCCCGAGCCCGAGGTAGAGGAAAAGCCCCCAGCGAGGACAACGCGCAGCAGCCTAGCAAAGTCTGAAGCGGCTGCTCTTGCCAAGCGCAGCCCAAGCGTCGCCGCCGAACCGAAGTTGGTGCACAAAGCAGCAGAATTCCTGAACGACTACGATTGGATCGACCGCTGTGCCTCTCGAGACTACGTCAACGGGGGCTGGGAGGCAATGATGGTAGGACTGATCTACAATGTGTCCTTCATCCCCCAACAGAAGGATGTGTGCGAGGAAATTCTCACTCAGCTTGTTCCGGTGGATGAAGAGCCCACCATCGAGAATGTAAAGCTTCATTACGACAATCTCGACGTCAACCTTCGAGCAGCAGCTCTAGAGATCGCATGCATGCTATCTGTTCGCACCGTCAATTTCAGGGCAGAACTCGCCAAGGCTGCGGAGGAGATGACAAAGATCCGGAAGCAGAAGATCGAGTACCAGAGAGAAAAGAAAGTTTTGTAAGTTCTCCTTGCCTAAGTTTCTCGCATCGACTAACAAATGCCAGGGTCGATGAACTGCAGAAACTCGATCAGGATCGGAAGATGAAGCTTCCCGCTAACATGATGGCATCCCCAGTACCGGAACTGAACGGCTCGCCTGATGTAACAATGACCGGAACAGAAGAGCCACAAGATGCTGCGGAGGCTGAAAGCAGCGCTGAAGAGGAACCAAAGCGAGGATCTCGCAAGACCCGACACACCAAATCCTTGAAGCGGAAGCGGGAAGAAGAGGAAGCAAAGAAGGAAAAGGCCAAGAAAGACAAGATCGAGGCCGCCAAGAACAAACAGTCAGCCGAATGGAGAGAGCTTTTGGAGAGCATCGAAGCCAAAAAGGAGGAGATCAAGCTGTGCGAAGATTCAATTGAAGAACAAGACAATGACCTCAGAGAAACTAGTGTCCAGCGCAGCAAGTGTCTCGGCAAGGATCGCTTCATGAATCGTTACTACTGGTTCGAGCGCAACGGAATGCCCTATGGCGGTCTTCCCCTGAGCTCGACGTCAAACTACGGATATGCCAATGGGCGCTTGTGGGTGCAAGGTCCTGACAAGACGGAAATGGACCCATTGACCTCGGAGCCGATGGTGTCCAAGGACAAAGAGATACTCGGCATCACTGTTCCGGAACGTAGAGTGAAGGAGGAAGGCGTCACCCGTCTTGAGGACTCGACACAATGGGGCTACTACGACGATCCGGAAGCTGTCGACAAGCTCATGGGATGGCTCGACGAACGCGGTCAGCGCGAAAAGGCGCTTCGTAAGGATCTGCAGATCTTCCGCGATCCTATCATCGAGCATATGGTGAAGATGAAGGATCACCTTTCCCACTCGGACGACACCAGGGTTGAAGAAGATGACAGCCCCAAGCGCTCGACTCGTAGGCGCAACTCTGAGACGGACGTGGCCGTGCCGAACTGTTGCAAGTGGACCAACAATATCATGCGAGAGGAATTTGGCTATTCTCACTCGGAACAAGGCAAGCCCAAGCCCAAGCCCAAGAAGGGCGTAGCCACCAAAGTCAAGGCTAAGAGCAAGCCTACGACTCGACAAGGCACGAGGTACGGGAAGTAGGGACTACGGTATTCGTCAGGCATCTGGGACTTGAAGACAATATCGACCACCTTCCTCTTCAGCACTCAGCTTCTTTCTTTCGCATACATGGGTCACCCTCTTCAGCATTGTCGGCCTCTTTCTTTCTCTTCTTGACGATTTTACGATTCCCTTCACTAAATCAGGTCGGCGCCGGGGATGGGTGTCGAGCATGCACAGTACATTAGGATTGCTCTTTCGATCCTTTGTCTTTTCAACCAGTCTGGCTTTCCTATTCGACTGGGCTGCGGTTGCATGGTAAGGGAGTTTGTTTACTGTGTTTCAAGTGCAACTTGCATCGGGAAATTAGAATCGGGTGATCTGTCTGCGGCTAGGTGCTGAAACATCAGCGGTGATGGATTAGCGGGCGCCTGGATGAAAGACAGCACACACACTTGTAATATAGCACTGAGAAGCAGATTGAGCGAAAAGAACTCTTTCTGGAATAATTGCGCAATGCTATGGGGAGGTGAGACTTTGATGTCGGTACACTTTCCTGCCACTGTCTGCAAAAATCGAGGGCAGCAGGTAGAGTTTTCCAATCTACGTACATCTTGCTGACGCTGTCTGGAGTGGCCTCATGAGTTTACTAGCTGTCCAAAATGCCGATCTTTTCCCTCGTTCGGAATGCTGAAAATGCTATGAAGCTCCTCACAGAGTGGTAAACGAGTATACAGATATCTATGGCAAGGCACCGTACTATCGCAGTGATAGCTTTTTGGAGACTGTGGATGCGTGTCTACCACGGCCATTATCTTGAGAAGAGAGTACCAAGTAGGGTTCCCGCTATTGAATCTTCTAACCGTCTCTTTTCCCACGATGAATATGCTACTAAATCTGACACAAACCCAACTCGGAGATGTGGGTCAGAGGCGGATCGATCTAACATGGTCTTCAAAACTCGCAGATGTATCCGGAACAGATGTGTAGAGACGACAGCAAGCAAAGCTCGTATCGCTACGTCACTTGCAGTCCTGCGCTCCACTTCCATTCTCCTTGATGCTAAGAATGGGACATGTTCCAGGGGGGGGGGGGGGGCCAATCACCACCACATCAACGTAAGGAGTACAACCTCCCTACTCGCAGACGCAGCCCACGGCATCACTAGTGCGGCTGAGCTCATCGTTACTCTGCCTTCAAAACAACATCCAGCTCCCGCTTCTTTTGGAAAAGCATCGCAAATCCTCGGTTTTGATCTCCTGGCCTACACCAACCACCATCCCCAAATCGCGCCCTCCACCCCTCCAATGCCTAAATTCACGGCTCTTTAAACCCCAGAATCATCACCCCATCGAAGCGCCTACATCCCAAACTCCCGAAAGGCTCGCAGGCCCCAAAAAGCTCGTCTTGAACCGGGCCCGCGCGGCCGACGCAGTACGACCAGCCCTCTTGCAGCCGTACGGTACCGCGGGTCAGGGACCAGCTGCGCGGCAGCCCTCGCCGTGAGTACCATAGTACAGTAGACGCCTTGGAGAAGAAAGATATTGTAACTTTCCGCGTGGCGTCGGAGGGCTTCTCGTTCCTCGCAGCGGCGTTTGAGGATTCTTGAGAGATGAGAGAAGGGGCAGGGACCAACCAAGGGGAAGAAAAACAAGACATATAAGACCCTCCACCCGCTTCTGTCCTCTCCCCTCCCCACTCCACCCCCTCCGCAGTCCCCCTCAGCACCACCTCCCCTAACAACCTAACATGCGTCTCTCCCTCACCACCACCACCACCCTCCTCCCCCTTCTCACCACCACCACCGCCACCGCCACCCCCCTCCCCCACCGCCTCCGACCTCCAAAAAGCCGTCTGGGCCTCCCAGCTCGCGCAAGCCGAGCACGGCCTCGCCCACGCCCTCTCCACACAAGAACTGGACCGCGCTCAGCGCCTACATAACGCCCAACATCTACTACGACAGCTCCGCGCTCGGACCGGGCGGGCAAGGGCGGCGTCTACACGAGCCTGGGCCGCCATCATGGCCGGGCAGCAGGGCGCGTGGGCGGGCCAAGCAGGTCGCGCACGACGTGCCGAATTCGCTCGTCGACGCCGTGGATTGGGGTCTAAAGCGCATGTGTATTCGTAGTGAGTCGGATCCCCCCGGGTTGGAATGCTGACGGCTGTTGGTGGTGGGTGTGGGGCAGTCTTATTTTTTTTCGCAGTGGGACCGTAAGGCGCTGACGGAGGGGGAGAAGACGTATCGTGTTTATGAGCAGTGCGATGATCATTGGGTGCTGCAGGAGGGGAAGTGGAAGTTCAAAGCATAGTATTGTGACGAATCTGGCGCCGAAGGCGGAGGTGCCGTATTTTGGGAAGACGGCGTGATGCGGGTGTTTTGAGAGGAAGGTCTGTCACGTGTTGGAGTGAGGATGGCGGCGAGGATGAAATTTGTGGAACTGATGGAGTTTTGGAAAAGATGAGGGCTTGAGTTTGTGAAAGGAAAAGGTTGGAGAAGTACAGGGTGTTTGACACGCTCATTTTGACCTTGTACTGAAACTCCGATTTGGCTTTTCGTACCGAATGACTTGCGGAACTGATACCGGACCCGGTGCTATTGACGTTAGTTGTCTTTAACTTTAGGCACCGCAATTCCGAAGTACAGCCCATGAGACCGCGAGAAGAAGATTCCAATTCAATGCCTTATAATACAGCCCGTATGCAAGTAGGTCCCTTGCCCGTCCAGCTAACCCACCCGTTCCGTTCAAAGTACCTCAAAATCAACTTTTTCCCACTCCGGAATTCAGCGCTATCGGACCCAAGGAAAAGTTTGTTTGGAATGGTGTTGGGTTTGAATGAGATCGGCGTGGCCGATTACAGGTGCTAGCGATGTGCGCCGCTGCAGGGCGCGCGGCTGGATCCCCAGTCGTCGGATTTCCATTTGATGATGTCGCGTCTATGATGAGAATTTTTTCATAACCTTTACGATGACTAAAGGGAGTTACTTTAGCAGACGTAGGTTAGGCTCGAGAGGAGGTTCGAACGTACCATGTAGCGCCACGACGCTGAAAATGAAGACGACTGAAAGTGTCATCACAACGACCGGGTCGACCTTCAATCCGGGAGATTCATCGGTGTAGAGTCCTGAGCGCACCATTATTAGCATACGTTCATATCTCCATTGCCCTCAAGTCCATGATCCGCAATTCATTCCAGGCTTATGGACCCCTAAGTGGAATCTCCATGTCCAAGCCCTTCAAAGCCACAAAATTCAATGGAAACAGTGTACTCACGCAACATCGTCGAGCTGCTTCCACCCGCGCCCGCAGCCCGCGTGCTGCTAGGCCTCAGATTCGCGGTCTTCTCAGCGCGGTCCTGCGCCGCCTTCCTCCTCATTACGGTCGCAGGGCCTCCTGGGGGTCGGGGAGAGACGGTGCGCGCAGTGGAGGAGCCGGTGGAGGGAGGGTTGGTGGGGGATTGGGGGCGTGGCGAAGACTGTGAGAGAATGAAGTCAGCTTGTGTATTGTGGAATATGCGACGTGGACTTGGGCAAGCAAAGGGGACTGAGGCCAGCCATCTCTGTTGAGATAGTGCGCTTGGTCGAGGAGGGGAATTCAGTATAATTGCGATTTATAGCGAAGCGATTGATCTTATGAGCAGGGTGGGCGCGCCGATGGTCGGGTTCAGGAGCTTGATGGCGGTGCTCAATTGTCGTGGTGTGCCCTGCTGTGGAGTAGAGAGATATGCTTACCATGATGAATGATGTATCGTAGAGAGTCGAGAGGCTAGAATTGGTAGAGGTAGAGGGAGAAGCGTCGAGTTTATGTTGTCGGGGGTGGTACTGGAGATGGAAGCGTGGTGTTGAGGACACGCTTCTAGAAACTTGATGAACAAGGTTTAGCCTCGCCTAAATTCGAGCTGCATTTTGTGAAAGGGTGCATAAAAAGAAGAACAGCACGCTAACGATGATATAGTTTTGACAGAAGGTCTCTGAAACCATCAATTGTTTATTGGCAAGAGGAAGCTCCAATACATGGTCTCATGAAAATATTGAAGAGGTTGCGCTGGATGAATGTATGTCAAAGCCACCTTGAGCTTTTGAGATGAAACACTTCGAAGACTAGATGTAGACCCAAAAATACAGAAACAGTACAATATTCACGGCGTAACTGAGTTAGGATAGATATGTGTATTAACTGGTACCTTTGTACGGACATAGTAGCATCTCGCATTTCACCTCTTCGCCCCAGAGCACATTCAAGTCACGTGTACTCAGGGGTCATCATCAACAGGAAAAATGCTAGTTCTCCGGGATAAGCGCCCGTTAGTAAATAAGACACCTAAGACATCTTCACATGCTCCCGTGTTTCAAGTTCAACTAAGTTATGGAGATCACCGCAAGCATCAAGAGCCTCAATCTCGCAAAACAACTTTTTCCCATTAACCCAGATCGCAACCACCACCCGGTCCATGCACAAGTTGCCTGTTTTAACGAAAGACCTAGACAGATATTCAGACCCCCCGTCCGTCTTCCCAAAAGCAATCCGACCCAGCCCCAAAGTTACAAAGCCTTTAAAATCTCAGACACCGCCGAACTACCGAAACCCTCAAATATGGCAGATCCCAACGAAAGAACCCAGCCAACCTTGAACAAGAAAGCAAAGCAATAACTACTCCCCGAATTGCCCGTGTACACAGCTAAGACCCCAGATATTCCCATGAGGAATAGATGGAACCCGCCAAAAGTTTCCCAGCCCTGCGCAGAGAGACAGACAGATTGAGCACGACGCACGCCCGCCCATGTAGACCCCGAGGGAAGATGCAACGAACGCATGCCGACACATGCAGAGAGGAAGAATAGGCCCTTTGTTTCCCAGGATGACTTTTTGCACCGACCGACCAGACCAGACCATTTGTTCGATTTCCCCCAGCCCCAACCAAGACCGACACAATAATGCCCGGGACACCTTGAATGCAGAAACTCCGGATTGTGCATCGATCAAACTCCACCAAAATATCACATTTTTCTAGCCCCAAACGGAGGCTTGGACACCAAGGGTATTCTTGGAGGGTCCCCAGACGCCGCTGTTGCTGCCCCAGCCAAGACCGACACCCTTGTCTGCCACGCTGGACGACGGGTTCGACGAAGCAGACGAGTTGTGGTCGTTATTATTGTTGTTGTTTTGTTGCTCACTGGCGTTGTACGAGTAGCTCAAAGGAGAAGGGAGAGGGGTCGTGGACCGCTTGCTTAGAGGAGCACCCGGGGGCGATGCCTGGTTCTGAGCAGGACGAGTGCCAATTGGAGCTACACCTGTAGCGGCCTTTGCCCCTTGGCGGGGTGGAGATCCGCCAGGGGATGAGTTGGATGTGCGGCTGGACTGCTGCGCGTTCTCGAAAAGGTTGAACGAGGTGTTGGGTTGAGAGGAGGATGGCGAAGAGTTGCTGGTGGCACGTTCTTGCTGAGCTCCTGCACTGGTGTCCTTGCTCGACATCTGCTCCCGAGATGGCATCTGGACAGAACCTTCACCAGAGGCGCCCTGGGACTGCATACCGAAGGGGTCAAAGGCCAAGGGAGAGGCACCGCGGCCGGCGGAGCTGGTGGCGACTCGAGCGTCCTGGCTGGAGGTACGGGTGCCCTCAGGTCCGTACAGCGTGGAGCCGTCGCCGTAGAGAGCACGGTGTTGGCGGGCAATGAGCTCACGACGGTCCTCTTCACTCATCGCATTTGGACTCATGGATCGATCGGATTTCGCACCAGAAACGTCTGCATGTACACCTGAACCGTTAACCAACAATCCTTTTACATTTACTGCCCAGATTCAGAGTCCTTACTCCTGTGATACTGCTGCTCTTGATGATAATTTCGCAATTCCCGCTCCCGCTGAGCCGCCATCCTCCGCTTAGCCTGGGCCATCTGATCGGCGTCGTTGGGGCGAGGGGCGAAGCGCTGGTTCGCATAGTAGCCTTGAAGGTTGGACGCGGAGTGCGATCGGATGCCGTCGTATTCGCTCACGGAATGGTGGCGCTGGGGTCCGCCTGGGGTAGGTTAGTATCAATTGAGAGACTTAGGGGTTTTTGAGGGCTGTCTTACCATACTCGGAGTAAGGACGTCCTGCGTTGATGGGCATGGAGTCCCGACGACCAGGTCCAGGAGTACCCACACCAAAGGACTTTCCGCTCTTCGCGAGGTTCTCGGCAGCACGGTCGACCTCTGCATCAATTGATCAGCTACCATAACGTGAATTTACCTCATCGTAATTGGCGATTGCAAGTGACTGTCCACAGAACAGCCACCGATCCTTTCGCCAAAGTATCGAATTGAGAGAAAGTTGTAGACCATAGCAACTAACATACCTTCGAATTGGGCGCTGAAGGCGACGATCTCATCCCGGTTCACGGTGGAGCTGGCACCTGTGGATTGTTATTGAGTGTCGTAATGTATGCGAAGCAGCCAAAGGACGTACCAGAGCGCGAGGGCGGAGGCTGCTGTTCCCACGAGGGCTGTCGCCCAGGAGCCGGCCAGGAGGCATTATCGTAGTAGGACATGGCGACACGACGGGAGAGAAAGGCGGCGGGCGCAGTGTGGGCTCGGAGGGAAGATATTAGGTGGAGGCGACGAGCGGCCGGGGGTGAAGCGGCGAAGAGGGAGCCTGTAGGGGACAGGTAACAGTTAGCGATGCAAGTCGCACATAGGCAGACAATGAATCAGCAGCAGTGGCTTGCTGAGGGCGTGGAGGAGCAGGATCCGGGCCAGTGGTGGGAAAAGTTTTGTTGCGCCAGAGGACGGCACGGCGGAGGTTGGCAGATGGCAGCAACGTACCGAGGAATCTCAAGGGCAGAGCGGGTGAAGGAGTGACCAGTCTGCAAGTCTGCCGGGACCGCAGAGGAGAGAGAGGCGACAGCGAGGCTGAGAGGAAGGAGGGTGGGATGAAGAGGACGAGAGACTCGACCAGAAGTTGAAAGGAGAGCGGATATCCGTATATTGTCCCGAGTTCATTTCCTTCTGCCGCTAACACCGCTTACGGGCCCTTGGGCCTCTGCACGGCGAGCCTGCACGCCATTCTAGCTCTGAGCCGAGCGGCCTCGATATCTAACATGCCTCTCTCGTTCTTCACCGCGCTGGGCTCTGCCTGGCACAGGTAAACACAGCGCCCAAGTGGCGGGCGATACCGCAGTTCCATGGCGCCCACGCGCTTCATGACGTTCCCACCCACTGGCCCACGGCGCTCAGGCTGGCAGACCTGTGGTTGTAGTGGATGGATGCAGGTCGATTTAGCGATGGATGCTCCACCGGCGGCCGGCCAGGGAAGGTCGTAGTGGTCGCAACGGCGCGATGCCGGCCGCCTCCTTTCCCTAGCCCCACGATGGACGAAATGAAGCCGCGACAAGTTTTGTATCTCGCGCGCCTCTGCAGCCGTGCATTCTGTCTGCACTCGGCGCTCTAAATACTGGGTCGCAACGGGGTTGCCGGGCTGGTGGGTGCTGCTGGCCTCGGGACAGCGCGCCAGAAAAAGTCCTCATGCAAGCACCCCACCTCTCGCAGCACGACTCGATCCCTGCCACCTACCGTTAGAGCTGCGTGAGCGGGTGGGAGGTGTCTTCCTTCAAGCCACCAGCCGTGGACGCACGAATGCCATGGGAGGCCCCAGTCACCACACCCTCTCCTCGTGCGCGCGGCGCGGCCTGTTGCTGTCTACCGACGCTTCCTCCTGTCCGATGAAGCGCGACGACAAGTATCGTTATGGTCTATCACGTGCCGATGTATCTGCATCAGGACGGCGGGGTCGACCTACCACGCCGCCCTGCATCCGAGAGCAGACATTCACTTCCAACACCAGAAACTGCCCGCTAGCCCTAGTGCCCGCCTATCATCACTCTCCGCGCCTAACGGGCAACGATCAGACGCAGCTCTCTGGAAAACTCGGCATCGGGACGGCCTGGGATGCGGAGATGATGCAGCCGCCACTGTCACTCGAGCCCACCCGCCCAGCGGCCCAGCGGTTGCAGCGCTAAACAGAGCATTGGCCGTGGGAATTTGCTTCTTTGCGCCCTGCACGCCGAAGCCAAGCCCATCCGCGACCACATGCTGGCGGCTGTCCGGGGCAACATGCTCCGCGTGTGCAGGGCGCAACCCGCGCGTGCATCTGGAGAACACCTGGTACGAGGCCGTGGCCCTGCAAAGGTTAGAAGCGGTGCAGCAACATCAACGGGTGGCTCATAAATGGGTTGGCCGCCTGTCTCACGTCAACCCAGTGCACCTGTATCACTCGGTCACCGTTGAAGCACCTGCAACAGTCCTGGTGAGCCTTGGCTTTGTTACAGCGATCTCTATGTAGGTTGCAGACCACAAAAGCAAGATTCGTCTACGTATGCAGTCATTCTGCTCTATCTCTCTTTCTTCGTCATCTTCGTATTGAGCATCCTGTATCGATCTCTACATCATTTCACAACGCCGTCACTCTTGGCTGTAGACCAAATGTCACGCTTAGTGTCATCCATCGTACAATACCTTAGTATCCAACCGTCACGCGCAATCCTATAAGCGTACTCATCTCTCACTCTCACCAACTAGTCCCCATGTAGAAATCAGCAGGGCAATTTCAAGGCTCCCACTGCGTCGGATCCTACCGTACACAAGGTCACCAAACTTAACTGGACTTCATCAGCCTGACAGGTCAACCACAGCATGATCCAAAGGACGCACGTACACCTGCGGTTAAGTTCGAGGCATGCCTCACGTCTCTCTCTCGTGCGTCAGAGAAATGCACATATGACTTGATACTAACTGGCCGTTTGCCTGCTGTCTAACAACAGCGTCCCCAATAGATAGTAGAGTCGCAACTACATTAACCAACCCTACTCCCATTTAGCCACCGGAACCACTTCCCAGGATATCAACGCACACCTAGCACACACTTCGACAGTATACACCACTCCACGACCCCCCAAAATCCTCCACACCTGCGCATCTTCCTCCCCAAGCCTATCAAAATGCCATCCCTCCTCGCCCTCCCCCCCGAACTCCTCCTCTCCATCGCCGCCCACCTCCCCCCCGACGCCATCCTCTCCCTCAAACTCACCCACCCGGCCCTCAACAACACCTTCCCTCCCCTCCGCAAATCCACCCCGCTGACCCGCTGCGCCCGCCTCGCCTGCCTCGCCTACCTCCAGCGCCCCTCCCCGACAAACCTCATCCGCTGCGTCCTCTGCAAGGCGACCTACCCCGCCTCCCTCTTCAACTCCGCCGCCAGCCCCACCTGCCTCCCCGCGCCCTACTCCGCGTCCACCGGCGGCCGCCGCACAGAAGTCGTCGAGCTGCCCGCCCGTTTCTGCGCCTGGCACGTCACGCGCCTCGCGCGCGTCGTGCGGGTCGCGCCGGGGTCCGGGCAGGGGAACGGGTGGACGAGCCGGGTGGAGCAGATGTGCATGCATTGCGGGGCGGTGCAGGCGTGGCGGAAGTGCGGGTGTGAGTGCGGGAGCTGTGGGGTTCGCGGGGTGCGGACGTATACGCGGTGGTTAGATAATGGAAGAGAGTGCCGGGGGTTTTTGTTTTGGAGGGAGGAGAAGAGGGGAGAGCTGTGGGTTAGGGAGACGTGTTGGAGTAGTGGTAGGTGGAAGCTAGGTGGGTTTTTGGTTATGGGGTGGGGGACACTGTTGTGGGGATGAATGCTAATGTTTCTTTTTGGGGGGGGGCAGATAAGTCGGAGGTGGTGTCGTATATCGATATGCCTGTGCAGTTTGAGGAGGAAGACGACGCGGGACCTGTGCAAGATGGCGGCGATGATTCCGACGACTAGGAAAGCAACACGCTTAATGGTAAATTGTAATATTTCTTCATTTCGTCTCTTTCTACGACGATACCCACTATCCAAGCAGCGACGGCGTTCCAGCTCATCAACCGTCTCTAGATCAACCGTTCCCAACTCATTTCATCCTCATATCCGCACACATCAACCGTGTCCTCCTTGTATCCTCCTCCCACCCCACGCCCCCTTTCTCCCCATCCACCTCCACCTCATCCACAAACCTCACCCGCCTCCCCGCGCGCCCTTTTTCCTCGTCCACTGATCTCACCCTCCCCTTCCCCGACTTCCGCCCCCCCTCAAACTCCAGAAACTTGGCATACCCCCGCACCCGCAGCGCACACCACCACTGCACGCCCGTCATGGCCACCACGACTAGCCCGATCACGATCTGTAAAACCCACAGGCTCGCGCGGCACCGCTCGGCGGTCCAGAAGCCCAGCATCTGCTCGGCGTCGCGCGGGGGCAGGATGGTGCGCTGGTACTCGATGCCGGCGCAGAGGGTGCGCGGCAGGGAGGCGAAGGCGGGGAGGAGTAGTCGGGGGATGGTGGAAATGAGGGCGTCGAGGAGGAGGTGGTGGGAGAAGATTGTTGTGAGGGACGGGGAGCGCTGGAGGAAAAGAAGCGTTAGCGATTGGGGTTGGGAAGTTTGGGGAGGTAGGAGGGCAGGTTAGGGGGGTTTGGTGGTTGGTGGGTTGGGTTTGCGTGGTGGTTTGGAAAGCGAAATTTAGGGGTTGTTTGAGGTGGAGTGGTGCTGGAGAGGGGGAGGAGAGAGGGCGGCAAAACATACCTTCACAGCTCCAACAAGTCCCAGAAACGACAACGCGGCGGCCCAGATGCAGTAGAGCGAGAAGTTCAGTCCGAGGTGGAGCGGGTCGGTGGGCAGGTGTTGGAGTGCTATCGCGGAGAGGAGGTGGGTGGGGAGGGAGAGGGCGCTGAGCACGAGGGTAAGCCGGCTATGATGCTGTTAGTATGGTATGGAAGAATGCGATCTTATGGAGCTTGTCGCGACCGTGCAATCAGAAGTATTGACACAAACGTACCGGCCATGGTCATCACAGCTCCTCGTCTCCATGTGTAGTGGTGTGAGTAGCTCGACGCTGTCGAAAGCTCCAAGTAACGGTTGTATTTGTTGTCACACGTCGCTCCCGTCCGGTGTCTCTCGGGAATCCCTCGGTGCGCTCAACGCTTCGCAGTTCGCAGTACGCAGTACGCAGACCTCTCAATCGTCTCAAATCACCAACGCGCAGCGTTCTTCACAATTCAACGTCAACCCAGACAGCATAAGCAAAGGTTGCAGAGACAAAGGCGCAAGTTTGCAGGATCGAGAAGAGCAACCTCTCGGGCGCCCTCGGGCTGTTATAAATCAACAAGGCAGCCTGCAAGTGTGA